TCTATGACTCTGGACCGCAATCTAGATGTGTAGGATTATGAATCTGTTTCTTCGACTGTTCATGGACATCTATACAATTGTATTTCGTAGTACTTGTTCTGTGGGCATTGAATGGACTATCCCTGTTCTTAGCGCACCGCCTTTGCACTGGTTCTATTGATGAACTTGCATTATACATATGCATAGGGTGCCTTGCATGTATTTTGCTTTGATTTTCATTTAGACTACTCCGTACTTGTCAATGAGCTCCACATACCTACGGAGTAGTTATAGTATGTATACATGGGTAGCCTATGTAGGTTCCGAGGTTCCGTCTTCCCGCTCGCATCCTATGAATGAGGCTTTGTTAGAGTTCCATGCCCATAATTCAGTGATCGATTTATTGACAGTCATAATACTATGTATCTAACATTTTAATTGATTAATGCCATCTTCAGCAATGCCTTCTCCCGATATATTGAGGAAGAGAGGTGCAGACTTGAGTTAGAAAGTGCATAACATACAATATGCGTTGAGAATACGATATAGGAATAGCTTTACTTACAAAAGTGAGCTGATATTTTAGTGAAGGGTACGTCTAATAGCTTAGATACCAGTGCAGTTACAGCGATCGCAATCGTGGTGTAAAAAGTCACAAAAGAACAGGCGCTCTCAGCCGTCACTAGAACCTTGGAAAACTCGGTGAAAAACTCAAGAACTTCAAAGAAAAAGGAAGAAGTCCTACCTGCATATCAAATCACACAAGACGCACCAGTCTGACTTTATTGAGATCATGACCGAAATTTCAAGATTTGGAGCGCGATCTTGCAGCTGGATGCAGGTATATGTCCTAACTATGCATAAGGCTGCGGTATTATTTCAGCCTCAGCCGCTCATTGCATCGCAATAATTATTTCCATGCAGTGACACAACATAGGCCTCAAGACTTGGCACAGTAGCAAAATCTTGGATTGTGTGAATATCCCCGTGCTGGTGGTGGGGGATCGTGGTACAGAGACTGAGTAGCTATTGCATATATATGTTTTTCAAGTGGCTAGGTAAAATGGCGTTGATAACCTTGAAGTCTCAACGATATTGTGGTCTGATACATAGTATTTCTATGGAGCCATTAATATAAATCTATAAACATATATTGATGAGACAGGAGATTATCCAGTAAGTTTTGCAACAGACTCTTTATACATGATGAATATATACTGGTTCTCCCCTATTACTATGACTGCGTAGCATAGATCTCGCTATTTGGCACGTTTGACCAACTCTCGGATACCAACGTCGATCTTCCAAGACATTTACTCAAATCTTCAGCACACTTCCCCTGTTTTACATCGGTAATTGCCCCCGAGGCTACGACATGGTACAACATGAGCAATCTAATTATCAGTGCATTGGTCATCTTCTCCAGGAATGAACCATTGACCCCGTGCACGTGAATACGACGAGACTATGTCGTAGATCGCGTCGACTATATCATGTCGCACGCAAAAAGATATCCTTGGTGGAAATATCACCCGAGAGGTAATCCTTCAGATCAACAAAAATAAACTGGACATAATCCAGAGACATACATGTGTCTATCACAGACACCATTGCTGATCCAAACTGTCCCCAAGGCTCGAACTAGCAGGGCTCCTACCTAAAATGGGTGCCTGATGCGTATCGGGATTCTCAACATCGGCGAACATATTAAACCGATCAGAACAGATGTGACGATACCTCAGTTCCCCGAGACGATCACTTGTCAACTAGACGGGTTCTGCAGCACAATGGCCATACTTGTTTCAAGCCCTTTGGGAGAACGAACGTGCATGCCCCACTACTTGGGCACGAGTCTGCCAGAACGTGATGTGCTTGTGTGCTCTGCAGATTGCTGACGAAAATATGAGAAGTCAAGTAGATCGTAAGCCGGTAAGTTACGCTTATGGACTACATACACATGTACGGAGAACTCCATAGGGGAATTTGATTTGTGCTGTACAACATATAATATCGATATGAGACAGCAAACAGGCTCTCTGAGACCGCGCGGGCTGGCCCGTGAATTATACCACCTCAATTTTATACTATGCATTATGCGACTGATTTCCTGCTGTATTTTTTAAATTGTGGGGGAGAGTACTTTGAAACATGACCATAGCCAAACCGGCTATAAGTCCCAGTAGTCTTCAGATCGACTCTACGCGATCTATACTCCGCACACTCCGTGCAAAACCGTAAAAAGCAGATTTCAAGAGACTAAGCACTCCTCTCTTATGGTTCAAATGTAACTCTAGCACGGAGATTTCACCCATTCAAGGTATGGCCCGCAGATCGTATTTTAGCGGTTGCCCTGATGTGATGATATCGAGAAGGCTTGCATTACCCTAATATTAGAGCTATCGATTGGACCCCACGAGGGCGAGGCGTCCGGACTTAATTTTTTTGATTGAGCTGTTGGCTCGCTTGGCTAGATAGCTTTGCTGACCTACATTAGTCACACATTAGTTATCAGGACTAGCAATTTTCTACTTTCCCAAGGGGCCAAATATTACAGAACATGTGACGGTCAACCAATGCATGCCTAGGATGAATAAGTATGCATTTTGCACATTTCAATGTTGAGTGGCAATTGCAGAAATCACCAAGTTCATGCAGCTCTGCAAAACTGTTGGTCGAGCTGCGGGAGGACGTGCGAGATGTGATGGGGAAAGGGAGAATGGCCTATGTCATTGTAGTGTATTACAAGTTCGATACTAAGCTCCAGTCACTAAATCTAGACCGTAGGATGGCGAAATCGCCTTATGTATATTATTCAAATTTGCGATTTTCGTTCAATGGTTGCCCCAGTTATTTTTGAAGATCAGATGTGCTCCCCGTGGTACTCCATACTACTCCGTACTATTTACAGAAAATGTTCCGAAGTCCATTTTGACTCGAGGGGATTTTGGATGTAGAATAGCGACAAAAGTACGTCGAAATTTTCATCTGGCAAGACATTCCCGTATCTCTCCTCGCATCTATTATTATTCTAGGTCTCAGACATGAGCGGGTCTGCGTCATGATTGTCCTTTTCCCTTGATTCTAGCTAGGAAGAAGTACGAAGTATGCTTACAAGGTATGCAAGTATCGGGTAGCTTTGCGACAGTGTTTGTTCGACTTTCCAGTTGCAGCGATCTTGTTTGCCAATGCGAACCTATTGCTTTGATCATTGCCCCACGCGGGAGGGAAAAAGAAAGCAGAGGATGGAGGGAAATCTGGGTACGAAGCACGCGTCAGCCTGGATTTCAATGTTGACCGGGGGAAGGACACGGAGGGCAGGGATTTGAGATTAGAGATTTTTATGTGAGGTACGGATTACCGAGGGGTACACGGAGTCATTGACCATGATAAACCACGGCCATCAATAAAAAAACGACTTTCGGCTGTCACTTTGGGGGCCGGTCGCTGCGATGTCGATCCCATCCCGGAGAGATATTATTGACAGGCGAACAAAAGGTACCTTTTCCCTCAGTTTTAATGATTGATCGAATCTTCCTGCAGGCTAGAGCACGCACGGTCAATGCATCAAGACACGGTCTGATTCAACCCCACAGGATTTATTTCAGTTGTGGCGATATGATTGGTCTCAGACAGGAGAGGTTTTCAAATTCTAACAAATTGAAGGAATCCATGGGGGGGAGGGAAGTGCATTCGGCAGATGCAAGGTGGATAATGTGTACTTGTGAGAGATGTACCTTATAGCGTCTTGATTAGTGTATAGGGTACTTTTCAACTTAGTACTAATGGCAGCAAGCATTTGTTATCGTACAATGTAAACAGGCCATATTTTCGGGGAAAGTAGGCCCTTTGCTTATTTTATTTTCTTTTGCCACTGATATTTGCTTATATTCCTTTTTTTGCATTGAAAACTTGATCTCTGCATTGCAAAAGATAGAAAAAGGACCATGAGGTTGTCCAATTGTAAGAAGTCCAATCGAAAAAGAAAAGTGAAAAAACCCCCCAAAACTTCAAAATTCAAGAATTGATAAATACGTTCTGTATGATACCTGTCACATTATATCAGAGAACATATGTACATTACATATACGGGTGCATTACCGGTGGAGCGTGGATCGTCCCGATCGAGTCCCAGAAGATTCAAAGGCCTTTCACCTCCAGCTATTATTATTCCACTTAATTCCCTCTTTCCCTTCTCCTTTTGCTCTCTTTTTTTCTACTTCGGACTTTGATTTGTATATTGCTGCCGGTGGCAATTGCGAGCTATACTTAGCATTCTTTCCCTTATATCCCTTTCGCCCTTGCGTTACTTTTGGGAAATCCCTCTTTCATTTCAATTGGTTTATCCTTGCTGCGATCCTTAGTGCTCTCCCCTTCATAGGCATTGCATTATTTATCATCCCTTGATATTGGGGTTTGACCTTGCGACTCGTCATCTCGGGACCTCGAATGTTCCGGACTCCTTGAAAGGAAGTCTGTTTGGATCTGTTTATAGTTTATGATTACTTGTTAATAGTGTTTTCTGTGTTTGTATGTCTCCAAAGCTCCTAAATCCCTCCCCTCTCCTGGCATTCCAAGCTTTCGATGATCTTGGACACATTCCAAACAATCAATTCCTATACAGAGTACTCGATACCATCATCGAGCGGCAATTGACCTAGACTGTACAGGATCAACCCCAGCCTCTGGCGATCTGATTCCTCCCCTCCATCCTTGACTATTCAGCGCCACTTGCTTTCGATACTTGTCTTCTTTTTGGATGTACTGAACGATGTCCATTGCACCTATCGAATAAACGCCCCTCTGGTCAGTGACCAAAACGGCTTGGAGAACAATTTAGTCACAGAACCGACGAGAGATGGAATCAATGAAGCCACACATCCCCCCATTAAAGATTTCGAAATCCAACTCGAATATATCCGAGTCAAAGAAAGACACTACATCTATACAGAGTCGATTCTATTCCGCCTGGGGCTCAGAGATGACCCCCCCCGTTAACACCACACGACGCCCAGGACACAAACATGGATGCATTTGAGGACCCAAGGCCGGTGTTCCACAACTACCTGCGCGCTTTTTACCCTTTTCATCCGGCCGGAAATGTCTCTCCCTCGACCGTCACACTCCCTCTGGACCAGGGAGACATTATTTTGGTACACTCCGTTCACACCAATGGCTGGGCCGATGGTACACTGTTAGATTCAGGAAATCGAGGCTGGTTACCCACGAATTACTGCGAAGCATACGACCAGTTGCCTATGCGTCCTTTGTTGAAGGCCCTGACCGACTTTTGGGATATCATTCGAGGAGGATGCGGATCATCGCTAAAAGATTTTGGGAATCAAGACTTGATGAGAGGCCCTATTGCTGGCGTGCGGTTCCTACTTGTAAGTATCAACTAGAACCAAAGAGCGAGAACCGCAGGGCTTATAATTTCACAGGAGAAATCAGAATGTCTCACTCGAGAATCTTCCTTGATAAGGAGGTTCGATGGGTTACGCAGAATTAGGAAAGCTTTGCTATCTGACTTGTCTTCGTTGGTGAAAACCGCGAAGAAATTCCAGGAAATTGCCAACGGGGTCCCGTCAGAAGACGAGGTTGAGGCAATTTTGGATGAGATGCTTCTCAAGGCTTTCAAGATTGTTACCCGAGGAGTTCGATTCCTCGACGTGTGGAATGAGGAGGTAGGCTTGGATAGGACTATTGCCGAGATGGATGGGCCCGGCGAGAGCCTGCCACAATACAACATGCCGCTGACTCCTGCCTCCGAGAGTTTCAGCCTCAGCGAGACCGACGGACCCGGTCGACCAGAGTCGCGGATGGTGGAATCTCGACTGGAGTCGCGGCGGATGAGCCATAGCCGCGGGAACATGAGTCGGTCATCGATGCGCACTGAGATGATTGATCACAGGCCGGCATCCGTTGCCACGAAACGGGTCTCTGTATCCCATCGCATGTCAGTCTCTGGTCCTTCCACTTCTATCAATGCCCAGAATTTGGCATCTGAGCGGCTTGGAACGACATATGATACGTTCCTCGGCGTGCTTGGGTCATTTATCGGGCTTCATATGCAGTCCCGCTCCTCCACGGAGTTGGTTGTCACCACCCACCAGGCTGTCCAGTCGTGCAGGCAATTGCTGAATGTTGTTGAGGTAGTGTGTGAGCATGGCACACACTGCAGCGTGTTTCTCGAACAGGCACGAGAGTCAATGTGTGAGAAGCTATCTGAGCTTGTTCACGCTGCACGCGACGTATTCCGCCCCGCACACTTACCAGACGATGATCTTGTGTTCATGCCAGACGAAGGAAAGCGGCTCGTGGAGGCTGCGACTGAATGTGTAAGAGCCGCCGGAAACTGTTTGGCGAAGGCTCGCCTGGTGCTTGAGCAGATCGGTGATCTTGAGCTTGACCCCGAACACTACGAAGAGAGAGGACAGGACATGTCTAGCATGGACTCTTCACAAGAGGACTCTGAGACTCCGGTAGAACAGGAACGACAGGAGCTGTCACTTCGCCTTCCCCCACCTCCTCTTCACATTCCTAGCACCACATATTCTCCCCCCACACCTGCTCTCACCGATGCTACAACGCCTTCATCCTCCCAGTCTCATATCACAAATTCGCCAGCCAACATTACTGCCCTTTCTTCCCTACCAAATTCTGCCATTCTCCCCACGCACCTGGAGAATATCTCTTCTTTTGACTCCGCCAGAACTAGCTATCGGGAAAGTCACCCCAAGTCTGACGTGAGCGAATCGTTTGGCCGTGGAATTACAAGCAACGGAAGCAGCTTCACATATAACAGCTACGCACGTGACTCCGAAATGAGTGGTCTCTCTCAAACCTCAACTCGGGCTACCTCGCCGGATATTGGGGGTAGCTTCCAGGGTAGCTTCAAGGTTCACTCACTGAAAGAAAGCCTAAGCTACTCGACCCTTGCCGAGGAGAATGAAGAAACCGAGGCCAACATCCTGGAAAGGACTTATGCACACGAACTTATCTACAAGGAAGGGTCCGTGATGGGCGGCAGTCTCCGCGCTCTTATTGAGAAGCTGACCGCTCACCAATCCACCCCTGATGTCATGTTTGTCTCAACCTTCTACCTCACCTTCCGTCTCTTCGCCACCCCTCTTGAGTTTGCCGAGGCTCTCGCTGAACGCTTCGAGTACATTGGAGACACACCACACGCTTCTGGACCTGTCCGTCTCCGTGTATACAATATCTTCAAGGGTTGGCTTGAGTCCCACTGGCGCCATGACCGTGACAACACAGCCCTTGACTTCATCATCAATTTCGCAAACACACGACTTGTTGTCGATCTCCCTACTGCTGGCAAGCGGTTGCTTGATTTAGCCGGAAAGGTGTCTGCAGCTGGTGGCCCTCTTGTGCCTCGTTTAGTTTCTTCCATTGGCAAGACCAATACCTCGATTGCTCAATACATTCACCCTGATACTCCCTTACCTCCTCCCATCCTTAGCAAGAAGGAGCACAACTTGCTCAAACAGTGGAAGAACGGTGAAGCCTCAATCACGATCCTTGACTTTGACCCACTTGAGCTCGCTCGTCAACTCACTATCAAGGAATCGCGAATTTTCTGCTCAATACTTCCCGAGGAACTCCTGGACACAGAATGGGGCAAACAAACCGCCTCGTTGGCTGTAAATGTTCGGGCCATGTCAACCCTGTCGACCGATCTTGCCCATCTCGTTGCTGACTCCATTCTGTACCTCGAGGAGCCCAAGAAGCGTGCTGCTACCATCAAGCATTGGGTCAAAATCGCGAACAAGTGTCTTGAATTGAACAACTACGATTCCCTCATGGCCATCATATGCTCATTGGACTTATCTGTGATCTCGCGACTCAAGAGGACTTGGGACATCGTATCTCAGAAGACCAAGACTGCTCTCGAACAGCTCCGCAGCATAGTGGATGTGTCTCGCAACTACGCAGTACTCCGTCAGCGTCTTCAGAACCATGTACCCCCTTGTCTCCCATTCGTGGGTACCTATCTGACCGACCTCACCTTTGTCGACCACGGCAACCAATCTCTCCGCACCCTTTCCACCAGTGACAGCGAAATGGATGTCATCAACTTTGACAAGCATATGAAGACAGCGCGCATTATCAGCGAGTTCCAACGGTTCCAGATCCCCTACCGTCTGACCGAAGTTCCGGAGCTACAGGCCTGGATACAGAATGAGTTCGTGCGCGTGCGCTCACACGGCGAAACGCCCACACAAACCTTTTACCGCCGCTCCCTGGTCCTTGAGCCCAGAGAAAGCTCACGCAGCGCAACCACTCTTCAGTCTCAGCCCGAGTCCAATCCCTCCATCCTCGACAATGCCAAGGACAAGTTCGACTTCCTCTCATGGACCAACCAGTCCAAGGTGAAGTCTGTCACGACACACGGATAGCTAAATTCCTTCCACCCACATTATCACATATTCCACCCTTCATCACTTCACGATTAATGATCTCTTCTCATTCCCAATTTACTGGTGTTCTAATCAACAACCTTACTCAATCTTCCTGCGATCTGTGAATATCCCATCATTCTTGTCTTCTTTACTTCTTTTTACTCTCGGGCGGTACTTTTCCGTTTTGTTATTTGCAGTTTCTCCTTCGAGAAAGGTGGCATACGAAAAGCGGCTATGGAACGGGGCCCAGGACTACCCAAATGGAGTTTACCAAGGGCCTTGATTTGTTCATGTGATTTGTTTAATTCTTGTCTATTTTGTTCTTTTTTCGGTTGGGATGGGGGAAAAGGAAAAGTGGACTAGAAAACGTACTGTTTTCTGTCAACTGGGCGTTTCCTACACCGGATACCCTTTAGACAATATTTTTTGCCTCGCGGCTTCTGTACAGGAGCAACTCTTACAAGCTGCCTGGAATGCAAAATACACTTTAATGTCAACCGTTTATCCACAATCGTGACTTTTCCCCTCGTATCATGGGAAAAAGGAGTGGACTTCCTCTGTACCCCTTGCCCTAGCCAATGCCAGTGCTGAATTGGGATCCATTTCTGCTTTCTCACTCAAACTAGTAGACTCTATGAATGAAGTACCCCTAGGTGATAGGATAGGGATCCCGGAATATCAAAATGATGAAATACTGTTGTTCCCTTACCCTGGATTCTGTCGGAATACCGATATCTGCATACCAAAACCAAACTAAAGCCTATTCCAACCAATGATTCCTAGATTAATGCTCGCAGACCAGCCCAGAAGCTAGCGCACTAGCGAGAGCCAACCATTAGCAGGCACCGACTAACTGGCAATCCAGCACGAAGCATCTGAAACTAGAAACACAAGAACAGGAACCAAGTCAATATCCACAACCCCAATCCTCTCCCCAAGACAAACTCAATTACTCAGAAAAGTATTGTGGCCTTCAACGCTCTCTACCCCAAGATTCTCACGATAGCCATCAATCATGGGCGTTCAAACAGCTGGGGGAACCGCATTGAAACAAATCTCTCACTTCTCCCAATCGCGTGCAACAACCCTGGTAAAACTCAGTAAAGCCCTTACGGCGGCCGGTAGAACCCCTCGAATCAATAGAAGTTAACAACAAAAACGGCATAGCTCACCTTAGCGACGTGCTTGTACATACTCTAGGTGGCCTAGACGGACAAATTCCTCAGAATCCAAGTCCAATTCAACGGTTTCGGTACACCGTTGAATTATATTCGGCATTGCACCAGTCCAGATCTGATTTCGATTTAGCAAAGAGAGCTTCTCAATGCATGCCTCAATGAATGAAGAGATAGACTATCAGGGCTCCGGGAGCACTGTGATCTGTTAGACATAGCCCTTCACCCCCAAGAACTTCACATGATAAAGGCCGTTGCTTTTGTCAACACTACGTGTACAAGCTAACTTGTCATGAGGGGATCCGTACACTTTGTTGGCTAGCAAATACACACTGCCCTACACACTGCGCTCGTACCTGGACAATCGTGGGGCCCGCTTCTTCTCCCTTGAACATGGGATTGCCCATTATGCAATTCTTTTGTACAACCCATAGAAATAAGTAGGCATATCATTGCATTGAAAGATTCGACCGGTTTCAGCACACATCTCAGAGGTCAGAATGGGCGAGATGGATCTGACGTCAATTTATTGAAGGGTCTGGACCTGTACAATCATATATTGTGAGCATGTGAGGTTAAAGCAAACCAATTATCTTCCTCAATTATGTTACATAACGTGTTCTGAACGCCTCCACAAAATCCAGATTCATGCCGTCGTTATCATAAGCGGATACTCCATTATCCAGGTCTAGCGGTAATGAAACAGCAGTGTCAGATAGGGATCGTAGGTCAAGTATAGGGATCATTGAAGGGCGGCCGTGGGCGCATTGAAAAGGAAAGACACAACGAGCCAACCTAGAGATCAAGGCCTGACAGTCTCCAAGGTCCAGCGGGTCATTGAACATGATAGCAGTGCGACAGGCACGAGAGTTAAGAAGATCCATGATGCCTTGAGGACATCCATTCATAAGCTGAACCCACGAGCGCGAGGCAGATGAGGCAGATGTTCCTTTGTGTACCACGTCATCGCTGTCTGATAGTTCGAGATCCTGGTCGGCATCTTCGTCTTCAAATGCTTTCTTCCACTGGAATGACTTCCTGCCATCTTCCTCACTTGACCAGATCTCACGTCTCATCAAGTCAATCAGCACACGAGGCTCGAGTCGACAGCGTTCAGCTATTAGAACAGGAAGAGTATGCACGGCGATCAAGACAGTGGAGTTGGTCTTGCGATGTGTCACATACTCAATACCCCAGACTGAGAAAAGACTCATATATTTTTGGAAAAGATCGCCTTCCGTCAATGAAATTTCGAATGCTAAAGAATCAACCTGGACAGTGCGCACTCGACTTCCCGACTCTAAATTGTCATCTTGCTCAGTAGAAACGAACATTTCCCCGAACAACAATTCAATTCGACACCGCTCATCGGCCGCGTGTTGATCTATTAAAAGCAGAACATCGTCTGAAGGCCCCTCCCAATTGAGATTGACAGGAGTGGTATGGGCCTTGGCCAATATGAACTTTTTGTCCACCTGGGCTATCACTTCGGCAGTCTTGAGCGCACGGCGATGAATTTTTCCTCGATATTTGGCAACCTGTGCTGTATCAAGCGATCCAATGCCCTTGAAGCAGTCGTGCGAAGAAGTAATTGCACTATGCTGATGGGCAGACTCTGTGCCCAAATTTGGTATTGGCATTTCTGTTCGGCTGAATGAAGGATTGTCCCATGTCTCCAGCAGGTTTTCAATCCAAGGGGTTTGCACTGGATGCTTGGAAAAGGTATCGATATGAGAGGTGGGAGAGCACTGGGTAGCTGATGACTTCCGAGAGTACATCGTTTGGCCCGTTCGAGGATTAATCATATAGGCCAGCTTGGTATGTGGATCGATCCAGGTGATCATCTTGTCTGACGTCGAGTCTCCAGGGACTTCCTTTTCTTTGTCTCTGCCTTCAACCATTTTATTAACGGGCATTAGAAGTATTGTGCCCTCCTGGCTATCGTATCGACGGCTTGGCCTATGCTTAGGGAGGGTAAACAAGGAACTCTCTCCCTGTACTACACCAGAAGCCGCATGAGAACGCTGAGGTGCTCGATGCATCGGAGAATGTCCTTTGAAGTCCTTGGCGGCTTTTACCCTGGACCAATTGGCGAAGCTTTGGCCAGAGTTCGGGGACTGGACTCTTGAGAATGATGGGATCTTCAGACGATCGCTGAATGCCTCTTCTGTGCCCGAAAGAGATTGGCCTTGTTGAAAGGGGCCACGAGAACTGCCAGCTGATTGGGATACTTTGGAACGGATACTCCGTTTTTTGATTGATGATATGATCTGCTGTTTGCTATTACGAGGACGGAGATTTTGTTGCTTCAAAAACTCATGGACCATGGCCCCAAGTATATCAACTATACGTTGAATCGATTTCGCCGATTCTGGAAGATGCTCGGATCCATCATCATCTAACTGAATAAAATCATTCGTGTCAATGCGGATGTAAAACATTGGCCACTTATTGGTGGAATTTGCCCAGCTTCGAGTACTTGCGTCACTTGGGACATCAAGCTGATCCACCGAAGACGCAGGATGTGGAACAGAGCTTCTGCTAGACATGAGTCCAACATTACTGAAATCTGACGAACCGAATAGCCGGTTCACTTCGTTATAAAGGACATTCGAGCTATTGCGCGAGAAAACCGGCTCCTTCCCAAAAGAGATGAATTGACACTTTCGAGTCGGACTGGGTTGGAGAGATATTGCTCCCCGAACCACAAGACCAGAAACAGACGCTGAAATTTCACGCCAAGCATCCAAACTTTGTGGTGTGATCATTCCAGATTGTGTGAGAATCAAGCCGATACGTTTGAGGTCAAACTCCATCTGAGGATGAACGATGCGTGTTTCGGCCATGGAGATAGTCGCAAGACGAACGGATATCCGTTTATTTCTTTCCGTATCGAGAAGGACTAGTTTTGAAAATCGAGGATTGGCCAAAAGGAGAGACACCAACGAGTTCCTAAGATGGTCCCACTCTCGTTCTAGCTCGTCCGGCCGCTGAAGAGTGAGGGCTCGACTCTTGACGCGGACTGGCATGTTACCAAAAAGATCATTGACAGTCACAGATGTGCCATGGCTCGCAGACCGAAGCACTTGATGTGGCGGCGCAGGGTTTAGCCGAGCCACGGGCGTCGAATGATGAAGAATGAGTGAGTTTGTGCATGGATGACGAATGTGACGAGAAGTCACAGTGAGCAAAGACAAGGAGGCCAAGGAAGCCAGGAATAAGCCCTGGTGGCCATACAAGCCACTCATTTTGAATTTAGATGTATCTATTGCATATGTTAGCCATCATATAGTACGGCGTACAACCTCAAGGGTGGGAGACATACGGTGAGGCTTGCCCAGCCCTCCTGTAACCTCGAACTCGCTTGGAGGAATTCCTTCGCCATCATCTTCAACTATACAGCCACCACGTTTAAAATCGACAGTGACGAATATAGTATTTGCATTAGCATCCAAAGAGTTCTTGACTAGCTCCAAAATGACACCAGTCAGATGCACGATCGCTGTAGATGATTTGATCTTTGCAATCACATCAGAAGGTAGCGCTCGTATGATTGATTGGGAAGGAGGCATTGACATAGTGGTTTGTTTGTTTGTATTCACGGGGACATGGCGCCACACGATGCGTGAAGAGAGACCCCAAAATTGATTTGGGAAACACAATAATGAATACGCGTTTCAATCATGGTAGTCTGTCATTGTCGCTACGAGCCCTCCAGATAGATATCAGCCAAAGATTCACAAAGAATCAAATATCCAGAATGTTGAAAATACGTCAACTAGAAGTCAAGATGCAAGGGCACATGACGTGTACGGATAAACAGTCTCCCCGCCCGCTCCATCTGTGTCGGCACGGCTCGTACCCCAGGGCCATAATCCCTTGCGTACCTATAACCTTTCGCAAGCCAGAGTTGGGAGTGAATAGTTTGCCTCTTGAAGCTAGAATGGCTACTGCTGATGGTCCAGCGAGGGTGCATGGTAAGTACAGATTGTGCCCGTTGGCCGTGAACCGCTGCTAAGGGATTCATACAAAAAGACCGGAATGCACGTCGCCGTCCATTCTCGAGCTGGGTGAAACGCCTGGCGAACCTAAAGAGCTCATCTGACTCTACGACAAATCGATGGACCAACAAGCGCTCCACGGGTAATAAGGGCAAGAAGAGCGATCAAGGAAACAACCCATATCCGCTTTCTGGGACCATCAACCGTGACACAGGGACTCCGACACCGACCGACTCATACACAGGCGATCACTATAGTGGAGAATCTCGCTCTAGGAGCGACCCATCTTTGTGCTCTGGCTATGAGAACCCGGCTCCCCTGACAAGCGCAAAATCCGCTGCGCCAACCATTTCAACCAACGGCGACGCGGCATTCTCCGAAGCAGCATATTCTAAAGCAGGCACATTAGCAACTGGCACTGAAGGCTTCAGCACCCGCGGAGGAGGAGAGGGTAGCACTTTCTCGTCACCTGCACCCTCAATTCGATCAATGACTACTACCCTCACCACTGTGCACTCCGCAGCACCCTCGACCCAATTGTACAACGCACAAAACAGCCACAATGGACACCATCATGGCAGCTCGACACAGAGCTCTTCGAACCAGCAGATTCAATTTTCCCACCAATTTCCTTCTACCTCACCCGCTACCGCAGTCCCCCCGCACCTGGTGCCCCCAAACCATACGATGACATACAGCGCTGCGACCGCAAACAATGCCTTGACCGATAACGCATCTCTTCTCACTTTGGCGAGCTCATCAAAGCGTCGTCGCCGCAATTCCCTGGATACAAATGCGTCTGTACGCGGATTGGCTCCGTCTTCTGTTTTTGGCGGTAGTCGGGAGAGCCTGCCGCTGAGTGTTCTGAGTGGACATACAACTGAAGCATCCAACACTTCTGTGTTCAATGCTCCGGGGGTACTGAGCCGACCAAGTATTGTTGGGCTAGCTAGTGCTGAACGCATCAGTGTCTACTCGGCCTCCGGGGCAATTCCGCTAGCTAGCACCGCTGCGGAGCGTGGCAGCTTCTATACCACCAAGCAAACTGTCAGCGGCGATACAGCCAGCATTCGCAGCGGTGCCCAATCACACAGTCGGAATGATAGTACTGCCGCTAGTATCGCCGGGGGTATCAGCAGTCCGTTGGCCATGGCTGGTCGCATGAGTCGAAGAAGCTCTGGCTGGGGCGAAATTACTGGAGAGGAAGGCAACGACGGAAAGCCAGTTGAGAAAAATGAAGATGAAACGGCGCCCAAGGAAGAAAATGGGGTTTCCGTTGAGCCACTCAAGACATAATTCCCTAATGCACGTACCCGCATGGCTCTTACCGGGAGCGATCGAACGGTGAGGTGTGCTGTGCTTGAATGAAGTTACGCATGGACGGTACGGAAGCTTGAGCAAAGTAACAGCGATCCTTTCTTACATAATGACTTGATGCATGGAAACCTTCCAAAGGCCTGGATATGTTTAATGGTTTGGCGGCGTTTTTTAGGCTGGGACTTTGATACCCTATGCGCTATGGACAAATTAGTTTCTACTCAATCCATATTGCCTGTAAGTTCAGATCTTTCGTGTATTCATTAGACCATCCCTATCACACTCCCAATGAGTAATTTTTACATGTACACACCATCCGTATTTGATACCTACCCACCTCTAGCTGCCAAGACCAATTGGCCTAGACACAACCTTTCATCGGCGCCGAATGATCATGGGCATATCGTACTGATACACGAACCAGGCGTTTTGGTAGTTCCACTCATGTTTGGGGTCAACCAGTTGAATCTATATCACGAGTTAGCGCCAAGAATCCAAGAAACGCTCATAAGCCACTCACATCGAATAAGCTGTACAGCGTCGCAATCAGCTTCTTGATCTCTAACATGGCGAGATACCGGCCCATGCAAACCCGGCCTCCGCCACCGAAAGATAAGTCGACAGTATCCTTCATCCGACGCAGGCGACCCTCAAAGTTCTCCGGGCTTTCATTCTTGCCCTGCAGCCAGCGGTCTGGATTGAAGTCGTCGGCATCCTCTCCGAACACTCCGAAATCACGGTTTGTGACGAAGGGGTTGATACCGACCTTGGTGCCTGCAGGGAGATATCGTCCATCGGGAAGCTTAAACCCACCCTCTGGGACGACGCGCTCGAAGATCATGGCAATACCGGGGTTGATCCGCAGAGCCTCACGAATGACGGCATCCAGGTATGGCAAGTCGCGAATCTCCTTCCAGGGAGCGGGGGTAGAGAGACCGGCGGATTTGAGTTCAGTGGCAAGCTTGGCTGTCGCAGCCGGTGACTTGGCGAGGTAGTAGAGGGTAGCACGCATGGTGGCGGAGCTCGTGTCGCCTCCAGCAAGAATGCTTAGCATTAGCCAGTTGACAATCTGGTTGTCGTCGACCATGTCGGGGTGCGTTTGTTTCAGCTGCACGTATTTGTCGAGCGTGTGGTCGACAGTACCCGTGGATATCTTTTTCTCGGCAAGCTCCGCCTGGTACTCGGCGACAACCTTGAAGGCGTAGAGAACACCTGTCAAAGTGGGTTTAGGCCCGATGCGCTTAATTGGGTTCTTGTCCAGGAGGTTGTCAATCCATGGAATTTGAGAGACCTAGTGTGACGTGTTAGCCATCTCCCCTGTCCCATCCGAGTCGTTGATGTCGGAGTATTTACTGGTGCGAAGTATTTCAATCCAGCAGTCGAGTCTGTGATTAAATTGTCGACATCCTTCTCCTGGTCAATGAATCCGTAGTGTCGGCCAAAGCTGTAGTTGGCAGTGACATCCCAGGCGACTATATGATGTGTTAGCTTCAGTCTACACGGGGCACCAAAGGTGCTTGAGAGTATACTCACAGAAACCAATCCATTCATCTGCCGGGCAAATCTTTCCTGCATTATCACCATCCACGAATCTCAGTGCGAGCTTGTCCACAAACTTGGTTAATGTTTCATCGATCAAGGGCTCGTATTCCAGAACTTTGGTCATGCTCCAAAGGCCACGAATAGGTCGGATGTTCTGGTTGTGCCAATCTTCATCCTGGGTATTGAAAAGATTCGACATTCGATGACCTTCAAGCAGTACATCATTGGGGCGGTACATATCACTCTTTACATGTTTACGAGATGTTAGCATGGCTTATTTCCACATCTGACAGCAAAGGATTGTCTAGGAGACGATGTATCCAACCTTTTTCCATGGACTGCGGGTGGAGTAAATCGTCCGAATTAGATTCGGGTCTGATATGCTCACGCAATTGGGCCCGACTTGTACAGCTGTGCCATATTTCCGGTGTAATTGGACATTCTTGAGATCAATACGTCCACCATATGCATGACATGCACGCCAAAAATCAGTGATCTTGGCTAACGCCGGGCCAGGGATGGCTCTCAAAGGCGAAAAGAAGACATTCACAATCAGCCTTGCGACAATAAGCAGACCCAGAGTGGCCAAGGCCTGGGCCCACAGGCTGGAAGGAAGAGAGATCATCTCCGGCATGGATAGGTGGAGATTCTGCGCTCGCACAAAGGTACGGGCAGTGCAGCAGGAGGTTTCCAGATCCAATGCACGCTCCCAATAGAACTTTGTGAGACGTGTAGCGCGGTTGACAGGTGCAGCTTTTCAAAGCCCTCGACCACCATATGCACTAGGGGCTAAGATAAGGGGGGGCACCCGATTTGACCAACATTTTTTCTTCGATTTTCAACACGAGGCGTGGGAGTGGGGACCATTGCGGAGAAAACAAGTATGAACGGCTTGAATGACCGGCTTTGTGCTCCGACATGTATACATATTGTACATAGCGTAGAACCGTTGACAATTTTCAATATGGAAACTATACCCAAGTGGAATTTTAGCGTTCATCTTCAGACGGGGGTGAGCGGATTGTGGAGTGGTTAGAGAGGATCAAGCATTATGACTGGCTCTAAGATGAAGCCAGTTTACTAATTCAGCCATAACAACCTTGGCTTTACAGCGGCGCCACCCTAGTGCCCGGAGGATTCCATGGTTTTGAGACATCGCGTTTAATTAGCCTATCTGGGAAAGATTGTGTGGCCTGCTCACTAATTTGGGCCTAGTAGATCCACTGTGTTAGGCGAGTGAATGCACATTGTCAACCTTGAAAACAGTTTTTCGTTAGATCAGGAAGCCTGTAAACCAATCAATTGGTTCTCTTTCTGGAGTGTCTCTGAGACCGCGGGATATGAGGTCCACCTGTGACAATTAGGTACATTGCTGTCTTGACTTTTTATCGGACTTCGCCCCTGTCAAATTTCACTTCGGGTTAGTCTAGTTTGGGATGATAGATATCCTCCAGGGTTGTTGATAATGCTTAACTCCCCTGGATCCCCACACCCTTGTAATCATTCATGGCGCATGTCTGGGGTTTTGTATCTTTGAACTCACGGGTATACCCCGGATTGTGATTCAGGTCAGCAGTGGCGAGCCCTCAGGATGTCGTCTAGCGGAGATGCGTCTCTTGCTCTAGGGAGCCAGGCTCCTACGGTAAAGGGTGTGATGTGGACGATGTCAATGATTTCGTTGGTTTTCGTTTTGATGCGCTTGTACGTGCGACTATATATGAGGAGAGTATTTGGCTGGGATGACGGCATTGCAATTGCGGCAATTGTGAGGAACTCATTTCTCTTCGTGACCGATTCGGATGATCTTGCTGACCTCGTTTCTATAACAGTGTTGTCTCGTTGCATACGCTGCTGTCAGTCATGTCGCTGCAAACCTGGGCTTAGGCCAACACCTTGAAATCGTTCAGAAAAATCCCGGCAACCTTATCCAGGTGGCACTCCTGTGCAACATTGGTGAATCTCTGGCGATCATGGCATGCACACTTGGAAAGACCTCCTTTGCTGTCACGTTGCTTCGAATCGTGGTCCACAGATGGATGGTGATCGTGCTATGGTTCGTGATAGTTACGATGAACATTGTCAATATTCTGGCCGCACTCTTCGTCTTTCTGCAGTGTAAAGATCCTCGGCATTTGTGGAATCCGATGATACCATCAGAATGTTGGCCATCGCATGTCTTTACCAATTTCTCTCTCTTTGTTGGAGGTAAGTCATCATGCATAAGTCTATTTCTTTTGGTTTGTTGTTCACGACTAACGCGCCAATTACCTCGCGCAGCCTATTCTGGAGCACAAGACTTTGTCTTAGCACTACTGCCGTGGACGATTGTCTGGAACTTACAAATGAGGAAGAAGGAAAAGCTTGGTGTCGCCATTGCTATGAGTCTTGGAATCTTGTAGGTCCTTGGGCAGAACCCCTTAACAGACAATTAATTGTCGATGCCACGTACTGACTGGCTTGTCTCTCCGCAGCGCGGGTGCCGCATCCATCGTCAAAACCATCCACCTCGTGGCTCTCTCGGCCAAAGCCGATTTCACATGTACGTCACTGACTACGTTTGTTATTTCTTTCTCGGAGACTGACTTTTTTCTCTCTATTTAGGGGAACTTGCTCCCTTATTAATCTGGGCGGCTGTGGAAGATGGACTTGCTATAACCGCTGCATCTATTCCCGCGCTTAAGCCTATTTTGACGAAGATCTTTCCCAGCACGAAATCGGACAATTATAACATGATTTCCTATCCACGCCTGCCGCCCAGTCACAAGGTATTCGACAACTCCCAGGGCGAAACGCATACGAACATCGGGCATACGACTGTTCACGATTTAGGAAGTCAAACGGCAATCCTAGAGCCCATGTCCCCAAAGGGAGAGAATATCAACATGACAACCGAGGTCTCGGTGACGTATAACCATAGCTTGTGAAGGACCTTTGTTGAAGCATACCAATCATACGAGAACCAGGTAGCGGTCAACTTCATCAAGAAGTATTAAAAGCAAATATAATCATTCTCTATAGACGGTTTGAGCCATACTTCATGGCCAGATGGCTCATTAGTTCTTATCAATGCCTTGGAACATGCTTGCATATCATTGCACAAATAAATGCCAGCTTAGGCTTAATTACTACCATGGCACTAGCCTACCAGGTCCTTCTCACCAGTCTACTCTTTGAATACTGAAACTACTTATATCCATGATCAAGGTCAACAGGCAAAAAGATAGGCGCATGACGTCCATACACAACCGGCGGAGGACATTCACTTGCCCTATACTTCTTTGTTGTCATTTTGCTTCACTGCGCTCAGCAAACTATACAATCGTATAGGGGATAAAAAAGCGACAGAAGATTATCGCCCGTAAGCGAATAACAGGACCAGCTAATCTTCCGGCCCGAAAGTTCATACGAAAAGCAAAGTTTTGGAGAAGACTGCGATTTGATTGGGTACAGAGTACAAAGATGCTCCTTGCACTGTATCGCAGATTATTTACGAGACATTTCCAAGATTGCTTAGGTGATCAATTGAGAATTTTGTGGTTTGCTTCCTAGGTTGCCAATTCCGTTGAAGGATCAAGAAACAAAACCTGTTTCAAAACTGTGCTTTCTACAGGCTGGCCTGCTAGGTTTTAGGTGGAGCCCTTTGATCTAGCTATAGGTCTAGGTCGTGCTAGGTAGCGTAATATGTACTAGATCTAGGGCCCTTAATTAGATCGCACGTGCGTATCGGCGATATGGCGGACCATCTTGTGGGGATCGACTTTAGCGGCCTTCAACCACAGTTCTACTACCTTGGACCCCATTCATATTCTTCCCCTTTCTTGCATGTTAATCCTAGCAATTGAAGCATTTCCATGAATACCTGAATACCCCCAGGCTCAGCCCACGGTTGGAAGCTTGATCCATCAACCTCGATGAAGGGCAGATTGCCTATCAGCAGACTTCGTCAGTGACACACAGCTGCTCGTGGACCTGCCTGGGCATGCATGCTCAAGTATCACATAAACCCATCGCATCGTCATTCCAACCAATCTTGGAAAGTTTATCTACCTGAAGCCTGCACGGCGGTCACGTTTCCAGCTCAAGAATAAGTCAGATATCATTCGTCTATGTGCAGAGCTCGGGCTTCAAACGTCGCAAGATAGCGGCGTTCGCGTACCCTGATATCCCAGCTAGGGACCAAGACATCCTTTCCGATGGTACCACAAATGAGCCATTCTCAATCTGTTCTGTACATGGTACGTATGTCGGCCCTTCTTTTGCGGGGATCGATTCTTTGCTTCTTGTATCAGCCTACTCATCTAGAGATAGCTCACCAGCGGACGCGTTTTGCGCGAAATCAGTAACTCATATCGACAAGTGAAATGAGCAGTCTGTCGCATACCACCATTTAAGTCTATCTTCACAGACCGGAGTCTATGTCGCGGAGTCCGTGTTCGGACAGTCTGTCTGGCCTACCGGGTCTCCCTTTACCGCATCCCAAAGTGTGTATTCTGGCGGCCAGTCAGTTTGCTACTTCCCCAGAAATCGTTTCTTAGACATACCTAAGAATGAGATCATCGCCCTCCAATTGCCCGACAACTATAATGGGCACCTTAATCCATATATCAGTCTGAGGCGATTGCTCACACCAGCTGATCTCGACAGCCTCCGAGAATTGTCTCCAGACACGGTCGGTGTCAACGTACTTATCACAAGCTTCCTGATTATTAAACACAAAGCGCACGTACATGATGCGTACAAGGAGAGTTGGCCTCTTGACCTTGCCGGTCTTCTTATCTTTTTCCATCTCACCCAATACAAGCTCACTACAGGACCTGTGGAGTCCGACAACGTCCTCAAAGAAACCTCGAAACAAAGAATCAATGACTCTGCCGCGTGCATTCATTCATAATATAGTGAATCCAATAGATAGTTCCAACACTATGACATAATGTGCGGGATATGTACATAATTCTATCAAAGTATGGTTTTATCAAAGACGGAAAGATTTCAAAGTCACTTAACTTTTAAATACCCGGAAGTGGAAGGAAATCCCAACAACTTGCGACAAAAGCAACGACCCCGCCCCACGTTCAAGAGTACAACTTCTTCTCATGGGTGTGCAAGCCATGGACATTACCCTCAGTCTGCGCGCTTGCGCTTCTCATTTCAAAACGAACTGTTCCATCGTTCACCCCATTGTGCAGGGCAACAAGGTCCTGCACGCCAATATCCTGGAGAGAATGCTGCACACCAGCAACAAGGTAGGGGACATACTGGGTGATAGAGCCACGATCAATGACGGAGCCCGCAACACCCTGCGCAACCTTGACCTTATCATTTTCAGAAAAGTACCGGGAAGCACCGGCGTTCTTACCAGCGCCAGTCTTGCTCTTGTCCTCCATAACCGCAATACTGCCCATGCCACGGAAAGCCTTGACCAACTGTCCTTCACTGCTCATAAAGTACTCGCCAGGAGACTCGGTGGTGCCAGCAAGCAGGCTTCCCATCATAACTGCTGAGGCACCCAGTGCAAGTCCCTTGACGATATGGCCTAGATTCTGGACACCACCATCGGCAATAGTGGGAACACCGAAGCGCGCGGCGAAGGCAGACACACTGCGCACGGCTGCAGCTTGAGGCCGCCCAGCGGCCATAACTTCCTGCGTGATGCACGCGGAGCCACTGCCCATACCGATACGCAGACCGTCTGCACCAGCAGCGATCAACGCCGCGGCTTGCTCGCGGGTAACAATGTTTCCGCCGATAACGTCAATATCGGGGAAGGTCTGCTTGATGTATTTGATCATAGCAATCTGGAAGATACTGTGGCCCTGGCTGCTATCCACGACGACAATATCCAGGCCGGCATCGACGAGCTTCTGAAGACGGACCTTATCTGCCTCGTGGGTGCTGATGGCCGCCGCGCAGAGCAGCTGCTTGGATGGAAGTTTTGATGCAAGAGGGTAATGAATGTTCTTCATCAAGTCACTCCGGGAGAGCAGGGAGATCAGGCATCCATCCTGATCCACAATTGGCAGCTTTCCCTTCTTCGATCTCCGGAGCACTTCGTTGGCTTCGGCGAGAGTTGTGCCTGCCGGTGCAGTGACGAGGTCTGTCACCATAACAGCCGTGACTGGGTCCTCGTGGTTCTTGTGGAACTGGATGTCTCGGCTGGTGACGATTCCGAGAAGCTTCGAGTGGAGGGTTCCTTTTTCTGTGAACGAAACCAGGTAAGGATCACCAAACGAAACATACAGAAAAAGAGACACCAAGGAGGAATCCAACTAACCAGTCACCGGGAATCCGCCGAATCCCCACTTAGTCTTCAGTTCCTTTGCCTCTCCGACTGTTGTCTCCGGAGACAGAACGATGGGATCCTGGATGAAGCCATTTTCATAGCGTTTCACCTTCCTCACCATCTCAGCCTGCTCGTCTGGCGGGCAGTTATTGTGGATAACACCCAGACCTCCCAGAAGAGCCATATGGATGGCCATGCTGTGTTCGGTCACAGTGTCCATGGGAGAGGACAGCAGAGGGGCCTTGATAGTAAACCGCCGGGTTACTTTGGTTTCCAACGAAACATCCGATGCCGGGAAGGCTGTTGGCACGATTAATGGGAGTCCATGAGATAATGCGCATTGTCTTACTGATAGAACCGGGCAAAATCAGGAAGTCATTGTATGTCAAGGCTCCATGACTATCTGAGTCGAGAAGAGTGTCGACGTGGAGGCCATCTCCAGGATACTCCTTGAGGACTTCCAAAGCCTTGGTATAATCCAGAACTTCGACCATAGTGCTGGATTCAAAAAAAAAATAAAAAGATAGGAAAAAATAAACTAATAGGTAATGGGGATGGGGGGGGATGATTCCCAAAGGAAGTCAGAGGGGCAAGGGGGGACTGGCCTTTTAACATGATTCTGGCAGGAGTAAGTTTAGCGTCAGGCCTTTTTCTTTTCATCTGCGCCCCACAATGGCCGATTTAATGGGTTCTACGTTTTTACAGAGTACGGACACCTCCGTAATGAACCCGTTCTAAGTTCAGCGTGTTTCGTAACAGTTTATGTACTTTTGTTACAGGCTCGAACTGAGGCATACCACCTGGGTAGAGGACTGACCAATCAATATGAAACCAAGGGTATTAATAGACTGTCGGTGTAGAGCTGCACGCGACTCCAAAGAAAGATGTCAAGACAAGCCTTGACGGTCTCAGCACTACTCCGTAATGGGTACGGACTTCTACCTGTACTTGACGATTTGCCCAACGCTAGAAGAACGCCGCATATTGACCTGGGCTGAGCTTCATCGCCAAAGGTCCATCGGTGTCTCCGGTCCAGGAATGACATGGAGAATCAAGACATTCCGAGACTTTGTGGTCCATGGGGGTCCGCACCTCTCGAGGGAGCGGCTGCCCGCGCACGGGCTGCCGCATGCCGGCCCCACAGAACCGAAAATTTCGATGCGCTAACCTCCCATGGGAGTCTAGATTTACCGCTTCGGGCTTCTTATGTCTTATATTATCTCCGTGGAGTCTGATTCTGATTTGCTTTGTATCTAACCTACACGGATTGGTGGAATTGATGACGTTTAGGCAAGCTCTGCTTCGATCAAACTCTCCGCCACGCCCGGATACGAAGATATGTTGGCCGACTTTAATCCTGCCAGGAGATATATCTTCATTTAACTTCTGCCCTTTCCCTCACTGCCAAGCGGGGCAACGTAATCATATCCATATTAGTTGCCGCTAGAATTGGCTTCTCCTCGCCGACGACAATCTCATTCAAAAGAGCTCAAGAGTATCTCTTCACTGAAGTGACGTAGGCACAAGGCTTGCTATAATCTTAACTGCATCTTCATCCCGAAGCCATAGGTAACAGAGTGCATGTAGTATGGCCGAGGGTATTTGACTGGCTGCGGCGTCCATATTTTATGAGCTGTGGCTTCGAATTGGCGGGATTTATCGGCCGGCTAGCAATGGGTTGCTCTCGATCTTGGAACACGAGTCTTCCTAGAAGAGGACTGAACTCAGAGGCAAATCTCTCGAGCTCGTGCTCTCTACCACCGCCCACATTAAGCAGCAGAACATCGACGACAGGGGCATCAGACCCGGAAAAAAGACGCTCTTCCTATCTTGGACGGGAATATGGTCCCTCGACGTACAGTTCACGCTAGTTAGAACCTGGGGGCTGTCCATGCATGTCTTGGGTCTACATCACTGCTTCTGCCATGATGTCTATCACTTTCCAAGTTTCTGCGTTTTTAACAGTACGACTGGGGTTGGAATTACCAGTGGTTTCGCAACATTGTACTCTGTCTTCTTTTAGCATGCGTGTATATACTTTCCACCAGAGTGGGTCAAGTGGGCCATATATGCTGGTGGACGGAGTACTCCGTCCATGTACGTAAGTCTTTATTGGGCCGGTGCCAGGCGGGTGACTGTGCTGGGTCGCCCGCCCCAATCCTGTTCCAGGAAAAGTCTATCGAATTTGGGTTGGAACTTGTAAAGTAACAATGCATCTCTTATATACGGAGTACAATTCAAAGATACCATAGTATTATTTTCATATTACATGCAGTAAGAAATGTTTTTTTTTACAAAGAAAACGTAGGAAAGTACGGAGTAGATCTTTGATATCTCAGCGTATGTCGGGTAACCTTCCCTGCTTTGGTACTACGGGTTACCACATCCTAATACAAACTCACCGCCAATAAAAGTATTCAACTAGACCCATTTCGTACAACTGAGAGAGCTCTTCAGAGTACAGGATCTTGAGTCGTAGACTACCAATGCATTGGCCCGGATGAGACCGAAATAACGGGTGATTTAGCTCTACTTTTATTTACACCTCTACCAATGGAGGTTCCCGTTCCTCTCCTAGGTCGAAACGCTGCTTCTGCCAGAGATTATAGTACCTCTCGCGTTTTTTCAATAACTCCTGATGGCCTCCCCTCTCCACAATAGCACCATCATGCATGACTAAGATCTGGTCCGCCAAAACAATGGTCGAGAGTCGGTGAGCGATAATGAAAGTGGTTCTCTTCCTACTCAGTCGCTTCAATGCGCCCTGAATCTCAGATTCAGTTTCCGTATCGACGGCACTTGTCGCCTCATCCAGGATGAGGATCGGCGGATCTTTCAAAAATACTCGTGCGATTGCTAGGCGCTGGACCTCCCCACCCGACAATTTAACACCTTGCTCGCCGACCTTGGTATGGTAGCCTCGGGGGAACGACAAAATCCTGTCGTGGATCGATGCGGCTCTGCATGCATCGTATATGTCTTCGTCTGAGGCAGAGAGCTTTGCGTATCGGAGATTCTCAATGACTGAGGCATTGAAGAGCAGAGGATCTTGTGGGACTACACCGAGAGCATCTCGCAGAGACCCTTGCGTTATATCGCGGATGTCGTGGCCGTCAACCTTGATGCTTCCTGTGCTAACATCATAATATCGGAGTAGCAGCTTCGTGATAGACGTCTTCCCTGCCCCAGTAGCGCCGACTAGGGCAATCGTCTCTCCTGGAGCAGCAGAGATGTTAATATCCTGGATGGTATTTTTTCTATCGTCGTACGAGAAACCGACGTGCTCAAATGTGACACGCCCTTCGACTAAGCCAAGATCTAGAGCGCCCTCATTATCAGTGACGGTAGGCTTTATCATGAACAGATCAAGAAGGCGCTCCGCATCGGTAAGCTCAGAGACGAGCCATCGGTAATCCTTCGATAGATACTTGATCGGCCAGATTAGATAGTCCCAATACTGCATGAGAAAGACAAAGTCTCCCGGAGTGGCACGTCCTTCGTGAACTTCACGGGCGACAAGGTATGCAAGCACAGCGAATGTACCAGGGAAGAATGCCTCAGTCAGCCCGGTCGTATACGTATCTTTTCGGGACCAATGCTTCTTTGCAAGCAGATGCTTGTCAACAGCCTGTCCGAAGCGAAACCGTTCATACGAGAACATGTTGAAGATAGACACCGTCTGCCACGCCTGAATGGCCTGGTGCATCACCCGTGCCTCTGCGCGTTCCGCCTTGGTTTGCCGACGGCGATTTTCCACGTTCCAGCTAGATGTTACAACTTCCAAAGCCGTGAATGTTAACGTGGCCACCAGCATACACAGCGCAGTCGATGAGTTGAACTTGTTGTACAGAAACAGAAATGCAACAAGCATATCTATAACGGCAGGGGCGATTTCTGAAATCGCGACCTCCAAGACATTGGTGAGCGATTCACCCTGCTCAACAGCCTTCATCACCTCGGCCGAGTCTCTGTCAGAATGAAAATCCATTGCCAGACTCATGACGTGGTTGAAGGCGGCATTCGTAAGCTGCCGGTACGAGAATTGCTCGATTGGGATTTTGGACAGGGATGTAATCATTTCTAGGCCCGATTGGCCGTGGAGAAGACTTAGGGCTAAGTAGATTCCCAGCTCTGAACCGGGCAACTCTCTTGCGAAGAGCTTGTCCGCAATAATGCCAAGCTGGCGAGGGACCAAAATGTTCAAAACACGATCGGCAATTAGGCACAGGATACAGGACAGGAGACAGGCTTGGACTTTGAAGTCCCTTCTTGGAATAAGGAACGGCAAAAAGACCTCGAAACTGTGGATGTAACTCATCCAACTGCCAGTCTTGCGAAGATGGCCGGTCTGAGAGTCGTCTGACTCATCACCGTCATCATCAGAATCTTCCGAATCCCGATCTTCTTGACTGGAGGATGATTCGAGGATGCTAGTGGATTGGCATGTCAGGGGTGCGGTGCCGTATGAATCCTGGTTGTGGTCAAGACAGGGGCTTGTCTCCCCCTCTTCCTCCGGCATGAGTTTCTTTCTGTATGAAATGGAGATGATCAGGCAGTATATCAGAGCCCCGCCAACAAGAAGTAATCGAATAGACTGTATGACAAGAAGCGATTTATGACGAGCGCTCGGTTCTGGATCAATTGCATCGAGAACCAATCCCGGGATGCCAAAGAGGAGCGAAATAGAGGAGAGACCAAAAAACTCTGGGACAAGAACATCCTTGCGAAGGCAGGTTGTAGCCCATGCCAAGGCGAACGTGGTAGCCGCGAATATTTGATCTGGAGTTTGATCAAGACTATAGCGCTGTCGAGAAAGGATGATCACTTCAGAGATATGGGATCCCGATATGCACAAAACTAATATAACTGGGAGAGCAGTCTTCCGTAGAGATGTAGTCTTGGAGGGCTTGTCGCGTGTTTTGCCATTGTAGTTGATGAGAAAAGATCCAAAGACAAATAGTAGGGTGACTGCTGTGGCCGCTGCATACAGCATTTGGGCGGTCATTGGGAGTGCTGTCGTCTTGAAATTGAGCACTGATCTGTCTCCTAGTACAGTCCAAGGAAGCCTTCAAATATGAAGAAAAAGAGTTGTGAGTCACATCAAACCCGTATAATGGAGGTCGCGAACGTCTCAGCATTGCTCATATCATCGAGTCCACTTGCTTCTCCTAGTCGGCTGAATATCACTTCTGCCTAGCCAAGCTAGTGTTCGTTCCTGATGAGAACCTTCGCGCGTGCTGTTGATCCCATTCTGAAATCGATCCTAGACCCGCTAATTTACCCTTCAGAAACTCACACTTTATTTCTCGCCCTGTACCCGACATAATCTGAGCCCCTTTCGGCAAAATGGTAAGACATTGTCCCCTCGAATATATATCAGTTTTATTCAGGAGATGGTTGGATCTGAGCGAGGGTTGTCTTGGGTGCGAGCGGATAAATAAAGTGTGAGTCATAATGAGCCATACCTACTGTACTTAGGTACCTAGGTAGGTGTGCCACTCATTCATAACTCTCTCATTGGATCATATTGCCAGGCAGTACAACATATTTTGGTCATCTCAAGGTCAAATTCCTGATTCCACAGGGTTGATGCCCAAATATACCTGCAATTTGCCTTATCATAGACTTAAATCAGAATACCTCTGGATTTCTGTTAAAAACAAAGGGGACCTTGTTGGTAATGGGGCCCTGCCTGAGAAAGGTTTTTTGGTTATAATGTCATATATAGGTAGAGTAGGTCCTTCTTTAGAATTTTTATCATGTCTCAGGGTCTTAACAGAAATTTCATTTATTGCGCACTATGCTGAAGGCTTGAATTTCCAAGGTACTTTACTTTAATAAGGTTTAAGGGCGATCTCGCGCCAACACATAAATCTCTTTTGGTTAATATTGCCAGGCAGTATCCAGATTCGCTCTCACTTTACAAGAGCTAATTATGTAGTTGCGTATCATATTGGAGCATGAATCGAATTCAAAATTCAAGTCCATCAAATTGGAGTATATAAAATTAAAGCCTAATACCCATAAATTCAAGTTCATAAAATTGAAGTGAGTCAAATTCTACAATAGCACCACTAAGCATCGATCTTAAATCTGATAAGGATAAGAATGGATCATCTTTTCCCAGCAGGTATATCTCTTAGTTATATATATTAATACAGTATATATCATATTTCAATTTATACTTCAATTTTGTACGCTATTTCTGCAGAAATGAAAGAGACTGGAATAAGTGTCCACGGGTAATCGTCTTTCCACCCTTTCAGGATGGGAAGACGATTAGAAGGCGGTAAGAAAATATGCAGTATCCAACGAGAGGGTTATGCATCGCTCCCAATAATCGACCGTGAGGGTCGCTGTTAGAGTAATTCGGGGATTGAAATTTCCTGCCAGTTTGATATCAGGCATCTTCAGAGATGTTTAGGTACTGACCCTGAAAAATGATGCATCTAGGCTTTGGCCCGCCATGCCCCTTCGCACTGTTGTTACTATTTCAAAGGAGTATTTTAGTGTTTCGACTTGATCCAATCTTGACCTCTGCGCGATCTCGAAGGCCTGATGATGCTCATTTATCGCCATTTTGGGTGCCAATGCGCGTTCCTAAACGAAGCAGTCTCTCGATTGTAACAGGCATTACTCGTCGTAGTTGCACCAGGTGAGCTGCCCTGTTGTGTGGTGACTGAACATGTCAAAGATCCACACGTAATGCTGTCTCGTGTTACTGTGATTGAAAAATTGTATCAGCCAAAGCACACTCTCTAGGAGTGTGTAGAAAGCCTCTTGCTGGGGGCGTAAATCTTTAGGAGAGAGCCTGCATTGCTCATCATATCATTTTTCAAAAACGGTCAGACATGGACCGGTGACACCTTTTCTGACATCGGTATCCCTGCAGCGAGGTTCTCGATAATCAATCATTGGCATGATCCTAATCTCAAGCTGTATTTGTTTCGAAAAAGTGAGCGAACGTTTCTTCCTCAGGAGGTTAGACTTAATGGGCTAGCAGGAACGCATCGGATATCCTCCTGCGATATCATCTACTATCAATATCAGCTGGAACAGGTAGCCTGTGTGCTGATCGGCTGAAATACTCTGAACTAATTTTCTCAAGATGGACATTGATATGGATGTGAAGGACATACAATGAGCACTGAAGTGCCTTGAAACGGGGGTGGAGCGGCTTGGCTACACTCGAAGAGTGAAGGATAGGATCATCCGAAGGCTAGCATTATATAGGGAAGAATATCATGACGTTGCGGGGACTATGACAGCATGAAGTTGTGGGATCCTCAATAATAATGGATACTATACAGTTTATGTATATTAATGTGGAGACAACAAGGAAATGATTCCACATGCCTGCCCATTGTATCCACCATTGAAATGAGGATGCTCGTGATTTCATAGCCATGGTGATTCCAAATTCAAGAGACCGATATGGTTCTATTCTTTGTAAAGCTAGTGGCCAGTGCACTGAAGTCAAGGCTAAACCACATTGAGTTTGAATTTTACCCTTGTAAAAGTCTGTGCTTGATCAAGAATCTTAGCGTATGGCTTACATCGTATGTTGAGATGAGATGAAACTAGTCAAGTCAAATGGGAATCGCCATGGAAGATAAGCTGTTAAAATGACCTATGCTGATGAATAATTCGGAGCCACTTCGGAAAAAGCTGGGAACCACTTCACCTGAACACGAAGGGCGTTCCTCCAGGGCTGGGTTCCATGCTGACAAAGCTGTCAAGGTCCGCCAATCAGCGCTTGCAGACCCCGATCTCGGTGCCCGCTTCGGTGTCTGTTTTGTGTGGAAGCCGCGTTTGTCGCTTTTATTGAAAGTACTACGCCGTACTGAGGGAAAAAATGAGGCATTGGAGGATTTGGATAGGATAATGCGTGACTCGTGCGGTATACATTCCCAATCCCAAGCATATGCAATAAAATATATTAGGAAAATATACAGAGGATCACCGTGGAGTTGCCTAATTCAAAAATGGAAACGTGGAACCGAGCATTTAAACTCGGTGGGCTCCGATTCTCGGCCTACGATCAATTTGATTTCCATGTTGTATAGATATTTCGAGATTGACATGGAGCTTGGGAAGGAACAAGTGAGTAGGGTAAATTGGAAGAGTAAATAGTATAGTACACCACGTTGTATATTATAGAATGGATTCAGAGACAGAACCAGTGTGTGACCGGATCGGGAGGCAAATGAAGGCAAATCGGGAGATTAATCATCACCCACCCCTCCGACCCCCCGGGCTTCCCCCCACTGAACGTTCAAAGAAAAAACCCACTTGTGGCCCCCCAACTTCTGTCTCCTTCTCTCCGGCTTCGATCGTACAACATCGCCAAATTCACGATTCAAACGAATCGAACTACTGTCACCTTGCAACAGGTGCTTCGCCATCCATCGCACTCGCGAAGAATTCGCACCGAGCCGCTTTCGGTATCTGAGTCACGTCTCTCCGGCTGCGCAACGCGCATTTCCACACAGTTCGGCATCGAGCGGCTTCTTTAAAACGGGAAAGATATCATCATGGCCAACTACAACGGGCGTCGCATGCCCAACTTCTCGCAATACCTCGATGACTTGAATGCAATTCCCTCGCCCTACGACCAGGCCCAGCAGCAGCAGCAGCAGCAGCAAACTACCTTCAACGATGAGGACCTAGCTCTATTCACCAATACAGAGTTCTTCGAGTTCGACAAGTTCACCGACTTCGGGGTTTTGCCTTCATTCCCCGAGGACAGCAAGACACACGAGGCCATCTCAGACCAATCTGTGCAAAATGACGATCTGAAGTTCTTGGATTTCCTGAATGGTAAGTCTGGCTGATTCCGATTTCTGTCTTTCGCATCGTTGGGTAGTCCCGACTCCTGAGCTGCATGAATTTCCTTTGATCACACCATATCCCGTGGACTTGTTCACAATCATGTCTTATGAGACCAATGCCTACATTTTACATGTTTCATTGGTTGCCTTGTGAATTCGTCATTCGTGTCTATTGCACGAGCCATGTCTTGGCTAGCAATTTTGGCGCTTCATGCGCTTCATACCCTGAATATCATCCCCTGTCCTTTCACAGCTATGACCTCCCTTGAAAAGTTTGATCCCTGCATGTCATCCTTCCCGTGGCCCTAGCAGGGTTTTTCCTACTCAAAATTGACTTTGGTCGTTGGCGTGAATCCTCTCCGCTATTACGCCATTTCACGTGATCAGCACCCCATCTTGGACTTGCGGACTCCCAACTACTGGATACAGAAACCCACGATGTGGATAATGTGTCGAAATTGAATGCTAATGGCTCTACAGCAGAGGGATTCAATAGCATACCCGATTACCAGCCTGACCTGACTGGCTCTGATGTCCAGGTGCCCATGCACACTGCCCACTTTGCGGCGGTTCCGTCCGTTCCTAATGGCCCTATGACTGCAAACCAGGCACTCATTCAACCCGCGCCAATCAACACCGCCCCGAAAGTTGCCCGGGCTCCATCTTCTGTTTCTATGTCGCCTTCTACTCCGGTCACCGGCACCAAGCGCAAAAGCTCGTCAAACTCAACCCAGGACAGCGCTGAGGAGGCTAGTCGTCAAATGGCCGAGGAAGACAAGCGCCGCCGTAACACCGCTGCCAGTGCCCGCTTCCGTGTGAAGAAGAAGCAGCGTGAGGCTGCCCTCGAGCAGACTGTCAAGGAGACCACCGACAAAAATGAGATTCTTGAGGCTCGCGTGTCTCAGCTCGAGCTGGAAAACCACTGGCTCCGTGGTCTCATCATGGAGAAGAACGGTGCCGATGAGCAGTCTGAACAAGACATCTCGGATATGTTCAAGAAGTTCTTGGCCTCACAGAAGCCTGACGGTTCAAGTATTTCCGACCTGAAGCACGGTGTGGGCACTACTGTGTAACGCATTGTCCTTTGCTAAAAGAAAAAGAAAAAAAAAACGGCAAAATTATCAAAAAAAGAAACCCCAGTCTTCTTTGATTGCCCTGCTACTCTACTCTGCTGCTTCAGGCGGTGACTGTCCTGGGCTTTTCCCTGTTAGTCCCATCACTACCTTTGATTTCTTGTTCATAGTGTTCATTTCCAGCGATGTTATTTTCTTTGTTTCTAGCAGCCAGAGCTACTGCAGATTTTATCTTCTGCAGGTCGAGGGGGTTGGTGGGTGGATGAGTGATGACCTCTTTCACGCAGTTTTAGGTATTTTAGAGTTATTCATACGTTTCAGCCCAGCTTTTATATCTGCCAAACTTGCGTAGACTATCAATCAGAACAAACGCCCAGAGAGCCCCCTTGCACCCGCATAATTTAGTGTACACGGGGTATACGTTCCACAGAGTAGGTACTCCGTAGACCGACCGAGCTTGGCATTAACAGCTGACTGATCCACCCAGGAAGCTCCCGAGGTCCCGAGGTCCACATCCTGAAGTTGCAGAATTTGACGAAAGAGGAAAGATTATATCTACACCTATCCCTCGCAAAACCATCAAGAAATGCTAGATTTTCTAAAACGCGCCTTGTGGAAACCACGCGCAAAGGTCTACGGTCTAGACCATGCCGTCCTCAACATCCAGCTCTCACAGCAGAGTATGTGGATGAATATGGGGTACTGGGAGGTAATTCCACCCAAACAAAGACCATCTAGACAATTGTCTTGCAAAATGAATTTGTCGAAGGATCCCACGTTGACCACCTCTTAGAACACAAATGACTTCCCAGAAGCCTGTCAAGCACTCCTAGATCAGGTTCTCACGGCTGCGCTATCAACAGAGAAGGCATCTGCTCTGAGAATCCTGGATGTCGGATGTGGGTGTGGTGATCAGTCATTGTATCTGACAAAGAATTTTCATGGCTCTTCTTATACATCCCGGTCCGGCCCTGAATCTAGGACTGAGACAAGTACGGCCATCCCTGGCTCTGTCTCTAGTACTCAATCAGATACCCAACCATCGGAGTTAGGCCTACGGTCTCGCCATAGTCAGGCCAAGCTACAATCCCCGTATTCGCTACCCCTAGACACCTATATTGGAATCACGCTGGAGCCAGCGCAGGCTGCGCTCGGCTCACGCCGCATTCAAGATATGCAGAGAGAGAGCGAGGACTGTATCAAGGCAGATATCTTCTGCGCAGACGCTGCGGTCCCGAGCTCTTGGTCCGGGAAGTTGAAGCAATCAATCACAACTCTTGCAGATGCGTCAACCAAACAAAATGAAAATGACCACACATCTACCTGGCTCCTGGCCTTGGACACAATGTATCATTTCCGCCCTTCACGCCTACCTCTCTTGGCCTATGCACACGATTCCCTCAATGCTTCGTTCATGGCCTTCGACTTAATACTATCTAATAGCGTAACATGGTACGAAAAGATCCTCCTGCGCCTCGTGTGCTGGGGGACTAACTCGCCGTTTGGGAACTTCGTTTCCGAGAAGGAATACGTGGAACTGCTTGTTGCAGCTGGGTACAATCCTGCGCTCATTGAGATCCGAGATGTCTCACAACACGTTTTTGGGGGCTTGGCGGGCTTCATTAAGCGCAGGGTTGAGGAGGCCAGGCCGTTTGGGATTAAAATGGGGAAGTATCGCGCAGCGAGGTTTGCTTTTCAGTGGTGGGCCAGGAGGGAGGTTGTTAGGGGAATTGTGGTGGTCGCGAGAAAGGAGTGAGGGTTTGGATGTCCCAGCAGTTCGTCTTGTGTGGTGTTAGTATGATCCTATCCTGCTAAATAGCTGAGAGTAAATCAGCTCTTCACTCATAAGGCGGGACTTTCAGCGAGCGAGACCCGATAGAGTGTCATTTCGTCGAACAGTAGTCCCACAGTCTGCTTTGAATCCTCTCATCCATACAACCTCACTTTGATTACATGTCGTTGAAGATCTCGGTAGATATAAGCCCGCAGGTTGGGTGCGAATGTCCAAATGATACGCCAATCTCCAAAGTAAACGACTTGGCAGCAGGGGCTTGGGGGACAAAACCAAACCGTCGCCAAAGTGGATCATTATTTAATTCAGTACAATTTGGCAGAAATGGGGCTACTGCTTGCGAGGATATGTATATACACATAGCTGTGTTGGACAGAAAAAAACGGAATAAACATCTTCTACGGAAAACCTCCTTGACAATATTGAAGCTCACTGGTTTCAATATCTTTAGACAACACAAATATAAAGTCCTCTTTTGAAGATGCCGACCCGAGTCTGGTCTCTGATTGTTCGCTCGGCGCTCTGGCACGCTCCACAGATTTCTTGCGCACGTCGAACAATTTTGTTGGCACCTCAACCGGCGCACGCCAGACCAGAGTCAAAAATGTTCATCAGCCACTGCCGGTCATCCGAAAGTATATCTATGTGACGCTTTTCAGGTGTGGTCTTTGTGTTTACATGGATGTAGACTAACTTGTTTCGCGATTGGACATGACGGACAATCAACTTTTTCATATTCCTCTGGGCGGTTCCAATACGATGAAGCAGCTCGTATTGGGGACCGAGTTATCGCCTTCGATATTGCAGCTATGAATGATGCGGTTACAGGCTATATTGACCATGGGGAGGTTACCGAACTTTCCAAGATGATCGGAGGCATTCAATCGTGTACTCACAGCTACCATGGAGGACGAACTCAAAGCCGTTGTCCAAATTCCATATAGGCGCATAGTGTCAAAGACATACACCACTGCTAATGAAGCCGCTGCTCTCACCTGTCTCCACTCAAAAGAAATCCCACGGCCAAAGGTTAACCTCTGCTGTTCAACGACGGACAATCCAGTCGGAATATATTGCCATGGAATGTGCATCAGGCACCCTAAGGCTTTTTGTAGCGCGCTGATGTATCGAAATGATAGCGGGTATGAAGTTCCTAGAAGAGATAAGTCCCCATAATCTCCTATGCGGTTCAACATATATATATATATATATATATAAAACGAAGGGTGGTGGGAAAGAGCGCGATTGCCAGTTTCTAATGTGATGAGCTCCAGACTTCACGTGGATCATGACTTGTACGACTGTGCTGTTGACAGAAATAGGTCTTTAGGTATGGACCTTATGGAAGGTTGTACAGAAGATGAGCTCAAAATTATGAGCTAGGAAGGATGGTCTTTCCAGAATAAGAAGGCTAAGAAATTTTCATTGCTCTATATTTTATATATGCGGAGTACGGAGTACTCCGTTGGGAGTATATAGTGGGCTTGTGTGTGGGCCATAGATGCCCAATCTCCACTCACCTGAAGGGTATATGGTGCGATGGACACCAAATGAATAAATTTTCTTGACTCCATACTCCCTACACTATACTGACTAAAAAATCTCTGCTCGATCAGCCGCCGAATTGTATATATTCCATATGTTGTATATTGTGCTTAATATAGCAGCACATGCAAGCCTCGTGGCGGCCTGGATTCATCATGACGTAACCAGGCGGTACCCCCGAGGTCTGCTACCAATAGCTTCATGAATTTTCGCCTGAGTTCCTGAGAAAAAAAGGAACGCTATGAAGCGACTTATCATTCATATAGCATCTTCAATACAAATCATAAGCTATTTCGATATATATCCTCGTTGTTAGCAACATTGAAGTTCTAAGGCTTCCGTTTTACCCGATAAGTTCGGCAGTTATACCAAGTTGAAGCCGCTAAATGGTGGGTCTAGACGATCATAGTTGCTTTCGGCGTTCCTTTTTTTTTAGGAAAAGTTTTAGTAAACAAATTGCCTGCGCTTAGATGGCAAAAAAAAAAAAGACTTTTCCCCTACATATTTAAGGCACCCTGTACCTTTCCGATCTCTTTGACAGTTCCAACGGGGAAAAAAAGAGACTGCAGCCAAGAGAGATCTGCGAGATCGGCTTATCATCCCCGAATAAAGCGGTCGCACTTGGCAATATGGCCGATCAACTGCCTGAGGCTGAAGGTTCGCATTTATCGAGCGAGAAGCCACGAGACTCGGCTGGCATAGAGAGACCTTTTACGCCAGACTCTTTCGGATCGTCGACTGGCTCGACCAGCTCCTTTGAATATGATCCGCAGATACATAGGCTACAATCGCGAAACACAGAGTTGGACCTGGAACGTCATCGGACTGGGGCATCGCGCGCATTGAGCAGAACCGAGACGCAACGTGCCCAGCATGCGCTCACTGTTGGTGAGAGTATTCGGTCACGACCGTCGCGGACTCCATTGCCAGCTTTTGGTGGGGGCAAGCCCTACCCTCCACTTCTCCCTGCACGGGAAGATTACGTTGTGGAGTTCGACGGGCCAGATGACCCGTTGTACCCGCTGAATTGGCCTGTGAAAAAGAAGTGAGTCGTAATACTATAAACCTCCATATCATACTGCTCATTTCATATATTGCTTCCATGCTCTAGTACTAACATCCCCAATCTAGAGTCTACATTAGTGTCATCCTGGCCTTCACCAGTATTTGCTCCACCTTTGATTCCGCCGTATTCAGTGCTTCATCTAGCAATGTGTCGAGTCATTTCAGCGTCGGGCTCGAAGTTGCCATCCTCTCCAGCTCTCTATACATCATCGGCTACGCCTCAGGTCCCTTGATATGGGCTCCCCTATCCGAACTCCAGGGCCGTCGTATTCCCATTATCATCGCCATGTTCGGATTTGGCGTCTTCAACATCGCAGTGGCAGTCGCAAAAGACTTACAAACACTCATGATTTCTCGATTCTTCTGTGGTATTTTCGGTAGTTGTCCATTGGCAGTCGTAGCTGCTGTTTTCTCTGATATCTGGGACAACCGCACCCGTGGTGTTGCTATTGCCATGTTCGCCTCGACCGTGTTCCTGGGCCCTCTCCTGGCGCCTTTCATCGGAGGCTTCATTAATATGTCCTATCTCGGCTGGCGCTGGACCGCGTATATCCCCGCATTTATGGGCTTCGCCGCTTTCCTTTTGAATCTTTTCTTCCTGAAGGAGTCATATCCACCTGTTGTCCTTGTATCCAAGGCCGCGGAGCTGCGTCGCCGGACTAAGAACTGGGGAATCCATGCGAAGCAAGAGGAAATCGAGGTTGATCTTCGAGAACTGATCATCAACAACTTCTCTCGCCCGCTTCGCCTACTGGTTAATGAGCCGTTGATCCTAGCTGTCACTATCTACTTAAGTTTCATCTATGGGTTGCTCTATTGCTTCTTGACCGCTTATACCCTGGTTTTTCAGGGTGTCTACGGTATGAATGCTGGTGTTGGAGGTCTTCCACTTTTCGGCATGGTGGTGGGTCTTTTCATCGCCACGTCCTACATTCTCATCTCTAGCAAGGCTTACAACAAGAAACTCGATATGAACGGTGGAGTCCCCATCCCCGAGTGGCGTCTCCCACCGGTGATGGTCGGCGGTGGTCTCTTCGCTGCTGGACTCTTCTGGTTTGGATGGACAGGCTTCAGTGGCACCGTCCACTGGATCGTGCCCACCTTGAGTGGCCTATTTACTGGGTTTGGCCTCCTGGTTATTTTCATCCAATTGTTCAATTATCTGATTGACACATATCTTATGTTGTATGTTGCCATCCCTATTCCTCAAACTTTTTAAAGGCTTCTCTAACGTACTTTCTACAGTGCTGCATCAGCCATCGCAGCAAACACATTCTGCCGCTCAATGGTAGCAGCCAGCTTCCCACTTTTCTCACGCCAAATGTTCAATGGCATGGGTATACAATGGGCCTCTACGCTTCTCGGATGCGTTGCAGCCATCCTTGTCCCGATTCCCATTGGATTCTACTTCTTCGGTAGAAAATTGAGGATGAAGAGCAAGTTCGCGCCATTCTATGAAGCTGTCCAGGAAGGACATGCAGCAGAGGATGCCGAAGTGCAGGCGGAGGAGACTGTGCACCAGCAGTGAACTAATAATGGCCTTAGTGCTTGTACATGATCATATTCCCGTTGGGAAAACGTAATTATAAAAAGTGTATATTTTAGCGGCTATATCTCTATATCTCTCAATGAAACAACTCTAATACGAATCTCTCCAATTATAAGCATAGTATAAGCTAGAAGAGGAAAGCTGCTCTGTACATGTCTTATTTCAATTTGTGTAGCATAAGTGACGAATACCATTTTTTGCATGAAGTCACGGATTTCTTCCTGCCAAACATACCATGGCTAATGCACCTCATCCCCCCTACTTTCTCCATTCCATGTCTGTCTGGTCCATTTTGACCGCAGGTCGTTACGCAGCATTCAAAATTCAGCTGGTATTCAAACGAAGTTAACATGACTTCAAATTGAAGGTCTCCCGTTCATTAGAGGCAGGTGCTCTTGATATTACAGATCAATGGCACTTCAAGGTTATACTTACGATAACCCACATTGGGTTTTGAGTGAACAATAAGCTCCAAGATTTTGATATCACTACTGGCTTCAAAGATAGTTCTTCATTCAGCGAGATTGACTCGGACTATCTAGTGGGTAGCAGGTAGCACGGAACTTTGAGCGAGAGGTTCGGTCTTCAACTCATGTTATACGACGCTATCCCCTGCAACCGTGATATGTGACGGGCATAAAGTTCTAATCTGATTCCAGAAGCATTTTGACCTAAACATATCCGTCGAGGACGCATGCAAAATATATATATATAAAACTATATATCGTCAACAATGAGATAATCCATTCAAACCAACACTGACCTATTTCCCCGAACCAATTATGTATACTATGATACTATGACAGCATGTATATTGAGGTTTGCGAGGCATAAAGATAGAGGACTCAAGTCATGACCGTGGTGCTGAACAGAGTAACACACGCAGCAAAAGACGCCCCGATTGTAGCGTTTAGTCCCTCACACACCACTTTAACCGGACCATGATGCATCATCGCTTTTAAGGTACACGATATAAAGCCTATTATTTTCGTATCCTCTGTCTCATCTATAAAGTCCTATCACTCGATGTCGCCCTCTATACAGATGCTTGTCTTTCTTCTTTGGGGTCAGTACTCTGCTTTCTGCGGGTGGCACATATACCGGGTTCTAAGATTAGACCAGCGGTTCTCAGCCCTCTCTATGATTGCGTCAAGGCCAATCCCGTGAACGCACCTAATGTCACCTCTCTTCATATACACAATCCACAGCAAAATGTTACCTATTGTGTCCCTTGGATTCCAAATGTGAGTTTGATGCATGAAGGTTAGCCATAGGTAAATACGAACAGCACTTGTTGATAAAATTTTTACCGAACATATATAGTGCGCACAGGGACTACAATGCTGTTTCTTCTTGTGTACAGACACATCATCGAACACGGGAAGCTGTGGAGCTTGTGGAGCCATAGTAAGTCCTGATTATATTACATTATCCTGCAGATAGAGCATTTCTCATACATCTTATGGACTATAGTGTGTCGTCGGGTCACCACCAGCCTGCTGCGATGGAGTGTGTACGGATTTAAGCTCAAATGTTGATACTTGTGGAGAGTGTGATGCACCACCAGTAAGTATAAAATCAAATTTTTAGCAGACCGGATCGTTAGTTTATGTACGCCTTATATTCAACTAGTGCACTGGAACCCAACCCGCCTGCTGTGCTGGTGTATGCAAAGATCTCAATAACAATCCCGGCAACTGTGGTGCATGTAATAGAACGGTGAGTCAAGTCTTGTTCTGACTGGAGCATATTGCTAGCACAACGTACGTCTATCTGCTGAGACGCGCATTACCCAATAGTGTACTGGCCAAACACCAGCCTGCTGCTCAGGCTCTTGTTCAGATCTCGCCATTGATCCCTGGCACTGTGGTTCCTGCAATGCGTTCCCCTGTCTTGGATTGCAGGCTGGCTGTTGTGCAGGCAAATGTACTGATTTTGCGACCTCGACTACTAATTGCGGCTCCTGTGGCAATACGGTAAGCCAAAGGCTTCTTTATTCGTTGCTCTACTCATTAACTCACCTAACAAACGCCCCTTTTAGTGTAGCGGAGCTATGCCAGCTTGCTGCTCTGGGACTTGTAGGGACCTGAGTATCGACCCTCTACACTGCGGCTCTTGCACCGCCCTCCCTTGTGGTGGCCTCAATGCTGCCTGTTGCTCAGGGAAGTGCACTGATGTTTTCTCAAATATCAATAGTTGTGGAGCTTGCAATCATACTGTGAGTTGACTATTGCCTTGTCTACATAGCATGGTATCGCACCCCGCACGATGGCAACTTTGCTGACATGATATCATTAAATAGTGCACTGGTGCAAGCCCTGCGTGCTGTGGTGGATCTTGCGCAGATCTAACTTCCGATCCAAATCACTGCGGATCCTGTTCAGCTTTACCATGCGTCGGACTCCGACCAGGCTGCTGTTCCGGCAAATGCACTGACTTAGCTACTAATCCACTTCACTGCGGCACATGTGATACAATAGTAGGACTTCCTTCTTCTCGTCTTAAGCTACCCAGGCAGCAATTAGATGACTATACTAACAATGCCAAAGTGCCCAGCAAACCAACCAACCTGCTGCTCCGGAACATGCACCAACCTCCTCACAGACCCCAACCATTGTGGCGGATGCTCGGTCCAATGCCCTGGCACCGCTCCAACCTGCTGTGACGGGGTATGTACAGATACTAGCACGGATCTCGCGCACTGTGGAGGTTGCACGGCGGCCCCTTGCGTGGGCCCCAAATCAGCGTGTTGCTCTGGTGTCTGTACAGATCTGGCGACCGATATTGACCACTGTGGATCTTGCTCGGCGAGTTCTTGTACTGGTGTTGACCCAGCTTGCTGCTCGGGGGCATGTGTAGATCTGAATTCTGATGCCAGGCACTGTAATTCTTGTTTGGCTTTGCCGTGTGGTGGGACACTGCCTGGCTGTTGCTTTGGGCAGTGTACAGACTTATCTACTAGTCTGCAGCAATGTGGATCTTGCACTGCTGCGCCGTGTACTGGCGCATTGCCAGCTTGCTGCGGTGGGACGTGTGTTGATCTGACGGCTGATGTCAACCATTGCGGATTGTGCACTACAGCTGTGCGTGGTTTTCCCCTGCGTATCGAATCCTTCCTATTCCAGGCATTAGGTGGACATACTGAATGATGTTTCTTTCACAGTGCGATTTTGGACCGGGAGGGGGAGGCTGCGTTGATGGTACTTGCATCAATTGCCCTACGAGCCAGCCTTTCTGTCGATCGTCGAAAACATGTGTAAGTTCCCAGCTGTGTCCTAGTAAAAAGATGATCTAATTTTAAGCACAAGTGTCCGGGCGGCTTCACTTGCATCGATAGTGGTCCTCTGCCTGGATGCTGTGGACCATTGAATACCTGTCCCCCAGGATCGAATCATCTCGGAGATCCCATATGTGTAAGTGAGCCACTAGGCCCGCCGGAATTGGTTTGCTGACTGGGCGAAACTGAATGGACGAAAATAGTGTCCGTTGCCATGCACTCTTATTATCGCGCACCTAGTCTGCGTAGGATTTTAGGCCGATCCTTAGGGTTTCGAGGTGGAAGGAGACAGCGAGAAAGACGAACATGAATAGATGGTCGGCGGACCACAGACTGTAGTAGGTTAGTATATTGTAGCAAACTTCTGATGTTCACGATGTTTATGTTCAGATTATTCATGCTATGTTAATAAATGCATCTGGTGGTGAATTGATATCTGCAAATGCCCAAAGTAATATGCACACGGAAGTCTCGTTATGTTCTTGACACGTCGTTATAGAGAGGGCTCTTTCATCCAAGGCACCTCGACATCAAGGGCGTTTGCCACTCTCGTAGCAGAAGCGAGACAACCCTCGAGCAGGACCATCCCGTCCCAACACCAGCCACCAACCAGCCATACATTTCCATCTCCATTCCGCCACAGTTTGCTCTTCTCATCACCAGAATTATTCTGTCCGAAAATCTGATTGACGACTTGTCTGCTGGTGGTCGATCGCAAAACACGGGTGAATGTGGCAGTGTGCAAGACCTTCTCAGAGTCAATCGGAGTAATGGGAGACGTCGTAATAAGAGCAGATGATGGATGTTCATGGACTGTCTCGGTCGCTGTATCATTTGAGCACATATGGAGTGGGTGAGGTGCTGATTCGCCGGGCTTCAAGGATACTTGCGCCCAGAGGGATTTGCTAGAATCCTGAATCCGGGAAAAGTCACGATGCACAACAGACTTAACGGTTGCAGTGGGAACGGCCTTCATTGCGCTTCGGAGAGGTTGGAAGATCGCGCCAACCACATCAGGTGTTACAGCGAGAACAACATGGTCGAATAGCCGCGAGCTACTCTGACCATCACGAGTATCTGTCCAGCTCACTTGAACCTTTGTCCCAACATTCTCTACCGCCGTGACCTTCATGCCAAGTTTATACGTCAAACCTTCGGACAGCTTTTGCTCCACATGCTGAACTCCACCAAGAACAGTGTAGTGACTCTTGCGGAAGGTTCGTCTCCCATAGCCGACCAGATCGAGAGCTGGGGAATCCATCAGCGCATCGTGTGAGCACGTCGCAACGCTCGCGAAGACCGGCAAGAAGTAGTGCTTCACGTAGTAACTGGGCAACATAATCCTCTCCACATATTGACGTAGAGATTCTTCCGTGCCAGACGACTCTAGCGTTTTTGGCGCTACAAAGAAGCAGCAGGCTTTGAACCAATAATAACACATTGCCAGATAGCACACCTCGATCAGCCACCCAGTCCACGATAAACCTCTCGGACGCAGGGGGGGTATTTGGTGATTATTTGAAGAATGCATGTAGTATGGCGAGGCTTGTTCGGAGGCATTGTCTGATATCGTCGACAGGGAGTAGATGAACCGCAGCGAGCCATATGAAATGCCGAAATAATCATACATTCGCTTGAGACTCTCGTAATATCCTTCGGCAAATGTGCGCATGGGAAGATCGAGACGTTCGAGTTTTGCGCCTCCCCCATTCTGGACTGTAAGATTGTATGACGCGGAGTCTAGGGAAAGTTTGTCTTGCTGCGTGTTTTGGTTGAAATTAGTTCAAGTTCACGCGTACGATGTCGCGGGGAGGAAAGTTTACTTTTTCAAGTACTTCCACGTTGAATCTCCCCTGGGGATCATTCCTGAGCATGTATGCAACAACTAGCCCAGCCATCCCCGTGCCGATTACGGCAACATTCTTCCGTTCGTTTGCCTCCATGGTGAAGGAGTGGAAGTTTGATCACAAGTGGAAGAAAATGTAAATGGTCATTGCTATTGAGACAGATTTTGAGATGCGTCAAAGGTTCACAGTTCGCTTAACTCGAAAGATGGGCTTGCAACTTTGAACATTTCGGCAGAAACTGACCCACCTTTTTCCCGGCATGGCCCAAAGGCCCTGGCCTGGGCAGCCTCGGTTCAGATTCATAATTTCTTATGCAGCTAAATCTTTACAATGCATATGATGACGTGGCAAATGCATCTATACCTATCATATGGTGTAGTTGACCTTTTACATAGGTGCAATTTTCAAACCCGAACGAGATAAGCATATTCCCCTAGTACCCGTGGGACGGAGTATGAATTCTGTCGATGTAAATCCCACCGATCAGTCTGCGCTAACAAAATGGGGGAATGAACAACCGAGTACACTAAGTTACTTGGTTAGTAGGCCTCACATTGATGACATTGGACATAAAAGGCTGGAGTATGTTTTGTGATCGAATACTTACTAGTATACAAGTTCTATCAATTCGGCCATTGAAGATATGTAATTTTATATAGTATAATGTAGTTCATAGTAAATGCATTACTAGCATCGATGGTGTGACGATCCCGTGATCAGGGACCTACACCATGGAAGCGGCTTCTGATGACAGATCAGTTATATCATACCCGTCGACCTACCTAGTTAGTTTCTAAACAAGATTGAATTCCCTTTGTCATGGATCCTTGGTTTAGAAATCAGCATTCCTTCTCGCGATTGTCGGAGCCAGCGATTCTCGTTTATGGATGAACAACCTTGGAATTCCATGGATCACCTGGGCAGCACTCAGATGACATAATCGGGATTCATCGCAATCCTTATCAGCTTATCGGCACGTGTATGTTTGTTGATGGATTTTGGAATTTGGACACAAGAAGAACTTGGGCAAACACGGGAACATATCGAGATGTGGACTTGAAAACATGCGCCTGCCATTAATATAAGACGAACTTGAACATCGCCTGGCACGGTATCCATACCTTGTCAACCATGGCCATGGCGCGTCCCAAAACAGTTCGCGCCCCGACAACAGCCAGTCTTCCAAATAACCTCCGCATTCCCTCGTCGACCCCATCCCTCACAAAATCCCTGGGCAAGCTATCCAGACAAGCACTACTGGATTTGGCACTTACGTGGCTTGACGATCACAACATCGCCTCATTCCCACCATATCTACAGGCCGACGAAGCAGATAGTCCTGACAATGACGAAGTTCTTCCCTACCCCGCGGGGAAGACAGTTGAAGAAGTCCGCCAGGTATATGAAGACCTGCAGGACCGAAAGGGTGCAAAGCGCGAAGTTCTTGAACGAATTCTGGAAGGCGATTGGCGGCATGGAATCACACTGCGCCAGTTGGCCATGGTAGACCTTCGCTATATGGATGACCACCCCGCCAATCTTCGATGGACCGCACTTGAGCTCAGCCGTGTTGGTAGAAATTGCAAAAACTCCAAAAGGCTGCCACCCGAAGACTGGTCCAGTTCGGTACCGCGCATGCAAGCGGCAACATTTGTGCAAGGCCTCCAACGAGAAATCTCCCCATTGGTCAAGGCCCACTACCACCTCGCCCACTCAGCAACGCTGCCACTAACCTTCCTGCGTATCTTTGTTGTTGATTCCCCATACCAATCCCCTAAACAGACAGCCGAGATCTTTACTGACTCGTCCCGAGTCATCTATATCGCTTTCCCGGACAGTTGCCCTTACGTCTACACTTCCATAGCAGCATCCACTGGACCAAAATCTGCCCCGTTGACAAGCTCAGTGGCTACTGATACTCGAACTCTTCAGCGTCTGGTGCGCGATTCCATCCCCAAAGCTTTATCTCGCCCACAACAACGATTTTCGCTGCAGGCGACGTCCCTGGCAGCAAAGAATTTACCCACACTTCTAGCCCTCCGCGGACCGGGGCGATCTACGGCATCGAACGGCGCCTTCAGCATCTTTGCCGACGCCGCCATTGAAGGGAGCCCGTTGGATCCTCGACCTTCCAATACGGTCTCGTCTGAAGAGCATATCCAAGCGAGTTATTGCGGCCCAGCAGAAGGCAAACAAAGCACAGATAGATCAGCGATCAAACGGAGATCCGGCGCTAGTGATGCAGGTCCCCTCTCTCCTGATTCAAAAAAACGCCGTCTGGCCATCCAATCCCGATTCGGAACATTGGAGTCATCACTCGCCCCGGCCCCGCTGGACCGTCTTGACATCAGACTCCTCGATAAACCGGGATTTAGTGGGGAGGAAGATGGCAATTCTCATGATTCTACGTCCACGCTACCTGCGGTGTCACTCACTTTCTCTGGCTCAGACGTCATCGGCGGGATTCGCAAACTTGCCGAGCTAGGTATCGTCAACCCTGAGCGTATGCCTTCTTGGATGACTGGCGAGGAAGGTATTAGTGTCGCGACTGTGCGTCGTGGCCAGCGGCTTCAAAGGGATATGTAGAGGAATATGTGTGGTGTTCTTGGAGTTAAGAACCTTCGTGCTTTTTGTTTCTTGGGTCAATGAGGCCTGATGTGATACCCGAATTTGAGATGCATAGATCACTTTTGTTGCTTCCTTGTGACATTTAGCTTTACTCAGGAAATGACTAAATTTTGCGAGACGCCCCAACCGAGTGTAGTAGCAAGTAAATATAGCCTACATTCAACATTGAACATTGGATATTGTAAAAATGGTATCAAATAAATATAGGAGTATCCAGCATAGAGAAGACCAACCCATACCAGCACCGTACGCCACATTTCCGAGTCCAACGCCTGAGAATTCCTCCTATCAATCAACACCACAAGTTGGCTGTCGTTTTTTCGGGACTGAGAATGGAGCAATATATGCTTTGGATTGCACCAGCAAAGAGTAAAAAGAACGTCAGTCAATGATAGATTTCGTAAAAGAAAACATTTTCAATAGCATGCGCAAAGAGAGACCGTTTGAAAGTAAAAGCCAAATGAATAAGAATGGGCAGTGACAAGAGAGAGTCTCACAAAAAAGCCCTTCCTCGGTTTCATATCCATGAACGTGACACCTTCAATTTCGTGTCAGCATGAGCTCATCCAAGGAGCCGGAAGTCAATGCTTAGGATGGACTCTAGGAGCAAGTACACCCTGATCGAACCATACAATCCAGTGACTATCTGTAGCTCACGTTCATAGAAGCCTGGGCCCTCATTTCACACAGCCTCCCTAGCGAGATGTGGGGTTCTATATTGATTGCTCTTCCACGGAGCATTGCTATATGTTAAGATGCGTTAGATCCTCACCTCCTATTAGAACGTGGGTCAACTCGTCATCACTTACCAGTGGAGACAAGAAAAAACATGCTGAGATGCATGTACAGTGGCCTCCCACACCTTGAAGCAAGCCTCGTGAACATTATTGTTGCACGAATGGCAAGACCTAGCTCCGTGGTTGGACTTGAAGTCATTGAAACAAATTGGGCACTTGCCCTCAACAGGCTTCCTTTGGCTGGCAGAAATAAGAGTACTTCTTTCCTCGATATCCTCCAAGGATGATGTAGAAAGCATCTCGCGCAGCTCCTAATTCGCGCGCATTTGGGTCAGAGAGATCTCTCAACAACGTAATATGCTCGTTTGAGGCTTGCAATGACTCACAGACGGCAGGAATGCTCGTTGATATCTCAGTTTTCCAGGGGCATTTATCGCAGATAGGACTTAACAACGCATTAGCGCAAGAATAGAGAGTGGGACAGCATAAAAGAGTATATAGTATTTGGTAAGTTGGGTTGAGACATACCAAAGCAGATATGTTTACACTGAGACTTCCGGAATTTGACATCCGGACAGGTACAGCGAGGCAATTTGGCAATGACCGTTTTGTAGATATTACTGGTAGATCCAGTAACTTCAAATGAGATCTCCGGAGCCTCCTCAGTTCCGCAGATGCTGTGCGCAGTGATAGACATGCTAGAGGCAACGCTTATCAGTCAATCGAAGTATGCCTGATTCGTCAGTGTCTACTTGCATTTGCTTTTCATTGCGCAAGTCTCTTTCTAGGAACTCTTTGGTGGGTATGTCTAGCCATGGAAGCGCACGCTTCTCAGCCATTAGTATTGGTAGAGCACTGGGTGAAGTGCGCTGTGAATCTTGGTTTCGGTAATCGGTTTTCGGAGTATGAGAAAAGATTAGCATTAGGAAATGTAGAGGATTTTGGAAAACGTCTTTTCTTAAACTGCAAATATAAGAAAGAAAGTGTTACTTACATAGATGTACTATGGAAAGCAAGAGCCAAACAGAGGCAAGACCACCTGAAGTGTCATATGACTTTCCATGACATGTTCTAGATGTCCCTCAATGGTTATGTTTTGGTCAAAGTGATCTACATAGCAGATTGTTGTGAGAATTTGAGTTTTCTTTGTAAACCCATATAGGGTATAGCTACATAATGCAACATATGTACTCAGTACTAGAGAAATCTAAGCTCCTTCCTCATTGGGTAGTGTACCTGCTCAATTTCCCAGGGAGCCATTACGCCAGCAATTCTGGGTACAAATGGACCTAGTTGACTAAGCATATTTGCGCACCTGGGCACGATAGCAAGAAATTGAATTGAAAGCTTTGCAACCATTGTACACATCCATGTGTGGTCCGGCTGTAAGAAGAGATACCAACCTTGGAGGTGATAGAGCGGTCGTTTGCAATGTTTGCAATGTTTGTTTGAGGAAGCTTCACTATCGCTATCAGCTCGTGGAGAACTCCACCTGGGCAGGTCTCTCTTCATCGCCAAGATGACACCATACTACAAAGTCTAGGACCACAGCTGACTCTTTGCTTGATTTTCAATTCTTCTCCCTAGAGCTCATACCCGAACTTCTCTCCATGTCACGTCCACGGGCTTTGTCAGGCGCTGATGCCCCAAAGGAACCACATGCGGTCTCTCTCAAAGGTATGTGAATACAGCCATAGTTGGACCAGTGGGCTAAGTATCAATTAATTAGTGTTGCGGTAATTCCGATTATCCATACCCTCATGTTGATGGCAGCTTCTGACTTTCAACACACAGCCTCGCGCGACCGTCACTTTCTTATCAGTACCCTCTCCCGACATCCAACACCAGAATCTCTACAAAAGCCTCACTGAGCTATCCATCCGGTGATTCTGATGATCAATTCATTCTAGCTCCTCTTGTGAGATGGTCATCAAACCCCCAAGGAAACTGTCCGCTGACGGCAATAGCTTACTCTGCCTCCCTCCTTCGGATCCGTCTACGTCGGAGAAACCTTCGGATGCACACTCAGTGCAAACAATGAGATTGATGATGATGATAATGAGAGAATCCTTACCTCGGTGCGCATAGTAGCGGAAATGCAAACACCTTCTTCGGTCGCGGCACTGGAGCTGGAGCCACCCAGCGACAATGCATCAACAGACGGCCTTAAGATCGGCAAGTCATTACAAAAGATCGTACGATTTGATTTGAAGGAAGAAGGAAACCATATACTGGCTGTCAGTGTCAGCTATACAGAGACAAAGATCGGCTCAGACTCGCAGGCAGCTAGTGGCCGGGTCAGGACCTTTCGCAAGTTATACCAGTTTGTGGCACAACCCTGTTTGAGTGTTCGGACCAAGGCGTCCGAGCTTCCACCGCTTGAGGTAGATAATAAGTCTCTCGGTCCGTACGGGAAAACCAGGTTACTCCGATTTGCCCTAGAGGCACAATTGGAAAACGTGGGCGAGGGCGCTGTGGTGGTCAAGGTATGAATTTCCTATTGATCCCTAGCGAATATGTGGATTTTCACGGCAAAGCGTGGATATAACCGAAACACGGGCTAGGCGGAAATGCTCAACAATTTGACTAACGTTGGGGGATGGACAGCAAACAAAACTAAATCCCAAGCCACCGTTCCAATCGAAATCGCTAAATTTGGACACGATGAATCCAGACATGTCACTCGCGGCACTACCCACACTCAATCCACGGGATGTCCTACAGGTAGCATTCTTGGTGGAACAAGAAGAGGCCCAGAACGAGGGACTTGACACTCTCCAGAAGGACCTGCGACGGGACGGTCGTGCCACGTTGGGTCAGTTGTCGATTGAATGGCGCGGCGCCATGGGGGACAAGGGATTCCTGACGACGGGCAACCTAATGAGCCGAAAACGCACTTGAAACGCGGTGTGCAACCCACTCACCGGATCGTTTCCGCTAGGTACTCCGCTACTGTGTCACGATACGTACACCGAGTTGAATCGGTGCATCCAGCCGCCAAGTTGCATAGAGCGCCGCAAGGGCGGTTTGTACTATCCAATGGCTCACTTACACAATATTACCATTGGTATTGGCAGCAGCGTCCTAAATTGGGGTTTACAGTATAATATCTTGGGCTCCGAATATATCCACACTATCTCTGTAGGCCTGAGTACCGAGTGCTGCCTGGGGCTCTGGGATCGGGCACGATGTATGTTGTATCAACCTGGCGCCACTAGCACAGGGTGGACACCAGCCTTGCCATGCAGCCGACGTTTAATTCTTGTCGTACGGCAGTCGCCTTCCGGCAAGGAAGCTCCGGGGGCTGGATGTTTACACATTTCGGGTATTTGCTACTCATGGAGCTTACACAAAAGGAAAGATTGACGGGCACTCATCCTCGGCCCAAGGCCACGTATTCTACGGGATGGCACATATCGAAGTTTATTTCGGGTAATCCGTTGATATGTAAAGTCTTTTAGAGTCCAGATTCAACGTTATGGGGTTATAGAAAGAGTCTAGACTCCAGTTGATCAATAGTAGTATCTATGTAATGAAAGATCATTATCTACAATTCAATGTCTCACACGGACCTTTTTTTCTATTTCAGTCCGTTCTTCTATAATTGGATTTTTCCTTCTGTCAAGATAGCGCTGTGGATCTAGTCTGCCTCCTTATACTGTACTCCATACTGTGTGGTGTAGAGTGTATGTAGGCATCGGTGTACGGAGTACACCAGGGAGGTGTTTAGGTAGAATAGCCTTGCCTAACCGCTTGGGATGCGACTGGTCAAAAAGGGCTATCGGTGCAGGGAAGTTTCCCTGTGTCCACGTAACCCGGTTATCGGCCAGAGTGTTAAATACTTGCAGTATGTGTACAAATAGTCCATTATAGAGTATATTGGAGACTTATGCTTTGAATGCCACACCTATGTAAGGAGTACGGAGTAGGTGAGAGATATAGATAATCCCCAATACTCCATACGCATGGAGGATTTGCCTAATCAGATTATCTCAAATCAACCATGGTTGACAGACTCCGTAGGCGTTCTCCCCCTGTACTCCACATTATCCAACTGTAGTATCGATCGTCTCCAGCCACTCCACTCGAAATTCTATGTAACTTTCTGTACTCCGTACGAGTTTTATTTCATGTACGGAGATGGGAAAAGCAAAGAGATAGAAAAGCCATTGAGCCGCAAGCTAGAAGACGATTGGGAACGACAAAGGTATAAACTCCCAATGCCTCCAGGGCTACTTCGTATGTAGTTCATACATAGTCCCACCCCCTGAACGTGACAAGAACGGCATTGTGGCGTACCAAGCTAAACTTCTCAAAGGCCCCTAAAACCCTTGGAAATATATACAGAAAATGACCAAACCCCAGTATATTGAACAGAAAACGGAGTACAACACACGAAGTAGACGAAGCTCGTTTAGAAAATAACGACCCGCTTAAGTTTTCCGAAGCTCTATGGACGGGCAAACCCCTATATATTTCTTTGTTTTATATCGAACCTTTGCTATTGCCATCTTTGAGGACTATGACGGTTAGAATTGGTACATAGAGGATGAAATACATACATAATGTACATAAGTAGTTGATATAGGCATGGATGTATAATTATTATGGGTATACCCCAGAAGGCTGGATCCCCTTTAGAGTCCAGCCACACCGTGCCTGCAGGTCAAAATTCTTGTGCATGGCTGTGAATGGTCCAGGCTCTTGACTTTGATATGTTTTCTTTACATGGAGAGAGACGCACATTCAAAATGTCCTAACATTACACGCCTACGCAACCACCCGTGTAATTAGAGAAAAAGAAAAGAAAAGAAAAGAAAAATAGGAAGGGAAAAAAAAAAACACACAAGAGGTAGCATAATATATAGAGATATGATACCCTAGAATACAATAAAACAATCTAACTCCTTTTTTTTAATACGTCCGACCTTCCCCCAAAATTGATCGCTTTGAACTGCCCCTCCCTCCCGTTCTCCCCCATTTTTACCAGCTTTCCCCCCTCCCACATGCGCTCAATTCCCCTGCGCATTCCCTCTTCTGGACATACTATCCATGTGGTGACAATCAAAATATTAACCTACAGTCCGCCGTGACTCTCTCCACAATGCCATCGTCAAGCAACTCCGAGGGCGCTCCTCTCGCCGATTACTTCTGGATAGCCGGTGTGGATGGTACAGAGATCCTGGACACTTTTCAGAGATTGGGGGAAGATTACCGTGCCAATGGTGCCGCATCTCCAGGTCCTGCGCTCGCGGACACTATTCAGGAGGACGCCGATGCGGAGGAGGAACACAACCCAGATGTCGTCTCCCGGCCAAATTCAACGCTTCTCGCCGGCACCGCTCATAGAGGCTCTACCCAACGTCTATCCACGCTCTCGAAGAGCTCAGAAGGAACGAATGGTGCTGGTACTAACAGTAACCGGAGCAGCATGACCGTAAAGGGTGCCTCCTCGCCCCTGCGTGCCTCAGCTTTGTTCTCTGAGGACTTCGATTTCGATACCGCGCTGTTCAAGTTTGCCAATGAACGCGAGACCTTTCTAACAGACTTGAGCTTGAGCGCTGGCGCTATTACTCCCAATACCCGCCCGCGATCCAGGGTCCGCACGCAGAAGATTGTCTCCGACGATTCGCCCGCGCCTAGCGGTAACTTGCTGAGATCGGGCATCGGGAGCGTGCGACGCCACATGGCCTTTCGGGATATGAATAGTATGAAGCGGCAGCCATCTATTGCCCGTCAAGGTGAGAGCTCTCTTTCAATTCCGTTCCCCATTCATTCTGGAACGGCATCCGGGCTCGGGACTTTTTTTTAATAGATGCACTGGCTAATAATGGATTGCCTACAGCTTCGGTGCGTACTTCTCGGCGACTTAGCAACTACAATTCAGTCATCCCTGTGCCGCAACCCCTCGAGATCTCTCCCACAATGCATCCATTGAAACGACGATTCGAGCCCGTTCTCCTCGACCGATACCCCACACGGGGCATGCCGGACGAGACGAAGCAGCGCGGCAATTTCCCCGACTACGTCCCCATGTTTGCCTTTCCGAATGATGTCAACATCGTCTCCTCCGATCAGCGACCGCGCTCTACCTGGCACGGATTTGCCATGACAACGGACAATGGCTCTAGGCTGCACGCCATCTGTGTGATCATCTGGATACCCCTCAACCCAAATGCCGCAGAGGAGCTCGAAAAGCGCTGTGAGGAATGGAGAAAGGACAACATGACCGACGAAGAGCGTGAATTGGCCGCAAGCTTGGGCGAACGATTGGCATCGGAGCGTGCCAAGTTATCCCGGCTCCTAGCCCAGCTCCCGACTGTCCCATCAGGGTCTGAATCGCGTGAACAGCTCGAAGATGAGATCAGCGCCGTGGAGGAGAAGATTGGATTAATGACCGATCTCCTTCGTCCAGTCCGGCATGGCGCAGCTTCCAAGATCGAGGGTCTGACCGATGGTGATACTGGCTTCTGGATTCCCCGAGCGTATGGTATCCTGGGCCGCGAGAGCACGATGACGAGCTTCTGGAAGGAATGGCTCAAGGCTATCGTGGTGCCAATGACGGAGGGCAGTCTACAGCATGTGCCCCCGCCCTCGCCGCGCATGGGTGTATGGCAGCCGCTGGAGCGATATGTCATGAATCTCTGTACAGAAGCGTTCTGTCCTATATCCTCGAAGACTCAGGTCGAGCTTGCGATTCGTGAGCTGCGATTATTTGCACGCAAAGAGGCGCCTAATGAGATCCCTGGTTCTCGGAATGTATGTGCACCGCGATCTTGATTCAGTTCTCTGCCGAAACTTTTACTGACTGATTCCCAGACTGATATCTATGCCTTGTTCCGAACTTTGTCAGTTCCGAATATTATCATTCTCTTTGAGGTAGGCATGGAATCCCAGTTTAATGAATGGGAGACAATACTAACCAAATACAGTACGCCCTTACTGAATCACGTATCATTTTCTTGTCTTCCCACACCTCCATGCTCTATCTAGCGACCAGATCGTTGGTTGATCTTTTGTTCCCTCTGGAGTGGACAGGCGTCCTTATTCCTGTGCTTCCCGCGCGCTTAATTCAAGCCCTCGAGGCTCCTTGCCCATACATCGTGGGTATCGAACGTCGGTACGAGAAGGTCGAGCTGCCCACGGACGACTTTGTTCTGGTTGATCTGGACAACAATATGATCGAAAGTACCATCCAACCGACCTCACTACCCCGCCATCAGCGCAGGAAGCTCCTCTCCTTGTTACAACTAGCTGCCCCTCATCACACCCGTTTCCACGTCCCCACTGGCCCCCCTGCATATGCAATTGAAACCTACCCATGGGACTCGTTCATGTCAGAGAGCAAGGCCACTTTCACATCCAAAGCACCTGCCACTAACCTCGCGAAATATGTCGGTCTCAATTCCAGTGCATTCGGTACAACAGCCGTGATGCCAGGGTCCTATACACCTCCGATATTCAACGTTTTCCTGCATGCCCGGAACGAGGCTGGTCCCTCTCGTGGATACTCATCTCGCGGATCTGAACGCCCAGGGACCAGCTCCACTATGAGAGCTGCTGCCTCTCCACCCTCCCCGAGAGAGAGTTCGCCTACCTCTGGCTACTTCCCTCCTCCACCAGGCCCCTCCTCGCGCAATGATTCCGGTATGGCATTGCAAGCTTCATTACGCGAGAAGCGTTCCGGTCATTTCGATGCCGCCTCACGCCGAAGCTCCTCGTTTGGAATGAGTCGACGGCCAAGTGCTCCGTTCCTGGGTCATGCTTCGAATCTCTCGGTGACAACTCTCAACACCGATTATGGCGCCGGATCCACATATGCGCCATCTGTGTATGCACAGTCTACCATCGCTGCGTCCACAATTATGCCACAATCCTCAAACCAGCTTGCCGGCAACAACGAGGGCACTTGCTGGGCTGAAGGTCACTATTTCCAAGTTCAGGTCTGGGATGACAAGTTGACGTGTGCCATTTGTGATGAAATGGCAGAGGAAAATATGTACAAATGCTCTGCATGCAGACTGACAGTCCACAACCGCTGCGCATCTATGGTGTGTCTTCCGTGTGATGCAGCCTTCCATCCGGATCAAATTCGCGCGGCGTTTGTCAGATGCTTTGCCAGCTTATTCTACACGTACAAGAAATTCCTTGTACCAGCCAGTGGCGATAAGAAGAAGTCCGGCATGTATTACAATTTCAACATGGATGCATTCATGAAAAGCCTTCCAAGCGAGCACGCCGAGTATGTCACAATTCTGCAACAGACACAAGGTAAGTTGGCAAATTCGTACAAAGTACATTGGGAAAAAAACCATTGACACAATACTAGGTTTCAACGAGTTCATCAGTGATCGTGAACGGACAAATCCGAAGTCCAAGGACCCACGTATGACTCTGTTCGACGAGATCGTCCTTTCAAAACGCAACCGTGGGCGCACATCCATTTTCTCCAGCCGGTCGACAACCGACTTCCTCTCGGATACTTCAAACCATCTGTGGCGTACAGCCAACGCTACCTTCTTCACTCCGAGCAGCCGCAGCCAGCAGAACCTTTCTGCCGACTACGGCCGAATTCCCACAAGAGGTACGCCCGAAAGGTCCAACACCCAATCCAACCCGCTCATTGACAATCTCCCTGTAGCACCCGCAAACCTGGATACCACCCTAATGACAGAACCCCGCATGATACACGGTGCACCACGGGTTTCCAAGACGGCAAATACTGCCCGTAGGAAGCCGCTTCCCAACATGATGGGCGGGCTCGCCATCTCTCCGCCCAGTTAATTGGTGCAATTCCGTACGCGAGTAGCCCGGTTCATTATTTCGTCGTTATCTGTCCTGCCCTTGTGCAGGTGGGTCCTGTGTGCGCGTGCTATTTGTCATGTTTGTCATGTCCAGGTTCTCGAAACATCTTGTGTTTCCTTTGTCGAGCGTGAAACCTGGGTTTCCCTCCGATTCCGACTCGATTCTCGATATCCCCGATTGACGGTATTGCTCATCCTATGCTTTCCCGGAAGACAAGCAAATGCAATCTCGATTGTCTATTGTGCGTCTTCGTCTGGGCATCTGTCGATCCAAGTTGAGAATGATAGGCCGCTGGCTCGGCTCAACTTCTCGCTTCCCGCTAATATTCCGCAAGTGGAACGCTGCATGTGTGGTTGCACACCCTTTGGCCTTTCTCCTGCTTGAACGTACTCCCGTTCTCTGACTTACCATGCTCTATCATGGTGGACACACGACGTCTCGAAAGATGTCAGACAGTTTCTGTGCCCATCATCGGTTGCATTGCAGTCCTCGTACATAGTGTTGGCTCCGGCTTGATGCACGGAACCGTGAACAAACCCCCCAAAAGCGTCATCCTGATTTGCAAAGCGACGTGGTGATCATTTGTGTGCCTGATATTGATACATACATACATGTTTGTTCTCTGGACCAATACCTCTACTTCTGTTGCCTATTTTTCTCTGATCTCTCGGCCTGCTTTTTTTTTTTCTCATTTTGCTCCCTCTCTGCCTGTTACTACCCAATACCCCCTCTCTCGATTTGGCTGGTATTTTTCTCTCCTTATGTCTTAATTGTTTATTTGAAATACAATGCTAGGCAGATCCAGTCTCGCTTCTGTCTTTTCTTTATTTCAGATATCTCCCTTCCGGTATCGATTCATCATCCAATGTCTATACTACGTGATCTATGACTATCCTTTGGGCGTGCGTACCTTTCAGTTGCAATTGAATGCTGTCACTTGATTCTACTTGCCTTCCGCACATTAAGGGCATAAAGAACAATACATAGATGTTTTTTTTTTTTCTATTTTTCCTGTATATTGTGAATATGGGTGTATATCATTCTCGACTTTTCCCCCTAGTACAAGTATCGATATACTCTTCCACCAATCCTGGTGTCTGAGTTGTTACTTGTCTCCCTTGGACACATTAGGCTATGTAGCCCCTGTGCCAGTAGCCGATCATTCTCTTTGGCCGAGGCTGAGACTCTGGCTGAGATTGGTGGTTTTCCCTCGTATCGGATCATGGCGCTGTAGAGCCCCCTGTCAGGTAATCATGAAGCTATAGTGGCTCTAGCTGGTTTGTTGTCGGCTGCTATGAACATATCGATGTGGTCATTGAGATTCATAAGTGAGCGGTGATCTTTCTCGTGCCATCAAGGTCCCATTCAACAACGTTTCCTAGTATCAAAATGACATGGATGTCTGGTAGGAGCAAATGCCTACCGCTGATTGGCGGATAAACCCAAATCCGCTGCCAGTTTTCCCCGCGTCCGCGGTCTGCGTGGAATCCCAGCGCGCGCATTGGGTGGAACCTCCGCGAGAAGTTCTTCCATCGATCCATGTCGTGTCAAATGTTTTCCTACCCTTGCGGCTGGGTGATTCAACTCTGCCCGCCTAGGATTTACTTGGCATTCATTTATTCAATCAATTACCCCATACCCTGGAGCTAGCCTTGTTCGGCCCGCTTTTTCCTAATTGCTTTATACTACCTACTGGTTATACCCGGGTCCTGGCCGTCACATCGAGAGGCGAATTGGAAAAGCCGTCCTGTTCCTCATTTCCCCCTCCCCGACTCTTCATTTTTACCCGCTTCGACCCATACTTCGACCTGCATATACATCGCCAGCACCAAGTATGAAAACACTTGGGACTGCGATGCTATGATTCCGACAGCCTTTCCGCAGCACATGGCCACGCCTCTGCTCGATAATTCCCCCGTCTCGGCCGCCCTCAAGGCCCAGGATCCGCCTAGCGCAAACCCCAATATCGTCGTCTCTTCCAATGCTACAATCCCCTATCCTCCCCCAGCTGCTGCGCCCAAAGATCAGACACTCGCGGGCATCGACACGCCAGCTGCCAACACTGCTGCGGGGACTGTTGTGATCATCTATGGCCAGAACCAAGATCATATCGTACAACTGGTAGCGGAAGTCCTAGGCAAGCCATGGACAACAGAAGCGACGCTTGGGATGCTAGCGCGAGCCAACGACGCAGTGGTAGCGGGAATATTAGCGCGGGATCTAGCACGGAGCTTGCAGGGATGCGAGCGATCATCTCTGGTTCTGGTAAATACATACTGCGTGGAAGACGGGTCTGCGCCGGAAGACTCACTCACTGAGATCTGTGACTATGAGTTCTTATATTCGCGGAGTCCGTTCCTGCGCCGGGACTTGGCACGGTTCTTGTCTTTGATTCTTGGTCAGACGAGGCCGCATGACGATTTGAGAACGAAGACCAGGACGAATTTTATCTCGACTACTTTCCCCGACGTGCATGCTGCTTTACCCAATTTGGATATCCTGTCTGTAGGATCTGACGCTGTTGAGATCCGTGTGGACTTGCTGGTTGAGCCTGCGTCGGAGGGTTCGACCATTCCACCCGTTCCAGGTTTGAAGTATGTTGGTCAACAGTTGATGTTACTCCGGCAGCATACTGAGTTGCCGATTATCTTTACTGTTCGATGTACCAGAGAGAATGGCAAGTTTCCGCTAGACGACCCAGAGCTCTTCTATAAATACCTGCGGCGCGCGATACAGTGGGGCGTCGAATATATCGATGTGGAACTATGGTTGCCAGAGAAGATCCGGCGCCAGTTGTTTGAGAAAAAGGGCCATAGTATGATTTTATCTGCATTCCATGACTTCTCTGGGACCTGGAAGTGGACGTCCGAAGAGGCGCAACGCATATTCACAGAAAGTGCCAAATACGCCGACATAGTGAAGATGATCGCCATGGTCAACACAATTCAAGAGAACTACGAACTAGAATACTTCCGCTCGACCATTAAAAACCGAGGTCCAGGGCCACTCCTCTCAGCAGTCAACATGGGCCAAATGGGCCAGCTATCTCGAGCCCTCAACACCGTCTTCTCTCCAATCACTCACCCTCTTCTCCCAATGATTGCCGCGCCAGGCCAACTAACCGCAGCGGAGATCAACGAAGCCCTACACATCATGGGCCAACTCCCCAGACGCGATCTCTACGCCATTGGCTCCTTCCGCTCAACCCCACACTCAATGTTCATGGAGAAATGCCTAAACGAACTGGGTCTCCCACACAACTTCACCTCAGTCGACCGCGGCCCTAAAGGCACCATGGAATCCGTCCTCCTGCAACCGCACTTCGGCGGTGCCTACGTCAACCCCCCAGTCCCAAGCACAACTGGTTTCATCCCCGCAGTCAGCGACGCAGCCTGCGCCATCGGGTTAGTTGACACAATCGCCATGACGCCAGGAGAAGCTGTACCTGGAACGTCTCGATTCATCGGTGAAAATGCGGCCTGGAAGGGTATCCGCGCAACGCTGACGCGCGAGTACGTCCCGTCCGCATATAGCAGCCGCGCAGCGATTATCCTCGCTGGATCGGAAGCAGATGCTTCTGCGGCCATTTTCGCGCTACGCAGTCTGGCCGTGGGCACAATTTACACAGTCGGGTTCAAAGCGAGTGGTCCGCTCGCTGCGGGTCTTGAGCCGTTTACATCAATCCAGTCAGTCCAACGGGTTGAGCAGCCCTTTGTTATTGTCTCTGCGCTGCCGCCGGAGAAATCGCTGCTCGTGCAGCCCCTGCTGCGGCATTATGGTGTTAATGGTCGTTCGTCGCCGCGTTCTACTCGTGGAAAGGTGTATCTTGATCTTACCAGTGGGCCGAGGAAGGGGGATCCTTTGGCCGTTGCTACTAGTGCCGGGTGGACGGCGTACGGAGTTGAGGATGTTAGTGCCTGGACTACTGTAGAGACACTGAGGTTGCTTGTTGGCCAAAATGTGCCGTTTGACTTTGTGCGTATGGCATCAGGGAGACCTTTGTTCTAGTCATATAGCATACTGCATACCCACGTAGGTAAACTGTGGTTCGTTTATTGTCTCTTGTTGATGCAATAGATGTTGTTGTTGGATCGGATTTCGTGCTGGGTTGGAGGTATGTTTTTGTAGGGTTATCTATATCATGTGAGATCCATGGATGCTCGGTTTTTTGAGTGGTTCAAGTCTGAGAAACGCTGCTTTATTGCCCTAGATATATTGTCGGACCAGCTGCACTGGGTATTTCGATATAGCTACTACGTTTGCTGGTGATAATTACTGCACTTGACTTGTATTTGCCTCTAGCCATTTCAATGTTTTCGGTCATAATTTGAAATCTTCCATGTTTAATGGCCGTTAGAGTGATATATATCTCATGTATATATCCAGATACCTTGGGGCTTGACGGAAGATAACAAGTCAGAAAACCTGGAGTCAACCTTAGAACCTCCCGACGTTTCCTCTTCACCCTAGCCCTCGCTTTTGCTTGCGATCGCTATAATCTTTCCAAAGTCCTTTACGGCTTCATCAAAAAACGTGCACTAGGTATCCTTACAACTTCCCTCCCTTCGGAGAATCGGCCAGACCCTCCAATGTGGCCACGCCCCCTTGGTGTTGGATAGTGAAACAATCCTCAAACCAGAATTATCAAAGAAAGCAAATGTTACCGATGAAAGCAACACCTCACAGCCACATGCCTCAATGGGAGTCCTCCGTGGTAACATCGCGCGCCAAAACACTTAAGCAAAGCAATGGTGAAACCTGCCTTAGAAAATCTCAAATCAATCAGTATCCCGGGCGCATTCCCCATCATTGATACTACAGAACCGACGACATCCACAGGACATACACTCCCTGGTGGGGTCATAAGCGTGTTCACCAGCCTAGTATATCACTACATCACCCCGAACCTCTACACAGAGTTCAAACCCACCATATGCAAGGGCGCTCCGACGTGGAATCACGCCGCGGTGTAGGTATGCAGTCGGGTGACTACCTACCACGACACGGAAGACGAGCAAACGGAGCTGATCTTACAACAGCTCGGCGATTTAACCCAGCTTGGAGAGGAAGGCTTAATAGGGTTTCAAAATGAGACTGGTTCGAGTTTGGGGTCAAATGTCAAACATGAGGGAGATGGAAGTGGAACTGGGAATATGGATGGGGATCCACCCTATCACCAAAACCTGAGTCAGAAGCAGAGCCCAGACCTGGAAAAGCTCCATCAGGGGGTAAAAACGGCGCCGACCGGAGCTAGCGGGCATGGCAACGCCTCGGCATTGCCTGAATCCTGGAAAATCACTCATGCGCCACGGGAGTACATTACCAGTACATTGCTGCGCTTTCAGAAAGTATTGTCGGGATGAGGATTGGAATCACGTAGATTGAGGGCCAGTTTAAGTGGTTAATGATCGCGGTGGTGTTGTTGAGGGATTGGAGAGTGTGGATGGGACAGCGAGGGATATGAAGAACTTTATTAGGACGGGGAAGGCTTCGTCTGGGCAGGATATGTTATTTTGCTTTTTTTTTTTATACATAAATTAGGGGTACAAAGTAGGACGTAGACATATATCCTACGGAGTACAAAGTCCATATTAATCGTGCCAAGTCCACCAAGATGATTGGAGGACTTGGCATCCTAGACATGGAGAGAGAACATATGGTTTGGGGAAATAACAAAAGCACTACTATGCAGAAAGTTAAAAGAAGACCAGAATGGCTATTCCGTATCGAAAACAGCAGCTGTAATGGATGATCACATGTGCAGTATAGCATGGGCCAGTCAAGTCATAGACATAAATGTCGAAATACCAATACAACATAGTTCTGCAGGAGAGATTTCGGGTAAATTGAGGAGACTTGATAGAGGTCCAAGCGGTGACCGAGAACCCCATGATGGGATGATGGAGAAGACAGCTATTCATTGGTTACATACATTAAGCTACTGCAATTCTCTGTCATTAGACCAATTATGGGGTACTCCGTAGCTAAATCACCGTTCGGATGTTGGCATCGGAGCCCTAAGGATCTGTAACAGGAAATTCCACTCAAATTCAAGGGAATTAAAGGGGGAATCGGATTGAGTTCTGATGTGAGAAGTAAACAAAATCAGCAGATTACATGTTTAGAACAATGCTAACAAGAAATAGCCTAAATAGATTAATATGAAAATGCCCTCTAATATAAAATATTTCCCCCGATGTCAGCCCCAAACTAGGGAATTCCGGCGGCACATCACTTCTCCGCATTTCTTTCTCTCCGCCTGGTATAGGCCTTTTCTTAACCCTAAGCGCCACAGCAATGTCCTTGACTTCTCCTTGGCCGAGGCCATTTTCTTTCTTCTTCTTATCTCTCTCTTCCATGTAGATGTGCCATGTCTCGCCCTCAGGTCAGCATCGACCGTCTCACGCCCCGCCGTGCGACGGTCGAGCCGCGCGAAACCATGAACTGCAAATCCTGTCGCAAGCGCAAGGTCCGTCGACTTTTCTTTTCTTTTCTGCAATTGGCTGTCTTTAACTTGTCATAGATCAAATGTAATCGCTTGCGACCGAGCTGTGAGGCATGTAAGGTTTTCCAGTGCCCATGTCTTTATGGTAAGTCAATCATGTCCTCACATCACATGATTCCTCTGTTGACCTCGTTATGTTCAAGATGCCGTCCCTAAAAAACGGGGCCCCAAGACCGATGTGCTAGAAGCTCTTCTCAAGCGGGTCGATGGATTGGAGAAACGACTTCATGACGAAAAGAACCCTATCTCGCCCACTTCCCCCGATACCCCGGACGATCCCCCGAGCTTTCCCACCCGTCGCAATACTATCGACACCTCATTCAGTCTTTACTCTCCGAGTGACAGGTCTACTCTATCAACTTCTCTCTCGCATGTGGATCCCTTCCCCAGGCCGACCGGCCACCCAGCAAGTCTTCTGCAGCAACCCTCTCCGACAAATAATGGACCCTTATCAGATGCAATCCTCGATATTTACTTTGAGCGATTGCATGGTAAGCCATTTCATATATTAGACGAGACTACAACACGACAGCGTCATCAGCTGAATCAATTGCCTCTGTGTTTGGCCATGGCTATCTCAGCAATGACAGCGAGGTAAACCTGCCAAGCTTCCAAGTCCCGTCACATGCTTTAAGTGTTTGACTGACGAATCTCAGATACACAACCTCGCCTGGTCAGGTGGAGCAAGCACTACGTACTGGACTCGATGCGGCGCTACAGGCACGACGCATGATTGAAGTAGACAATCCTACAGTAGAAGGACTGCAGACTCTATTGTTACTTTCGCAAGCTTTCTACGCCTACGGGTTGGGAAAGAAAGCTTATATGACATTCTGTATGCCTGGACACGATCTTCTAAGCTTGAACGAACCCCACTAACGATGATCAGCAAATTGCGTGGCCATGATCGTCGCTCTGGACTATTACCGAGAGGCTTCCTCTAAGGTCAACGTCGCGCCCGCTGAGCGGGAAATGAGGCGCCGGCTATTCTGGTCTGTTTACTTGATGGACAGATTCATTAACTGTGGATCCCGGCGTCCATGTCTGATTAATGATCATTCAGTTGTCCTGCGCCTACCGTCTTGGTCACCACATGCAGCTGGTCTGAACATGGAGGGAGAACTCTTCCACGTCGGCCCGAACATTCAATATTCCGCCGACTCCAGACGCAAATCACCAAGTGCTGCTTCTTTACTGATCGATATCACGCGTATTCTTGGTGTCACTAATAAGTACCTTGCGGCTGGTGGAGTTAAAGGCGACTCCCATTTCCCATGGCATGCGCTTTCTAATCTATCTAAGATCCGACAAGAATTAGATATCTGGGCGGCCGGTACGCAGGACGTATTTGCATCCATTGACGCATTGTTCGGTCACCCCGAGAGCACTACCCTTTTGCTGAGCAAGTTGATCTACCATTTAGTGCACTGTTTGATCTACCGCCCATTCCTACCCATTGACTTGGTAGAGCTCCGAGGGACGGGGCAGCACCAGTCCTGGCAAATTGAAGCCACAAACTTGTGCTTTTCGCACTCTAATGCCATCGCAGAACTCGTTGAACTGGGCCGTAATTCTCCGCTGATTGAGTGGCCTGCTTTTGTCGGGTACTGTGTGTGTACAGCCGGCACCGTGCATGTTCACGGTGTGCATTATAAGGGCCGCGAAGGAGAAGTTTTCTCTTCCAGTGCTGAATTCCTGACTCGCGAGATGCACCAGCTTGCTTGGTTACGCAATATTTGGACTGGCGTGCAGCATCAACGCGAGCTGCTTCAGACTATCTATACGTGTCACTCCGAATTGGTGCGCAATCTTGCCAGTAGCCCGATGCGTTTCTCCCCAGTCTTCCATCTCGAAGACTTCCTCGATCGATACCCCGGTCTAAGCTTGGATGGATCACATGTTCGGCTCATAGATGCGGGGGATGATCTGGCTCCAAGGTAGGTGGCCGCCTGCCAATCCCATCTTTCATATACGTATCATATAGGATCACTAATTGGAAACAGTAATGCGAGCTTCGTCGATCGTCAAGATCACTACTACCAGCGACCACTCGCCGCAGCCTCGTATCAGAATTCCTCGTCTTATTTCTCAACTACACGGCCTGGGCCATCGACACCAATAACATCCACCCAGGGCTCAGATATCGACCGTCTCCACTCCCATTCCCATTCTCGGTCCCAGAAACTCGTGCACCCGACCTCCCTCTCGCCCACCCTTCAATTCCACTCAATGCCAAGCAATCAACACCAATCACCATCCCTGACCTCCATCTTTTCTCTTCCAGCCGGGACAGACCTACCCGCTCCCAGCACATCAGAAAACCCCCACCTTTCCATCCCGGGCTTCTCTCCCTCTGCCTTCGGCCTTTCCCCGCCAGCTTTTCTCACCGATGGCAGTCTGAACATAGCACCGACACCGCCGCCAAACCCGCAATATGCAACCTTCCCCTTCGACTCCGCTCATGCCAATCTAAACGGAATGGTGCAGTCGGCCCTGACCCCAGGTGCCCAGTCCCAAACTAGCGGCACCCACACCACAGCTGGCAGCGAGGGCACATCTGAAAAGGACCCTTTCCTGAGTTTGCTAGAACAGCTCGCTGAAAATGAGAACTCGCAGGGCGGGCCAAGTGAGCTTGATTTCTTTTTGACGGGCACCGGTGCCGTTGAAAGCGGTACCGAAATTCCTCTGGAGAAGGATGGTGCTCCATAGGGGCAAAATTGGTATTGGGGATTATGATTCCCCCGTATATTTTCTGGTTTGGTGTATCTTCTTCGCTGCATAGCTTTTTTCTTTTTTTTTCTTCCTAGGCTGTGGCCGAATCGACTGATACCCATTGTGCGAATTGGTTTTATTTATCACGTGGGTGCTGGTGTCTGGGTACATCAAATACCCAGACCAGAATACATATAACGTAGGCCTAGTGTATGAACTACACAAATGAACACTGGTTGACCTACGCGTGGTCAACAAACAATATGTGGACAAGCCCACAACAAACCTACGATCAGATTAATGAGAGTCGGTCCCAACAAAATCACCAAATCTTCTAAATGTCACGGCAAGTCGCCTGCCCTCATGGGAATGCATGTCCGATATCACGTGTTAATCAAATATGGCTAGCGTACAAATGCCTTTTGAGGTGGTTTTGGCTCTTCACTCCTTGATAAACTACTCGTACACTTTTAACACATTCAATATCTATATTTAAGTCTATAATGAAGTTCTCATACAATGGTATTCTCAGAGCTAGACAGAATTACACTGTTACTAATTTTCAACAATCTCATCTAGCTCCTTGTCGGTCCAAAGTTCTCCTGACCGGTCCGACCAAGTCACCTGACATTAGTCGGCATCTGTGCCTTCTTCCCGGAGTTACCCCGGTTTCGGCGGAGCTCCGCCGAGACCGCGGGACCCCCGCGTTGCAACAGATTTGTCACACCCCCCAGCTTAAGAAGCTTGACCATTCCCTCTTGATGTCACCCAACCAACGTCTTAAGACTCTAACAAATCACCTGCAAACCCCCAAAATGAAACTCCTCTACCCAACTTCCCTCCACATCGACACAAAGTCCCTGGAAGGCTTCTCCGTCGAATTGCATCCCTACGATGTCACACAACCAATCCCCGAATCCCTAATTGACGCCGAATTCCTTGTAACATGGAGCAACAAAGCCTCAAACCTCCGTGACGCAGCCTCTCGCATGAAGAATCTCCGCTGGATCCAGTCGCTAGCAGCCGGTCCAAATGATGTCCTCGCTGCGGGCTTTGATGCCTCCCGTGTCTCTATCACAACCGGTTCCGGCTTGCACGATGAAACTGTCGCCGAGCACACACTCGGCTTGCTACTCAACGCTTCCCGCCGCTTTTACGAAATGCGTGATTACCAGTCTCGTGGCGAGTGGCCCGGCCACCTCGGCGGCGCCCAGCCTGATCGTGCCCCTGGCACTTTCCGTACCCTCAAGGGTGCTAACATTACTATATGGGGATTCGGAAACATTGCCAAGTGTCTTGCACCCGTGCTGACTGCGCTGGGGGCTAATGTCACCGGTGTTGCACGGAGTACGGGCGTGCGTAATGGTTTCGAGGTTGTTGCGGAGGATCGCTTGCAAGATATCCTCCCCAAGACTGATGCGCTTGTTATGATTTTGCCTGGATCCGCGAGCACCAATGGTGCGCTTAATGCCCAGCGCTTAGCGTTGCTGCCAAAACACGCTTGGGTTGTTAATGTTGGCCGGGGAACTTCTGTTGATGAGGATGCGCTGCTTGAGGCGCTCGAAAAGGGTAGCATTGGTGGAGCCGCGTTGGATGTTTTCTCCGCTGAGCCGCTGCCAAAAGAGTCAAAGCTTTATGCCGCGCCTAATCTGATCCTTTCGCCTCATGCTGCTGGTGGACGCCCGCGTGAGGCTGAGGCGCTTATTGCGTATAACCTCAGACGAATTCTTGCTGGGCAGGAGTTGAAGAATATTATTCAAGCTTGATCTGGAGGTGGCTTTGGAGGTTTTTTGTTTCATAGATTTCATGAGTACATATCCATAGATGAAGTGAAGATCAGATGCCATAAATGGAAGGTAGGTTTTCAAGCCTTTTAGAACATTTTCTTTGTGTTTTGTTAGCATAAGAGTCTTTCTGGAGTGCTTTAAGATTGATCAAAAATTATTTTGACTATGGATTACTCCCGTCCAGACCATTCTCCACGTTCTACTCATTCTCCATCTAAGCTCCGTATGATACAATCAGGAGACCCAGAATGAACATGTAAGATTTGTCTTCAATGATGATACTACATGGAAACAGTTTGGATGAAACTTTCCCCAGCCGATTCCCGTGTGTAGTGGCCAGGAGATAGGGCTGGAGGATGGATGAAGTGAGAAAGGGCTCAATATAGACAGAGCTCATGATACTCAACGGCAATTGCAAAAAAAATGGCCAGCCTTAAGCTGTCAGCAGGTTCTTGCATTAATGAAAAGAAGATCTTGGAAAAACACGCAGAGATGAAAATAAATGGAAAGTTCCGAGGGAAAAGCTAGGACCCAATAGAAGACAATATAACCACAATGTATTTGATAAAAGAAAAGAAATAGTGTACAATTTACTATGTACAGCAAAGGAAACTCAAATGCCACCCAGCTCCAAACACCATATCATAAATCAATGTCATCGCTTCGTCATCCCTCACATCCGCGATTTACTGGGAGCACAACAGGAAGAAGGGAAGGCATTCTTCGACTGGGTATCGACACAAATAGCCGAAGGTGGGACCCAGAGACCAGGATTCTTCTCAAAGAAGTTGGACGCACGCAGCATAATGCTCACCGGCTCAGCAGGCATAACAGGGAAATCCTCAGTACGAGGGAAATGGGTCAGACCGAACTGCAAGTAGCAAACTATATCGGTGTTCTCAATGTTCTCATTGCGTTGCGCCCAGTCGGCAATGGTCGAGTTATATGGGTGTCCCTCAGAGCCGTCAGATTGACAGACGTAGTCACCAGCTGGGAAGAGTTCGTAGTCCTTGTACGGAGTAACCCAGAGGGGCTTGCGGGCAAAGGCGGCGCGCTTCCAGACAGTGCTTCCGGGCTTGGCGAGCAGAGGGGGGCAGTTGTTGTTGAGAATCTTAAAGGCGACGGGCTTTTTCGCGATGGTGTTCATGCGGTTTGGGTTGATGATGTCCCATGATCGGTTGGTCTCGTAGCAATAGTCTGCAGCGCCCTCGAGGGATGTGCGGAGGGGAGTTTTCTTGCTATAGAAGCCGTTACCGTAGGGGTTCTCTGGGGAGCCGACGGGGGCTTCAGCGGCGATGGCGTCGTTTTGGACGACGGAGTTGTTTTGACCATCGATTTCAGGATCGATACGGAGAGAGAAGATGTGCTGGTGGTTGTGGGCGGTGATGGAGGGAGCGACTTCTGTGCCGAAGGGAGCGGCAGTTTCGGTTGGGTGCATGCAGTAGGTGTTCAGCATACCGGTAAGCTTTACCTCCAGCTTGTAGGTGCCGTCTAGAGTGAAGGTGTGGTAGAAGCCATATTCGTAGTTGGCGGCGGTGATAATTTGGGAGACAATAAGCTTGCGGTCACGGGCAGAGATTACTGTGCCGTCACGGAAATCGGTGTGTTTGTAGAGGAGGCCGTTGTCTTCCTCGTGAATGCAGATAGCGTTCTTGACTACGGCGGCCTCACCCTTGGAAGTAGACATTACACCATCCATGTAGTGAATGGCGCCCTTGCAATCACAACCCAACTTCAAGGAGTTGGTCATCAGACCAGTACCGTACTCGCCAACATCGAAAGCGTGCTTCTTGTGGTGGGGCTTTTCGGGGCAGCCGTAGGGAACAACCATTTCAACGACGGAGATACGGTTGAAGAGTGTCCGCTCACGATCCTCGTACATGTCATGGGTACGCACGTCAGAAATAACAATACCTTCGCGGTAGTTGAAACCAATGTGCATCTTGAAGTTGGCCCAGGTCAGTTCGTTGCCGCGGACCTTGAAGGAGACACCTTCAGGCTGGGTGATGTCGATGGGCTTGAGTCGATCGTGTTTGTACTTGTCGCCAATGAATTCGGGGAGGTAGTTGTGCTCCTTGAGAGGAGCAGCGGTCCGCTCGCCGTTGACGTAGCGAATATCAACGCTGAGAACCTCTTCCGTGTCAGTGTCGGCAACAACACTGAAATCCAGAGGGTGGGCGTATTGGTTATCGAACGCCGAGTTACGATAGTAAGCCAGACCCTGCTGGAGGCGGTGGTCGTACCCCCAGCGTTCATCGATGCCGATAGCCCATGCGTCAAAGAACACCTTGCTCATGTCAGTGATACCGATGTCCTCACAGGCACGGATGACGCGGGCGTCCTTGCGGGCAACACGTTCCATCACATCGAGATCCTCTAGGGTTAGGGTAGGCATAACGTTGTGAACGTCCTTCCATTCCTCAACTTTGCCGGTGGCGAGATTGGCCACCACCTCCGCGATCTTGTTGGTTTCGCGCACAATAACAATGGCGAAAGCACGACGGGCAGGGGCTGGGACGGCACCAGCACGGAATGCCCGGTATTCTGCTTTGCGAGGCTCGCGAAGTGTGAGGCAGTTGAACTTGAGGGACTTAGGGTTGGCGTAGTCCCGGATGATCTTTGCTGCCTCGGGAATTTCCTTAATAGAAAGTTGATCTGTAATTCGGAGTTAGCAACGCTGTCGGAGCTAATGTAGAGGTATTTCGTACCTAACGGGTGCGGGGTGGCTTGCGGCAGCATAGCAGCAGCGGCAACACTCTCATAATCTCCTTCACGGAAGATCGTATAGCCAGGAATTGACTCGGTATCAGGGGCAGACGCCATGATGAAGATGTGCAAGGGGGTATCAAGGGGAGTGAGGGAGTTGTAGACTTGTAACAAACTAGAAGCTCCATTCCACCGCTGCGATGGGCATTATATAGCCTATAACTTTGAATATCTGATCGAATCTCCCCGCATGTACCTTCCCAGTCGGGTAGTCGGGATCTCTCTGTTGTGCAATATACGGATTTCAGACAAAGCGAATGGACCCGGGTGTGGGTTCTCTTGCCATTGCTTAATTTGGGGTAGAGTTTGGAGAACATGTGTGATTGAAATGAATTCTTCTGAGACTCGGATTCTATGGCATAATATCTTTTGCGTAAAGTGTTTGCCATTAAGGTCTTCTAGCCAATCACATTGTAACGGCTCGGAAAGATGTGTTGGCCACAGTCATCTACTAGCTGTTGGCCTAATAAGGCAAGTCTTACAGGGGAGACCGTGCGACGCTAGACAAGACCCCAATTAGACAATATCTGATCTGATAGACTAATCGGGAGGATGCGGCTGGGCAGGGATGGTGCCAAGGCGTTAAATCAAGCTTATTTCCCAGCCCTGGAACCCCTAGAAGGTTCCGTCGCATGGAAGTTATGTAAGCTTGACCTTCTGCAAGCTCCAGGGTTGGGTTGTCTACGGGCCATCACAGACCTTCCGCCTTCACTGAGTAGCAAAATGCTAAAAATTTAGATGACATTTGTTAACAGATAAGTCACTTATCAAAGATACGATTGACACGGAGGATGCGACAGTCAGTGCATGTACTTGCCTATTTGGGGTTAGCTCTTCATGTCAACGCCCGTCCCAAGTCAAATCCACGTCAATCCACATCCACCCCCGGTTTAGCTTCAAAAGTCCGGAGGATCTCTATCGTGTGGGCCCCCTGGACCATGCACCCGATATGGTGCCTAGAATGGCATGTCCAGCCGAATCACTTATCGGAATTTACATAGCTAAGCTTGGGTTTAAGAGCTAGTTACATATTCACCTCATCTATCTTTACTATCTTCTTCTACCGAAAGTTATTCACAATACGAAACACAGAAGACTACAGCCATGGCCGACTTGTCTGTTCAACTCACAGCTCCTAACGGCCATACTTGGACTCAACCCACCGGATTGTTCATCAACAACCAATGGGTCAAGTGTTCAACTGGGGAGAAGATCGCCAGCATCAATCCCACGTACGTGAGAGATTGAATTGAAAGATTCTATGCAATAACGGCATCACTAACTGGTGGTCAAATAGAACGGCGAAGGAGATCACATCAATCCACGCAGCTTCCGCCCAAGATGTCGACAAGGCCGTCAAGGCAGCTCGCGCAGCTTTGAATAACCCTTGTTGGCGCGACCTACCCGGTCTTGACCGCAGCAAACTGATGAACCGCCTGGCTCAGCTCATCGAGGACAACCGCGCCACGCTTGCCACCATCGAAACAATCGACAATGGAAAACCGTATTCCGTTTCTTTCAATGACGACCTTACCGAGACCGCTGAGACAATCCGTTACTATGGAGGATACGCCGACAAGGTTTTTGGTCAGGTCATTGATACAACGACGGATAAGTTTGCTTACACCGTGCGGGAACCCGTTGGTGTATGCGGGCAAATCATCCCGTAAGTCCTGCAGGCCTAGAATCAAACATCGCGAAGCCAATTGCTAACAGCGACACCAAAGATGGAACTTCCCCCTTGCCATGGCCGCCTGGAAGCTGGGGCCAGCCCTCGCCTGCGGAAATACAGTCGTTCTAAAGCCAGCGGAGCAAACCCCCCTATCAATCCTCTTCCTTGCGAACCTGATCGTGGAAGCAGGCTTCCCTCCCGGTGTGGTGAACATCGTGAACGGGCATGGCGCCGTCGCTGGAGCTGCACTCGCCTCACACATGGATGTGGACAAGATTGCCTTCACGGGTAGCACGGCGACAGCTAAACAAATTATGAAGATGGCCAGCGTGAACCTGAAAAACATCACCTTGGAGACGGGTGGTAAAAGCCCGCTGATTGTCTTCAATGATGCGGATCTCGAGCAGGCGGTTGAATGGGCCCATATCGGTATCATGTATAACCAGGGTCAGATCTGCACAGCGACATCCCGCATTTTGGTACAGGACGAGATCTATGACCGCTTCTTGGAGGCTTTCAAGGCCCAAGTAAAGAACGTTTCCAAGGTCGGCGATCCGTTTGAGGAGTCAACCTTCCAAGGCCCGCAGGTGACACAGGCTCAGTATGACCGTATCATGTCCTACATTGATGTCGGTAAGTCTGAGAAGGCCACTCTGATTGCTGGTGGTAAGCCCTTTACTGGTGTTGGTGATGGTAAGGGCTTCTTCGTTGAGCCTACTATTTTCACTGATGTTACGCCCAAGATGCGTATCTACCAAGAGGAGGTTTTTGGTCCTTTCGTGGTAATTGCCCGATTCAGCGAGGAGAACGACGCTATTGAGATGGCCAACGACTCAACTTATGGTCTTGGAAGTGCGCTGTTCACGACCAACCTGACTCGGGCACATCGCGTGGCTAAGAAAATTGAGGCTGGTATGGTCTGGATCAATTCTAGCAATGATAGCGATTGGCGTATTCCGTTCGGTGGCGTGAAGCAATCCGGTATTGGACGTGAGCTTGGAGAAGCTGGTCTTGCTGCTTACTCGAATATCAAGGCTATCCATGTGAACATGAAGTCTAAGCTATGAAAGCAACCATGGCTTGAACGACGCTTTGCAAAAGGAAGAGCGTATTGTACATAGCAAAATTGAACCCTTAATGTATGACAAATATTACCCATTACCGCAACCAACTTCCAATCTGATCTGATTTCACTGGATTTAGGCTCTGTTCTTTCTCCCGAATTGTATGTTTACTGGCATTGGCAACAATCTCTCAGTGAGGTTCGAAAGGGCCTCACTTTTTCGTCGCTAGAGATGGATATTAAGCTTCACTGGTTATGGAGAGTCAATCGGCAAGTCTATCCAGTGCCAGTTTGAGGAACCGAATTCTGAGCAATCAAACTACTTGACTAGGGAGGATTCAAAGGTGTTAGGTTTCTACGAGATTGTCAGGTTGTCAGGTGAGTAATAATTGCTGATGAGCTCCTACTAGTAGATCATGATGGTTATTGGTCGCATTTGCGACTTCACTTTCAAACCTGTCGGATTTTTTCGGCTGTCAGGTTGTCAGGTGGCTGGCAATATCATAATATCAGTAGCTACCAGTATGCACTGGAGACACTGAAAAAAAATATATATTTGAAGGAGATTGGATTTGGCTTGAGAGAGGAGGCATTTAATCTAGGCGACCCCATAGTAGTTACCGGGTCATGAGGCGATTGATATAAATCATTGATATTTGGAAATCTATAGATGATCCAAAGGTGATTCCCTCCTCGCATTTTGCTCTCTTCTAGATAAATCCCCTCCAAGAACCTAGATCTTGCCCTTTCCCGACCACAATGCAGTTTAACGTAGCTGAAGAGATCCCTTCGAAACTCTAGAGGGCCCATTGAGAACCCATTCTATAACGAATTTGAGTAGAATGCTCGAGGAATATTATGTATACATGTAGGCTGTTCGTCGAGACATCCCGTTAACAAATCCGATTTCACCAAGCAAAGCACAAATTCGAGAAAAAGTGCAATATTGGATGAAACTTTTGGTCAACATCATCCAAGTAACCTCTCATAGACCTTCCTTCTTTGGCCCAGGCAGCGGATCATTCGCAACCGCGTGGGCTTGAATAACATGAGGAATAGAGTCCTCGGTGTTGAGATAGGTGCGACTGCCCTGGACGAACCAGAAAGATACAGCGATAACAAGCATGACGCCAAACACGCCGATAGCGTAATTCATATCACCACCTGAGGGGTTGGGTGTACTAGGGAAGAAAAAGAAAACGGTGGTCACACAGCAATACACAAGGGAGACCCAGTTTACCGGTGCACCCAGTCTCCCAAGGTTGAACTGGCCACCATGTGGGAGTTTATTGCGGCCCATTAGGAGTAGGGTCATGATGGGCAGCCCATATGAGATGGTCAAAGCGATGGTGCTGACGCTGAGGATTGCGTTTAACACGGTCTCTGCGAACAGGAATAAAACCCCGACGAGTGCTATGATTCCGCCCTGGAACCAGAGCGCCCTAACGGGGGCCTTCCAGTAAGGACTCACCTCCGATAGGTAGGTGCTAAAGGGGAGTCCACCATCACGGGCAAAGCCCCAGGTGAGGCGGGATGCCGTGGTCACGATGCTGATTCCCTGCCCAAGGCCATTCGTGATAAACAGGGCAATCAATACTGCACCGCCCGTCTGACCCACCGTTTCTTGGACGAGTTCCATGAACGGTAGGCCGCTAGGCGAGTCCACCACTGTGTCCACCTTTTGAATACAAAAGAGGCAGACCATCATCAAGATGAAACCGCTGACCGCTCCGGAGATCACAGAAAGATAAATCACCTTCGGGGCATTTTTGCGAGGTGCCGGAATCTCCTCTACCAGGTGAATAACGGCATCAAAGGCAGTCAGTCCATATGCAGCCTGGACTAGACCGATGAACCAGACAACGCCATCGGGCCAGCCGGTTTGGTTGATCCATTTTCCAAATGCGAAAGAGGCAGGCTGATAGAAAAGGCCTTCTTTGGTTCCCACTGAAATCAACAGGGCAAGGCAAAAAACGAAGAATAATCCAAAGAACCAGACTCCGACAAAATTGTTCAGCCATGGCAGGAACTTGTCCTTCCGACACCCCATCACATTAATCAGTGTGAGGGCAAACACACATGCAATATAAACCACAAACTCAAGCCACCCTTTTGACGCACCAGTCCAAGATGGACTAAACATAACCTTCATACCGAGAAGGAAATTGGTCATAAACGCCACCTGGGAGGCGGCCAGTGTCCACCACCCAAAAACATTGATCCAAGCACACATATAGGATAGGAAGCGTCCAAAGCGTGAGTCCCAGAGACGGTAGATCCAATATGCCTGTCCGAGGGCAGTAGGCATGCTGCTGCAGATCTCACCCAGCGAGAGGGCGACACAGGTGTTGCAAAATGTAACAAGAGACAGTCCCCACAGGATAGAGACGGGGCCGCCGTTGATCAGACCATCGGCAAGATCCTGGGCAAAGGTAGACCATGTTCCTAGCACGCAGAATGCTAACGCTAGCATGCTCCAGATGTTGAACTTGCGGGCAAGTGTTTGCTCGTGGCCGAGTTCGGCGAGGTCGTTGGCATCTTGTGTGCTTTGGTCGGTTGGTTTGAGGGTTGTTTCAGTTTCCACGTCCATCGCAAGAGAGAGGGTTTGGATGGGTAGGAATGAGGACGGAGGAGGGGTTTGAATTGTTCACTTGAGGGTCATTCCCAACGTAAATGATGCTGTGAAAACAAAGCACTTCTAGTTTGTATGCTCTAACGGCAATGTACTAGATCATGAATGGGGTCGCTGGAGCACTTGTAGGAACTGAATGTCCCGTATCCCCATTCACAAAACCTGGGGTTTTTGTCTTTTTCCCGGGGAACCCCATCGGCGTCGGGCTCAGTGGCCATAGAGAGGGGCATTCCTGGAGATTCACCGAGCGTGGCCCACATGGTAGATCTAAAACCCCCAGCCATTTTATCGGGGAGGTCTGTGTAGAGTTCCAGTTTTTTTTTGTACCCCACATGAGTACTGAAGATTCCCTCTGTGGAAGGTAGATGCGGGATATATGCAATGTCGATGATCAGATATCCGGAGAACTGGATATGAGCAATTTCGGTGGGAATTTCATTCTATGACACACAGATTTCAGGGGTTAGACATCACGGTCGCACCTCTTGGAATTGATTTTTCGCTTGAGAATTGTTAGGATTGTCAGAGTTGCCAGTGGAGAAGTTGAAGACAAGCTTGTTTTCCTGCATGGACCTGCCTAAAACGTAAACACTCCCAAATCTATAAACTGGTGGCATCTTCCATGACATATATACATGAGAACGGGTTTGGAATTTGCGGTAATTAGTGAAAAATATGTCTTTGTCAAGAACTGGGGAAGCACTCCCTATAGGAGGTCACAAAGCATTATTTCGCTCACTGAGATCTTTGTTCGGCCAATCACAGCCCGAGGATCAACATAGCACCAACACGCGCACGAGTATATATGAGTGAGGTCTAGGAGTTCCTGGGGCCCTTCTGACCTTACTGTTTGTGTTCAGCTTTCTCAATATGCCTCCAGCCGAGAAGCAAAAGGACTCTCACCGTCATCGCTCTTTCAAGGGATGCTGGACCTGCAAAAAAAGGAGGATCCAGTGCGACGAGTTACGCCCAGGCTGTAAAAAATGCAGCTCCAAGGGACTCACTTGTGAGGGCTATGAGATCCGATTGCGCTGGGGGGCTGGTATCGCCTCCCGAGGGAAGTTCTCGGGTGCCGAGAAGCCCGTGAAAGAATCTATACCCCCACGGTCGAAGCGAAGATGGGATATGCGAGACAAGGGGGACAAATCTCCTTTGGGGGATCAGAATGGTCAGCCTGTTCTAGTCTCTCAACCTCCAATCCAAGGTATCACCAGTTCATCAACGTCTTCAATGGTTCCGATGGTACCAAGCTCACATATTCTTCTAGATCGAGAACCTCAATTCGTTGCCGAGCGAGCAACAGTCAATATACTCAACTCATCCTGGGAGCCGGATTCTCCTCTGAGTTCGGCCATTAACAAGCATTTTGAGATACCTGTATCACTAGCCACTTTGGCTGCGAGTGGTGTGTATGGTCGGGATCCAAATATGACGGATCAATATGCCCAGCATGCAGCTCGACGGAGCATATTGGCGTGACAGTGATTTATTTTGGATTTTTGTATTTTAGCCCTGCGAATGACTCGCGTTGTTATGAATTTATGACACAAAAAGGTTATGATTCACATACAAGAATGATATTACCACATTAAGATCGTTGTATATATATGTCCTATTCATCCTCACGAATCGTCGCGCTCCCCCCTTTCCGCCCCTTGCTTTCCAAATTATCGGCCATCTGGGATGCTTCAGATCGATGACCTGCTCCTCGGGTATCCAAGCTATCAAAAGATTCATAAAAATGCGACGATCGGCCGCTCATCACGTTATCAATCGACAATGGCGACGCCATTGACAGTGAAGATGGGCGCCGGTTATGTCCTGTTGGATAGTAGTACTCCGAGTCCGCCTGACTAGAAGTTCGTGGTGAAACGGGAGACTGGGAGCCTCGCCTTGAATCAGTGCTGGTGTCAGGTTTAGAAGGCACACCATGAGCGAAGGACGAGGCGTTGAATGGTGTGGGGAGCTCGACGGGCGATGAATCTGGATGGACATCAGGATGAGTACTGCACGCTATATCGCTTATCAGGAATAAATCAAGCAAGTCATCGACATACCATGCATCTCATATAGTGCACCTCCTCCAGATTCGACCGTGCCAGGGGTTGCGGGCGAGACGATGGAATCTGGTACAGTTGAAGCCTGCGTCATCGATGGCTGTGTTGATCGCTGAGTTGGCGTGGTCTGCATCGTCTGCCCAGTCTCCGTGGTCTCCATACCTGTGGATTCAGATACTGGGCCGGGTCCAGGAGACGCTGGGCCGCTCGCGTACATCCATCCCGGCTGACTGTTCCTGCTTTTAGCCTCTGTGGCCTCTGATTCAGCTTCTGCAGTCTTGCGTTGACGGTGACGTCGGCGAAGAAAAAAAAGCCCTGCAAGGACCGCAATGATGAGTAGGCCCAAGACCGCGCCGATTACTCCACCAGCCCAGCTGGGGAAACCACTGCGCCCGTTGTGATCGTTCACGGCGCCACTGGTGCTGGTATTGTTATTGCTGCTTGTGCTATTGTATGGCCAGTATGTCTTGATAGGCTTGCCATACTTTTTGCCAAAGACTGCCGCTAGGGAGCTGTTGGTCCATGACGATGGGGCGGCGGCGGTGGCACCTCCATCGGTGCTAATAGGCTGTCAGCCATGACGGCTCGCTTTCCTCACTGCTGAGTTTATACTCACTTGCCCCCTATATGCTTCGTGACGAGATCTGGCACTTTATACTTACTCCAATTCCTGGGATCATATCCATCCTCAAATTTCAGTGTGTTGAGATTGAAATTGACAACGACACCACCCTCCAGGCAATGACCCGTATCAACATGGTGACCTCCGACCGCCAGCATTTGATCAGGATATACTTTGATGCATCGGTGGCCGCTGCGACTGTGTGTGTTTGTACCGTTGTATGCCTTGAACCACTCGAAGGAGGGTAGAGACAATATATACACGTCGTCTGACGGATTGGTGTCAATTTTAAGACCGTCATACCCCCCATAGATGTAGATATTGTGAGATGACCCATCTGCAGCACTTGCAAGCACAGAGCAGAACTCCGTCAGTTGTGGTGGTATATCACCCTTTGTTTTCTGGAGATACCAGGTCTTACTCTTGACATCGAAGACCGAGACTGTCTCCATAAAGGTCGGACTAATCTTCTTGCTCTCTGCCGTTCGAGATGAATTTGCATCCGCATTCCGGTAAAACTGAATGGGTTCAATCACTCCGCCAATGGCTACCAAAACTCCAGAGTCGGATACAGGCACCCAGACCAATTCCGCTCTGGAACGAGGAGGGATATAGCTCGGTAGTGTCTCGTTTGTCCACTTTGCATCTTGCAACACCGACATGTCCACGGTGATTAGTGTGTCGGCCGGCTGGTTGGATTGAAGCTGGTTTACAGTAAAGTCGCTCCAGTTTGGTGCACGCATCCCGCTGAAATAAAAACCTAGCTTCTCGCTGGGCGCAGATGCACCAGCTCCATTGGTAATATACCGTGTGACGTTAGTAGAGAGTTCTTCTTGTTTCCAGCCCGGCGCCCACAAATTTCTATGAGGACCATACTGGTGCGCGGCGTACGACAGGACTTGATTAGCCGCTGGACGGCCGGAGATCCCGCTATTAGGGAGCATGCCTCTGTTATATAGAGCCGCAGGGTCAGTGAGTTGTTAGACGAGTGAGAGACGAGGGACAGCAACCCATAGAGATAAAACTCGTTGTCATTGGCAAGCATCATGCCATCAACATAGTTTGGCGCTACACTAGTAGCACCATCAAGGACCGACACATTGTTGAGGATGTGCATGAAATCCGATGTAGTGTTGAAAGAAGTGGTAAGGTTGAGGTAATGAATGGTGGATTTCACATCTGCTGCTCGTTAGCTATGCACAAACATCAAGATTCATTTAATTGTGCCTACTATCATCTGGCATTGGCAAAGTGCAACCGTCATCATAATCCCTGGAATTGTCAGTAAAGGTCATAAGTGACCATAGGAAACCTCATACCATTGATACCATAGCTGCCCGCCGTCGAGGTAGATTGTATCGCGCAGGATATTCGCTACCAGTGTCAATCAAAATAACCTATCTGAAAAAAAGCAACCGAGTGCCTACCACGTAGGCCTTGCCAATTGCACATCGAAACGTTGACCTGAGTCGGACGTTTACTACACACGGCCACTGCCCAGTCTACCATGCCCAGCAGCAGCACCGTCCCCAAAAGGAACCGCATTTTTTCAATTGATTAGATGGTTGGGAGCATCACTTCACAACTTGTAAATTGCAGAAAAGTCCGGATTTTCATCTGACAACTACCCCAATGCGAAAAGGCAGGGGCGGGAACTTGTGATGCGGCTTTGTTGTCTTTGGACCTCTGGATCTTCTTTGTTGTCAATTACCCCACTCTGAATACGACCTGGGAAAAAAAAAAAGACGAAAAAAGACGAATCAAAAGATGGGAAAATGCAGTGAGCATACTTAGCTTCCGGCCCGGACGGCCTGATCATGACCGTGACTGTGTTGATGCATTGCCAGGACGCAGCTACGGGAGATGCAACCCATCAACCGCAGGGGTATGTATTTTTGCTGGCCCCCGCCTGCGCTCGAGGCATAATGAGAGAATATCATTTCCTTATCAATCATGGTCGGGGGCTATGCCGTCTGAGCTGCCCGGAGGTGACCGCGGAGATTTTGAGCCTCGTAATGTTGGGCTTTCTTTCATTCGGGAGGGCCGTGCGTATGTATGGGATATCTGCCAATTCCTTCTATTTTATTTGTCGGGCTAGTTTATTTTGCTGGATATCTCCTCAACTTCTACAGATACGCGAAGATGAATACGCTCGTTTATTTGTCGCTGACTCTCGTCGCTTTGGTGGCATCAAGTCACAGCAGTTTAATCAACAGATCTCCTTCAGTGCTAGAACTAGAAGGTGGATTGCCTGCTACAATAAGAGTGGGAGTTACCCTTTGGCTCGGTGATGGCGAGTCATGCACCGCTGAAACTGTCACCCACACTTCTACGCAGACTGGAGATATCTCTCCAGGTGCCACTACAATCACCATTGTCGAAGCTACGACCAAGACTGTTGGTGGTTGTCAAAATGCTCCTACTCTGGATGTCCTTGCCAATGGTGGTATTGGACTGGTAGCTCCTACTGCGAGTGCGGCTATAGTACTGCCCGACTATGATTACACAGAAACCATCACGGATTACACGACTGAAACTATTACATCCTGTACATGCACCGATGACTCGACATCAACATCTACAACTACAACCACATCAGTCCCTACGACCACATCAACTCGTACGACCACACCAGCCCCTACAACCACATCAACGCCTACATCAACATCAACGCCTACATCAACATCAACATCAACATCTACATCCACATCCACATCCACATCAACATCAACATCAACGCCCACATCAACGCCCACATCAACGCCTACATCGACGTCTACATCAACGCCTACATCGACGTCTACATCAACGCCTACATCAACGCCTACATCAACGTCTACATCTACAACCACATCTACAACCACATCTACAACCACATCTACAACCACGGCTAGAACTACATCCCAATCCCCATCCACATCAACGACATCACCTACCACTTCACTAGGAACGACGACTCTAGCAACTATTACGGTGACGACTAGGACCACTTCAAGCGTCAGCACCGTCACTATCCCAGGTACATTGCCACGCATAAAATTGATTGTTATTGCAACAGCTAACACTAGTAGATTTACCACCGACCAAAACAGTCCCTCCATTGAGTACTACCACCTCTACGCAGAGCTCTGGCAGTACTACCACGCTATCTATCTCTGTGTGCTCTAGTCTTGTCAGCAACCCATCCTACACGCCTTCTGCCGCGTTGCCAGATGACTATACCTGGGGCTGCGCACCCGGGTATCTTTGCAAGCCAAGTCATGTAGGCGATCGCTCGGGATGCAACGTAGAAGCAGGTCTTCCTGACCCCGGATATGTCTGCATCCCCTCAGACTGCATTGTGGCTCCACCTGTGGACCTCCATCCATCTTGGCAGTACAATGTCTCGAACAATTATTACAATCTCAATCCGGAAGACTTTGGTCTCGATTACTCCATCTTCCATCCCTTGGAAGATTCGGTTGCAGCCAATAGTAAACGCTACATGTCCTCATGGGACTTTGATGTTGCCCAAAAAGCAAAACGAATTGACATTTCAGATATCCCCTATGTATGTTACAATGATTGTAATCTTGCTGCACGAGAGCCAGAATTGCTCGGAAAGACACCTGGGATTTGCAAGAGTGACTCGGCATTCATGGAAAATGTGGCTATTTGTAAGGAGTGCATCACCCACAACCGCGAATCTGGCTCTGATGTATATACATCCAAAATGATGCCATCATTTGCTCAGTGGCTGAATTATTGCTCCGATAAGGTCACTTCCACAACACATGAAAGTGCCACTGCCACTGAAACGAAAACTACGGCGACAAGCACCCAGACCGATGAAACCACTACTACAAGCACCGAAGCAACGACAGCAGCCACAATAACAAAAACCCAAGCTACTCGCACCAAGGCTACCAGCGCAGAAGAGACGAGCACTGGGCCCACAATTACCGAGCCCAAGAGCACCCGTTCTCCTGAGAAGAGCACCCAGTCTACTGAGAAGAGCACCCAATCTACCGAAGAGAGCACTCAATCTGCTGAAAAGAGCACTCAATCTACTGAAAAGAGCACTCAATCTACTGAAAAGAGCACTCAATCTACTGAAAAGAGCACTCAATATACTGAAAAGAGCACTCAATATACTGAAAAGAGCACTCAATATACTGAAAAGAGCACTGCTATCACTGAGACAAATGAAACGTCTGATTCGGCAGAGATAACTCCGTCTGTCACTTCTATCACCACGCCAACTTCCCGCTCAGTTGTGCCAACTTCGGCGTCTGGTTTCATTGTGACAACTTCTTCCGCTGAATCTGTTGTTCAAACCTCAACGTCGAACTCACTGATGAAAAGCTCAGTGGGTGGGTCGATTATGACTACTTCGGTATCTGGCTCGCTTATCACAACATCCTTGCCCGATTCGATTGACACTGCGTCAAGCACTCTGGGCGTAGGCTCAGGGAATGGAAGCACATCCGACAACGCTTCAGATAGTACATCGAGGTCGGGTCACGGAAGTCAGACTGCTTCAGCAACTGCTTCCTCGGTTTCACCGTCCTATAACGCGGCACGATCTAGAGATATCTCTCATCTTGGCTTAATGGGTCTGTTTTGGGCTGCTTTCGCACCACTCCTTTAGAATCCTGTCTTTTTGCTGCGTTTTTGTTGATCTGTCAGATGTTTATGATGTACTTAATTGGTTTTAGTAATCGTGGATTTATTAGTCCGCTTTAATGAAAATCATCTAAATGAAAACAGAGAAGAAGTAGCCTCTGTGCTTTCGTCTAGACCTTTTCGTACATTTAGGCTGAGAGATGTATAAAATGTCAAGTACTCATTCCAAACACTGGAATTGTAGGGTAGATCTGGTTAGAATCCCACTAGACTGAGTAAGCAAGAGTGCCCAGCTATAAAAAAGGTTGGTTGCCAATAAGCGAAGCCGGTTGGTGAAAGAAAGGTTCATGGGATGGATGTGCGTTTCCTTTCTGTAGTACATAGGCGACTGCGACGGACGTAATGGGACATGATGGCGCTTGGTGACTGCATCCAAGGCGGCCGACACTAGCGCCCGGCAAAGCCCATCTGGGGGTTCAACTGGGATCTTATGATCGTATTCTGACCTTTCACTTACTATTCGAGTCAATGTCTGTGACATGGCTAGATTGAAGAAGGTCACTGGACTTCACCGTTTCTTTTCCAATGAGGAAGAGGCTATAATGGCCGTCTAGGCTCGATGTCTGCATTTTACAGCTCTAGCCGTGTTTCCAACAGGAGCCTTGGAGAATGTCAAAGAACGGTGTCAAGAACGGTGTTCAATCAAAATTAGAGCCCGAGCCCTAGCCTTCTTTTCTCATAGAAACAACAAGTTTTGATGCGCTTGAATTAACACGCGGATCATTATTATGGCCAAGTCAGTTCTATTCTCGTGATTCTACGACCGTTACGCCTCTACTGTCAAATGGGTCATTGCGCCCGGTGTCCACACCTGTGGGAGGTCGCCCCCGAGCCTAACGATTGGCTGAGCGATTGACTGAACAGCCTCCTCTTTCCGCCCCATCCAGGAGCACATCAGGTCGACTTCCCCTCATCAGCATCGGTTCTCCTCGGCAGTTCCCTCACTCATTATCGCCCATCCACAAAATGGCCCAACAGAGTTTGTCAGACATATTAACCACCGCCGCTGTGGATCTGGCCCCTTATGAAACTCTCTACAAGCATTTCCATACGCACCCCGAGCTCTCGCTTCAAGAAAAGGCCACATCTGAAACGATCGCTTCACATTTGTCCCAGCTGGGAGCGTATGAAATCCACACCAACATTGGAGGATATGGTCTTGTAGGTGTTCTCAAGAATGGCACCGGAAAGACAATTCTTCTTCGCGCCGACATGGACGCACTTCCAGTCAAGGAACTCACCGGCCTCCCCTACGCGAGCTCGGTGACTATGTCTGATGCTGATGGCAATGAAAAACCAGTAATGCATGCGTGCGGTCATGATATGCACATTACATGTCTCCTCGCAGCTGCTGAGGTTCTGGCCCGTACACAGAATTCGTGGAGCGGGACTTTGATCGTACTCTTCCAGCCAAACGAAGAGCGCGGCGGAGGCGCTCAGGCTATGGTTGATGATGGTCTTTATTCAAAGATTCCCATGCCCGATTACGTTTTTGGTCAGCACGTAATGCGAATGCGGGCGGGAAGTGTTGGTTCCCGACCTGGCACGATCATGGGTGCTGCCGATAGCTTGAAGATCACTCTTTACGGTCGCGGTGGCCATGGGTCAATGCCCCATCAGACCGTAGATCCCGTGCTCCTTGCTGCACATGTCGTTGTTAGGCTTCAGGACATTGTGAGTAGAGAGGTGGATCCGAGCGATCTTGCTGTCGTGACGGTCGGGAGCCTGCAGGCAGGGCAGACAGAAAACATCATTGCCGATCGGGCAGAAATTGGGGTTGATTTTCGGACTGTCAAGTTGGAGACTCGGGAGAAAATAATTGCTGCCATCCGGCGCATTGTTGAGGCCGAGTGTGTTGCCAGTGGATCGCCGAAACCGCCGGTGTTCACACCGACGAGGCGGTTTCCGCCCACCGACAACGACAAACATGTGGCTTCCCAACTGGCGGCGTCCTTCGCAGACCATTTTGAGGACTTTGATGACGATACTCCAAGGACCAATGTTAGTGAGGATTTCTCCACGTTGGGTACTTCTCAGGGCCTTCCTTGCTCCTTTTGGTTCATTGGAGGAATTGACCCACAGCTCTGGGATATGGGCCAAAGAAAAGAAATTCCCATGGATGAGATCCCTGGAAATCACTCGGCCCTGTTTGCTCCAGTAATTCAACCAACGATGAGAACTGGAGTGGATGCATTATGCATCGCGGCTTTAACATTTTTGAAAAAATAGTCATCGGCAGCCAAGAGGGGCTCTAGCCGTTGAGAAACGTTGGCGCTGTATATAGTGAAATGCTTGAAGCGCCGAGGGAAAAGTTTCGATTCCATATCCTCTGGGTTATGGCCTTTCCGCATAATGTATATCTTATTCTGCAAGTTTATTTTATCATCTTCGCCCCGTGAGTGGCGGAAGCAGAAACCCGATCTGATATTGATATCTCATCTTCTATATGTCATTGTTCAAATCCAGCCAAGAAAGACACCACGGCCGACGCAAATGCTTTGGAATCATCCTGACCCTCATCAAATTCATTCCCAACTTGCTGCAAGAACAACGCCAACTTTGACTCCTTCCAGCCCATGACCGGCGCAGATTCCAAGCACATTTTGGTCATGCCAAAGACATCCATTTCATAATGACCCTGCACCGACAGCACTCTACCGGGGTAGTACAATCCCTGGATAGGGCAGATTGGTGTACTTCCAATATTGATCCACGGCGCGGGCAGCGAAACCGGCGGGCAGTCGGTAAGGGTAACAGCAGTTCCCTTCTCAACCGCCATCACCCGATCGCCATGGAACATCTGAATACGCAACTGTCCCTCAGGAAGATCACCGAGTGCACCAGGGAATGACTGTACAAATGCCTTTTCCAGTCGAACGGTATGAATTCCGACTTCACGACCGAGAGGGCATTTTTCAACCCAGACATCGCGGACCGGGTCATCCACATTGCGCACGAGAGCGTGCGAAATCAGTTGATGGCCGAAGCATGTGCCAAGGATGCGGACTTGTGGGTATTGGTTGTAAACTGTTTTGACGAATTTTTCGAGTTCTTGCATCCACGGGGAATGATTCATTTCGTATACGCCAGGCGACCCTCCGGTGATCAAGACTGCGTCCACTGGGGATTGCACGAGTATTTGGCTCTCGGCTACATGACCGCGCAGCTTGTATAGTTCGGGGTAATGGCCTCCTCGGATATCATATGGGGTGATCTTGATTTCGAGTTGCTCTTTCTCGGAGAAAAGAGTCTCGTTCAGTCGTAAGGCAGTCTCGCGGAGGATGGTTCGGAAGTGGGCACTACAGAGTCCTCGAGCCTCGTATAGTTTTCGAGCTGGGATATCGACATCTAAAACGGCGATATGAATATGATGAACCATTTTTCAAAGGGTGTTTTAATGGGATATTGGAATTATGGAGAGTGTGAAGATTTCAACCTTGGGTCTCCTGCCAAAGATAATTTCCCCATCTTAACTCCGAGACCAAGATAGAATTGGAAACCAGTTAGGTAAGAGGTAGCGTTGTGAATTGCGTTTATATTATAATTTAGGATCGTAATAATAAAGGATCGCATCAACAGAATACGCAAATACGCTGAAGCTACTCCAACTCCAACGGAGAAATTAGGTAAAAGCTAACGTTCTAAGCTTGTCACTCGATGAGCTTATTTTTTTTTACTATCCACACCGTCTTACACCGAATACGTATTCAGATCTTTTCGGTAGAAATAGGGCTTCCCGAGAATAAACCGGGTAACTGCGATACTCAGATTTGCTGGGCCCTAATTTCAAGCATTTCAAGCTTCACCCTACAAAGCTTCCGGAACCAACAGCTCTCGCCCAATTCATATTGACATTCAATTCCTCAAACCACGAGACCTCTTTCTACAATATAGTTCAGGCTCAAGCTCCCTAGAAGGCTAGGGCATATGTTGATCAATATTTGCCGAGTGCTTGGTAAATGGAGCATCCGGAAAGTCAACCCCGTTTCTTGAATCTTTGTAAAGTACAGGCAAAATTTCACCTTCAAATTGTCGCGTCGATCATTTTGTCGGCTACTTCGAGTAATGTATCGGCCATAACATCCATCTTAGTATCAAAGATCTCAATACACGACTCCTTCTCGTAGATAGAGCAGTAAGCGCCGCGGAAGCTAATCATTTCGAGACAAGTTAGCTAGGATATCTTCATTTCCTTTTGGGCAACCGTAAGACCTACCCAGCTTTCACGGCCGCGCTTACATCCCACATATGCGCCGCCACGAACCACTTTTGATCCTCGGTATTGAACTTGTCTAGCATGGGCTTGTAGGACCCCATCGAAGGTTTGACCATATCAAGCGGGGACTCCGATGCAGAATCATGTTTCATAAACTGATGGCAACTGACGAGATTTTCAGCGGGCATTTCAAAGCCAGCGCGCCTGAAATAACCGCCGACTCTTTCTGTGTCGCCTGTGGTTAAGCACCAGATAGTGAAACCATTCTTCCTTAATTTTTCCATCATGGCATGGCATTCCGGGCGGAGTTCCAGCTTTGAGTATGCATCCTGGCATATGTCTCTTTCCTCGTCAGTCGCAAACGATCTCGGGTTTTCGATGCCGGACATGTATAAGACACGGTAAAAGAGCGCCTTGAAAACTTCCTTGTACGGCACACTCCGCTTGGACATGTGGAGCATTAGAGACTCGAGCTCGGAGGATTGCATCCATGCAAATCCGAATATCTTGGCCGACACTGCATGGGCTTGCAATCGTGGGCCGAGAACCTGTTCGATTGTGTCGAGAAAGACGTCGAACGATACGCAGGTGCCGACGACATCAAAAACGGCGTGTTTCTTTGAGATAGTCATAATGCGCATACAGGATTTTGGCTAATGATTTAATGAAATTGAACTGGTAGACTGAAAGGATCCTGGGATGTCACTCTGGACCTCTTCACAACCATTTATTTAATGAGCTTCGCCAATCCCATATTGTCTACGGACCGGCGCTATCTGATCATCCACATTTCGTGAATCAAGATAAGAATTGAGATTCGCTCCGTACATATGAGTTCCGAGAGATGATACGCAGACAGCGACGGGGTGGGGACTCCGGAACTAACTACATCCTCCTTAGTACTCCGTACGGAGTACACTCCGGCAGCTATCTTTGAACCAAAACCATTCCGTGCTGGAGCTCGATCACCTATCGATTACATTCTTTCAGGATATTCAAACCACAATCCAAAGGAGTGTTTGTTGTCCGATATAGAATCGTTGAGATATATATCATTTATTTTTGAGGTTCGCAGAAAAGAATACGATCTTTCTCATTTAGTCAACATGCCCCATTGACATTGGTATTCATAAACACCCAAGTCTAAGTCCCGAGAAGCGTCCAGAAAAAATCTAATTATTAATTTACCGAGTTAGTATAGGTATAGGTGTTGAAAGACGTTCATCTAATGGTCCTATATGCACTTTATCAACCACTATCTATCTACTGATCACGTAGACTACCATCAAAATTATATTTCCAATTTATGGCCACTTTACATCTCTTGAAGTCAATTTAAATAACCTTGAAGACCCCTAAACTAATCAAGCAACTCCACCAGCGAGCCAAGAGGTCTTGTAGATACAGTGATCCAAGCTCTGCTCCATAGAATGTTCAGCCTGCGAAGACCTTTCCTTGGCTTTGGCTTTGGCTCTGGGTTGCGATTGGCAATATCGATGAATGGTTGGATGGGAATATCTTCCAGGGGGATGATCTTTGTCTTGCAAACAAACTTGTACCCGAAATGCATGATCAGAAAAAGGGGAATATTGATATAAGAGGAGACAAAACCTTCGTTGTCCCAATGTCCCTTGATAAACGTAGAGTACCCGCCAGTGATGAGCAGAATACTAAGCATGAACAGCGAGGCCCAGCTGATATATGGCTGGAATGGTGTCGCCCATGGGAGAGACTTTCGAGAGATCCCTTGCTTCTTGCACCCATAGTAGAGACGAAGATATGTGATCAGAATAGTCAGCCAGTTGGTTAGAGTTGTGATGGAGACAAGATCTTGTAGCCAATCAAACACGGTGTTGGCAGTGGAAGAGAGCGACATATATCCTAAACACATAAAAAGGCCGTAAAGTGAAACTGCAACCCAAGGAACCGAGAATCTGTTAAGGCGAGTGAAGAATTTCGGGGCTTGACTGTTCATCGCCAGCCCAACTAATGCCCTAGTCCCTCCGAGCATATTTGAGTTGCCTGAAGACCATGCCGACGTGATGATGACAGCATTGATAATTGATGGCACACCTTTGATGCCAGCCAGAGTCGCCGCGATCACAAAAGGAGACTGCGAAGCTGTCCCACTGGAATTGCTGAGTCTAGGGTCGTTAGAGGGGACCACAAGGCCAACCATGAAGATTGAGATGACTGAAAGGAAAATGTCAGAGCTCAGAAAAAGAGGCTTCCCGTTCTATTTCGAAATTCACATACCGTAGAAAATCAATATACGAATGAAAACACGCTTGGCTGCCTGTGGAATAGCTTGCCTCGGAGATTTTGTCTCTGCGGCAGCAACAGTAATTACTTCAATCCCCGAATAAGCGTAGAGGGCACTATTGAGGGATGTCCAGACACCGAGAAAGCGACCAAGAGCACCACCGATCCCAAGGTATTGAACGAAAGGCCCAGGATTGTTCCAGTACTCAAATCCGATAGTTTTATGGTCAGGACCGCCACCACATGTGATCACAAGAGCCTGATTCATACTTGTTAGCATCACTACTCACCAAAATTCAAGCTACGCTTACCATTATGTTGATTCCTATGATCAGCAAGATCTTTATCATGGAGAAACCGAACTCGAGCTCCCCGTATACTCTCACAAAGACCAATGCGGTAAACACCATGAGCAATCCAAAGATAGTGATCCAGATCGCACCATTGATATCAGACCAGAACTGCACTAGCACAGCAGCAGCCACAATCTCTGCGGGGATAGACACAAGGTAAGAATATACCACGTTGTAACCGTTGGCAAATGCCAATGCCGGGTCAACAAAGTATTCGGCGTAGCGGACTATTCCACCGTTCAGAGGAACGAGTGTGCCCATCTCGCCCACTGCAAGGGTTACCGTACCAGCAACATATCCCATGACTAAGTATCCTAAAAAGGCACCCAAAGGACCTGAACGCGAAATCGCTCCACCAGAACTGAGGAAGAGGCCTGTTCCAATGGTACCAGCCAAAGCGATCATTTGAATGTGTCTTTGATGAAGGCCTTGCCTCACAGTCGAAATTTCCGTGAACTCTCCAGCATATTCACCTTCTGGTTGAACAGGCAACTCTGGGTCTGGTATTGTGGTCTTGGCATCTTTGTTTTTCTCGAAGGCGTCAGAGGAGCCCTCGCGGCCAAGAAAAGTCTTCATCGCGGAGATTCCTTTTGACTGATGTTGTCTCGTAGGAAATAATGCGTATTGCCAATACTGGGTTGTCCTTACTAGATAGCACAGATTACGACGTACCTCCGAGGACGATATAGCTTCAATTTATAATCTCCTTTGTTAGTGGTCTTGGATATTTTTAAAAGAAATTGGAGTGGAAGGCCACGGAGACAGTGATTGGCAGATGGATGAAGATATAAGATGACGAGGGCCCAATCAGTAGACTTGCGAACTATTTAGACAAAGTTTGATTGGGAATATGAGATAGCAGCACATAGCTGATAAATGAGGTGAAGTCTAACTCCGCAGAACCGACAAGCCGCAAATTCACTCCGTGAGATAGTACTAGTAGCTCCGATAGATAAGGTGTAATGAGCTGAGTTGAAATTGGCGGCTCGAGCACCAATGTCGATTAGGCGATTCTCATGAGACCAGACATGGTTAACCAAAAGAATATATTTCAATCCCCGAGGCATGCAGTATCGATCCGTACATGATATCATTCGTAGACAGGGGCCGTTAAAACATGAGAGTATGCGTGCATAGTTTTCTCATTGACTTTGGCCAAATATGATGCATTAATTTGTATACCTTAGATAAGATATTGCTTGTATCAACGAATACATACATCCTGTGCCAAAAGTCTTGCGACAAACCCCACATTTTTAGCGCATAGTATATCACCCCCCCAACCACCCTATTTATTTTTTTCTTCCTACAACAACCATACGCTCTTCCGGCACTGAAATCTCTGGAAATAGGGATATTCAATACGAGCTATCTCCTAAGCAACGTGCGGGGATATATAGTGCCCTAGATACTGGGGTATCTACTTCGAAACTTACCATTGAATATAGCTATCACCGGAGCACTATTTACCGTACAAAAGAGCGGTTTTTAGAGTAAAAAAATACCTTGTCGAGACCCTATACCGGCCGCCCCCAATCTTGGCCCGTAAATTTATATATTTACGGGCCTACTAGAACCCTCTTTGGTCCTATAAACGCCTTAGCGTAAGCTACCCTAGGTACCTCTCTCGAAGTATAATTCGAAGGGTTTACCGAGCCTATAATCTATATAAAAGGAGATCTCTAAATAAGATCCCTATTAGTGTTTAAATAGTAAAAAAAGACTCACTTTTACGCGGAAATAGTGGATATAGCTTGATTTTTCGAACTAGATCTAGTCGGACGAATATTCCGTTTAACGAATATCTAATTCTAGTATAAAATAGGCCTAGAGATTCTAATCTAAGACCTATCGGCGTAAACTTATAAACCTTAAGGTTTATATAAAGGATATTACGTAAATAGTATAGGCTAGGATCTAGCTTAGTGGGTATATAAAGTTAGTGGTTATAGAACAGGAGAGATAAGGTATTAGGAATAGCTATATAGTAAATTCCTATCTTAATACTCTTAAAGAAGGCCTTCTCCTAATCTATACACCTAGAACTATCTTCTAGTAAGATAATACCTATATATATACTATAGGTATTGTGGGAGAGTGGTTTGAATAATATAGGGTATATATCGAGGATTAGCCTCTATATTTACCTGATCTTAGCCCTATTAAGCCTTGCTGGTGGATGCTAAAGGTCAAATTATTAAATATATACCCCGAATTGATAGAAATGGGTAGGAGTGGAGAGGATTGGATATATTTTAAGAGAGCTATATACGCTGTATAGGATACACTTGATTAGGGTGTAATTGACAATTTAATTCGCTCTGTGCCTAGGAGATTGCTTGCTACGCGCAAAGCAAAGGGGTATTATACTAAATATTAAATGCATTAAATTCATTGGCTATTTCTCTATCTATTGATATTAAAATTAATATATATTTACTATATTGGTGGTGTAAAATATATAGTTGAATGTAGTGATATATATTTGATGGGGTGCGGGTAAAAACCGACTGTCGCAGGACTTTTGGTCATAGAGTGTAGGTGCAAGGTGGTAAATCTATGGAAAGTACACATGGGACCTTCTTGTAGCCCTGAAGGGATCTGTTGGCAATCCAAGATAATCCAAAGAATAGCTCAACTGCGTAACTCTATCTCTCATTATTCACTGAAATTCAATATGTCTCATCTTCTAACGCCAATTATATCACCACCTGGAGGCCCGTTTCTTATCTTTTCGAGTCTCTCCTCCGTTGATTGAAACAATCGCGGGATACCAGCGTCTGCAAACTCGATCCCATTCTGGACCATTTTGGCGACTCCGAGCGCAGACAAGAATGCTAGAGGCATCCCATGACCATTGAACCCCGCGAGTACATACTGGCCGTTCTCTCCAGGGACGGGGCCAACATGGGGTTGAGAATCCCAACTATACCCCATGATACCGGTCCAGACTTTCTCCACTTGTGCTCTGCTATTTTCCCAGCCATTGAAGAATCGCTGCATATAACCATTGTAATGGTCTTTGACTTCTTCAATGAAAGTTGAATCGTCCACGGTGTCATACCATGAGCTCAAAGCAGAATGATATCGCGAGTTGGCTCCACCGACAACAATGCTACCGTCGGCACGAGGGATGAGGTACGAAACAACATTGTCCTCTTCACGGACTATGTAGGAGTTGTTCAGCAGAGGAGCTTTTGTGTCCCCAGGGACCGCAATATGAGTACACAGTCCTTTGCAGGGAACGATGGCTTCGCGGTACTGTGGAAGAAGGCCCGAGATATAGGCATTGTTTGCGTACACAACCTTCCTGGCGAGTGTCGTGCCTCGCGGCGTTGTAACAATAAAGTCGCCCGAAGGCTGCTGTCTGACGGACGTCACTGGAGTGTGCGTCTGGAGGTTGACCCTCCCAGTGTCAAGAATTGAGGCAGTCAGATGGAGAATAAGTTTGTACGGCCACAGAGTTCCTGCCGTGAAGGAAGCGCATGCTTTCGCACCTTTGACGCCCGAGATACCCTCCGCGTCCTTGCCAAGTACAAAGAAGACATCCTTCATGTACTCCAGATCACGGGATACCAAGGTGTCATACAGCTTCTTGGCCTTTTGGGCAGCTTCTTCGTTGGACCATACATCAATAGACCTTGTGAGAGTGAAGTCACAATCGATTTTCTCTTTTTCAACCAAGGATTTTATGGCCTGTATATGTGCGATTTCAAACTCAATCACTTCCAACGCGCGCTCAATTCCCCCTCGGTCGATGGCTCTGGTCATGGGGGTGTACATATCAGGCCTTAGATGGCCACCATTGCGTCCTGTCGCGCCCGAGCAAACACCCCGTGCTTCCAGGATTGTGATGGAGGATTTTTCATCGCTGGCCTCCCCTTTGACCAAATGGTACGCCGTGCTGACTCCTGCATATCCAGCGCCTATAATAACAATATCACTCGACACTGGAAGTTCCTCTGTGGTCCGATGATCGTGTAATTCGTGAATATCTCGATGCCAAAACGGCACAGTTGCATTTTTGATAGGCTGTCGGGATGTATCGAGTGTGGCGTTTGGAGACATAGTAAGCGAAGTGAGATCGATTGCTGTTGTTTGGTCTCGGAGAGCTTTCGCTGTTTGACAGGTCAGGCTAGACCTGCTTCGTCGACTATAAGTAATGGCAGAGATTCTGATTCTCAATATTCGATGATAGTTTCGCAGATGGAACGAAAGAAGATGAACAACTCCGATCTTTCGGTATTCAGTGACAACCGGGCAGCCCCATGAAACTCCGTGATCTGCCCTTATCAACCCCACAACCCCCGAGGCACCCGGCGTGACCCACTCCGACGGACCCCAAAAAGCACTCCGAAGCCCCCAGGCTCCCGGGGCTATCTTATCAGGCGATTAACCAGGCATGATCAAAAGCTACATGTGCTTGCATTTAAGATCGAGGCATTGGAGATGTCAATCCATTGAGATTGCTTGGCTCAAGCCAACCACCCTGAGTCCAATCAAGGGTGTTCAGCCAATCCATATCGTTGAATGTGTTTATCCCAGGGCCAATATCATGCTCCCTGCCAGTCGCAGGTAGACGTTCCTCTGAGGACTGCCGATCTTGCGAGCCACAATCCCTATGGGACTGATGTTCACCTAGCATCTCTTGCGTGTTAACGCTACACGACGACTGGAAAGAATCAAACACGGCGTCAATGATTCTTTGGAGGACCGTTTTGAATTTTTTGCTAAGCTGCGCATTGTTATCCGTTGGCCGTATCCAGTCCAGTAATGCTTTGAACATAATCAGACTCTGGATGACTTCCGACCGCGCGAGACTAACACAGTCGCGAGCGGCCGTGGATGGAAGCTTGCAGGATGGCGCAGGCGGTACGAGCTTACTTGCTCGTAGAAGTTCGACGCATAAAATTCCCGCACAGGGCATTCCGTATGATACGGCCTAGATCAATATTAGCTATTGTTGTATTTTCAATGAAAATAGCCAGATAAGATCGCCATGAACTTACAATCCAGTCAAATGCATGGTGGAATTCCTGTAGCCGATCGCGATTAAGCCAGAGAGACAGGATAACGGACATGGTCTCTTGAGCGATATTGAACAAATCTTGCCCACCACTGAATTGCCGCGATACAAGTAGGCGCTGGAGGAGAAAGTGACATTGCAATACATCAAGCTGTATGCGCGTGGTAATGTAGACTTCATGAGCGCTGCGTTCATGGGATCGTGAGGTTGACTTCAGAGGCCATTCAGAATTCCCCTGGTATCGAATGTGCGGAGGATATGAAGCGACTATCATCCACAACTGAGCTTTTAAATCTCTGCAGGATAATTCAGGTTAGTGAGGTCTATGCAATATTTTCCAAGTAACGCACTCTACTTGGGATTTGGTGAATGTCGAATTGACGCTTAGAGTCAGTTCCAAAATTCCCTCCCGGATAGGACTAAGCATGGCTAGTGCTCGAAGCCAGGTTGTAGTGAATATGTGGCCACCTGTGTTCCAGCCATTCGAGTCAAGTTTTGCAATAGCCGCAGTTAGTCTTTCTTGGCCCCCATACACATCTTCCTCGCATAAATCGAGTGGCAGAGGGCACTGGCAGTAGCGATTACTGAGCATCGGTGGTCGGGCATTGAACAAACTATGAGATTTGTCATAGTAATACATAGACGAAGCGAGTGATGCTCGGTGTTGAGAAAACGGCGTCACTTCCCGCGTAGGGGTGAATCGGTGCATTCCTGCACTTATAAACGCACTGCGGACAGTCCCGTAGTCGACTCGTAAACGGTCACCTATGCTGAAATGAGCTCGATTCTGCAATATAAGAGCTTCTCTCGATATTGGTGACTCACTTTCGTCACTGATTAGTATGCTTTGTAGTCTAGTGCTATCCTTCATGCAAATAACCATAATATCACTGATTTCAAAGTTTCCTTCGCACAGCCTTATACAGGCAGCAGCACACTCTCTCATCCTGTCTGCGGCAGTGGTGCGATCCCGTCCGTGCTGCTCAGGCAGATCAAATACAGGGTCCCATTCTTGTTTACATCTGAATGCGATTCCGGCCCAACTGAAAAGGAATCCGATCATTTCCCATCGGAGATTGGGTCCACCAAACCAGTTCAACCAGGAAACATGGTCGGAATTGCTGACCATATTGCAGTCAGGTATCGAGCGAGGTCGTTTTTGGTTGAGAAACAAATCATTCGCCACTCTCAATGCTGATTCGCGTGTCCGTAGCTCGCCTAGCTCACTAGGGTATTCGGTCCATACTTGTTTCAGGCATTGCTGGATCATGGTGGGGGACAGCCATACATCATAGACATGGTGGATTTCTGTCATCAGTATGTCAAATGTACGAGCAGTTGGAAAGTTGAGCAGTGTTCTAACAGCCAGTTCGACGCGAGACCTGGCCGTTACGTCGGGCTCTCGACCTGGCTCGTGGTGAGTGGAGTCTGCAGTATCAGGCATCACTGCGCCAAAGCTATCTTGGTTTTCAACAAAGACAGCAGAGAAGCGAGTCGTCTCGTGTTGGCCCAGGTCCTCTTGGAATAGCATGTTCCGTTTCGATGCGGTAGAACCGGCTGTAAGCCTCGAACTCGCAGCGGGGCTCGGATCCACAGGAGCAAGAGAGATTGCTGTCCCGACCGAAGAGTCAGTAGGAACCTGGAAGGTGCTAGAGACATTTCGGGTAGTCAATAGATCTGCAGGCAGCGTCGTATCGAGCTGTATGGGCGTGTGGGAGGCCGGAGCGCGGCGCTTGGTCATAGGAGCAGGGTGATAAATGCACTCCAGGCTGCGAAGGACACAACGTGAACACTTTGGACTTGCATGATCACATCGAATCTTGGACTTGCGACATGGTTCGCAGGCTTGTGGTTGGCCATTATGGCGTTTTCTCGGTTCTGCGAGCATCGCGTCTCTTCTCAACAAGCGTAGTTCCCATTAAATAATGTTTACTAGCTCGGTGATCCATAAGAAATAATAGGCATTCTGGGCAATGGTCAAGTACAATCCATGTGCAAAGGCGAAATGAGCCCCTAGGGTAGAGGATTTTACCATCGCCCAACATTGGGAGGCCATTGAGTGGATTAAGTAACGCGACGGCTCTATCGTGGCCGATAGGGAGATTAACGTATTTGTTCAGGGGGCCAATCATCGTATTGTGCCAAGCTCCTCACATAGACGTTGATGCGCTCCAGCCAGGGATAATTGTCCCTCAAAAAGTAAACGTTGAATACTGTTTAGATGGCGTACGGAATAGAAAAGTTCAATGCATGTCCCTATGCCCTTGGCTACATGAACTTGGTAGATTATCCATCAACGTCATTGTCAGTACGGAGTTTCCAGTCTACTCGAAATTCCCTAGCTGGGGGGCCATTTGTCAGACTTGAAGACAAAATGATCGCTAGCGAATCACAAAACCCACAAATGAGCCCGGATAGCAGGCCCATAGCCCAACCAGCAATGGGCGCTATGGATTCAAACTTAGAGGCTCAACTCAACCCACGACCCATTCATAGGGACCCATTTAGGAAGTTCAATTGGCGTCTTGTAATCGCTGTGTTCTGACCCTTCTACGCATTTTGAAGGGTCTTAGTATATATTTGAGAGTTGAAATTAACAAATTATTATCCATTTTGGATTCAAATAAAATCCGACCTGTAGAAGTCGAGGAATCGCGGAAATATTAGTATACATGTAGATATATATTTTAGATCGGCGTGGGAGTACTTCCACCTTCTCAGGGAATATCTGTATTTTACAATTCTTTAGATAGCGCGTTGTCTCGCATCTTTCAACGTGATTGATATATCTCAGCGTAAATCCACTACATACTGATTTGAATAATGAAATGATATCCTTAGATAAGGGCGAGAAACGGGGGGTATATATGTATTTAAAAAGTCGCGGTTTTAGAGTTTCGTGTTGTTTGGTGCTTTTAGGGCCCTAATGGACCCTATTCAATGCCCAGTGGGCTTTCACCTCAAGCCCATAGCCCCCGGTGGGCCTAAGGACCGGGCCAAAAACTCAGCCCATTGGCGGGTTGAATTGGGTTATGTGCTTTGCAGGCTTTGCGGAGCACTAAAAGTCGCTAATAGTTTCACACACCTTAAATTGCTAAGCGATCATCAAAGCCCTCCCACGAGGCCTGATAGTATGTGCCAGACTGAGCTGCTGACTTGTCGGGAAGGGCGAGGCTGCTCCTCCCACTGACCTGAGGAGACGACGGCTTGGGGCATTCATCGACCATGGTCAATGTCAGTAACTCTGTTCATACACTACGGTGAGCCTAGCATTCAATGCAGCAAGCCTATGGTATCTCGTTGAGAGTTTCGACTGCAATACGCAAGACTCCGTAGTCAAGATGTGTAGTACAAGATAGACTGCTCAATGCTTTCGCTCCATTTCCTCCAGGAAAGCTCTATGGCATCGGGCCCCGAGCCCGAGATATCCGAATACGATCGACTAGCCAAATGGGGAAAGTTCAACATCTTGGACCTCAAAGGCTTCAGCTTGTCACTAGCGTAAATAGCGTAACTAGTTTAATTAGCCCCATTTTGTAAGGCTACGTATTCTATGTTTGTATGTTTGTCATTGACTTCTCACTCCATTTTCCATCTCAACTCTGTTTCCAAATTACAAAACATGACCGCCAGTTCATTGCCCCTGAACGGCACCAGCCAAATGCCAATGAACGACGCCCTTAGGCGCAGAAATATCAATGACTCTGATCGGCACGAGACGACTGGAAATAGCCAAGTAAGCCCATCAGGCCCAGTAAAAACAACAAACCCTGCCTCGAACCCCAAAAAGCCGTTCTCTCTCCTCCGTCGTTGTGAGCGCTTCGCGCGTAAGCGCACCTGGACGATTCCACTAGCTCTCGTGCTGGCCTTCCTTTCAATGTACGCACTCAACCCGACCGAGTCGAATCCAATCTATCATTTCATATTCCTCTCTTACAAAGTGAAATCCTTGAATGGCGACCCAAATTCCCCCACGCAGTATGGCAAGGGTCTTTGGGACATAGCATTCGTGTCATTCTACGTGCTCGTGCTATCCTTCACGCGCGAATTCATCATGCAAGAAGTTCTCCGCCCTATAGCCGCCTCGCACATCAAGTCCCGAGGAAAGCAGACCCGTTTCATGGAACAGGCGTATACTGCTATGTACTTTGGATTCCTCGGTCCCGCAGGGTTGTATGTCATGCGCCAGACTCCGGTTTGGTATTTCAATACGCGTGGCATGTATGAACTCTTCCCTCACAGGACCCATGCAGCCGAGTTCAAATTTTACTACTTGTTTGAGGCGGCTTATTGGGCGCAACAGGCTATTGTAATGCTGCTGGGGATGGAGAAGCGGCGAAAGGACTTTATGGAGCTTGTTGCCCATCATATTGTGACACTGGCTCTTATTGCACTGAGCTATCGCTTCCACTTTACCTATATGGGAATCGCCGTTTATATCACACATGATATTAGTGATTTCTTCCTTGCCGTAAGTCGCATGTCTCCCACCTAAACCAGTTCTTTTGATTTCGACACAACCCGACATATTCAGGCCATCTATTGACAATTTCGCTAGGTTTCGAAATCTCTCCATTACCTCGCGCCAGACATAATGATCCCCTTCTACGCAACCTCGATCGGCGCGTGGATATATCTCCGCCACGTACTAAACCTTCGAATCCTGTATTCTCTCCTAACCGAGTTCCGAACTGTCGGGCCCTACGAGCTCAACTGGGAGACTCAACAGTACAAGTGCTGGATCTCGAATGTGATTACCTTTGGACTTCTGGCTGTACTCCAAGCTCTCAATCTATTCTGGCTGTATTGTCTGTTGCGCAGCGCTCTCAGGTTTCTCGTGACGGGTGAGAAGAAGGACGATCGCTCCGAGCCGGATGAGTCTGAAGTTGAGCAAGATGAATGCAAGGTTGTTGGAAGCTGTAATGGCCCTTCCCAGTCGAATTTGAATTGAATCGCGCAGTGGCAAGTTCCAGCATGCCAGTGAGCGGATTAGTGTTCCTTTGAAGGCTCATGATGCTCGCTAAAGTGATTGCAGCTCTAATTCTTTCTATGGGCGCACTTGCAGAAAGAGGTACTAGCTTCACCTTTCGTGTTAAGCATTGACTTCGCTATTCAATGACTTTGGACAGACATATCTGCTTAATCGATTAAATGCGCCATCTTGTGTCATTTATAATGGGGGTAGCATCTTTGAGTGTTGTTGTTCTCTATTGTCATTGTTGCTATTGCGCGGTTGTGATGGCTCAGGTCTTGCGATGAGGTGTACGATACTGCGATATATTTGGAGATAATAATCATAACGTGTATTTTAATTATGACCAATCGCATAGATCTTCCACCCCAAGGGGCCGTTTGTAATTGCGGGAAATTATATATGGTCAAGGCTATGCTTGCACTTCTTCACTCACGCCGCATATCGTGAGCAAGGCAAGTTAAACATTTTAAACTTCAGAGCTATGTGTGATGGGGTGTGATCTACAAAATGAGATTCAAACGTCTTGTATCACAATATAATCAAGAGAAGCGCAGTCCCTGGCTGGGATCCCAAGTCCCTGGTTGAGGGGCACGGGCAGGCTGGCTCGGGGCGGGTCTAGCTCCTGTGCTGGGCGCAGCATTCGGAGGGGCAGCAGCGGATCCGAATCGAATCCCCATTTCTGGGGCCCACATACCCGGCATACCCCCAGGCATGCTCGGAGTAGGAACAGAGGGTGGGGCTACAGGTGCGCGCATCGCTTGGGGCGCTGTGAGAGGAACTTCCGCCTCAGCTGGCCGTACGGTGGGTGGGGGTGGCTGTGATGGCGCTTGGTCGGGCTGCACAGGTGAGTAGGCAGAAGAGTGATGGCTTCGAGGTGGTTCCTCGGGTTGTTGGCGCAGGTGTGGCTGAGAGATACGCAGTGAGGCCATCGCTGTGGCATTGAAGATATCTCTGAGTCGGTAAATGTAATGTTAGCGACCTCGAGATGATCATTTGGTTTAGTGATGGGTGAGAAAACATACGCTTCCAGCTGGCTTGCCTCCATGCGACGCTGGTGGACAAAAGCCTTTGCGTCGTCGCGGAACCGGGCTACAATCTTTGCAAGGTCATTGTAGAACTTGCGCCCAACATCAAGGTTGGAAATGATCTCCTTATACTTCAGGTATCCATTTTCCAGATCCTGAAGGGCCGCTTCTCGTTCCTTCGTCGATGCATCGCCCTTGTGAGACCCAGTAAATGCCCGGTTGGCTTCTCGGACCTGGTCGGAAAGATGATCTTGCTCTCTCCGCTCCTGGGCCAGAGTTTCACGGTCTGAATCATACAGCTTCAGCTGCTTCTCAAACAAATCCTCAAACTGGCTTGCCTGGATAGGCTGCATGGGGAATTCTCGCTCCAGTCGAGCTGTCTGTGCTAAAAGTGCCGGGTCTAAATGCAGTCCGTTAGTAGATTACAAGACTGATGAGGAAAAACACGTACGAATATCATCCGCACGAGCTTTTTCCTTCAACGATTGAATTCGCCGCTTCCGCCGATTTTCCATTCGAGTGACCTCGCTCAAACAACCGCGCAAACGGTTAGCCTCGCGCTCAACCTCGGGTGGAATCACGACCCTCCGGCTACTAGGTACAAAGGATTCCAAGTCCCGATTTGTGCCAGTGAGAACCATGAAGACAGAACGTGAATCTCGCAGTTTGCGCTGGACGAGGTCATCACTGCCTTGGGCGGAGGTGAAATATCCCTCTATTTCGGTCAAGCTCTTGTAGAGCTTAGGTGCGGCGGTTTCTGAGGTCGGGCGGGTCCAGCGATCAGTGCCGTACTTATGCCGAGCTGCTAGGTCTTCGTCCTTCTCGGCTGCTAGAAGCTCAACACCTTCATTATAAACAGTCAGATCATTGCCTTTCACTCTGGCGGTGTCATCAATAGACCGGTGCAAGCGATTGAGGCCGTCTTGTTGACGCATTTCCTCTGCGTGCGACACAAGCATTGGTGGGAGACCTAATGGTTTCTCGAGCGCTTGTAATGACCCTGGCAAATTGAGCGATGAAAGCAAGCTGAGAAGTGATGTTAGCACCCTTTCCCCCAACATCCTTTCTGTTTCCGTTGAATACATACTCTCGCAACTTGTCGGTCATTGACTCTAGCTCTCCAATGAGAGTATCATTGACCAGTCGGTCTCGACGATCAGTGTAAATACTGGCGGCAATGTGAACTGCATATGGGACCAACTTTGAGAACAATGGCTGGCCCAACGGTCCATTATCGCCAAGCATGGAGATCGCATCAGTAACCTGCGAAGGTGCTTTCGCAAGGACCATGCTGACACGCTCGATAGTCTTGAGCTCAGACTTGGGCGGCACGGGATTGATGTAAATAATATCATTATCCTTCTCGGCGCGCTTGAGGTCTTCCCCGACACGGCCCTTCAACCCAGTCAAGTCACCAAGTACAGTCCGATTGATCCAACGCTGCTCTTTCAACCCTTCGTTGACACAGAGCAAAGAATCTCGTAGCCGGGCAACCTCCTCCCCATATTTGCGCTTCTCTAGGCAGTCAAGGGCCTGTCGAAACTGAGCAGCAGCGGCAAAGTGGTGATGCTTTGCAGTCATATGGTGGATCCAGTCGGTGCCGATTGCATTAGATTTAACAGCCAAGTCACCTGCATCGCCATAGAAGTCGGACACCTTAGCAGCCAGTTTTGCAATAGATACATCTTTCAGTCCATCTTTAACAGCTTTCTGCCAGAAGCATTCTTGGCCCTGTCCGAGCAAAAGAAGCTCCAAACTCTGCAGGGTCATTTCGTCCATGTCCTCTGGTGGCGACGTGCGAAGGTCTGGAATGATATCTGTTCGGAGATGGCTCAATACTCCAGCAGCGGAGCAGAGGTAATTGCACGCCTGCTTCAGTCCATCTGCGGTAGTTCGGTTGGTCGCGTATGCAAGCTGGGAGTATAATGCGGCGAGATTGAAGAGGACATTCGCTAATTCAAAGCGCAAATTATTTTGTGAGACTAAAAAAAAATTTAGTCTTGTTAGTCTTGTATCCGGACTCATGCAAAGTATCCCCCCAGAGACCAACTCACCTGGCCGCGAAGCATTGAAACCAAACGCCGGATACCACGAAAAGTCCACTCCGACCTATATAGAGCGCCAACTATCAGCTCTCAATACCGAACCAAAGAGCATGAACCTAGGAAGAGCGGCGCACATCAATTGGGAACTTTCCGCTCATCCATTTCAACTGAGCCGCGTATGTGACCAGGCAACTGATACCACTGAAATGGGGTTCCTGAACATTGACAGCCTCGGATCGTAGGCGATCAATGATCATAAGATCTTCCGCAAACATATCTGGGCGCTGATCATATTTGGAGGAGATGTACTGGGTGATCGCTTCGGAAAGCGAGACGGGATGGGAGCGCCGGAACGGGAGTTGGAGGATATTACTGGGGAAATGAGCCCGAAGACCGAGTCAGTGTCCTTGCTATCTTTTTTGACATGCTCGCATACTCGTGGGGATACTCACGACGCCATTTTGGCTCGAGGCGGGGGTGTGGAAGGCTCCGTTTGTTTTGACGACGGGAAGTTGAACCCCACCGGCCAACAGGATGACGTTTGATGGCCTGAGGCATAATTTGAGCCCACTTACAAACAGGACGCAGTTCACCTGACCTGTGTGCCGTTAGTTCATCTGACCGGTGTCCCGCCTAAATCACGTGGTTCCATCTTATCTAGGTATACACATCTCGAGATAAACTCCCTTGCTGTCTTGACCTTTGCTTACCCCTATACTGTACTGTAGAATTAGAAATCAGTTTTAACTCCACACTCTTGCGATTTTTTCCTACTTGATGTAATCCTAAAAAGGTGGAGGATACAAGTAGCAGGTTGAACCGAATTGAATAGGACACACCTCTACACTTCTCTGAATTGACTCCTTGGGCAGTAGACCTGGGGTTTCTCGTATGCATAGTTGGGTATAATCGACCTGTATGCCCTTGAGCATACTGCCTTGTGTATTCAGTATGTTTAATTGAAGGGGGAAATCGGCCGCACGTGGGTCACCGCATAATGATGCGTAATGACTTTTCCATGGGGTCATCCACCACACCAAACGTCATCAACAATTTGTTTCGCTGACGCTCCTACTGGCTAGACGGTTCGATGTAAACTCAGCGGAATCTGTTGTTTGGTTATATCTTTCGCAACTGAGCCCTGAGGATTCAACACATGTGGGGCTCGGCGGCATAGAGCATTCACACCCAGCCTTTTCATACCATTCAGGCGGGTAGTCTAGCATAGGTTAAGCGGGTATGGGGAGAAAATCCGTTGAATGTATTGGTGTTATTTGGGGTGATGTTGACGTTTTGTTTCGACTGAAAGTAGGTGAGCATTAACCGAAAGCCCCTTGGAGCTCCCGGATACTTACAATGGATACTTTTGGATATTCCCCCACGCATATAGGATAGCCTCTTTCTACGCCATTCCATGATCTAACAAAGAATCCACGGAATCTAAGAGGAGAGAATTGAAGCTTCCATCTTTTCCGTCGAATATCCACTGTATACAGAATTCGAACAATCTTAGATAGAAGCCCGCAGATGCCCAATCAATAAGGCATAACGAGCCATCTTCCTGCCATATGATGTTATGAGGTGTAATACCCAGATGATAGAGGACGAGGTCACAGCCCTGTAAATCCAAATTCGGGTTATACGCGAAAAGCCGGCTATTAAACCACTCCTCAATCCGGCTAAGACTGTCGGAAACCAGGTCTTCTGTTTCAGGGAATAGAAGGCCACGACAAGCGCCTCCGTACAGCGATCTAGGGATATTATACTATAAAGTTGCGAAATGGCGAAGCACGCTAGCAACCCTCTGTATAGCGCTAACGTCGTCCAAAGGATCGATAACCTTTCCTTCTATAAATTCCATCACAATATAACCCCAGCCTTACTCGTCAGTAAAGAAATCATACACCTATGGGATGCGAGCTATGCGGCTGTCGACAAGTTCATACGCTATCCTTTGATTTTTAAATTCTTCTCTTGTCATATCTGGGCCGCTTTTAACGACTAGATGATCAGGGATTCTGATGATTCGTTTGCCGTATTGGCTAACAATATTGCTAGGCAACGGATTTTTGCAAGAAGTGATCACTAAGGCTCGTCGCGAGTCTTTGGGAAGTGACATTCTTTAAGAATGAAAGACTGGTTGGGAAGTTGGGTAGTTAGTTGGGTAGTTAGTTAGTTACCTAGGTAGACAGGGGGTGTTGATCCCTGCACCCCAATTACTCCGTAGTTAGTTAGAAAGCTTTTGATGACATAAGTTAGGTGGGGGCAATTCCAAGATTGCTCAGATCATATTAGCCAGCCAGTCAACCGAGTCTTAATCACTAACTGGTCCAATCAATAGCCATGTCATCCATGGATGTTCCTGGGAGCCTGTTCGAATTTTCGAGGCCGTGCAGTCTATGTTCGTTACTGCCCAATCAGTAAATCTAGTATGTGAGCTGCAAGATTATCCAGGTGCTCGAATACAAGTCTTATTAGCCGATACCCGTATGGGCTCCTCGCTGTGCTATTTTGGGCATTATAGATATAAGGATTTGCTCCCTACAAATGCACCTTGGCTGCCAGGCCTCCTCTGGCGTATAAATAGCCACTTACCCCGCCCGCTTCAAGAGAGATATCGTCTTGACGCCCACAATATATTGAATCTATACTGCTCCGCTATTCTCTATTATATCTCGCACTGCAACTTGGTCTAATACTGGTTTTGTTGTGATAACTCCCGACGACCACGCACAAACTGCCATGTCCTCAGAGCATCGTACGTTACGATGTCCAGTAACTTGAGAATGCATCCGACTTACCATTTGTTAGCGTATCGCCGTCTGAAAGTGCCTAGTGAAGCACCGTTCAAGTTAGGACCTTCACCAGGAAAAGGATGGGGGCTTTCGCAACACGACGCATTGTCCGAGGATCTCTCATTATGAGCGAAAAGCCAATCTTCGTGATCCGGATGCCACATACAGAAATCACAGATGATCATGTTGCTATGGCCTTTCAACGAATTCCACCAAGCCAAAAAGCACAGTTCCTACTACTTCGCGACAATGGGTCAACTCGGTTTACAAGTATGAATGACGTTCTTGCGGAAAACTCGTTCAACATCGCAAATTCAGACCACGGCGAGCCTGAAGCTCACGGTCTTTTCCTCCTTCACTCGCGCTTCAACCATTCTTGTGTACCCAACTCAAATATTCCAAACATCAGCGGAGAAATCATGTCAAGCTTTGCAACCAAGGACATAGAGGTTGGCGAGGAGATCAATCTCTGTTACAATCCAGATTTCAACTGCAAGACTAGATATGAGCGTCATCAGGCTCTAGGATTTGCATGCGAATGCGTGGCGTGTCTTCCGGGCACGCCTTTCCAACAAGTTAGCGATATTCGTCGGCGATTGATTCGAGGGCTTCAATATCTCACGCATGGCGCGGACTTGGATGGGCAGAGACAGATGTCGCGTTCGATTATTGTCGACCCTAAGCTAAAAATGATGGCAGAAACCTTCAGCATACCTCTGTCATCGAGATTGGTTTATTTACTCCTGTCCTTTTTTTTCCTTGAAGAGGAGGGATTACTAAGTGATTTCAGGGAAGCAAGGCTAAGACCGAGCCTAGTCAAGACGGTGCGCTTGTTTAAGTCAGAAACCAATCGACGAATTGCATTACAAGCGATGGAACAAAAGACCTGGCTACAGAGATTGCAAGTGGGGTTCGGGCTATATGGCCGAGAAGATGCTGCCGATTATGAAGTTACTCTAGCGCTACGACGATTGCGCCAATTTTTGTAATGCTTTTCTTTCTCGCTTATCACTTTGAGCTGTAACATTTCATATGATTATTTGCTGGAAATGAGCTTCGGGCTCATTCATATGTGTATGTGGGTAATAGATACGAAAAAAGAGATCAATGTTCACGCACAATGGCAAAGAAAATGTTCAAAAGGTGGACCGCCGTTTCATCCTATCATGATCGCCATGGCCATATCAACTGGTAGTTTAGTTCGGCAACTCATCGATACGCATCCTAATGTATTCGAAGATGCTGAGCAGGATCATGTTGTTGACTCCGGTCCGGATAAGAATGATCGACAGACCTTTGTACATGCTTGATTTGGCGACAGCCTGCGAAGCCTCACCAATCTCGCTGGATTTCCCTAACAAGACACTTTGTGCACGAGTCTTGCGAGTGTCGAGGGGATAAGTCTGTGAGATTCAGGTTAGTGGATATTCGTCATAATACGGGGTATCGGCCTGATCACATACGCAGAACCACGGCACAGTGCTACAGATGGCGCCAGCGATCATAGGTGCCCCAAACGGATTTTTGTCTTGACCCAACTCTTTGGCTGCTACTTGCTTCACAGTCTCGTAAACACTAAAGTATAGTCCCGAGCCTACAGTGTCACGTAATGCATGCAGGCGGAAACCGGTGTAAAGGCCCCAGAATCCATGTCGCAGATATATCTGCTTGATAGCCTGTATCGTCCCCAAGCGGGGCTTGTGGCGCAGGGATTGGTCTCGTACTGCGTCTGGGGCAGCCATCGCGCGGTTCGACACCAGAACTGAGGTCTGGACCACATTCTTCGCCAGCTCAAAGGGGCCTGGTTTAACGTCAGTCCCTCGCTTTCCACTCTTTCATATGATGAATATAAACATACAAGCGATGGGCGATGCGACCAAACCGGCGGCAAGACCCGCAGCGGTAAAAGTGAGCACACCTGTCACGGTGGGGGTACTTCCAGGAGTTTTATAGTGGTCCAAAGGGTTAGAGCCGGTTACGCGCTCGACGTTATCGGCGATCATGTCCTTGAAGGCATTGTACACGGTAAAGTTGACAACACGGACTACCGTAACACTAGCCAAGGGTGGAAGTGCGCCTATGTGGCGGTCAGTCGATCCTTCAACTACCGATTTATGGATACAGACTTACCAGCTACATATCCTCGAGGACCTTCGGTGTGCCAGAGATAGCGAACACACTGCCATATGTTCTTGAAGTTGTGCCTTGGAAATTGATTAGCATGCTAATCCAATCTCTAAGGTCACGTAAAAGACATGTACTTACGTCTGCATCCGGGTCTTGACGTTCTCTAAAGGAGTCTGCCGAACGAGTTAGAAAGAATGAGCATTTTTGACATCCATTGAAATGTAGAGAGCTGGAAAGTTTTAGGATTTCAAAATAGTCCACAGGGTCAAAAACTCACCACCGCCAGCGTCGCACAAACGGTCGAGGCCCCCGAAGCCACCTGGGTTTTGTACTTTTTGAGGAGTCTGTTGCGTGTCGCCTCATCCATATTCCAAGCTTTGCGGTTTGGCATGGTGGCGGTTGTTGTGTGATCAGTTGACGAGGGTAATGGTGCATGTTCAGAACTGTTGTCTCTAGTCATCCCTGAACGTTCTCCATTTGCGGCAGCAAGGAATAAGTATGACAATATCTCTCCGGCCAGTCGTGGTAGAACGTTAGATCTGCTCGAACTATTGTACGTGCAGGCTGGGGAACCCGATGGAACGCAAAGCGGTCTCTCAGAACTCGAGCAGACCGTTCAGCGTCCCACAATTGTCCATTAAACGGGCCCGACCAACCCAGTTTTATCTTCAGTTCGTTCGAAAGTACCCCAGGAGCCTCTCTTCGTATAGATTGGTTTGTTTCGGTTCGTCTTTGCAGAGTGTGAGGATAAGTTCAATATTGGTGGCCAAAGCAATGACGCCCACGGCAATGGATGCAACCCCGCGTTAACGGATGGTAAGTAGGAGGTACGGTGCGGGATTGAGCGGGTCAAGCGATAGAAAGCAAATTCCCCTGCTGCAGACAGTCGGAATATGCTTCTCTAATATGTCTCGTCTATGGCAATGGGTTGTCGATATTGATCGGGAGCTGTGGGGAGGCCATTAGTATCAATTTGCGTCCTCGGGCTTCAAATAGCAGAACAGTACCGATTGAAATCTGCTCGGCTTGACAGAGAGACTTCTGTTATTCATACAGTATCCAGATAGAGGGTGAGCTTATGCTATGTGAAGAAAGAGGGAAGAGAGAAGAGGGTAGAATGGCATGTGGACCGAGCTTGAGTTGGATCCTCAAAGGGGTTTAGGGCCAAATAGAGTGACGTCGTCGTGAACAGCGGAGACACTGACAACTCCTAGTGCTTACCCCCGGATTACTTTTAAGAAGACATCCATGGGATCAGATAATCATGGCTTTCACGGTCTAATTTGTTTCCATCCTCTTATGCCAGGAAATTGATCATGCTATCCCCAGTTCTTGGCGCAGCACATCTGCCGGTCGCGGTCTATGCACAGTTTGATGCTTTTTTCTATTTCATGCAGAAACTGGCATCCGTTACAACAGTACGAAGCTGATCATAACGGATTAGATGGATCATAGTGATCTCTATGTCATGAAGGACAGTACTCCGTGATGGGGTTGGGTCCCACGTAGGGATTGGGCTCATTAGAAGCCACCAATCAATTGAATCTATCGAACCCATGGAATAATTGCAAACCAGATTCCAAGCTCAAATCAAACCACATTGTTCTGATATCGGAGAGACCGATCATTGAGCTTGAGCCACAATCCTGGTTTCATCATGCAACGTCCTTATTGCCGACTTTGTGCAGAATGTGGAGGATTAAGTGGTCGGATACGGGGTCTCCAGCTCGCATTACCACAATGAGCCACTAAGCCATTTGATTGTTTTTAATGGTATCATTGTAATATGGCACGTAGATTGGTTGCGACATTCAATTGTCTCTCTTGGGAAGGTTAGAAGTTAGGTTGGCTCGAATATGGCTCATATCACCATATCCACAGAAAAGTCAACCCATATCAACTTGTGTGATCTGCATGATTGACACTTTATTCCAACTGTGTTCCCAGCTCAACTAGATTGGGTATTGTTTGTGGATTGTGTGGGAGCACGGGAGTACGGAAGTAGTTACGGAGTACGGAGTACTCCGTACCTTTTGTCTTGTACGTCCTCTACTTTCACGTGAGAGTCAATGTCCATTTCCAGGAGTAAGGGACACATACTTTTTTTCCCTCTTGAAAATTCTCATACTCTATATCTCTATATCAACATCGAAAAATCTCAATCATCACAATATTATGTTAGTAAATTGTGTAGTGCCGCGGACGCACTTCCTCGGGACCTCGGTCTCTCCCCCGCAATTCCATATTGAGCTCCCCACATGTCCGGGGACTGGTTGCTATAAAGCCACCTTTCTCTAGCCGACCATGTAGCAGACTTACATCCAAATCTGTCAATATCTTAGATATACACCATGGGAAAGAAGCAAGGAACACCTGCCTATGTCCTGGGCGTAGGCATGACCAAGTTCATCAAGCCACGCGGCAAGGTCGACTACCATGAGCTAGGTTACGAGGCCGGCATCAAAGCCATGCTCGACGCCCAGATCAACTATGACGACGTTGACCAAGGTGTCGCATGCTATGTATATGGTGACAGCACCTGCGGCCAGCGTGTCTTCTACCAATTTGGTCAGACGAGCATCCCCATTTACAACGTCAACAATAACTGTTCGACTGGTTCGACTGGCCTCGCCATGGCCCGCACTATGGTTTCCCACGGTGCTGCCGACTGTGTACTGGTTGTCGGCTTTGAGAAGATGAACCCCGGTAGCTTGCAATCCATGTACAACGATCGCGAGAACCCAACAGGGCTGTTTGGAACGATGATGGCCGAGACGCGCGGTGTGACCAATGCGCCCGGTGCGGCACAAATGTTCGGAAATGCGGGTGTTGAATACAAGGAAAAGTACGCGACCTGTCGACGTGATATCAACCCATGACAAGAGGGAACACCATGCTGACATATGGGACCCAGATATGGTGCTAAGAACGAGGACTTCGCCGAAATCGCCCGCGTTAACCACGAGCACTCTAAGCGCAACCCCTACTCACAATTCCAAACTGAATACACCCTCGAGCAGATCATGAAGGCGCCCATGATTCACGAGCCCCTGACCAAGCTGCAGTGCTGCCCGACCTCGGATGGTGGTGCCGCCGCCGTTATTGTCTCGCAGGACTTCCTCGATGCGCGTCCCCACCTGAAGGAAAATGCCATTCTCATTGCCGGCCAGTGCCTTGCCACTGATACCGACACCCTGTACAGCAAGAGCTCCATTGACCTGATGGGTTTCGGCATGTCGCGTCAGGCATGTCGCACTGCCGTGGCCGAAGCCGGCGTTAATGTCAAGGATATCAAGGTCTGCGAGCTGCACGATTGCTTCTCGGCCAATGAGATGATCACTATCGATGCGCTGGAACTGTGCGAACCCGGTCAGGCCCATGAAATGGTTCGCCGTGGCGACATCACGTACGGCGGAAAAATGGTCATCAACCCATCTGGCGGTCTCATCTCCAAGGGTCACCCACTTGGTGCTACGGGTATTGCTCAATGTGCTGAGCTAGTCTGGCACCTGCGCGGCTGGGCGAACAACCGTCTGATCGACGGTACTTCCGCGGCACTGCAGCACAACCTTGGTCTGGGTGGTGCCGTTGTCGTGACCGTATACAAGCGTACTGATGGTAAGGTCGCCGCCGCTGTGCCGTCGGACGTTGTTGGCAAGATCAACGGTCTAGGCTATAACCCAGCTGTGGAGGCCAAGGGTTTCACTGCCGAGCAGGCCAGGTCCGTCGTGAGCAAGAATCACAGCTCTAAGTATGCCCTAGGCGATACCGAAGAGCGGGTTCTTGCCCGATTCTAAAGCGACAGGAAAATATTATCTAGCCCTCCCAGTCTGTATATAACCCCATCGACCAAGATCAACATAATACGATATCCGCTTTATTTATTAAAATGCACTCCAATCTACCCCCAGTCTGTTCCCGGTATATGCCAATCTATATGCCCAAAATGTTCAAGATCCAATTTACAAACAAATTTCACAATCGCACAGAAAAGCTTGCATCATGAATGCGTCTTTTCCCAATCCTCGGGTAGTTTGAAGTTCTTAGGCATAGAATATTGCCCTTTACAGCTCCCTGGACCCCGGCACTTCAAATCACACTTGCCATACAATCGACAATAACACTCGGAAGCACTGGGACAAGCATCGCGATTCAACTGGTCAAGATCAATGGCCCCATCATCCCCATAGTTCGCGAAAAGAATATGCCAAAGGTACGAAAGGATTCGACCAGCCACAAGGTCATCACCAGGTGCAGCCCTAGAGCCACGCTGAACATTCCGTGCAACCCCATCGTCACTCCCATCAAGTAGCCACTGCCGAAGCGCAATATACTCATCCCGGCTATGCTGCCAGACCCGCTCGCGGGAAACAACAAACTGGGCACAGCACTGCGCGCGCACGGCGTCATTCCGACCAAGATAGAGATGGAAGGCACTGCGAATCTCATTGACACGTGCGTCGGCATCCCCGCCAAATATATGGCCAAGCGCCTTTGGCAGTGCTAAATCCGATGCCGCGCGTGGATTCCACGGCGATACAGCACTTGACAGCCTTGTCTCAAGACTGCCCTGCGGCGGCACGGAAGAAGGACACGTTCCGGCACTCCAGTCGCAGCGTAGATTGCTATACCCAGCTGGCTGCAGCGCGGCGCGGACATTCAGGTTGCGGAGGAGCGCAGCGTTGTCGTAGTCCGGGATGTCGTTGTGCCAAGCCCAGCGGCTGCCATGCACAAAAACAGCGCCGGCGGATGGTATGTCCGCGTAGTTGTCGATTAGGAAGGTTAGATAGGCCATTGCTTCATGTCCACGATTTGCGGGAACTTGAAGCAGTTTGGATGTTTTGTCTGCTGGCGCGTCCACATGGTACATGCATACATGGTACTGTGTGCGGAGGGGTTCTAGCCAGGATGGGTCACCGTCGGTGGAGACATGGGAGACTATCAAGGCTGGCTTGGTTGTTTCTGCTAGGCCTGGGCAGATTCCGCGGGCTTCCGGGATGATGGATGAGGTTGTTTTGTAGCGAATTTTTGTCCAGGCAAAAAGTTTGTCTTTGGTTGATTGCGGGCGATTTAGGTATAAGATCAGAAAGAGAATGCAAAGAAAGAAAATTAGTTGGATCAATGATCTTTGTACTTTTCGGCCCATTCTGTATATTTATGAAATTATATGTGTTTCTCCTTTCCTTTTCCATTTTGCTATTTCAGATATTTCGGAAGATGGCGGGAATGCTGATGCCTTAGGTGTGAACCCCCTATTTGCAGGATCTGCGGGATCTGCAGATGGAGCCTGGATGTGACTAACGTATGGAGCTGAACTTACGTGGTTCATTATAATTTAGTCACAATATGGGTCAAACTGGAGTCAGAAGCTATTGGTCTCTGCAAAAATTTTTAGTGCGGATACATCTTTAGGCCCGGTTCATCCAAGGGCGATCACTAAGACGAACATAGCTCGATCCTCTAGCGGCATAGTAGGCGTATATAGCAGTAAATGGCGGTGCGACCTCGAACGGGCTCATCTACAGTCATAACAAGTTAGGATAGAATCTGTGGTCTCAAGTTGAGAATGGTAACACTTAGTATGATTTCACTTCTTTCCCGAAATTTACAAGATAAAGAATTCCAATCCTAGGGAATTGTAATACGCACATTATATGGTAAGGCTTACTCGGCCATAGGGTGTTCTTTGGTAGTATCTGTCTCTTGCGATCCCTTCTCATGTACATGCAGTCTACTTCGAGCAGTTTTAATGAAGATGTCGGGTGAAATATATATGATACCCCCCGCGAAGCAAGCCAAAACGAAAGACAGAAACACAAACACATTGCGTATCGCAGAAGATAACATCAACCAGAGTAGTAGATCCATCAGAAGGTAAAAGCCCTCATATCGTGGAGTTTCTGAACCTAGTTGTCTCCACTTGTTTGAACGTGCTCGTGTTAATCGCGATTCGAGCTATAAATCCGAATAACGGTGATACCGGTCAGTGGTCCAGTGTCTGATCCGCTTCCCATAGTAAAGAAAAGCCATCGTGCCCGGGATTAGGATGATTGACATGAGAATTCCTATTGTAAGAAACACATTTTCGATGCCCACCGCAGCTGTCCAGGGTGTAACTGCAAAAACAAAAATTGTTGCAAAAAGATTCCTAAGGAAGGTCACTCCAGCAAGGGAATCCGCCACGATCTAAGAGAAACTTATACTTAGTTCTCCATCCACCTGGGCATGATATATCGATTACTAAGTGTTACTCACATTGGTATAGGCATCGGTCAAATAAGTCAAAGAAGTACTGCTGATAGGTCCCATTGCAAGACCATAAAGTGCGTAACCAATGGCAACAAAGTGCCACGGGTGGGTATTTCCGAGGCTGTATCCAAAGAGTAATGTTCCAGCTGGAACTAATGGGGAAAACGCAAGCAAAATCCAGAGCCGCATTTCGGGTTCGAATATTCCTCCATTTCTCTTCGCTAATCTTACCACCAGCCTATCACTCACAGGTGCAACAATCATGCTTCCGATTGTTGTCCCAATAAAGGGAGCCAAGGACATAAGACCGACTTGCGATGCGGTAAAGTTATAGGGTGGTTCAGGCATAGTTGAAGCCACCACGGTTATCATAACTTGCCACAAGGCTGTCAACATTCCATATAGCACTGCAACGTAGAGTGTTGCGGGAAAGGTGAAAGTCACAATAAGGGGTTGGTAGATGTGACGGAGAAAAAACTGGAGCGATCCTGGAGATGATGACCACAGAGAAAGTCGCTGAAAGTAAGTCTTTCGGGATATAGAGAAGTCGATGTCTGGTGTGTTTAATTCAAATACCCTCTCACCAACTTCTGCATCGAGGGCCTTCTCAAACGCTGCTTCCTTCAAATTGTCTCGAGACCTAGCAAGGTCCTCTCGTTGGAGACGATTGACTGGAGCCATTCCATCGATGCAGCCAAGGAATTTAGTCTCCTCATAGAAAAAGAGAAACAACACAAAGCTGATTCCAAAAAGAATTGTCATCCACCACCATACCCACCGCCAACCCTGTGAAGTTGTAACGTAACCTGCGGCCAGAGGTCCTAGTGCTGACCCAATAACCATAATCCAGATATAAATGGTATTCATCATGCCTCTCTGATGCACAAAGAAGATGTCAGCCACTGTCATCTGGACAATCACTTCCGCTAGGGCTCCGAGAAGACATGAAAACGCATTCACAAGCATCAAGTCAGCTACTGTTTGGATTTTGGCAAACCAAATTGCCACCCCAAACTGTGCCAGTGTACTCATCACGTAGACTGGACGCCGACCGAATTTCAGCACTGTGGGAATAAATATCAACGCTCCAATACACAATGCTGCTGAGCCAACTGCGTAGCTGTCTTGCAGGATTTCATAGCTAAATCCCAGCTCAATGTTCATTAGTGCCCATGTGGGGGTAGAAGCTCCAATACTATCATCCAAGGAATTCAGTGACTCTCCTTATTTCAAGGGCCGAGACAGGTCAATGCAGAATGGCAAAGGGCTCTTACAAGGCAAATACGAGCAAAGAATATAGCAACACAAGCCCAAAGTTAAGATACTTCTCCCAAAGCTTCCAATTCTATATGCCGCATGAGCTGCGATTGAGCATCCATGGATATATTCACATCAATTCACTCACTAATGGATCATTTGGGTTCCTTGTTGGCTTAGGTTGCAAGATTATCACTCCCGAAGCATTCCTGTGAAGATCTAGTTTAACAATCCCAGCTGTCAGTATCCAAGTTTGAATTTATAATTAAGATTTGACAACATTTACCCTCTAGCGGAACAGTTCCTGGTGGCGCCCCTGGTCCTCTGTTCTGACTATCATCAGGAGACATATTGACTGCAAATGATCAGGCCAGTCGACAAATGTAGAGTTAGTAGTAATTTTGAAAAAGCGGGCACTGATCTTCCTATGAGATTATAACATTGTCTCTTTATTAAAGCTACGCTTAAAGTTTTTTCGACGTTTGATAAGGAATGAAGCTGGACCCTGACTGGATGCGCGAAGACTGCCTCAGATAACAGCCTGGAAGACCTAATTGCCGACAAAGCTACCAGATCAGCAGACATGTGATAGGCACTTTGAGGTATGTAATTTGTGGGGTAACAGAAGATTACTAGCTTGGTAGAAAGCTTCGGGTGGTCCGATTCCTCTTTGTAGTCTGATTGCGGGCTGGCCGTACAAGACTTGAATAGATTGCTAAACGCGGAAGTGTGTGGTCAACCCCCTCAATAGTCGAAAGTGATATGCCTTTCAAGCTGACCGAGTAGACTGATGTTCCCTTGATTTTAAACGAGAGTCCTTGAGGCTAGGTGATGTGGTTTGGTTTGAGAACCTTCGATCCTATACTGGCTTGCTCCCACACGTTTAGGAAGATGGTTGTGCTTTTTCATCAGAGTATGCATTAGCTCCGCGCTGACAGTTCGAAATTCAGCCAACGCCATTGTGTCAGAGTAAATATATATTATTGTCTAGAGTACAATATGGCCACGGGAACGTGGAGCAGCTACTTACTGACTATCGCACAACCTATACCAACGAAGCACAGTCGGAGAGTATCACATCATCCTATTAGAATCAAACGACCACAGGTGCTCTGACCTCATCCTACCGTGGTCCTATCAAAGGGAGTTTTATAATCATTTCCGATTTCCCGGCGTTACTGTGTCGGGCCTGCCGACAACAGCCTGATCGGGCTTAGAAGAAAGCGTAGTCAGTTTCTTCCACTGGGAACTAACCAGTCAAAACAATTAGAAATTAAAAACTTGAGGATAAATTCACTGATGCTGCTTGGTATAGTCTCAAGATAATTCATTCCCGAGCCCATAGCTGCCCAAACCACACGATGGCACGTACAATCGTCTTTCAGAACGGCAGAGTTTTCAGCCCAAGCCAAGCATCAAATGAGACTGAGTTCCTGGAAGGCTTCATTGTTTCTGGAGAAATCATAACGCATGTCGGATATGAGAGTGACGATGTCATGCAGACAGCAAAGCGAGAAGGTGCGGAGGTAATCGACCTGCAGAATCGTGTGGTTGTGCCTGGGTTCATCGATGGCCACACGCATTTTCTTCTTTTCGGACTAGCTCTCCAGAAACTTGACTTAAGTGATTGCAAAAGCTTTGAGGCTATTGAAAGCGCCATCACCAACTACGCCAAAGCAAACTCGGAGTTGCCACGAGTTCTTTGCCGGGGCTGGCATCAGCCTTCGACCAACGGGAAAGCCCTTGCAGATATGATCAATCATATTGATTCTCGTCCAATCTTCATCGAAGCTCTTGATCTCCATTCTACTTGGTGCAATACCGCCGCATTGAATGAATTGGGGGTTGGTTCGATGACCGATCCAGCGGGGGGCACAATTTATCGGGATGAAAGTGGAAACCCTTCAGGTCTCTTGGATGAGGCTGCGCAGACCGGAATTGTTTGGCCGCATCTGATGAGTGTCTGCACATTGGAAGAACGAGTAATGGCTTTAGAGAATGCTTTGACAACCTACCTTGAATCGGGCTATACGGGACTAATCGACATGGCCATGGATACTGATTCTTGGGAGGCCTTGAGGTTGCTGCGACTAAAAAAAGATGTTCCAATCCATGTGGCAGCCCACTGGTATATTCCATTCACCGAGGATCCATCAGAGCTATCCGAGCACATAGAAGAAGCCATTGCAAAACATCGGGAATTCCATCCGTCGGTCACACCAGAGTTCTGTGTGATTGGGATTAAGATGATTTCCGATGGTGTCGTGGATGGCTGTACAGCAGCTTTGAGTCATCCATACAGCCAAAATGAGGGCAATGTTGCTGTCAATCCGATTTGGCCGGCGGAGGCTATGAACAAAGTGGTGAAAAGAGCTGTCGATGCGGGTCTGCAAGTTGCAATCCATGCAGTTGGTGATGTTGCCATCACACAAGCTATCGATAGCATTGCCGCCGCCAATAGCCCGTATGGTCGACATAGGATTGAGCATCTCGAGCTAGCATCGGTGGAGGATGCAAAGCGACTGGGCCAGCTAGGAATCACCGCGTCCATCCAGCCCGTTCACTCCGATCCGGCTCTCACTAAAGCATATCCCAAGATTTTGAAGCCTCATCTATGGGAGCGAGCATTTCCATATCGAGAGTACATTGATGGAAACGCCTGCGTTGCCATTGGGACCGACTCACCGACAGCAAGACATCTACCCTTTCCCAACTTGTACAATGCTACGGTCCGAAAATCGGCGATCGAGCCAGAGTCCGACCAGATCATCAACCCTCGCAATGGGCTTACCCTGCTCCAGGCACTTACTGCAGCGACCTCAGGAGCAGCTTACTCACGTTTTGCTGAGGGGTGGGTAGGAAGTATTGCGCCGAACCATAGGGCGGACTTTGTTGTGTTAGATACCGAATGGACCCCGGAGACGTTGCTCAAAGCGACCATTCATCAGAGCTGGGCTAATGGAAAGAAAGTCTTTGAGACTTGAGCCACGTCATGGCGCAGACCGGAGATGCAAGATACATTCTCAATCTGAGACACACGTAATCTCCCTATTTCAATTCATACCCAGTCAGATACTTCAGTTGAGAAGCACTACTCAGCATGTTCCGACAGGTCCTACCCATACTGGGCAGCAAGAGACCCGATAATCCGACAGGAAATATCATGTCTATTATACCTTGCTCTTCCAAGTTCTATATAGACAAATTTCCCGCTGGATCCTTATCAGTTAGATGACTACGGGTTCTAACTGAGGAGGTTTTGATAGTACAATCTGTCAGATGCTGTCTGATTCTGTTAGTTGTGGTGTACCCATGCTAGAATATAACGTAGAGTAGTCACCATATGGTAGTCCCTTGGTGTATAGTTACTAAGTAATCGAAGTTAATCATCATCGCTCTAGTTTGAACTTGATAATTTTCAGCTTCAGGGTCCCGTTTTCTGTGCAATGTCTATTTCCGGTATTCCAACAACTGGCCTAGAAATATGAGCCACCATTTGACACCCGAATATCTGCTCCGTAGTGACCGCCATGATCCATCTCATTTCCCCTGGAGTCCCATGTGTTCTTACATCCACATCGTGATGCATAATTCCCTCTGTAATGAATAGGCAGGGCCAGAGGGCCAGAGGGCCAGCGTTTTGTCCATGTAATTGAGTCAAACAAATGCCTTCCCTCGTAAAATTGCATGAAGAGACAAGAGTCACATGGCGCCACCATCTCTTTAAGTGAACAGTCGGCATCATATTTCACCATGATAAGTCATATTGGGCTCTATATCCTTTACAGCGAGGACCTCCTTATATCGCTGAGATACCTCCGCGATCATGCCTTGAATCTTCTTCGCCTCAGAAAACTTCAGCCCAAAGATCTCGAAAAGCTGCGTTGAAAGGTCCAGGTCAGCGATAGCTCGCGTGTTTCTCAAGACGGCACTGAGATCATCAGGTTGAGCCGTTATTGCATAGATTAACGACAAGGTAGCTGTAAAAAGGGCGAGAAAATTCAACCAGTTGTATGCAAATCGTTGTTGTTGATGCATGCTGAAAGCTTGGCGGAGTGACATTGACGCTGCCATCTCCAACATTTTGATCCGCTTCAAATCCGAAACGGGACATAATGGGGATGGTCTGTATATCATGGCAAGATGGGTATAGTAGTTGAAGTCATACCAGGTTGTGTTGAGATGTGGTACGTTGTCGTTGACGTCGGGGAGCGGGAATGGCATGCTCCGGCGCCAATTGAGAAGTTCTTGGTGTAATGAAGCTATGATTGCCTCACGTTCTTGTGAAGTCATATTTGTATCTTTGGCGTTTCTGTACACCTTGCGCGAAATTTTGCCTGCAATCTTACGCAGTGATAAAATGTGCAGCGGAACAGCCATAAGAGAGGGCTGAAGTGGGCTCTGGGGGCTTATACGGTCGGCGTGTATAAACTCCTCATCGGCATTTTCAAAGGGCTGTGCTCATTTAGTCACACATCTTCCAAGTGAGCATTCTACTGTCGATTCCTGCAAGAGCCTGACTCACTGTTACATCTATATCGTCGTCATGAAGTGCGAAAGGTCGTCCCAAAGTAATGGAAACAACACTGCGTATTGCTGTTAGCCCAGTAGATCAGGTATGAGAGAGCTTATAATAAGAGCCTACCGATCCATCATATAAATTGAAAAAAGATGCGTTTGCGTCTTTGTTGCACATCGAGAGGAAATTTACGATATGACGAGGCTGCATGGAGCCCCATGCCCAAGGCCAGGCGGGCAGCTGTACCAACAAGAAACCAGGTGTCTGCTTCCGTCAGTGCTTGAAATACCAGTCTAATGTCTGTTACTTACTAGGACCAAGTTGGTTGAAAAAGGAAAAGGAGACCTGAAGCATTATAGCCTCCAAGGCAGACTAGTATCTCGTGAGCTGTGCTATCATAATTAGGAAGCAGTTGGCAGGCTTCTCACCATTTCATCACCGCCCAACGCTTGCTCAGAATACTGCATAGCGTTGTTATAAAAGAGCATTGATTCCGATTCCTCAGTCAGGGTAACGGAAGAGTAAGCAGTGGAACCGATCGCCAGGACCATCCAGATTCTGAAGACGTGCACGGGTGCTTGTGTCGCCAGGCTTTGAGGATCTTGACAGATTCTTTCAAGAGTGTCCATGACCTCGGACCGCTTCAATATTGGGTAGAGGGTATGGGAGTGAGCAAAATAGAAATCGACTAGTCGGCGCACATATGCCTCATCGCTTGGCCATGCCAGAGAATCAAGGGCTGTGCCGGACCCGGCCAAGTCGGCAAAGAAGAGATCACCAAATAGAAGCGGATGAGTGGAGATGGACTCACTCAAGTTCTGGAAGAAAGAGTCGTTGAAAGGGTCTGAAGGTGAGCTGAAATTTACGAGGTCGATTCCCGTATTGGTTTCTTGGGGGTTATTGAATACAAAATCCGCCTTGTCGGGTGTCAAACGACGTAGGATCTTCTGTGTCAAGTTTGCGAAGGAGAGTCCTGTGGTCGAACCCAAGTGTCGCTCGGCAGTAGCCTCCAGGGAGAGGGCTGTCAATTGCTGTCCAAATGTTGAGGTCTGGTCTGGTGCGGGCCATGGCCTCGCAAGAGGGCCTTGTACTGGACCTTCGACGTTGTCGGCAATGGTGCCTGCATTTTCTACATTGCCTCCGGAAACGCCTTGAGGGCTGCATGGTGGATCTACCATTGCTGATTCTTGTATCTCAAAGTTCTCATAGAGGTTATTGTTGTTGACGATTAGCGTGGCTTGTGTATCTTGGGGGTGTGTTTCGTTCTTTAGCATCCGCAGCTCTCCCCAGACGGCGAAGCTTTTCTTCCAGGCCCTGAACATACCTGTGAGCACGTAAGCAGCCTGCTTCAAAACACCCGTAGAGCTGCGCATTTCAATATCTTGTGGTTACTCACAATATGGGGTATGAAGCTGTTTGGAGATCATCTTCTTCGAAACTACATCTTATCCGCGCCGAGACACAATTCTTGCAAGACGGCAATGATCTGTCACACCTCTTCTTTCTCTTGTGACAACGCGAGCACGAAGCTCGCGCCCTTGCAGAAGTCGAGGCCGATGTTCTCGAAATAGCCGAAGCTGAGCCGTTGTCAGGCGGCATTGCGGAAGAGATCAGTCGCGATATGTGTTGAAGCAAAGAGTGTCAAGTCATTCTACTATCTTTCGGGTATCACTCACCCTATCCCTTATCTCCAATTTCCCCGCATTCTATTCTGACCAATCCCATCTGTAAGATCGCGGGTATCATAGAAGGGCTGATTGGCAGTGATTGCTCAACGGCTACCGGCGACACTATGTTACGTAACGCGCGCTAACGTAATTCACTACCGAGTGGCCACTACCACCGAGTGGCCACCCCAAAACCTACATATTAAATTTAAATGCATATAACACCACCAAAACGCCATTAAATTAAATATAGTAAAATCATCTATCTACCTATACACCTATTAATTGTATGCCCTATTTTTCCACACCCACTACACCTTGGTGGAGCCCGTGTACGTGGCTGTAAAGCCGGCGAGTCGCTCATTTGCGGCGGGGGTATAGGTGCTTCCACTGCTTCCACCATCCCAGTAATCAATTGAGAAGCTTCTTGAACCGAGAGGCCTCCTTCGGCAGGTATCTGCCTTCGGGATCGAGTACGCTTTTGTTTCTGCTTCTCATTTTCGGCGCGTAATTCCTGGTTTTCTTTGGCGAGTAAGATAGCACCTTGCATTGTGAGGCGGAAGCCTTTTACAAGCTGGTTTAATACACGATCTGATGGACTTGGTGGGCTACGAGACCTTGTACGAAGTAAAGCTTTGATTGACGAAGCCTGTCGACGTAATTCTTTCTCTGTAAAGGGTGTTTTTGGGGTAAAATTCCGGCTTGAATCACTGCCCTGGCTAGGGGGGGGTTGGGGTTCGAAGCCGAATATCAAGCTTTGAAATCACTCGGTCGGGCATAAATAGTACTAAACCGGCTGCTCCGAAGCTATTTCTGATAGTCTCTGATTTAAAAGCTTCAATTCGTGCAAGGGGGTACGCTTCGAGGAAGTCAAGTTTATCGATATGATTTATCCCAACCCGTATTTTTGATTCAACCAGCCGACTATATATACGTTTTAGAACCGCAAAACAGCCAATATCGAGAGGCTGTAAAAGGTAAGAGGAGTGCGGAGGCATATAGATTGGTATAATCTGATTTTTTTCACAGATTTAGTCGAATTTTGGGGTTAAATGGCTTCTATGACCATCGAGTACTAGGAGCCGATATCTCCCCTTTATACGCGAAGAAGTTATTGGAATAAAGAGCTTTTCAAGCCAACGAAGTCCAATTTCATCAGAAGTCCAACCGTTAGGACTAACTTCAAATCTCCAGTCACTTAGAAGGCTATTGAACCAAGATTCAATATAGACTTTACCTTTAAAAATCATATATAGAGGAAGCGCCCACCCCGAAGCATTTGTACACTTAATAGCTATTACCCACTCGCGATTTCCAGGTTGTAAAAGTGAGCGCCGACCATAGTATTCACTCTGTGTAATAACTCTTGCAGTTACTATCAATCCTATCGCAAAACCAGTCTCATTAAAGTTATAGATATCGTCGGGATCGATTCTATATTGAATGATTGATTTTTGTACCAGATTAAACCATTCTCCAATGATTTTTGGGTCCTCGTATTTCGCACGTTCGTAATTATAGCGTCTCGAGAACCGGGAGGATAGGTTAGGGTGCCGTTTCACAAATTTTGTAACCCAATTTTGGCCGACCGAAATAACTGGGGTGGTTCCGCGCTTTTCGAGTAAAAGATTCGCCATTTCTCGTACAGAAGAAGGCCGGGGTGCAGATCCACGTAAATCCATAGAAATAATCCATTTTTGAAGAGACTCCTCTTCAGTTTCAGTCAATTTCGAGCAATTGGCGCGTGAAGTTACGCGGTGTTGTATTCCACTAATTCGGCGGCGGAGAGTTGTACGTGGGACATTGAAAGTGCTTGCAGCAAGAGCAATAGAGCCGATATCTTCATTTTTAATAGCCTGGATAGCTAATAAGATTCTACCCTCTTGCTCTATTGATTTTTTTGAGCTTTGAGAGCGTATTGGTGGCATAGTGGGTGGTTGAAAAGGAAGGGATTGAATTAATTGACGTGTTTTGGGTAGGGGTGGCCACTCGGTGGTAGTGGCCACTCGGTAGTGAATTACGTTATCAGTAACGTATTCGGTAAGCGAGCTGCGCATGCAAGCGAGCTGCGCACCCCAAAACACCATAGTAAATGCGATAAATTACAACCTGATATCTCAACAACAGTGGCCTATATAGACTTTTCCTTTCAGCCTCGTATTTAATAGGTGATATTCAGCCCATTTAGAGAATTTAGGGGACACATATCTCTTAATGACTACGATATATATATTTCTAGATTTTTGCAGCGTAACTTTTGGTAATTTTTGAAACGATGGTAATATAGTATCCTAATCTCTTTGAGATTGATACATAATACTCATAAGCCTTATCAATAGCTATCGACAAACGCGGAGATAGAATGAATATACCGTTGTTGAGATATAAATGTGGAATCCAGCGTGTTTACTATGTGTTTTGGGGTGCGCAGCTCGCTTGCATGCGCAGCTCGCTTACCGAATACGTTAACTAACCAGAGGTTGACCACACAACATCAAACTATTTTATAGTTAACAATTATATAGTTAACAATTATATAGTTGACAGTCTGATATTGTATCTATAAATTGATATTTGTAGTTTTATGCAATTGATAAATGCTAATCTTCAAAGCCTCCGAATATCACAGGAGCCTGGATACCATACTAAATCCATGAGCGCACCGCACCGGTCATTTCCTGGTAAAGAGAGATTTGTTGCTCATGGTCGATGGATGAACCTATTCACTCTGCCTGTCATTCAAAGCGAACAACCGCCATCGATTATGGTGTTTGTGCCTGTCATACTTCTGGACCTTGCGAGAAGAAGAACCTGCGCTGCCACATCCTACACAAAATGCGAACATTAGCTTTCCAGGTGTAGAAACAACCACAAAATCGACCTACCTCGAGTTCAACAAACCGCTTTAGCTTAGTCTGTTGCCGGTGTATCTCCTTTTGCTCATCCGTGAACCTTTTTGCCCAGTCCTATCCAAGGGGTGAGTTTCGCTCTGGTATACCAACGTAGGAGGTATATGCTTACTGTCTGAAGTAGTCCCGGAGAAACGCTATTGACACGAATATGTGGGCCTACCATACCGGCCAACGCCTTGACCATATGTAGCTGAGCAGCTTTCGTGACACCGTAGGCCTTGTGGTATATTGTTAGCTGGCAATGTATGCTAGAAAGGGAGTAGGCAATTAAATTATTACCAAGGAGCTACCCATTCCTCTCACCCCTGCGATTGAGGAAGTCGTTATGAAAGATCCCTCGACTTGCTCGAGGTAAGGCTTTGCGGCATGCAATAACCACAAATGGGACTTGACGTTGATATTGAAGGCTTGGTCCCAGTCCTCTTCAAAAACATTGTCATCTATAGATGTCGTATCTCGGAACCTTGACCACCCTCCGTTGGAAAAGACAACATCGATACGACCCATAGTGTCATACGCCTCCTTGACAAGACGCCGAATGTCAGCCGGAGAGCCTAGGTCGGCACGAATGGTTAAGTATCTGACTGAGTCCTGGTCGCCAGCGTTCTGACCGGCTTCTTCGCCTGATAGCTGGGCAACTAAACTCTCTGCTCGCTTGGAATTGGAAATGTAGTTGATGACTACCCGATACCCTTCCCGTGCGAAAGTTTTGGCCACCACTGCGCCTAGGCCCGCGCTACCAGCGGTGACAAGGATCACAGGAGTTGAAAGCATGGCGTTGAAGTTTGTGGAATGTGAAAACTGCATGGGCTTTTCGCTTGGATACTAAAAACAGAGTACCGCTTTGGTAATGATTAAACACAGTTTTGTGAAGAGCACTGTGTAGCTAGACCTCAATGGCGCCCGTTTCTCGGTCGGAACTCTGATGTAGGCTATTCCTAATGGTTTTATCAATTTTGAGCCATACTAACATCAAAGATATTGGGATAACTGTCGGGAATCCAGATATACCCTTATCGGATTGTCGATAACTACGTAAAGGACAGTACTTGAAATAGAAGATAGATTGATGTCCCCATTCGGCTATTGCATCCTCTTTCATCAATGCCGGGGCTGAGCTATTGGCTAGCGGACTCTCCGATCGTGTTTCGGACTCGTCGATCGGTCCGACTGGAATTTTTCATTTTGAGGTGAGAGAGGTGACCTTGGAATGTCAGTCATAGTAAACCGAGAGCTTTTTTTTTTGACTCTAGTTACACGACCGCAATATTTTCTGGGATTGCGACAAATGGTCCTCCAAGTCTTATTTAGTTCCATTCCATTTCGAATTTCATCGACTAAAACACTTTTTTCAAACCTCAAGCTTTCTATCATTTATTCGTATGCTCGATATTGCAGGGCTTTCTATGTCGTCGGTGCTCGTCTACCGGTGGACTAGATGTGGTGTAGCAACATACCCGGCTCAAGCTACCAGGAGTAGGTTCGAGAAATCGTATTTGGTCGAAATTCTGGCGCGTAGGTATGTTGACATGCGTATCATCATTTCAACCTTGCGGAAATGAAAAGGTAAAGGCTGCCTGCACCTGGCCTAGATAGTCTTTTCCGTGGTCTTAGCGTTGTGATTTGAGACTCAGTAAAGCACAGAAGCCAACCGAATGTTAAGATAGCGCTCCGCAAAGCCCACAAAGCCCATAGCCCAACCCACAAATGGGCTGGGCTTTGGGCCCGAGTCCGGGCCCATCAAGCCCAACTAGCACCAAACAATGCAAACATTTCAAAAGATTAATTACACCAAGTTTGAGCCCCGTAATTAGCAGTTCTATTGTAGTAATATTGTATTATCTAGATATATAAGTCTTGAAGGATAATTTAGATTTATGCACCACGTTAAGATATACGAGAAAACGTGTTGATCAAGAATAACCTAAACGACAGTGGTTTGTTAAGAAGTGGTGATATTCCTTGTTGATCCAAGATATATATTCACCTGGGCAGTAACTATCAAAATATCAATATTAAGTAAGCATTTCCCCCCGCGATATCTCGACCTCTACTCGTCAAACTTCTCTTAAAATCAAAGTCTACATTGAAATAGCTTATGTACTGAATTTCAAGTTCTAAAAAATTAGTAGGAAGGTAGGATACAGCGATTACAATTCGACGGTTTAGAAGCGCCAAGGCTATTATGGGCCCCCATTTATGGGCTCTGCGAAACGCTAGGTAAAATTGAGCTCTGACCGAAGTTCTAGCTTTCAACAATATCCTAAATATGAATACAATGACAACAAAACGGCATTGTGTACTCTGTACACGATTTATTTGTCTTTCTGATTCTATCTTCTGAATCTATATATCGACAACTGCAACAGCCTTGACCTCAACAATCATTCGTGGGTCAGGCAGCTCCCTGACGCCAATGGTAGCTCTAGCTGGCGCACTATCTCGGGTCTTAAAGACCTTATTCCACTCCTCGTTCATGCCAGCATATTGGGTCTCCATGTCCAGGATGTACACAACAGCGTCAATCAAGTTATGGATGCCGCCCTTTCCATCTGTCGCGCCTCTGATGATGTTGTCGATGTTCTCGAGAACTGCAGCTGTTTGTTTGCGAATGTCGAGAGTGCGCTTTCCGTCCGAAGTCTCAGTGACGCCAGGCCAGGTGCCATCAGGGCGGCAGCACGCGGTGCCGGACACGTAGATGGTGCGGTGGTTGGAGAGAGGTGCAAGGCGAGCCTGTGGGAATCTGGTGGCACCCTCAGGGGCATCAGGCTTGACTAGGTATGCTTGTCCGTTGGGAGACATGGTGACTAAGTGTGACTAGTAGGAGGCTTGTAGGTCGCAGTGGCTGATTGAGGGAAAGGACAATGGTGGTTGCGATGATGGCAATTAATGATGAACCTTGGCTTGTTTGATGATTACACCAGGCTTCTTTAATATTCTTCAGGGTTGCCCCAGTGTTCTTGTCTTTTCTCCTCGGCATGATTGAACTCATCTATATGTGGTTCCACTTTTGTGCTCAGCCAGCGGAGATGGCACTGGCGATTGCGCTGTATACTTAGTGTCGGGGTGTCCGATTCGCTTCGAGCGACGGTCGCCCCGGTCGCCTTTTTCATCAACAGTACGATATCCGATCGGTTGGCCCTTTCTACGTCTGCTTTCACTCTATCAGCCGATATCGGGGTGTTGTTTGCTGTGTGGTTCCCTTTCATCCCATTCCAAGCAAAAATTCAAGGCTGAGACTAGACTAGACAAACCGATTATAATGCTCGGTCTGCGATCACCACAGGCTATCTCGGACTATCCTCATTTTCCTTGCCTTGATTCCAACGGGGATTCGAACTAGATTCTGGAAGAAGGTCGAAAGTTTCAACGAGAAAAGTGACCAGAAGCAAAAACGAAAAGGAAAGATAGATTGGGCACAACTCCTTAATACCCATGGCCCACCCACTTTCCAGCATATCGGAGAAACCCCCATCCAGTCCAGGATGGAAAGGTAGCGAACAACAATTCGACGGAGAAGCTGCGCATCAAGTCCTGTCTGCGAATTCCACAGAGAGGATCGATGAACGTGTCGTTACGGAATACCCTGAAGGGGGCTGGGAGGGCTGGAAAGTAGTACTGGGAAGCTGGATGGCCTTGTTTGGATCCATGTCCTTCATGAATAGTATTGGAACATTCCAGACATACCTCCTGCGGAACCAGCTCAGCAACCACAGTCCCGAAGCCGTGGGCTGGATCTTTGGCGTCTACAATGGTCTGACGTTTCTTCTTGGTATTCAAGCGGGGCCCATCTTCGATGCAAGGGGTCCCCGTGGGCTGATCTGCTGTGGAGGTGTTCTGACGGTTCTATACCTCATGTTGCTGGGAATTTGTACAGAGTACTGGCATTTCATGCTCGTGTATGGTGTTTTGGGAGGCATTAGTCTCTCGCTCATATTTGGCCCAGCCATTGCCATTGTTGCCCACTACTTCGACGCCAGACGTGGACTCGCCACCGGAATAGCATCATCCGGGGGCGCTGTTGGAGGTGTTGTATTTCCCTTGATGCTCCAGAGACTGTTTGACACAGTTGGTTTTGCTTGGGCAACCCGGATTGCGGGGCTTGTGTGTGTTGTTACCTTTTTGCTTGCAGGAATTCTTGTTAGTCCTCGCTTCGCCCCAAAGCAGTTAACTCTGTCGACTGTGCGTCCTGATTTATCTGTCTTTCGACAAGGCGGCTTGACCTTGACAAGCTTTGGCGTCTTCTTCCTTGAGTGGGGTCTGTTCATTCCTTTTACCTATCTCCCATCTTATGCACTTGATCACGGGAGCTCGGCAGGCTTTTCTTATATGCTCCTCTCGTTGATCAATGCCGCCGGGATATTTGGTCGATGGGTTCCGGGTTTCTATGCCGATCGGCTAGGAAGATTTAACATGCTCATTATCACTGTTCTCGGCTGTTTTCTCAGCATCTTGTGCTTGTGGCTACCGACCAAGTCGAGCGAGCCACTAATGGTTATCTTTGCCTTGGTTTTTGGGTTCTTCAGTGGTAGTAACGTCAGCCTAGCTCCGGTATGCGTTGGCCAGCTGTGCAAAGTCGAATCGTTCGGTAGATATTACTCTACAGCATACATACTCGTCAGCATAAGGTTAGTAATTACTCTTTTGGCTCGCTTTTCCTATAAGACTGATGTAATTATCAGTATGCTCACCGGGACCGCATTGGGTGGCAAATTCATAAAGCTTTGTAATGGTGAGTATCATGGCGTGATAGCGTTCGCATGTGCAAGCTACCTGGTGAGCTTCGTTTGCCTCGTCATGGCGAAGATAATTTGCAGCGGGAAAAGCAAGATCTGGTCAAAGTTTTAGTCCCATGTGTGTCAAACATTTGTCTCAACATATCTTTGAGTGATATGCGTGTCACCAAAACCACCGCAGAACTCATCAGTTTAGTTGTTAGGTAGACTTTGCCGAATCCTGAGAGTACACATTTGTGTCAGGGTAATTGGTCTGGTCATCGGATCGTGGCGCCAAACATCCCACGCCAAAACCCTCACATATTTTGTTTAGTCGGTTGCAATCCGAGGCTGTTCTTATCATATTGGGTCAAAAGTTACATACCAATGAGAATACCACACATGGTTGTCCATATTCCTGTCAATACATATTTCCGGCAATGGGTATTCACCACTGTAATTATGGTCGCTATCATTTCCCGTCCGTGCAAGATCGGGACTGCGAAAAGGGCCACATAGCTATCTCTTGCACAGCCATAGGGCTAGAAAAGCATGCTCAGGTGGGGTTTGCAGCATCCGTGAGGGACAATGTGTGGCGCCGGACTGTTATCTTTCGTCGTACACCTGTCTGCGCTTTCAAGCCTCGGATGAAGCGACGGTCCACAAAATATGCCATCGGACCTTCCGACCGATCACGTCGTAATGGGAAGCTCCAAGGTCATTCTATATAAGCTTACTTTACTAGTACAGCCGCTAGATACGATTGAAAGCAAATGAGCTACGTCCCATCCACTCAAAATGTCAACAGCTACATCCCAGCACTATCAAATCGATGACTTCACTTTCCAGAATGGAACCGGCCCGACATCGGTCCAGCTAGCCTTCCTAGACATGAATCCAACTGCAGAGAAAGTGGCCCTTGTTCTAACCTCTTTCCGTGGTCGGCTTCCGTCTACCTTGACCTTTAGCGATGGCGCCCTCAAGGGCCACAGGGTCATTGCTGTGGCATTGTTTGGTAATGGAGAATCTTCAAGTCCATCCAACATGGTCAATTTCCCCACATCGCTGACCTACGAAGACTGCGTTCGTGCTCAGCACCAGTTGCTGAATTCGTATCTCAACATCAAGACTATCGATGTGGTGGTTGGTTTCTCCATGGGTGGGCAGTGCTCGTACTACTGGACTTTGATGTACCCTGACATGGTCCGGAACGCGGTCATTATATGTTCCTCGGCTCGCACCAGCCGCCACAACTACCAGTTTCTAGAGGGGCCAAAAGCTGCGCTGGAGTATGCTGCGGACTACCACAAGGGAGATCGCAACAAGTCATCTTTAAAGCCATTGGGTGGACTCCGAGCTTTCGGAAAAGCATACTCAGCGTGGTTGACAAGTCCTGAGTGGTTTGAGAAAGAGATGTACAAGTCAATTGGATACGAAACATTGAGCGATTGGGATAAGGATGCGGCTGGGACAAACTATCACAATTGGCACCCCGATGATTTGCTCGCCAAGATAGGCATGTGGCAGAAAGCCGATGTCACTTTAATCTCGGGAGATACATCTATACAAGAAGCACTGGCACGGATCACAGCGCGTGTCCTGGTCATGCCATGTTCGACAGACCAGTACTTTCGCTGGGAAGCGTCTGAGAAGGAGTCACAAGCGATTCCTCGCTCAACGTTCGTGGTCATACCATCTGCATGGGGTCACTTGGCTGGACTGGGCTGTAACTCGGCAGATAAAGATTTTATGGATCGGACGATAGCTGAGTTTTTGAGGACACAGTGAGACATGGCGTAAAGTACAGATGCCCGATACGGAACAAAGTGTGTGGACCTGTTCAAATCTCAGAATACACAGATCCACATCGTGATGGGTTTGAATAAAATAAAAAAATAAATTTTACACTAGTCAGAGACACTACAATCTCCCTCAAGTTGCAGTTACTATGATCATTCAATTTTGTGAGACCTCTGCTGTTCTCTGATATATCTCGCGCCCCCGTTCAAATAAAGCCGCAGCCTCGATAAGCTGTTCGTCAGCCCAACGACTTGCAACAATCTGCATACCTACGGGTAGCGGGGCATCTGGATGGTCTTTGACTGTGGAGAAGCCACATGGCACATTCAACCCGGGATGGCCAGTGACATTAAAGGGGCAAGTATTGCTGGTCAAGCCAATGGCGACACCGAGTCTATCTAGGATAGAGGTTCTTCTCCCGTCGAGACCGTTTGGATCTGGGTGAGGCATTGCGACTGTCGGCGCACAGGGTGTGACGAGGATATCAACATGCTCAAGAGCAGAATCGTACGCAGCTCTGAGCGCAAAGACCATGCGATGAGCCTTGGCCTCCAACCCTGCTTTGGATGATTCCCTGGCGAATCTTTCGCTCAGCATGATGTTTACTACAGCTGGGTTATTACATGTTAACTTGTCGTACGTCGCCTGGGATGGAGGCCATTTGATCTGAGTATGCGGCGGCAGGAAAGAAAGGTGGCCAGAAGGATTTCCTTGGCACAGGTAATTAGACATGGATGGTCGTGTTGCCGCTGTCCAGATTACTGGGCCTTGCTGGTGCATTGGAATAGACACCTCAATGACAGAGGCTCCGACAGCTTCAAAGTATCGGGTTGCTGCCTGGAAGACTATGTCTCGCACATCGGCAGCAACCCCAGGCATGCAGAAAGATTCCTTCAGCAATCCTACCCTTAGCTTGTGACCAGGTTGTGATGTAGACTGGATTCCTTGCCTGGCCTGGCGTAATAGTTTTGAATAGGGCTTCACATGACGTATCAAAGGGGTCTCAGGGGACATACGAGGGTCGTAGCCATCGTAGCCTGCCATGACCTCCAACAGCGTAGCAACATCTTCAAGTTCAGCCGCTAGCGGGCCTAGGTGGTCAATCATGGGCGACATGGACCCTGCGCCGGTGTAGGGAACTAGACCGAATGTAGGCTTTAACCCGTAAATGCCATTGTACGAGGCCGGGATTCGCACCGATCCAGCCTGGTCAGTGCCAATAGCCAACTCTACCGTTCTTCCCCATGATGAGCCGCTCCCTGCTGATGCCAGGCGATGGGCTGCAACAAGAACTGCGGATCCGCTGCTGCTTCCACCAGCCGTGTAATTTCGCAAGCGTGGATTATGAACCGGGCCAGTCGCCGAGGTGAAGGACAAGGGAGAGGCACAAAAGCTCTCGCAAGTAGATGTTCCTTTGATGATGCCACCAGCCCCAAGAATCCGCGACACCACAACGGCGTCGATAGGGGAGATGGGGTACCCGTCGGCCTGAGGGAACAGTGACTGGGGCACTCCAAGCGTTGTCGGCAGCCCTCCGACAGATATATTGTCCTTCACGGCAACAGTACGTCCAGTCAGTAGATTACCCGCTGGAGTCACAGATCGTAGATCACATTGGTAACTCCAACCGTTGAAAGGATTGTCTTCCGGTGTTGGCGTCCAAAACTTGCGACGTTCCAGCGTCTCACGAGGAAGTAAATCTGGTGCAATATAATCGGGCGCATCGTCAATGCTTCTGAGAACTGTCTCAAGCGACCTCAGCAGAGTGAGGTAATCCTGCGCATCTTTGTCGTCCATATAGTCAACATGGAGCTGGGCTGCGAAGGCCTGTAGATCCTTTTCACTGATTTTAGAGCTATACCGAGTTTTAGTTGCTGAGATGGTCCACGTTCATGTGCAGGGGTTGCTTACCCTACACCATCAGAGATTGACACAATAGACATTGTGGCGATGACCTTCTGAAACTTGGGAGAAAAGAGGAGTAGTGTTGCAAGATCTCATGGTACTCATTTAATTAATAGCCTGGAGATACCTCAGCGGGAGTATTTTACTATCGCGATGTGTCTCAAGTATGTCGGCCCGTCCGATTGAAGTTGAATCCTATCAAATGTGCCCGCCATCCCAGGTCACTGTGATAACGATCGGAGGGAAGGAGGTGTACTTTGAACTTATTGTTCAGTTTTAATGTTAATTCTCGTGGTCGTAGAATGATCAATGCATTGGTTTTTTTTTTTGTTTTCTTTTTTTTTTTTTTTTTTGAAGATCAACAAGCAACGATGTGTATTCAAATTTGCTGGACATTAAACCATACAATTAAAATAACACTAAGGACTGAGATTAGTCCCATCCACGAAATAACATGAGCTCATAGACTGATGTTTGTCTCATTGTTACATGAAATGGACTACTTGTCTGTACATTTTTTCCTCCATTATTGACCATTAGCAAACAGAATGCGGCCTCCGTCAACGCAAAGCGATATTCCATCCACATACGCCTAGAAATGATGTTAGTATTGTTCGCTGTAGGACAAGACTGACCAGTCTCCAAAAAGGCTGCATATACTTACACCCGCACGGCTGACAAGGTACAAGATAGTGCCAGCAATATCGTCCTCGATTCCTGCTCTCTTAGCTGGGACCTTGTCAAAAAGGGCGCCGAAGACGTTCCCTTTCTCCCCAACAGGGTTCATTTTGCTTGGAACAACTATTTTGATTAGCATCTGCCTTTATTCACATGGGGATCACCACGTCTGGTTTCACTCACAACCTGGATTGATTCCCGCCACTCGTACATAGAAGCGGCTGAACTTGGCTGCCAGCAGCTTAACTAAGTGGTCAGTTGCGGCTTTGCTTGTAGCATAACTCGTCAGGTCCACGTTTGTGACATTGTGCATGCTTGCGCATGAACTAGTGATCACGACCACTCCGCGACCATCACTTCGACCAAGCCGGCCATCGGGTAGTGTGAGACGTGAAGCAGCCTCTAGCATTGGGAGGAAGGCCACAGAAAGGAAGTAGTGGGCAGTAGTGTTGACACAAAATGTGTCAGCCCAGTCTGAGTGTCGCGAGGACCACATCGAGGCCTGCAGTTCGGACAGGGATGCCTCCAACACATTACATTGGACAGGTGGGTCTCGTCTTATGCCCGCGTTGGAAATGAGCATATCAACATGAGTCTCCCGCTTGCTGACCTGAGCAGCAAGATCTTGGATGGCTTGCTTTTCAGAAACATCGCAGGGGATCCTAAGGTTGACATTTAGTATAATTTGCGTGATCATCAATGTTGAGGTTGTTCTCGTCCAAACCTACCCATGGGCAGATCCTCCGACTTCTTTGCCAAGTTCGTTGAGCTCTGTTACCTTCTTGTTAATCTGCTCACTCAGTAAATCGATGAGGTACACCTTGGCGCCGTTTTTTACAAGGCCCTATCATAACGAAGTTAATTATCTGTCAACAGTATCATGAATAAGTTCGGAGTCCCCATGGCAAGTTAGCACAGGCAAACAAACTTACTCTGGCAATCATAAACCCGAGGCCACTACTGCCTCCTGTCACAACTGCCACGTACCCCTTGACCCCGAACAAATTATCTGCCAGAAGAGAAGACATGCTAATAGGATAATAGACTGCGATGTGCTGTGCTGGCACTGTTGTGAACTAAAAACGTGGGGAGCTACAGCAGTTGTGCTACTTTATTAGGGTTTTGATAAGCGCTTATATTGTGAGTCGGAAGGGCCGACGAGTAGGTCATAGGGGAGCCAATCCCGAGGAACAGCACACCTCATTGGGGCGATTTCCAAGCGCAATATTATGATTCGATCATGGCTAACTCGATCCTATCATCTCAACCCCACCATGGAAACATTAATTGCATGTATTGAATGTGGTGCTGGCTTCCAGTGATTGCAATGGCAAGGTACTACAGCATAGTTTTTAGCTTCCTTCCTCCACTCCACGCTTGCATTGCTTTATAATTCGTTAGTGATCAGCCTTTTGCGAGCACTCACTTGAGTTTGTGCTAGATGCTGGTCACATGGGTGGAGAAAGAACACTGCACTCAACATTTCATTCTCGCAGACATGGTCACAATTCGAATACTTCATATCTATCATTTTTGGTTTATGCATTTGCTAAACTTACATAGACATAATACATTCTTAAGAGGAGCCAATATACTCAATAAAGGTCCAGCCGTGTCCAGTCCATTCTAGCCCATGAACAGACTTGAAATCTCCACGATAATTCGTTGATGAATGATGCATTGAGATATGTTTTTCAACATATCCAAAATAAAAGCTAAATGGTATAAGTAACAGCAATCACATAGTTCCTGAGGTATGCACGCGCACTCCTTTTGTCACGTAACTACCCCCATGTTTTTCTTCGCCTCGAGGTCATTGTATAAATCATGATATTATCTAGTCCGATTGCTTGGAATACACCCTGCACATCTGAGAGTTTCAGGGTCACACCGAACATAGCATTCAAAAATTGAATTACTCCTTGTAGTGCTCGCTGGTCCTCTGCTCGGCAAGGTCCAGGCACTTGGCCGTCATGGCCGTATCACGGGGAATGAGCTTAACTTTGAACTCCCTGGGAATGGCAACCAGCGCCGTCTTGAACTGGTTGTACTCGACATAGTCGGTATTGGGGGGGTTCTCTTTGCTCGCCACGATCTTGTAGGACGACAGAATCCTCACCAACGCAGAGTACAAGAGGCGAGAAGCAATGAACTGGCCTGAGCAAGCACGAGAACCAGTGCCAAAGCTCAAGTGATCAAGTCCACCGCTAGTGGCCTCGGTTGGGGGGTCGATCGTTTTCAGCCACCGCTCGGGGTTGAACTGCCCAGCGTCGGGTCCGAAATGGTCGACATCTGGAAACTTTAGACTCTTACAACATAACTGGGACGGGAACTCTTAGCTGCTATTCACTCACCATGGTTACCCGCCTGGGCGTTGATCAAGATCATAGTTTTGGGGGATGATGGGCACCATTCCAGTTGACCTCGGAGACAGTCTTTCGCGGAAGACTTAAGGAGCTGACGGTGTAGTATCGGCCAGCCTCCTTGACAATGGCATTGATGTATGGGATTGTCTCCTCCTTAAAGCACCCAGTCCAGGCGTCGGTTTCACTGGGATAGTGGCGTTTAATATCCTCGTAAGCCCGATCCTGCCATAACTGTCCTTCCTCGGTGGACAAAGACCCAATACACGAAGTTAGAGTTCCAGGAATTGTTTCGAAACCACCGGAAACCAAGGACAGGCAAATTGAGGAAACTTCGACACCAGAGAGCTTGGTCTCCTCATCCTTCAGGATGGCAGCAGATATGCAAGGCTTGTCGGTACCGTTCTTGATCATCTCGCGAACCTTATTCAAGAGGAGGTCCAAATATACATCACGACGCTGACGAAGCTCCTTCGAGCGGGCATTCTTCTCATTGTTGGGCAAATATCGAAGTGCCGGGATGTAATCCTGAAGGTTCTCAGAGGCGCTGCGCAACAGGGAAATAGACGATCCGACATGAAGAATCTCGCGGAGTAGCTCGTCGTAGACAGCGTCCATGCGAATACCGTAGCAGAGTGTCAGGGTTGTATTGAGCGCGTATCGCTGAATGTACGGGCGAACGTCAATCTCGATCTGGCCGTTGCGGCTGTCCTTTTTCATGTCTCGGAGGATGCAGTAACTTTCAAGGTCAAACATCGGGTAATAGTTTCTCAAGGCGGGGCGACTCAAAGCGGTTCCAGCAGCCTTGCGCTTCTTCTTACAAGACTCATCCCATGGCGAAGATCCAATAGTAAAGCCCTGTGTGCTGCTGATTACGCTATGGAAGGTGTAGAGCATGGGGCGATCAATGACTGCATTCTGATTACCGAGGAGCATCTTCTTGCAGTCATCAAATGAGTTAACAACGACGGCCCTCGTGTTACCCAGCTTGATCTGGAAGACAGATTGGTTGTGCTGGCGCCACCACTTTTCTAAAACTGTAGCATGATCCTCGCCGAGCTTGAGAAGATGTCCAAATAATGGAACAGCGCCAGGGATTTCTGGCATGCCCTTGATGTGAGGAATGTCGGTAGCATACAGAAGCTGTCGAACTTCGTCAACACATGGAGAGCGATAGGAGCCAGGGAAATTTAAAGGACAACTTACTGTGTAGAGCATGTAGGTGAGCAGCACCACTATCAATGCTGTCAAGACTGGTCCAGCATGTTCCTGTTCCTTGAGCTGATACAGTTTATAGCCCAGCCAATCGCCCCCTCCATGTACTTTGGCGTCCATGTTCGATGATTATATGAATTTTGGAGTACAGTTAAAACCCCAAGAAGAAGAAAGAAATATATGTGAATGGTCCAGATTGAAGAGGGTGTTGGAATGATTTATCCTTTCATGATATCATGAGCTCAAACGCGCGACTTTCATATGCTTTTCCTCCCAAGACACTGCATCTTCCCGTGAAATAAGCAGCACGATAGGTTTAGTGGCGGATGATCCGATCGCGGTCGAGGTCACCACTTTTGAGATTAGGAAAGTGTTATATCGGCCCTTCCGACGAGATGTGGACCCCACATGGCGGAGTCGCCGTCCAAATTATTATCGTGATTATAATTGTTTCCAAAAAAAAAAAAAAAAAAACAGAAAATATGGGATTACGGCACATACCAAGTTCCCATTCGAACCAACATGGTCATTCCTTTTCCCTGTGTATCACCCGCGTAATTGCAAAATGGTCTATCAAAGTATACTGGCGAATGAACACACATTTCGAGGGAAAAATAGACACATTATTGTTAACAAGAATACGCCTGATACACTACAACCTCGTAGTCACACTCAAGGGCTCTCGGATTACGTCGACATCAGAATCGGGATTCCCGACCGATTATAGGCAATTCCGCAACTTCACGAGGCCATGTTGGACGTGCAGGATCGTCGGAGGTTATTATCAGGTGGCTTTGATTGTAGACTCTAGTCAATCAGAGTGGTCCAATGTATGTCTGTGAACTTATCTGGGGTGCGTTAGCATCCTTGGCAGCCCCAGACTCCCTAAGGCTTGTTGATAAGGATGTCGCTTGGGGATGCACTATTATAAAATAGTGTGAACTAGACCATATTCTGTAATGTTTAATTCACATTTTTTGCACTCCAAGTTATGAATAACAAGCAAGCAGACAAACACGATGGCAATGAAAAAGTGTACCAGACAACGTCGATAGTCGATTCGCTTGCTGTAGAGCAGCCGCTCCACCGCCCGTCTACCAAACGGGGTCTCAAAGCACGCCATGCGCTCTTCATTGCCTGGGGTGGCACTGTTGGGACTGGCCTCTTCATCACCACTGGTAAGACTCTTGCGACTGGTGGACCAGCCTTCCTCGTCGGGAGCTATGTCTTCATATCCATCTTGGTATACTTCATTCTTACGGGAATCATTGAGATGGCCACGTTTCTTCCTGTGCGTGGAGGTTCCATGAGTCGGTACGGCCACCGCTTCGTGTCCAAGAGTCTCGGGTTTGCCATGGGTTGGCTTTATGTCTATTCTTTTGCCATACTGGTCCCATTTGAGCTTACTGCATGCGCGATCCTCATAGACTTTTGGCAACCGGGGATCAACAGCGCAGTTTGGATCACTATTTTGCTGGTCTTGTTGGTCATTCTGAACGTCCTTCCTGTACTTTTCTACGGCGAAGCAGAATTTTTTTTCACTGGTGTCAAACTGGCCACCATTATCGGCCTACTTTGTCTTTCGTTCGTCTTGTTCTGGGGAGGAGGTCCTGACCGCAATAGACTCGGATTCCACTACTGGAAAGATCCTGGTGCGACAAAGACCTTGATACTAGAGGGTGACGCTGGCAGACTCGTTGCCGTTATCGCGACTGTGATCAGCAGCATCTTGCCCTTCAGCTTTACGCCCGAGATGGTGGTTGGAACGGCAGCCGAGATCAGAGACCCGAGCAAAAATGTACCAAGGGTGGCAAAACATTTCACCTGGCGTCTGATTGTTCTTTTCGTCGGCAGCGCCATCGGTATCTCAGTCATATGCCCTTCGAATGCTGCTACTCTCACGAGTGGAAGCGATGCCGCCTCCTCACCGTGGGTCGCGGGTATTCACCAAGCTGGAATACCCGCTTTGGACAGCATCATAAACGCTGTGGCGCTTGTAGCAGCCTGGTCAACGGGTAATGCATTCCTTTACCTCTCTAGTCGATCCCTTCACTCTATCGCAATGGAAGGTAACGCTCCTCAAATATTTCAGCGCTGCACTGCAAAGGGAGTGCCCATCTATGCTGTGGGGGCAACATCATGTGTCTCTCTGTTGGCGTATATGACGCTTAACTCTTCCTCGGCAACCATCTTGAACTGGCTTTTGAACTTGGTCAACACAGGCGGGTTCCTGTCCTGGGTCTGCTGTTCCATCACATATCTTCGTTTTCGAGAGGCCTGTGACGTTCAGGGCGTTCCCAAATCAAAGCTTACACAAAGGTCCCCGCTACAGCCATACAGTTCGTGGATTACGCTCGTTTTGTTCAGTGTCTTGTGTCTTTTGAACGGCTTCACGGTCTTCTTCCCGTCCGAGTGGTCAATTGCTTCCTTCATGTCAGCATACATTGGGTTGCCGGCGTTTCTCATCCTGTATTTTGGTCACAGATTCATTAATTATAAAGAGCCGTGGGCCATTCCGTCACATCTTGTGGATCTACAACTTGACCCAGCGGAATTGGATAATAATTGATGTGTCTCAGCTGGAATGAGAACTATGTTATGAACGCTTTTAGACTTGGAAACTGTTCAGTATGATTTATTGCCCTTGATGCGAAGCCAATGCTTACATTTTGGTAATTAGCAGAGCCAATGCTTGTATTTGTAAACGGTATCATTCAATTCTGATGCAAACGACCATGTTTCCTCCATTGCGTCAGTTAAACTGTGGATTTCCTAACTGGGCAGCCGTGACCTATCACGCGATATTTGATGTATACCCAATGAGGTGTAGTAAAATCGTTGAAATGCTGGATACGTACAGTGGCGTTTCAAGAGTATTTGCACCCGAGTACTACGAAAATTTCCAGGCCACCTTCCTTTCTACTAGTTAATAATTTACTGAACGCGTTAAGTAATAATTACTCAACGGAAGGCCCACATACACGCTTAGATATGTATGGCAAAAGCTCTAGCGTGCAGGTTACAATAGAAGAGAGTAGAGGAAAAGCATTAGGAAGTACTGGGGTGCAAATACTCATGAAACATGACTGTATGTTAGTGTGCACATTGACACACATGTTGGATGGATCGTTTGTTCAGTTTCGTGGGTCCAAAACAAGAATATGCCACGACGGGCTGGGACCGATTAACTTAGACCATAGAAATCCTCCAACCAATATACAGGTATATAGTTCCCAATCCTCGAAACCATGTCCAAATATATATATTTCCACCCGTACCTTCGGCAAATTATAGAATTGAATTTTCAAATTTAATCTGCAGCATCTCTCAGTCACACTACAAGAACGACATTGAGAATACGCTGTACGTTGTCGGCGTTGAATATGTAAGGTACTTGAAATTGAAGCCAGAGAGGTGTCGGCATCCAAAGGGCTCCACAAATGGGCCCGATGCACGTGATTCAATGACATAATCCACGCTACTGGGTCCGTCGAATAAAATTCTGCGATCCGTTTTCTCTTTCCTTTCTTCTTCACTTCAAAACATATACACGGTCCCCAACACACTCTTGTCGATGGAATAATCTCACTCTGTCTACATATTTTAGTTTAGGGACCCAGACCGAAGAATGCTCGTTCTAATCCCGCCCCCTGACATGAAGCCAGAGGGGAACGGGTTCGCTTTTGAGCCAACATCCCCAATTCTTGTGACATGAAACTTGCGACTTGAATCTTGCGCGGTTTTTCTTGATTCTCTGTGGTGTTTACTTGCAGGGGCTGGCTTCGACTGGTAACGAACTCATTGATGTTTGAGTTCAACTCTGCAAGTCAGCCCAAGTCCTTGCAACTTGGTTATTGCCTACAGACAGGGATAACCATACTCGCGATCCTCGATGACTAATCACATATCTAGCTAGATAGACGTAAACACTCTTGGCATCTTCGAAGTCTTGTCCGTCATATCGTGATGTTTGAGGTCAAAAAGATGCCAATACTAAGCCCTCACAGTTGGACACGTCTTTCTGGAGACTCCCTCGTGTTACGTCCGCTCCCTCTATGGGGCTGTGCGTGTCAAAGTAGGGAGATACATTCCATGTAAACAAATATATATTGTTGTAGCGTGGTATCGGAGAAAAGACCAGGAATGCTCCGTCGTTGTGTTATCTCAAACGTGCATCTCACATCAGTCCTTGCTAAGGACTTGCAGCACCCCTTCATCAAAGCCCTGCGTCTCCCCGCGGACACTTTGTTCCTGCATGTTTAGTAATTGTTTGATTATTGCAGATTTGAAAATTTGCAAAGGAAAGCCCGTGAAACCTGCCCAGGTCTCCAGGGTATGTTTGACTCAGGTCAGCCTAAAAACTGCAGACAGAGCACTTAGGTGTGACTGAGATGATGGATGGTCAGGCATGAATGCAATCCTTACTAGCACTGCTTCGCATGTTTCAACATGGAATGCGGCACGAGTCACTGAAGTGTGGTCCACCTAGTCACTTTCCCTCGCTTTGATCCACCGATTGACTCTCATCGATATCCCTTGATTGATGTCAAGCCAATCATTAGCTCCAATGAATACAGTTCGAGGGGGGAGGCATTAATTTCCATGGCAATACGGAGTATGCAAATGACTGTATCGAATCTTTCTCCAGACATAGCCATGAATATGACCAAAGGGCCCATGAAATCCAACAAACAGGGTGAAATTATCTCGTCCATCCTAGACAAAGTCAGAGTAACACGCGAGGACGCGCGGTAGCTAGTCGCAACAAGGCTCTTAACCCTAGCACCCCTTGGGCTCCCATTCCCTTCATGATATGATTGAGCGCGCTACGTATAAATCCAAGCTAACTTCCATAGACCCGACTCTGTTCCATCTAGCGCTCTCTCCGCCTACAACAGTCACTCTTTGTACCATTCCAAACCCACACTCATTGAGACAACCTTTTGGACACATACCCTCCCTTAATCTATATCCTACTTGATATATTCCAGCATTCACAATGGCTCGCTTCAGTCTCTCATTCATTTCCGTTTTCCTCCTCCTCGCGGTCCTCGCTCTCTCCATGCCCGCCCAGCGCGGTGGGCAAGCCCCAAGTCAACCGCTTGGGCTCAATGGTGCTATTAATGAATTGAGGGTTAGTCAACTGTATGAAAGTCACCATTCGCTGGCGTCGTATTGACCAATGAAATCAGCATCCCGCCAGGTCGGTGAATGCTCCTGACGGCAAGAACAGCAACGAAAAGGAGAAAATGGAGGCCAAGGTCGCTGCCAAGCTGGCTGAAAAGGCCGGGGTTGCTAACACGCCTACTCCCGTTGCAACCCGTACCGACGAGTCAAAGCCCAAGTTTACTGGCTTGGGCAGGATTCCTTTGATCGGTTCCGTAATCGGTGATAACCTATGAAGCTGGCACGAAATCCGTGGTGATCACAATCATTTTTTGGCCGAAACTAGAAGGTCATTATTCATTTTCGTTTTTTTACTTTGGTTTGCAAGGGCAATGCTCAATGAGATTCTTGTGAGGTTCAACGGTCAATTTGGAATGATTAGTTGTGGTGTTTGTTTGTTATGTCCTATTTTAAACCTTTGTTTAGTCAAGTTGCATCCGCTGCTGTGATAATTTGAAGAAAACACATCCCCATTCTTCTCCAGGCCCTCATCGCATTATGACCTTTTCTCGCTGCTTGCTTGTTGTTGACCTTCATGAAGTCCCGTGTAATACCCTGCATAGTACCATGACATCATGAGGTTTTTCAAAGACTCATCTTGAACTAAAAGAAGAAGTTAATTAGCTGAATCTCCATGTGCCGAATGCGAAGCATACCGTTTGCCATGACTGGATGAGGCATCGGAATAGTAGGCGCGGAAACCGCAGAATTAGTATCCACTGGCTGAGAAGGCTGTATATTGTTAGCAAGTCCATGAAGGATGGAAGGATATATCATTAGCATGGCAATATACCTCAGGAACAGACTCGGAAGTTTGATCATCAACGGTCATTGAGACATTTTCATTGTTAGGTTGAATGGCATCGTCCTCTTCGGCTTTGATGAGTTCACCATCACCGTGATGTACATCTGGAGGCATATGAGTGTCTTCTGCTTCTTTTAAGGCATCTTCAACATCTTCACCCTTGGCGTGAATGCTCCAATAATGCTGCCGTCATGTTAGGTATTGGTCACGTGGGTTAGAGATTAGTTGACTGACCTGGTATTCTTCGACAGCATCGTCCCAGGACTGTACCAGAGCAGAATCATCCCAGACCTCTGCATGTGTCATGGACACTTTTTTATTCTTCCCCATGATGCTGGCCCATTTGGGATTGAAGGTTATTGAGTTGTAGTAAGTAAACATCTTGGCGCTAATCATGGTAATCGGTGGTCGGGAGGGCTCACCGCCTTCCGTGCAAATCAGAGAAGAAAAAAAAGTTTCCCGCAGATGCTCGAGCAGCATACAGTCTCCAATTCAACACAACAAAACCTCAAAATGGCCCCTGATAAGAGAGTTTCAAAGCGCAAAGGTAGGTTTCATGCTTCTGGCCAGTGTTATTTATTTTCATTTCACTAACACTACTATAGCTGCGCCTGTCGCCGCCGACTCTCCCGCCAAAAAAACCAAGAAGGTCGAGGCCAAACCTGCTGAGGCAACCAAGGAAGCTGCTCCTAAGTCTATCCTGAAGAAGAACGAGAAGGCCACCAAGTCCAAGGCAGAGAAGGCTGCTGTGCCGGCTAAGACAAATGTCGAGCCCACCCGCCAGGTCAAGCCTCGCAAGCGTGCTGCTGACTTCCTTACCGACGAGGAAACCGAAGAGCCTGTCGCACCTGTGAAGGCTGATAAGAAGGCCGAGAAGAAGCCTGCGGCTAAAAAGTCCAAAAAGGAGGAGGCTGAGACCACCCCCGCTCCTAAGAAGGCTGCCGCGAAGAAAGCCACCCCCAAGACCAAGAAGCCCGAGCCCGTCGTCGAGTCCGAAGAGGAAGACGCCGAGGTGGATGTCTCCCCAGCAGACGAAAGCGAAGCTGAGAACGAGGCTGTTGATGATCAGACTGAGGCACTCATTAAGGGCTTCGAGAGCAGTGGCGACGAGGACGAGTCTGATGGTGAGGGTTACAAAGAGGGTGAACCTATCCCCAAAGCCCCAGATACCAAGAAGGCCGAGCGCAAGCTCGCCAAGCAGCTGCGCAAGGATGGCCCTCCCGAGGAGCCCGGCACTGTCTACATTGGGTAAGTTTCGACCGTAATTGCTGAGCATTTTGAACCATCTAACATCCTATTCTCAGACGTATCCCCCACGGTTTCTACGAGCACCAGATGAAGGCCTATTTCTCCCAATTCGGTGAAATCACCAAACTCCGTCTTTCGCGCAACCGTCTCACCGGCCGCTCCAAGCACTACGCGTTCATTGAATTCTCCTCGACCACCGTCGCCAAGATTGTCGCTGACACAATGGACAACTACCTCATGTATGGCCACATCGTCAAGTGCAAGTACGTCCCAAAAGAGCAGTTGCACCCCGAGATCTGGAAGGGCGCCAACCGCCGCTTCAAGGTTACGCCATGGAACCGCATTGAGAAGAAGCGTCTCGCGAGGGGCAAGACACGTGAGCAATGGTCGAAGAGCATCGAATCCGAGCAGAAGAAGAGAGAGGCCAAGCTTCACAAGCTCAAGGCCCTAGGTTACGAGCTTGATCTTCCCCAGCTGAAGAGCGTCGATGATGTCCCCATCCAGGAGGCTCCTAAGGCTGTTGAGGCCCCCGAGACCACTGATACCACTGAAGCGTCCACCGAGGAGCCTGTCAAGGCTATCGAGGCTCCTACTCCTACCGATGATACCCCGAAGAAGGCCAAGAAGGGCAAGAAGACAGAGACACCCAAGGAGGTTGCTACAGAGTCACCGGCTGCTAAGTCTTCCATTGCCAAGGCGCCTGCCACTAAGGCGAAGGGAAAGGCCACCAAGAAGGCTACCAAGTCTAAGTCCAAGGCGTAAACGGGATCATGTAAAAATCGTTTGTAATTTCATTCATCAAGCCTTCTTCTCAAATGCATTGTTTTTTGTCTCTCTCTTCATCAATAAACTCTCTTTGGTACTATGTGAAGTCTAATAGTACTTAGGTATGTGAAGCCTAAAGTAGCATTAACAAATCACAAAAAAGGCGATGGAGGTAAGTGCACTCCGTATGGCAATGGCTGACAGGGATCTCTCAAGTTAATAGGTTCTGTCTATTCGCCTTCTAAATATTGTTAGCTCCCTCTCCTTCTCTCTTTCTCTCTCTCGCTGTCCCTCCCGCTTTGTGTGTGTGTGTGTGTGTGGAAGTTAAAATAACAAGATCTCTTCTTCCCTTTAGCGAGGAAAAATCCATCGGTTTGCAGCAACATATCTGCTCGACAACTTATATCGTACAACATACTGGTAGATATATAATTACCCTCCGGAACGTTGCAAGCCCTAAGCCGATGCCATGTACGCTAGTCCCAACCAAGCTAGTCCCATCACCTGACTAGAGCGAGAAAAATAAAAGCTTTGTCCCGAACAATCTTTTCCCTCTTCTTCTCTCAACTCCTCGCTCAAAGAATCGCATTCAAAGCTCACGCACAAAAGGAAGCTTTGCTCTCTTTTCAATCTTGCTTTGGGAGAAAGTCCCCGGACACCCTGCGCTTTGGATAAAACCAAAGTACCAAGTCAGGCACTGCGGAAACGCGCCGCCATAGAAGCAATTCGATAGCGGCTTATGCCCTATTCCCTCACGGCGCTCTGTACCACCCGACGGTTACATTTTACAATGTCTCTGGAAACAATGGGGTGTGTGTGGGGTGTTGGAGGGGGGAAGGACTGGTGGTTAAACACCTTTCCTTGTATTGGGTTGCCTTTCGTCATGTTCGGATAGTCATGCGATTGCCTCCTGTCTACTTCTTTGGAAGTCGATGGAGGTAACTCAATGGGGCTCATTCTTGAGGCGAGGAGTTCCAAAGTCTTTTTCAAGAGTCTGTAGCTTATGGCAAAGCGGTGATGAGATGCTGTCTCGTCGCAGAAGCCCTGTCACAGGGGCCGGACTCTTCTATCTTGCCATAGGTTTTCTTTTTGTTCGCGTGATGATATACCAATCATAGAGTCAAGCACAGAGACCCCAAGGGGTTGTTGACGATAAACGATTTAAAATTATCTGATGAACATTATATAGCCAATTTTCCAATTCGAGCAGTTCAAGTAACAATGAAATTCATTGAAATGGAATATTCATAACTTAATTTTAGCATTTCACTTCGTATAATACAGACGGTATTTATGCAATGATATAGCTCTAATCATGTTCTCGCGTTCACTGTGCCTTCCGCTCAGCTCCAAGTGGCACAGCCTCCTTCTGTCCCTCCTTTTGACCAGCCACCTGCACAAGCAATGATCCCACAATTTCGGCGGCGAGCGCAATGGTAGTCGCACAGACATTGCTCCAAACCTGGATGCTCACAGATCCCAACGGGGCACGAGGGAAGGACAGAATCCATTCAACGTAGTAGGGGAACCAGGACTCGGGGAGGCGGAAAACAGGTGTCTTTGAGTACCAGAACTGCAGGAAGATCTTCAACCCGTTTGTACAGATCCAGCGGGCGATCTTGACGGTCCAGTCGAAGGAGGATTTCTGCGAGGTGAGCTTTTTATCTGTGAAGAGACAACGGTTTTAGCAGTCCGATCGACAGTAAAAACAAGGCCATTTGTAGTATTGTGGTATCGTGACATACTCAGCGCCTCGTATTCCTCCATGGTCTTGTCGTGTCGTCTTCTGGCCTTCGCCCACTTCGCAAATTCATCCTGGGAGCTTGTGCTGTTCATTTCGTGCTTCTGCTCGAGGACTTGGCGCTTCAACTGCTGCTGTTTGCGTGCAGTTCTCGAGGTTTGCGTCGGCAGTTTTAAGTAAAGGAGCCATAGCTGTATGCCAAAGAGAGTAGGTGTTAGCGCGTGTAAACACAATGTGGGCGGGCGGCGGAGCTGGGAAGCTTCTCAAAGGCCACATATGGACTGATTGAAGACGTACAAGACTATCGACGGTACTCGCACCGATCGTGTTGACCAGGTAGATTGCGATGTGCACGAAGAAGACCGTAAGGACAAGGGACAACATCGTGGCGGGGGTTGGCAAGACCAAGATGAGGCGTTTTGAATGCGACGGCGCAGGCTGGGAGAGCCTAGAAGAAAGCGAAGTTGGCACAGTCGGCGACCACGCGATTTTCTGGTAGCTCTGCTGGGGTGAGACAGCAAATGTCCTGCTAAAATAGATGTTGGTTGCTAGTTGAAGGAGTGAATGACGTCCCTCGTTGTGGAAAGGTTGGGAATAACAGCGGACTTGTCCTTTCCGCCTTCACTGTATCACGGTTTACACGATTTTCGTCTATCACTTTGCTTGTAGCAAGACAATAAATTACAAAAATATTTCAAACAAAATATGACGAGGCGATGAGAACTTGAAAATAAATTCTCTCAATTTCCGCCAAACAACTAAGCTTTCAAATGTCCAATCCAAAAGATGCATTTCAGGAACTTGTCCGCATCTTCTCTTCTAGGGACAACCAAGTCCTAGAGATCGAAATCATTCCACCAAGTCTTTGTGCTACATTCCTCCAAGATGGATGCTCACTGGGAATAACCAAGAAAGCTCTAGTGCAGGCCTTCACGGTCGCGCGCCAGCTCTTCTTCGACCGATTATTGCCCATGTCCGAAGATGATCTCCAAGCCACCTTCGCTACGAACGCAGAGTCCAGAAATAAAGACTCAGCTATCACAGAAATGATGCTTCTCTTTGACTGCGAGCATATTACAGCCTGCAACTGGCGCAAGCGCCGAATGCGGGCAGCTATGGCTCATTACTCTGATATTTCAAACCAGACCTCGACCGCAATGGACTTGTTAGAAGCCGAACTCACGCTCATGTCAAGCTATCAATGCTCGCCACTTCATCGTCATACCAAGTCGCCGACGCTATGGAATCACCGACTGTGGGTTATTGCCCATCTACTTCAAAGGCGGCATTGGAGTCCGGAGGATCTGTTTGAGCTGCAATTGGCGGAACTGGCTGTTGTTCTCCGCGCTGGTGAGCTGCATCCTAAGAATTATTATGCTTTCAACTATATGCGGCAATTGGATGTGCTTCTCGCTGATCTAGTGGGCAAGACGACTGGTCACTCAGCATGGGAACCCCGTACCGCGCAGTCGGTTGTCGAACGGATGATTGATTGGTGCTTGGCTAATCCACGCGATATATCGGGTTGGAGCTTTGGGCTCTACGTGTTGAACAATACCTTGGAGCAACATATTCGAGTGAAAGTTCTCGAGAGAGTCGTTAAGTTTGCGCTTAATGTCGGATGGGAAGGTGAGAGCCTTTGGACGTTTGTCGACCAAGCATCAAGGCAGTTCGGACTTGAAAGCGTGGTTGAGCATACCATGCGGTTACACTGCGATCAAGGAACCGGAATTCGTCATTTCCAAATGGTCAGAGACAGTCGACAGAAGAAGTCATGGCAGAACTGGCTGGCCCAGGCGAAAGTATGTTGGGCTGTAGACGGCCAAGGGCGGAACAAGTGAACGGACGTCATGTGGGTTTATTAATGTGTTTACGCGTTTACGATTACCACCAAAAATCGCACCTCCATGATATTTCTCATGTGTCGTTGCCTCGTTGTGTCAGCGCTCTGGTATACATGCTTGGGCTAAATATGTGATAAACGCCAATGAGAGTCAAATTAACGCCTCGCTAGACACCCAGCCCCCTGTTTTTTGAAATTTGGGCATAGGTGGATGATTCCAATATCCATGGGTCCAGCACCGTCCATCACTCCTGCATTTTGCGATGCTGCTCGGTGGGTTGTCTGTTTTCGGGCGACCGCGGAACAAAATGTGTAGGGAGGTGAGAGTGACTGACGGGTTGGATTGAAGGATGAGGCATTTTATTTTTTGCCTCGTCCTGATGCAGCTTCGGCAGCTTTCTTTTCATCCGCTGTAGAAGAGAAGTGATCAATAAACCAGTCTCTCATGGGCCGGACGTCTAGTGCCAGAACACATACCCTTTCTCTGCTTCTCGCGCATGATGGCAGCAGCATCTTCCTTGGCCTTAGCGAATTCGCTGCCGCTCTGGGTGTTCTTGTTCTTCTGTAGAAATGGTCAGTCTGAACAATGACGCGCCGGAAATAAGACGAACTATATTGCCGGCCTTCTTCAAGGCCTTGGCCCGATCGTTGTCACGTTGATTACCCCGTGTCATCTTGATATTATTGCCGAGCGTATTCAAAGTAGTTGTGGGCGCGAAATGTTTGGAGAGTGAGAGAAAAAGTTTGGAGGGGTCGGGTTTATTCCAGCGAATCACAAGGGTTCCACTGTATACCTCCTGTGCCTCCTATATACATTGCAGGTCGATGTTTTTTTTTGATTGGATTCTCGGCATACTCCTTAGGTATTTTTCTTACTAGTTTATTTTGTTTGAGTCATTTGTTCAGCGACTGACATGTTGGCCTTGATTGGGCAGTATTCTCACCTTGTTTCAACTCTTTTTATGTTGCATACCCCTGGCGCTTCGCCTCAAAACCCACCTACAAACAATTTGGACCTTCAAATATCTTATCCTCTCCTTGTTCACGCACTTAGAATGAAGAATATCTCGTATTCAACTTATCGAGGAATAAGGCATGGTTGAGGCAAGCAGAACTAAAACACAAAGAGGAAAGAAGACTTGTAGCCGCCCACTAGTTTCAGCATGGTCGAGTATGGTCTACTAATGGCCAGTCATTTGGCTACATCGGACCCTAGTTAAGATCCCAATCATGGAGGCGTAGGTGATTAGGCTTGTTCCGGCGACAACCCCGATCTCTGCGCTTAAAGGACCCTATTTATTGTCTAAATGGCAACTATGAAACACCTCCTGCAGTATCTTGCTCCCATTGCAGAAATGGGATGAAGAACTGGTCTCTTTCATAGGGCTCTAATTAGATACATACTGTTTCTGTGATTGATTCAAATGTTTCAAGTCTATTCATAGAAAAAAAAAAGATAATATCATCTTTGTCGGGAGCATACATTTAGGCTGCTGCACCTCAATAGTCATTCTTCCATAGATGTCTTTTTTCATTGTCACCCCCATTCAGCCTTTCCTTTGGTCTCTGTCTTTCTTTATTACTTTCTTGTCCTCGAGTTGATCTCGCTCTATTGCATTGTTCCATTCTTCCTTGAGATATCAAACCTTCTGCTGGACAGTCGCTTTCTTCCCTCTTTTAATCCCAACTCTGCCCCCCCCAAAGTCTGTTAACAGACGATCTTTTATACATTCTCAACAGCGACTCTCTACCAGCTTTGACAAGTGCAGAAACAGGATTGTGCCTCGACCATGATGACTCGCTTGCGTGAATCCCTGGCCGGTCCAGGGTACGTGATTCTGAACGTCATTCGCGTTCTGAATATTATCACTTTTATGGACCTCATAGCTGCTTGTGCAGTCTTGCTGGCCAAGATCGACATGCTTAACAGCTTCTTTTTCTTCGAGGCTGTGACTCATGCCGTTGTGGCCCTGGTCAGCCGTAAGTATAATCTTCCTTCCATATACGGGATAAAAATGCTAACATTAGCAGTCTTCATGATCATCTCGGAGCTCCCAGTCCTCCAAAGCTATTTTGACAACCACTGGCCCATGTTCGGACAAGAATCTAGCTTCTACTCTCTCGGCGGGATCATGATGATTTTGGGTGTAGCGACACTGGGCAACTTGAACACCAAAGCTATGACCCAGGAAGCCATTGGAATGACTTTCTGGCAAATCATTATCTCTGCTGGCATCCTGGCGATGATAATTAGCGTGTTAAATGTTCTGGCAGTAAGTTGAGAGATCAAGAATTTCCAGTCTTCCAGTGTATATCCTTGACCCAAGGCTAACTAACCCATTTCCCAAAATAGAGCTATATTTTCAGCGACCCCGAGACTGGCGTCAGTGCCCGCCAGGTGCGGGTTGACGGCGCCGTCGCACCGCAAAAGGCAATGAGCCGGACCAGCAGCCAGCGCACCCTCCATTTGAGCGTGAAGCACGAGGAGACATTGCCCACCTACACTCGCCAGAACCCCGTCAAGCGTGCCACCAAGCGCCTCACCGGAAGGTTTCCACTCAAAATCTCCAAGCCCATGAATCCAACCCTGGTTGAGGAGAACGATGCCGCTTCCTCCAAGTACTCTCGTGACTCTGCGGAGATCCGCCCTCCCGACCTCGCACACCACCCTGCTTTGTCAGGCCATATGGTTTGAGCTGCTTGACTGGTCAACTAGGTCAAACCTAGGGTTGTTTGGAAGGAAAGGGAAGAGTGGCATTGATTGTATCGGAAGTCTTGCGTTATTGCGGCGGCGCATACGGCGCTGTTTTATTCCCCTCTTTTGTTTTTGTTTTTGCTTTTAACTGATCTAATTGAGCACATATGGTATGATGATCACTTATATGTCTAGCTTGTAAGAGGGAATTTAAATATCTGTTTAGAATCAAAGTATTTGTAGAGTAGAACAGTGTAGAAGTGGTTTCAAGGGCAATTTCCAAAAAGGGACGGGACCCACGTCTGGCCCCAACTTCAATGAAGCTACATATGTAACTTGGGGGACATTTCCTCTTACACCTTTCTTTCGTCGAAACTCAACTTCGAGATTCCGATGCAGTAAGGTAGCAAATATGGATCAAATCTCAATTTCCTGGGGAACGTAAGTCGTGAAGCTCCCATCCTCCGCAATCTAGCCTGACCATGTGAACAGCGTCAAATCACTTCTCATATTCTTTGGCCCCGTCATACTCCCACGCGCAATTACTGCCTATCGAAGCCTCCGTGTATCCATCGCGAGTCGGCCACCACCGCGCCCTCTACCTGCTGCGCCTGGTCGAGCGCTAAACATATTATTCGGTGGCATCGTCTTCTTTCTACTCCTCAGCCTACCCTTCAACCCCCACGCGCCCGAACCCAATATCTTCTCTCAGACACGATCTCGTCTAAACACCCCTACCGATGTCCTCTTCAACCGTCTCGCCCGGCTTCGGCCAAATAACTTCCTCACCGAAGCCGACAACCTCCTCCAGTCTAAGTTCACCTCTATCGGTGCCCGCAAGGTATATCTGACCTATGGCCCCGATGCCCTAGTCTCATGCCAATACTGCTCCTTTGACAACCTGAACACATACCTCATGTACTACCTTCCATTCCACGTGTTGCTACCACACCTAGCGCACCTGCTACTCTTAGGCGTGGCCACATCTGCGCCCATCACAGGGCGCGAGGCCTCTCGCTGGCGCACAAAGTTTACGCTAGCCGGATTATTACTCGCCGCCATTGACATCTACATCATGGCCACCTACGACGCGATTCGAAGTGCGCCGCGCTCGGTGCGCGCGGGCCAGACACCGCCCTCCGGAATCTACCACCACATCACGCTCCTGCGACCGCTGGCTTTCGTGGTCTGCGATGTGATCTGCTCGGTTGTGCTCTGGCTGTCTGCGACTAATAGGTTCTTTTTTAAACCGCCCTCGACGGTTGAGCAGGTTGATGAGGCGGTCTCGATTGCCGTGCAGACACTCATGGGCGCAAACACCAAACTTCATGCTGCGAGCGTTACTCGTAATGCGGTAGTTCGAGATTCATCGTTGAAGAATCGAGATGATTTGTATTGGCGGACTATGGTGGCTTCCGAGAACCCCACTCAGGGCGCTGGAGAAGGTGGGGAGCAGATCCTCAACAATATTTGGGAGGAGGAAGAAGTTGCTAGAGCTATGTCACGGGTGATGGCTGGACAAGGTGGAATTGACCTGGCTCAATTGGGAGTGAGTGCCAATGATTTTGTGCGAAAGGTTACGGAGGGTTTAGAGTGAATATGTCTTCTATACGGAGGACATCGTACATATATCCATGGATGTACTTCGTACATAATGTGTATTCTATTATTATCCCATTTCTCATGCCAAGACATAGAAATAGAGCGGCAAGTGTAAATAAATAGACCGGAAATGGTAAACTATTGACATTTCACTAAAAATCCAGATCCAAAGATCAAAACAATCCAATACAGATCTCTTTCATGAGTGCAATCCAAAATCTCGACATTCAACAATCTAAACGAGGCGGTGAGTGGAGATGATCGTCATGAAGAGATGAAACGAAATAACCAAGTAACCACGTTCCCCCTCTATTCCCTCCTTTTTCTCCTGCGAATTATTTTGCACTTTCACATTGTTGCTTTTCACGTTCCTGGTTGAACGAGTCAAGTTCAGAAAGTAATTAAAGGCTCTGATGAGGCAGGTTCCGCATCCATATTGATTATCTTGGCTTCCGGGTTCTCGACTCTCGACTTTCGACTTTCGACTCCCGGTCCTCCCCTCCCCGGCCCTCCCTGGAATTTCGAATATCCTCCTTACTATTGGTGCACTCTCTACCATGGCAGACAAAGTTGTGCCATCACAGCTACCAGAGGTGAAGGGGCGCAATGCCTACGTTTCCTCTCCAAGTGGATTACGACCGGCCAAGGAGACCACGTTCCGTGAATGGGTGGTTGCCAACCAGATCGGTATGCCTCAATCCTTGAATCACATCGAGAGGAAGACAAAGCTGTATCTCACAGATTTGCTGTGCTTCTAATTGAATCCCCAGCGTATGCGAAAAACATCCTAATAATAACTGGTAGCTAACACCAATTGATTCTCTGCAGGAATCTCCTTGACCACCCTGGCTATGTTGCTGGCTCTTCATAACCTCTACCCCTCGCTCCGCCCATATACCCAGCCATTCTTCCAATTGTCCTATTATAACGAATCCTCGAACTCATACGTCCAGGGCTGGGATGATGTGTACTTCGTCATCAGTGCTGCTATCGCACTCACCGGTATCCGCGCTATCGCCATCGAATGGGTTCTGCAGCCATTGGCTCGTGCCTATGGGTTGAAGCGAAAGCAGTCGGTTCGCCTCGCTGAGCAGGGTTGGCAAGCTATGTACTATTCGTTCATATGGGGGGTAGGATTGGTGCGTTCGACCCACATATGCCTACCTGGGAATATATAGCTAACCCCTAGTTCTACGTTGCAGTACCTCTGGAAAACGTCATACTATTGGGGAGATTTCGCCGCCATGTGGTCGCAATGGCCCGCCCGTCCTTTGTCCGGCTTGATGAAGTGGTATCTTCTCGTCGAGCTGGCATTCCTTGTGCAGCAGATCTTCGTGATCCACGTTGAAGAGAGACGGAAGGACCATGTTCAGATGCTCTCCCACCATATTATTACCAGTGCTCTCCTGAGCTCTGCCTACATCTACGCTATGTACAATGTGTCCAATGTGGTGCTATGCCTCATGGATATTGTGGATTTTTTGTTACCGGTTTGTCAATTACTATTCGTCAAGTGCTTAACAACAGCTACTAATGCCCTCACAGTCTGCGAAGATACTCAAGTACTCGAAGTTCGAAACGGCCTGCAATGTTGGGTTTGGCCTCTTCATGGGCACATGGTTTATCACCCGACACATTATTTACCCCATGGTGTGCTGGTCCGTTTATCATGATCTTCCCCGTGAACTCACCTATGGCTGCTACAGCGGCTCGACAAGCGAGTTCATCTCAGCGGAGGCCCCGAATGCCTTCGCATATATGCTTGGTCCTTACGCCAGTTTGGACAACCCCATCTGCTTCAACCCTACTCTAAAATGGATGTTTTTATCCCTTTTGTTGTTCCTTGAGGGACTGTCCATTGTATGGTTCAGCATGATTGTCCGTGTTGCCTACGGTGTGGTTTGCGGCGGTAACGCTGAAGACACCCGCAGTGACGAAGAAGACGAAGCGGAAGTGGAAGACCAGACTGCATCCCACGTTCCTGCGCACTTGGCTGCTAAGGACGGTGTTCCTACCGATACCATCGAAACCGGAAACGCCCCAGGGTTGGGTCGTCGGCGGTCCAATGGCACCGCGTCGGTGCGTGCCCGGGGCCTTGGTCGTGTTCCTTTCGATCCTAGTGACCGAAAAGCTCTCTTGGGCCGCATTGGATGTGAAAAGCCAACCTAGATGCCTACTTTCCATTTATCATTTTCTCTCTTGGCCAAAATTTGATGACTCCCATTTCGAGATGCTCCCTAGCATGCCACGCCTCTGTCTACATACCCTATGCCGTGATATCTATTCTCCCGATGTCGGTGTTGAATTGTCAGCTGTGGCCATGCCATGGGGTGCTCGAATTACGATAAACTGCAATTTCGAGGGTTTGTTTGCGGCAATCGTTCTTAGTCTGCTTGCCGGGTCTTATATCCACTTTATTTCCGTTTCTTTTTTTTTCCGTCTCTCTTCATATCCATATTCATTTTCGTTTTTTTTTTCCCGCTACTTACCGGCTGGCGTCGGGGAGGCTTTCTGCTATGCTTTTTGTTGCCGTCATGATCACTACGGACTTGGAGTTTCGTTCTAGAGATCCACACAATAATACCCAATGGAAGCATTTGGCCTTGTACATGTATCATAGACACCTGTCCGGTATGGACTTATAGATTTCCCCCGGTGGATACGGAACAAAGTGTTGTCTTGAGTTCTAAATACAGTCGATCACCCTCACTGACCAACACTCAATCTACGGAGTAGACAACCCTAGCGATGAACATAGTCTTTAAGCGGCGGCTCACTCCCATCAAATCCATACAACAACACATCGAGCACCCCAACCACATTTGACACAGCCTCCATCCCCAAAAAATCATACACATCCAAACCAGGTGCAAGCAACTCTCCACAAACAGCATTAAGATCAATCCTCTCCAACCGCCCAGGCCCATCATGCGCCAAAGCATCTAAAAACAAGGCATACGCCAACGGATTGACCAACATAGCCGAATGCGAATAAAATCCCCCAGCAGCACGCCCCGCACAAGCAACCTGGACCTGCACATTTGACACCCCAACCTCACGCACATCCCCGAGCGCCGCAGAAGCCAACTTCCCACTCTGTGGTTGAACAACGAAGTCATTCTCGGAGTACACGCTCGTCGTCGGTACGAACGCCGAGTCCCCATCTTCACCACGCAAAGCGCGAATGAACTTCGTATCATATCCCTGCTGCTGCACAGCCGGCGAACAGACCGGCTCGGCAAGCAGACAAAACGTCTCAACAATCGTTCCATGGAAATCGCCACTCAAGGCCATGAAGTCACTTACCGCGGCCCGTGTCGATGGCCAGTATTTCAAAGCCCATTGGACGTCCAAGCTGCCTTGCGACCAGCTGAGAACCCCGATGGAACGCTGCGAGAGCCCCGAGATGTAGTTTATCGCGTATGCGACGTACTCTGCGTTGCTTTGGATGTCGCCCAGCGAGTTACCCGGGATGTTGACCCATACTGGTTCTGTTTGAGGATTTGCGGCGAATATCTTCGCATAGTTGAAGTAGAAGGTGCTACCGGCCGGGTCGGCAGTTCCTGGGACTAAAAGCACGGGTATCTTGTTGTTGTTACCATAGGAGAACGTTGGAGGAATGTAGATTGCGCTGCGGAGGGTTGCTTCGGGGATGTCATAGGGTGCGTCGTAAAACGACTTTGTTGGGTGGATTCGCGGGCTTGGATCTTTTGCGTTGTTGTTAGCTATGGAGTTTATGTCGCGGTTTGTGATGCCGTTGAGGATGTCGATGATGGTTGTTGGGACTAGACCTAGGGATACTATGTCGATGGCCCTTTGGAGGATTGTTTGGTTGTTGGTGTGTGGAATTGAGGAAAGCACTGAGAGGCCTTCTTCTATTGTTGATACAGCCTTGGTTTTTCCTGATGTGATGTCCGATATTTTGGTCTCGAGCAGGGATAGATCCCGGTATAAGCCCGTGCTGAAGGGAGTGCCACTTGAGGATGTGTTGAATAGCTTGTTAAGAATGTGTGGGCTATCATAAGCCTCCTTAGATGCATATGAAGGCAATGGGCTGCCGACTGATGCTGATAAGAAGAAGACAAATCGAAGTACCCGGTGACAGCGCATGGTGATGCTTGAATGCTTGGCTCCTCATTCAGGGCTGGCTGACTATCTACCCAGGAGGGTAGACCTGATACATGCTGACATTTTATAAACAAAAGGATATCCATCGGAGCTCCATCAATAAAACTTTTGTACCATATCCGAATTAGTTCTGAGTTTCTTTTTCGGCGCTATATACTTGCGTGTGCATATCCCATTCTACTCCTCGTGTTTCAGAACTCCGTACAATGCAAACCACCAATCTATGTATCTACCCATCTACCAACTTATGCTGCTTAAATCAATAGATCCATCTTATAAATACTTGATAGATATCGCAGGCAGTCCTTGTGAAGCCTCGGGGCCGTCTCGTGCTTCTCATGGCCGGTCGTTTCAATGGCGTCCGAGCACCGGAGTTTCTTCTGCGTTTGTGTATCCCGAGATCAAGCTTAATCAGTCCGCAGGTAGTCTTCTGCAACCTCATCATGGAGAACAGCATAGATAGTAAACCCCATCCAACACATAGTTTCTCGAGCCACGACCTAAAACGCGATGCATTGTAGCAAAGCACAGCCGATATTCACCGCAATTGCATCTTCTCGCGGGACTTGGTTCTGATCTATCGAATTGATTCTATGAGAAATTGCCTGACCACAGCTTCCAGTCCCCCTTATCATCGTGCAAATTAAATGACTGGACCTCGTCTTGTGTTGATGTTGGAAATGGGTTAGAACATGTGGTCGTACATCGGATTGAGGGTGTTTAGCCCGGTTTGTAGGGAAATATTTCCCGAGTCCATTTCCTGCAATACCAAACACTATCGTCGTAGGGTAGGTTTAGTGGATATTGTTGCATGTTGTTATGAAGTCAGAAGCTCAAAGGTTACCACCATGGATAGAATTGTCAAAATCCTTCTCTGTTTTGGAAATAGATCAAGAGTGCTTCTTTTGTCGTACTGAGTTGCCGTCTCCAGAAATCTATTATGATATCTCCGTTTAGAACCGAATATCCTGTTATTGCTGCTTCCTGTATAGCGCTTCGATCTCAAAATCCACTATGTCTTGTTGTCACCAGAGCTGGCCTTGGTAGACCCTTGGCATCTGATGAATAAAATTTATCTTAGACTTAGACAAGACTCGTAATTTCCTATCTAGATATACCTAAACTAGTCGGAAGCCGTTTTTAACAATGACATCCTCCAGTGGTGTAGTTCTGAAATGACGCCCGGGTGCGTCAGTGAACTGGGGCTTGTCTTCTGGGTCAATGGACAAGGGGTGAAGGAAGTCAAACACGGCTAGATGACCGTTTCTCTTGGCCCAATCAGCAGCCGTTTGGCCCAGAGGATCCCTGATCCAGGGCGAGGCCCCACGTTGAACCAATAGCTTGACAGAATCCAATAAACCTTTTCCGGCAGCATAATGAAGAGGTGCCCCTATTCCGCTATACATATGGAAGTAATACTCATCGCCACAGTTTTGATACATAATATCGTTTACTGGATGACCACGATCTAGTAGATAGCGAATAGTTTCCAGTCGGTCATCCGATTCGCGCATTGCCGCATAATGTATTACCTGGCCGTGCTGTAAAGATGCATTGTGGTCGAGAAGAAGCTCAATTATTGGAAACGAGGCCTCGACAAATGCGATTGACAGTGGTGTGCGATCCGCATATTCATCGTATCGCCGATTAGGATCCGCTCCATGGGTAAGGAACCAACGTGTTAAGTCAAAATCATGGAAGGAAAATCTCAAATAGAGATACTATTAGTGAATTGTTGGATTTCCAGGTAAGGTTGAACTCACGCAAGGGCTGGGGGAACGCTTGAGTAAAGTGGCGCATTTATATCCCATCCATGGCTAAGAAATACCTCTAGCGTTTGGTATGATATATTCATAGTGGCGCTTAGAACAAGTTGAGGCTGCAAAGAAACATGATGCCCGAGAAAGCAATCGACCAGCTGAAATGAGTTTTTCTCTACTGCATCACGGAGAAGAGGCACCATTGTTGATTGAAAAGTTTCCTCGTCTAAACTCTTGCGTAATCCGGAAAGTGAAGCGTTTATTCGTTCTGCCTTGTTAGATAAAATATCCGCTCGGAGCTGAGCCATTTGGTCAACTGTGATGAGATTTTGGGGCATTTTTCTGACGGAACAGAGAGATGAAGAGTTGATGGGATGTATGAATAGATCCCAGAGAATCGGGGGAATCATGTGCTTTTGAGGGCCACAACACTCCCATTCTCGGTCTGGAATAATATAGACCAGGAAGGTTGAAGTCACGAGGGTTCAACTTGAATAATCTCAGAGAATAGAGGGGGCACATATGGAAAGGCCATATGTAGACCTACTACTATCAAATATCCTAGATCTTTACCTAGGTAAATTGTGAAACAATTTGCAAGTTTAATCTATTCGATTAGATCCGACAACTTGAATGCACTAACTAGACCTCCGCAAAGCCCAACCCACCCACAACCCATTCGTAGGGGTCGATAAGGCCCCTTTGATATATAGCCCATATAGGGTGTTCAACTGGCAATTTGTCAACGCTATATTCAAACAATCTACTAATTGTATAGAGTCTCAATATGTAATTGCACGTTCTTAATTCGATCTCGCGCTTGTTCTTAAAGACCTCAAGTGTGACTATCCTCAATTGTGTCTATCAAGCTGATTGAGCAGCAGTTCGACCTCCATGCATTGTGAGCGAGCGTGGTGATAATCCGCGGTCAATTGTACTTCTTGTGCCCTCAACTCTTCTTGAATGAGAACCAATTCTGGGACTTGACTCGCAGTCGAGAGCCCGTTGTCGTGGGTGGGAGTCCATAGGAGGCTGAGTTTGTGGCTGATAGTTTTCATCGCTGTCAGATTTGCCTCAAGGGCAGCTCGCAAGGCTTCTTTGCGAGAGGCTAGTGCGTTTAGACGTGCCACCAGCTCGTCACGTCGATCTTGCTTTTGAATGTCAGTCATCAGTCAAATTGATCTGAATGTCATTTCAGATATATTCTAGGAAGATTGAGACGTGGAAGGCGTACTTTGTCCATTTCAAGATCGAGCTAGTTTTGTAGTGAAATGAATATGGCGCTGATAGAGATAAAACAGTGTTTGGTAAGGCAATTTAGGATAATATAGGAAAGAGAGAGTTGAGAAAGAGAAAAGAATAGATAACAGGAGCGAATATATAGATGGGACTGTGGTTTACTCGACTCTGGTATCCTCTGGCCGTGGGATTATCTCTCACATTACCTTGCGACAAGGACCTTGTTTATAATTCTCCTTTTCACAACATCAACAAACTGTTCTTCGTATTTTGCGAGTAAGCAAAGAGCCGACAGTATTTGATTGACGTCTCTTTTGTTGCTCTCATATTTTCGTAGGGAAGCACACGTAGACGTCTCTCCTAGGAGGCTAAGGATCTTTGAGAAACGTCTCAAAGGCAGCAAGTTATGAAAACAGTTGCGAGAGATCGGTGTTGGCTATACTGAAAAGTGACCCAGAGTTCAACCGACATGGCTTGATAGTCCGCACAAACGGCGACAGCAGCGCTATCTTGGCGCTTTCCAATTTTTCACTGCTTTTTGTAGCGGTGCGTAAGGAACTGGCTATGGATGAGCGGAAGATTGACTAATGGGACGACACTCACGACTGGGGCTAACGTACACATGCTGGAACAGCTTTCATTAGCGGCTTATTATTATCCTCAAATTTGGGGTTTCAGTTAATTGATTAATTAAGAATTGACACATCCAACTATGAAAGTGCGGCGTCGAGCAATGAGACCAAGAACAAGCCATGTGCAACATCGAGTTAAGGCTGAGCCTAGAGGGGTATGGCTTGTCCTAACGCAGTCATACCACTCACTGCTAGGTCTTTCATCTGCCATCATATATACATAGTTGTTGGGCATTCTCCTTCTCCAGCTAGCTTATTGCCGCTGCGGCATTTAACCCATTCACAATGTTTGTCAAACATGGCCTCAGTGCACATCAGAGTGGCAGCACGGTTTCTTGTATCGATAGAAGTTGGGCTTCCATATGCGGAGTCCCAAGTTTGACGAACAGTGGGTAAGTCATGTCAACCTTTTTGGCACGTTCATTAGAGCCAGGTCATAGGTGTTATGGCCGCAATCCTAGCATCTCGTACGACGGTTTGGCCGCTAATGGTGGGGCAGCGAGTGTGATCGTGATTCAAAAATACAATTATATCTCCTGAGCCCACAGTTCCTCATTACTGACTCGAAAATCAGATTGATCTATAGCTGATAGGTGGTCATCAACAGCATAAATCAAGCCCTAGAGCAATCTGTTGGCTTATGGGTAGCATGCTTGCTTGTAATGCTGATTGGCTTTAGGTTGATTTCTCACACGTTGCAAGTAACATATCTTGTAGAGATGTAGGAATTCCATGGTTGTAGAGTACTTTCACGACCTACCTGCCCCGACGATTCAATACGTTGGCCATGGTGTTTTTCACTGACTTTCCGAGGATAATTTTATAAGTTTGTATCAAGGTCAATCAAGTCCTCTGGGTGTCGGAAATCGAAGATATACATTCAAGACTTGCTTTGTTTCTAGGTAGAATGACACTTAAGAAGATTCAAAATGCAGCTGGGCGTATCGTCGGTTACACGCAATCCATTGGGCTTATTCGCAGTTAGCACGAGCCTGTTCACGTTGGATCATGCCATCTATTTCGTACCTTTGTAGTGCCCCTTCCTCTCTCTTTTCTCACCAACCGCAACATATTGCCCTTCACCAAGCCATTTGATCCAGAGCATAGCGGTTCTCAAAGTCCGAATATATATTGCTGCACAATGAAAATTCGTCCATTCTTGTACATGGCAGGTTCAGATCATGTTGAGCCTAATATCTTCATGTTCGTATGAAGGTCTCGAATACCCATGAATGATATCACATTACTATCGTTCATAGTCATGTTTGAAACAATCCTTTTCGCCGGAACATTGGAGATGACTTGCGCGTGAAGTTGATAGTTCAACCTTCCCGAGATGCTTTCCACATTCCACCCACCGAGCTTGGAGACCATGGCTCTCTTTTTTCTGTTGGATATGACAGTGGACACACATTCGTCGTGGATAAGCGAAGGCAGTCTCGGTAAAAATGTGTGGACAGGAGAAAGAATGCAAATCCCAGAAGCATACAGATTTTTGCAGGGAGATTTATACTTGTAACATCATTCGATGATGGATATAGGAACGGCCGAACCCAAACGCCAGAATCTTTTCCAAACCTGCAGGTTACTTTAATAATTGATCCAGCGTGCACACAATCAAAGCCACATACATATCTCAGCAAAGGTCGCACCTTGAAGGAATCCGTTGAGCTCTAGCACATATAGTCACCATGAATGCTGACACTTGATGATTCTCTTTTATTGTGGACTCTTCTAGGCCAAAGGCGTTTGTAGGAAGAAACAAACCCTAAATTTTGGGGGAAAATGACAAGAACTAACAATTGGAGTTTTTACAACCGCGACTTCTTTGCTATTTTCCGAATCATGGGGTATTTAGAGTTATCCTGGCCTGCTCTGTCCCTGGGTAGACTTGAGTCATATATAATGGAAATACCTAGGAACAGTAGTTGTATCACACGGAGATATCATTGTAAACTAGGAAATACTACAGTCCAGCTACGCCGAAAGCCCGAACTCTATGCATCAATCAAATCGATCTATAATACATCCAGTTCATACAGAAGAAATGGATAATATCATCAAAAGTCAAGGGGAACGTATTCGTACACCATCTGACAAGAACCGCCAGTCAGACCGCGCTCGTTCCGTGAAAAGCGCAGAAAGGGTTGATCAAGACCCCGATTCCACTTCGCGACGTCTGCTTCTGTGGTTCCAGGAGGAAAGCCATCCATTGGCCGAAAAGCAGTAATGGGTCCAATTCGCACCTCCTCTGGGATAAACAGTGCTGCTGGTATTCTAGGTCTTGTATCTGCATGAGCGAGATATGAGATTGGGGCAAGTTCGGAGCCAGGACTTGGTCTGCCAGTTGGCTCCAGCGCACCAAGATTGAATGTATAATGAGCTGCGTTCATTTCCATTGCACGTGATTCTTCCAGCTCCATGATCGTTCGGCCCACTGCCGCCCAAATTGAACACTGATAGAATCCTTGCACCGAGGGCGCTTGGTGGAGTAGAGCAAATGCCGCGCGTCGGGTACGCGGTTCACGGCATCGGAGGCTGGTAAACCAAAGCGGAAGACCAACATTGAGCTCAAATGTGAATGGAGGTTGGGTGCCGTCTGGTCGAACCGAGGCTTTATGAGCATTGGCACATTGTTCAACGATATTTTGGAAGTTTGGAAGATAAGCATCGAATTGTACCAATGACAAGGATGTGCAAGTCTCCAGCATGACGTAGAGCATTTCATGATAGCTCAACAAAAGGCCACCGGTACCGATTTGTTGCTGTGATAAGATGCCTTTGGCGCGAAGAACTGTCATGAGCTTATCGAAGGCACTATGCCAGTTCCTCAGTCGGGCCGCCAGACTAGATAGTCTGGTATTGAATTCTTCGGGCACATGGGACGCATTGGTCTCCAGCAAGTGCTTAGTGCAAGTGCTTTCAAAGAGCGGGATCTCTGTAGCTAAGAGCACGATCGCCTCCCGAGCAGACTTGAGCGAGTCAAACTGTGGCATCAAGGCATTTTCAGTGTCTCGCAGTAAAGCAGTTACTGGAGCCCCACCGATAGAGAGAGCAAATGCGCCCAGACGGACGAAGATCGGAATAATTGTATCCTCCAACAAGGAAGCTTTACCCGCAGCCTGAGATGCCATTTGGGGACGCAAAGCAATAATCAGCTGCACACCTTGGCGGTAAAGCTGCAATGCCCCATCTGCGTTTCCCTGAATGGCCTCGATGCAGATGAAAAGCACACAGCTTATCAGTCCGACAAAGACGTCGACGCTACCCTGCTCAATGCGCTGGCGAACAGCAGATACCGAGCGAGAGTACCAGGCTAAGACATCTTGATGATTTTGAGTGAGAATGAGAGTATTATCATGACGTTGTGGCAGAAGGTCCCGGCATTGTTTTGGACACTCGAATAACGCACTAATGGTGATGATCGCATCCCACACAGCAGGCTCATGGCGGCAAACCTGTGGGACGATAGTGCGCCAAAATTCAACATCCAATTCTCCACCAATGGAGGAGGCGGCACATTCGAAATAGTAGGCAAACGCCCGGCGCTCTCGCCACACCGTATTGGTGTTTGGTGACAATGATAAGGGGCTGGCGACTGCCGAGATTGTGGAAGACTGTGACTCTTCAAAGTCACATTTGCGACCTGTGCTAGTACATCGAACGCAGCTTGGCTTTTCTTCTCCGCACTTGACTCGTCGAATTCTACGACTCACTCAATATCAAACTCTTCTCTATGGAAAAGAAGCACCTACTTGCAAGTTCTGCATCCTAACCTTGACCTCGGGAGGACCCTTAAGCGACCCTTTGTATGGCCCAAACGAGGGGACATGTTGATATCATTCTAGACTTGGCTTGAGCCCAGATATCTCAGCGCGGAGAACGCATAATCATCGAGTGGCCAGGAGTCCACCGACCTGCAGTCGTCGCGCGGTATCCACCTGGGCACGGTACCTGATGACTAAGCATATGATTAGTCAGTTTTCTGTACTGCAGGAGAGGTCTTCAGGTGCCCAGGTGAGGTGCGCCCGCCCGGCCTCAATTGGGCCGGCAGCTAACTAGGTGGCCAAGTCTGTTATTCAGATAGATTTCACCGGGGCTTCAACTGAAAACACAAGCAAGAATCAAGAAGATGTATCAGAAAACATAGATGAATTTTTGGGGATGACAGAGGGGGTGGTTTTCAAAGGGAAACATGGCATATGAGGAAGGCTGTTCGGAATGTAGTAGGAGTAGTCGTAGTGACAGATGGAGTTTATTTGGATCAGCGATAGACTAATCAATATATTCATGTAGGTATGCAGGAAGAAGACTATGACACGGAAGGAGAGTCTAGTCTATGAGAGGTAAACGGTCCAAGGTAGCGAAAGGGCAGCGAGGCCGCAAACAGTAAGGAAACCCATGATCAAAGGCGTAGCCTGGCCTATAATAGGGTGTTTATGATGAATTTGGGGTTCCAGTTCTACATGCCAGACAAACTGGGCAACAGGGCGAGCTCGGGCACTAGAAGAGAATGATGGCCAGCCGCGCTCAGAAGCGTTGATTCCCGGAAGCTTGCGCAAGATGTGAGATATAAACCTAGATGGGGATATGGGAGCAGTTTTTGGCTTCTGCTAGATCCATATATAGGACATATACCAAATATGACAGCCATGAGGTCACCCAGCTCGTTCAAGTTGCAACAGCTGTGCACAAGGATAGAATTGCGCCCTCGTATCCCTGGTGAGAACGACCTTGGTTTGTAACAGTTGCCGTAGTCAACATTTAGGTAGTGACAGCGATGACCATCTTGGGTGAGGAATACTCAAAGTGGATGTGTAGTGAAGACAAAGCAGATCGGCTGTCAACCGGCATTGTGTCTAAGCCTGGCAAGTGCGGCCGCAATACCTTCACTCATCTCTTCAGTTCGATGACCTCGAGTCGGTGGTTCAGTAGGTTGCGCAGCTTGGGAAACTGTTCTTTTCCTGCTTTCAGCTAGAACGTCACGAAGAATGGCCTCGTCTTCATCTTCCTCGCCCATTTCATCATTGCTATCATCCACATTCTCGGCTGGCAGTTGAGCCTGGCGTTGTGTGGCAGGAGCAGAGACCCTCTTCGTGCTCTCGACTCTGAAATCTTCTCCAACCGCATGACACCATTGCTGGACCTTCTTCTCTCCCCAACCCGGCACAGCGCTGATCTGCTCCGGCTGTGCATTGATGGCATTTTGCAAGCTGCCGAATGTGGAGATCAAACTTGCGGCATCAGACTTATTGATACTTCTAGGTACCGTAACAAACTCCACGAGTGATTCTTTGTAGGATTGGGACTGTTGGGCTCGAATGGCAGTAGGCTGTGCGTTCTCCGAGGACTTGAAGAGCTCGAGATAATGCGCAGCCTCTGGTGCAGACCAACACAATATCAAGGTCAGATTGTTGATGATAGAAGTTTTGGACAGCTCTTTGAGACTATCCTCGTGGTTTTGAATGTCAACCATCACCAATACAAGGCGTAGGTTGTATTTGCCTGCTAGTTGTGTTACCCGGGAGTAGATGTATTCTGGGTGTAGCCGATGGTATTTCAAAGAGAGAAACATTGCGCACGTTGTGGTGCCAACCACGTAGTCCGCAGGAATGTCAGCGTACTCCCAGGGTAGGAGCTTTATATGGGTCAAAATCGGGTTGCCCTTTTGGCGCGTGGACACCAAAATCGCGGAAGTACCAGAGCGGTTGGCGAGGGCTTGAGGTTTCGGTTGTTGCACTTTCGGTCTAGAAGATGCACCTGGAGCTGAAAGATCTGAAGGGCGAGGGGACATACCGCTCTCTGGGCGCGGGAAATCCATTTCCACTAATGTGTTGTTAAAAGTAGAGCAATGAATAGAGAGTTAATAATAAGTCGATAAAGCTAGTTATTGCTTATCTGGATGAGACCCACACCGCCTGGGCCAATCTGCCTCACTTTTCTGCCGCCCATTTTTTTGCTCTTCTTCGACCGCAGAAAAAAAAAACCTCAGCCGCAATCAAGCCACCATGGCTGAATTACACAAGAAACGACGCCTCTCGGAGGACGAGAGCCCAGAAATCAAAGTCGAGGCCAGTACACCCGCCACCGAGGCCTCGGCAGCACAGAACAAGAGAACTCTTTTCGTCCGTTCACTACCTACCTCAGCCACGACAGAGAGCCTCGCAGAACATTTCTCGCAGTCCTACATTATCAAGCACGCTGTTGTCGTCTATGACAAAGAGACGAAGGTGTCCAAGGGATTTGGTTTTGTTACGTTCGCCGATGTCGAGGATGCGGAGAGCGCTCTGAAGGAATTCAACGGGTCCAAGTTTGACGGGAAAATTATTCGCGTCGACTATGCCGAGTCTCGTAAGCGCGAGATCGATGAAAAGATTGGACGCAGTGTCCCCACTGCTGCATCCCGCGAGATCAAGAAGCAGAAGGAAGAAGAGAGAGGGGCAAGGCCTGCCACCCAAGCTGATCGTTCGCAATCTGCCATGGAGTATCAAGGAACCTGAGGATCTAAATGTCCTCTTCCGCAGCTTTGGAAAGGTGAAGTATGTTACTCTCCCAAAGAGGAACGGCAAACTTTCTGGTTTCGGTTTCATCACCATGCGTGGCAGAAAGAACGCCGAGAGGGCGCTCCAGATGATTAACGGAAAGGAGATTGATGGACGTCAACTCGCTGTCGATTGGGCTGTCGAAAAAGACGTTTGGGAAACCACCAAGAAAGAAGACGAGCAGGTGGAGGAGCAGAAGGAAGAGAAGGAGTCTGAGGATGTTGAGATGGAAGATGCCGAGGGTGTTCTGGAAGAGCCTTCAGACGACGAAACTTCTTCCGACGAAGACGAAGACGACGATGAGGACAAGGACTTGGATGAGCTGGATGAACTTGACGACGAGGAAGAAGAAGAGGAGGATGATCGAAATGCCACTACAGTCTTCATTCGAAACCTCCCCTTCACCGCCACAGACCAGACCCTCTACGACCACTTCAAAACTCACTTTGGGCCGTTACGATATGCACGTGTGGTCCTGGACTACGAGACTGAGCGCCCTCGAGGGACTGGATTCGTCTGCTTCTGGAAGCTCGAGGACGCTAACACATGCGTTCGCGAAGCCCCCCCGAGGAACGGAATCTATGGCCCCGAATAAGGACAAGCCCAAGTCGAACACCGCCATGAAACACTCAGTCCTCAACGATGAAAACTCCGACCCCAGCGGCCGCTACACCCTGGATGGCCGCGTCCTACAAGTCGCACGGGCCGTGAGCAAGGGTCAGGCCAGCAAGCTGGAAGAGGAGGGAGCATCACGCCGTTTGGTCCGCGACACGGACAAGCGTCATCTGTACCTCCTCAACGAGGGTACGATCCCCTCCAACTCTCCCTTGTACAAGAAGCTCTCGCCCTCCGAAATCAAGATGCGTGAAGACAGCTACAAGCAGCGAGAGACCTTCATCAAAAAGAACCCAGCCCTCCACCTCAGTCTCACCCGTCTCGCCATTCGTAACCTCCCCCGTCACATCGACTCCAAGGTATTGAAGCAGCTTGCACGAGAGTCCGTTGTCGAATTCGCCAAGGATGTCAAGGCGGGTAAGCGCCAGCCGCTCTCAAAAGAGGAGCAGCAGCGGTCCCGCGATACCATGAAGGAGCTAGAACAGCTGCGCAAGCAGAAGAAGATGGGTATTGTGCGCCAGGCCAAGGTCGTCTTCGAGACTCGCGAGGGTACCAAGGTTTCCGAGAAGAGTGGTGGTGGTCGCAGTCGTGGCTATGGATTCATCGAGTTCTTCACTCACCGTCATGCGCTGATGAGTTTGCGCTGGCTGAACTGCCACTCCATGGCAGTTCCTCCTTCTACCCAGACCCCCGAGGACCGGGACAAGAAGAAGAGCCTCGTTGTTGAATTTGCCATTGAGAACGCCCAGGTTGTCAAGCGCCGCAATGAGCTGCAGGCTAAATCCCGCGAGCCCAAGCGTGAGGATTATGCTGAGCCAAAGGGAGACAAGGGTCAGAAGAGGAAGCGCTCCGATACCCGCGATGGTAGAGGAAAGGATGGAAGAGATGCACGAGGTGGACGAGATGGTCGCAATGGTAAAGATGCAAGAGACGCGAAGCGTACCAAGACTGGAAATGGAAATGGCGCCAAAGATGAGAAGGTGAACGAAGATGAGGACAAGGCCGCTAAGCGCAACCGCATTATCGGACAAAAGCGCATGAAGCGCAAGTCTCGCAAGGGGAATTAAAGGCGTGAATGTTACATGTTAGTTTTTTATTGTATAGACCCATGGATTGTTTACCCCAACAGTCAGAGGAAAGAACTGTTCTTTGTACCTACGCGATACCACCATTTCGAAAATGAAAAGCATGGATTTGATACTTGATACTGGATTCCATTTCTCATACTGGGTATATATAAAGTCGCACATCCGATCCATGTGAAGGCTGCTTTTAGGTGTTCTTGGCGCCTTCGACCTTGCCGACAATGTTATACCGCTTGCTGAAGAAGGTGTACCACTCATCCAAGACGGTCTTTTCCTTGTCCGGTAGGTCATACCACTCCGGGACACAGTCTTCGGGCTTGAGAGAGGATGAAGCAAGAGCACGGGAAGCATCCTTGCCGGCGAAGACTAGAAGAAAAAGGACGGTCAGCATAATTGTCCATTCTATACTCTATGAAATAGATGATGTACTCACCACGATAGGAACCGGAGGCTCCATAAGCCGGATTCCGGGTCACATCAAAGACAACTCCCTTGATGGCGACCAGAGTCGGGCGGCTAGGATCGGAACCTGTCATGCAAAAGACATTAGCAATGAGTCTTTGTTTTTTTAGGGTGCATTGGAAACAAGGGGAGAAATCTGAGGGTAATGTCTCGTACCGTCACATTTGGCCAATTCCTCGACGGAAATAGGGTCATCCTTAGGCGGATTGAGCTCGACGGCCACCTTGGGCGCGAAACGCTTGGATTCCTCTTGTTCGACCATTGTGTAGGAGATGAACTTGGGAGAAAAAAAGATATCGGAGTTGGCGGGGTTTTCCGAGGTCGGGAGAGCTGCTTACTGTCCACTCTCTGATTGATCCCGAGGTTAGCGGGGTACATAGCTCCATCTTTATTTTGTGAACATACATACGGAGTAGGCAGTATGCAGTAGATTTAGAAGGTTTAGACGTTTGTCTACATATTACGAACGATTTATATCCTTGCTCTTTATTAACATGCTCATACAAGTACATCATGGTCCCCCATATGGAGAATGTATAGTCTCTAGACTTGAATGATAGAAACTATGACCGACTACACATCTCCATATACTCGGACAGATACCTAATCGTAGATTATAGACCTTGGGAGTATCTCTCTTTCTACCCCAATCAGGTTAGCATCGAGTAAATACATATCAGCTGATATGTACGACATGGAATTGTCTCGTGACGTCATAAGACGCGACAACCTGGAGTTTCCCTCGACTGTTAGAGATTCCTCTATGATACTCTGCAATACAGTGGAATACTCCTATTCGACATGTCCTCCGACACGCATCCAGATCCAAGTTCTGCTACCGAACATCTCACGCATGAAGATCCAAATCGACGGAACTCGACGGACTCTGATATAATCCACTACCTCTACTTTGAAGACAACGACGGCTTCTTTCCACCAAGTTGGATCGGAAAAGAGTTAGAGCGGCGACCCTCAAGCGAACATACGGGCAACGACATTGGCACTAAAGAGACTAGCACTAGTGCTTTCAAGGGAAGCACATAGGAATGTGGCGTTGATCCCAGGGATTTTGTTCAACTGTAGGATATTCGGACTTGTTGATACGCTCTCCCATTTTGAAAATTTGTACAATCTACAACATACATAAGGGGATAACCTCCATTCTCCGTGGACCTCGGTATAAACCATCTCCACACTTGTGGGACAGCCGCGGGGACTTGGAATTTTATAATCTCCCTAAACACGCAAAAAATGCTTTGCCTGATTTTTTTTTTTGTGGGACAAAATGTGTGTGAACATTTTAATAGCCTCTTGATCTAGAGACTATATCATATCATGCAACCTAACAGGCGCCCAGACTGACCAATCTCATCCCCCCTTCCTAGAGGGGTTATGTGGGGATCAAAATGAATATCAGACAACTGGGGGCGCCCATCTCTGATTTGTCCTTGTTTACTTCTCTCTACACCTATAGCCTTCCAGGCCGAGATTTTGATTCCCACTAAGGCAAAACAGGAAAATGTTTACCTAGGTAAAAAAACTCTCTCATCCCTGTTTTTTTTTTTTTTCTTCTTTCTTTTTTCATATCTTTTTTTTAAAAAAAAGATCTCGGTCTGCGGATCCTTTGGCGCAGTTATTTATGCCACTGACTCGCTCTTGCCGGGAAATATAAAGTGCTTCAAGATGGCTCATTCTCCCAACTCGGGATATGGCTCTCATACTCCAATGACCGCCGCTATACAGAGCGCGGAGCCCACCCGACCCTCCGATCCCGAATCGAAGCCTACCAAGATGGACAAAGAGATGGAAGTCACCGAGAAGGACGCATCTAGCGCCAATCGCATGCCCTCACTCGATAGCGGGTCAATGGAATCTACATACGACCATACCCATCGCAAGCTCAAGCCCCGCCATGTACAATTGATCGGAATCGGAGGAACAATTGGCACGGCCCTGTACGTTCAGATCGGATCTGGACTACGGGCCAGTGGTCCCGGCAGTTTGTTCATTGGATTCAGTCTTTGGTTAGTATTCTCTTTGTATTGTTTACTTGACTCTATTGGGTTCTGGACCTGGGTTGTCCCGACTTTGCTACTTTCGACAGCATCAACATGGACGGTAAGCAGTTGGAAATGCCAGAAACGGAAAAGAAATCCACCAATGGGTCAAAAACGAAAACATTCCAACCATACAAAGAATAAGGAACCATACGACCTATCAAAACATCAACCAGAATTGGAGGTCTATTTCAACAATCTCGGATTTCCAAAGGATGTAGGACACTGTTAGCCCAAGGCACTTCCATGCCAAACAGATGTATGAATGTCGACCAAATCGCCACTAGCCCTATGTCTGCCCATGCATCTGCCAAAAGCCAGTCGGACACCCAAGCACCCAACCCAGTCCATGATGCCCTTGCTTCCTGCGTATATCTCATTGAAGGTTCGCAATCTTATATTATTCTCTAGGAGTTGTGTGATTTTGATCATCACCGTCTGTACGAACACCCCCCATGCTTCCCAAGCCCTTTGCATCTTCCCCAACAGCCTCGTGCCTGAACCTGTATCCCATATTATCCCAAACGCGCCAACGGTTCACTCTCTCGCCTAATATCGACCGATCGCCCAATCGCTGCAATGTTCCTCCCGTCTTGCTTTCCCATCTGGATGCGTAGTGTGACATCCAAACTCACATTTTCTTCTTCTAGGCTTGGCTGAAATGGTCACGTACCTGCCTATCTCTTCGCCATTCATCCGATTCGCCGGTCGTTACGTCGATGAAGCTTTAGGTGTTGCCGCTGGATACAATTTCTTTATTTTCGAGGCGGCCCTAGTGCCTTTCGAGATTGTCGCCGTCAGCTTGATCATTAAATACTGGACCGATGCGATTCCTGTCGCAGCCATGAATGTGATTGTCATAGTGCTCTATGGGTTTGTCGCTTTCTGTGATCCTCCCACGAGATATCGGCTAATAAATGGCAAACAGAATACTGAATCTCTTTGCTGTGAAATGGTACGGCGAAGCAGAGTTCTGGCTCTCATTAGGCAAGGTATTGTTGAGCATAGGCCTCATCTTCTACACATTTATTGTCATGTTGGGCGGGAATCCGCTTGGGGATCGGTTTGGCTTCCGCTACTGGAATGAACCAGGTGCCTTTAAGGAGTACTATAAGACAGGCGATACCGGCAAGTTCCTCGGTGTCCTCGCAGCTGTCATCACTGCCAGTTTCACCATAGCTGGTCCCGACTATGTCTCCATGGCCGCAGGTGAGACCGTTAACCCGCGCAAGGTCCTTCCCAAGGCCTTCAACGGTGTCTTCTACCGTCTCACGGCATTCTTCGTTCTGGGTGTTCTCTGCGTCGGCGTGCTTGTTCCGTACAACGATCAAACCATGGCAGATGCCTTCGACAATGACAAGCCCGGTGCTGCGGCCTCGCCCTACGTCATCTCGATGGATCGCTTGAAGATCCCCATCCTACCAGACATTGTCAATGCCGTCATTCTCACTGCTTCATTCAGTGCGGGGAACAGTTACATGTACTGTGCCAGTCGCAGTCTGTACGGTCTAGCGCTTGAGGGAAAAGCGCCAAAGTTCTTTACTAAGTGCACCAAGAACGGTGTTCCCATCTACTGTGTTGGCGTGGTGCTCATCGTCGGCCTTTTGAGTTTCTTGCAGGTCTCCAACAGCGCATCAGTCGTGCTAAACTGGTTTGTCAATTTGGTACAAGCCCCCGGTCCCGTGCTCTCCTCCGTCATGAAACCAACTGACTCCAAATCCAGGTGACCGCCTCCCAGCTCATCAACTTCTCCGTCGTCACTTTCACCTTTATCCGCTTTAAGAAAGCTCTCGACGCCCAAGGCATTCCCCGAGAAACCCTGCCATACCGCAGCTGGTTCCAGCCGTACATTGCCTACTTCGCTTGTGCCTCCACCACGGCCATGGCTTTTGTCGGTGGTTACCCTGTCTTCCTACCCGGCAACTGGTCTATCCCGACGTTCCTCTTTTCCTATACCATGATCGGTGTATTCCCTGTCATTTACTTTGGGTGGAAACTCTTCCACAGAACCAAGTTTCTCAAGCCTGAGGAGGTCGATCTGACCACTGGTGTCCCTGAGATCGAGGAATATACCCGAGACTTTGTGGAAAAGCCGCCAAAGTGAGTACAAGCGTTCCTCTAGATACGGCTCGGTGCTAATGTTGCCCAAAGGAATATCGTACACAAGTGGTTCCAAATTCTCTTCGAATAAAACTCTCATGGGTATCATCGATACTTTGGATAATTATGATCTACTTGAGATTAGAAAATACCCAAGTGACCTCCGATGCAGACCTGTGGATACGTGATACAATGGACGGTAACTTGTCTCGGCTATAGACCGAAGACTGCATATGTTTATATGATGTTAGCATTACTATGATACCCAATATAGTTATTGGAAAAATACATGTACTTTTTTAAAACAATAGTTGTGATGACCAGTCGCACTTGACATCTCACAAATGCAACGATGTCTTTCTCATTCATATACACAGGGTCAACATACATCAAACAGTAGGCAGATTCACATCCCCCTCGATACGGACCAAGTCAAATTAGAACAAGTTCTCCGCGTATTATATATAATCAAGCCTCATCTGATCCTCCCTCAGCCTTCTCTTTAGCCTTCAAAGCCTCCAGCCGCTTCTTATTCCGCTTGCCGAGAACCCGCATAGTATTACTTTTCTCGATGTCCGTCATTTGCTGCCAGTTGCCAATCTGTGACAACGTCCCATCCACATTAACAACCATTGGACCCAGATGGTCCAGTTTGACCTCCGTCCCGCCTCCGCTCATGTCAATTTTAATGCCTCCCTCGCCTTGTTGGTTCGATATGGGGTTTGAAGGGTCGCTGGCGGGGAGGTAGAGGTTCTTTTTCGGTTGGGATTCTTGTTCTTGTTCCTGGGTGTCTTGGGGTTGAGTGTCTGCGTTTTGGGCAGCGGGGGTTGAGGATGCAGCGGCGGCGGAATCGGAGGATGAGTCACACATGGTGCGTATTTGGCGCGTGCAGTCTGGTTTGAAGGTTGTGCACTGCGGGAAGAGGATGCTGTAGAACCGGGTGTTTGGCGATTGGGTTGCCGAGTTGAGAGACGTCCAGGTAGTCCCAGTTGGAATCGAAGCGCGCACGAATGAATTGACTGATAGATGGAGGAGAGCTGCGCGGTAGACTGTGCGCGACACTTGCATGATTCAGGTTTTGGGGTGAGGTGAGGAGGAAAATGAGGATTGCGGAGATCCGATTTCTACTTGACTTCCACAAGCATTGTTACACGTTCTCCAGGGGCACTCAATATCACCTCGAGTCTACATAATTAAGAAGCCAATAATTTCAAAGTTGCTTATATCGTCTTTGATCGAGTCCGTGGCAGCCTACATGGGAGGCCCTTGATCCACATATACTTATCTTGTCAGATTGTGAGTCTACTCAAAGCTTCCACTGCCTGTCTCCAATCGTCTGTATCTTTAAAGAGACATTTAGTCTGAGTACAAGTGCTTGGTATCACAAATGATTTATATTTTGTCTACAGCAGTTCAAAGGCTTGGCCCTGCCTTGGAGTTTCCATGGCCTATGAAATTATGGAGTGCTTGATTCTCCGATAATTACTGTGATAGAGAATGTCCAAATTGGATCTAGCCTAGGGGCGACCGAGCATCAGACTTCTGTGCGCGGACGTACTGTACTGATATGGACGAATCATCGGAACCACCAGTTGACCTACAAGCATATTAGCGACATATACACATACTCCCAACAGAAGCGTACTCACCGAAGCCGTCACACCCTGACCAACACCCTTGATACTATGCCACCAACCCTTGGGGATGAACAAGGCGTCACCAGCCTCAAGACACGCCTCAAAGCCAACCCCGGCATCCGAACCAGCAGACACCGGTCTCTCCCAAACCATTTCATCTAACAACGCTCTCTCCCTCCCCTGCATCATCTCCTCACCCCGAAAAGTCGCTGCCTCCCGACCACCACTCTTTCCCAGTTGCCTCCTCACAGCCCCGAACAAGGTCTGTCCGTCCGCTGGCGCAAGCAGCCGCACAACCTTTTCTCCAGCCAGCTGGACAAACAAATTCGGGTTCGGGTCGCGATGAAGCGGTGTGTAAGTGGGTGGGTGTCCAATCCACACATTCGTATCGTATACGTCGCCCCTGCCCGCGCGCGCTACGAGATCCGGCGTCGGGAAATCTTCTCGAAGTACGGGAGGCAGGTCAAGGAGCTGACATTGTGCTAGGTAAAGCCTCGTTGATTGGGGAGTGGCCTCTGCCGTGCGCATCCAGTCGAGGAACAAAGAGAGTGGCGCGTGAAATTGCCGGAAGCTATGTATTTCTGCTTTCCCGCCATCAGGTGCGGACGTAGCGTCTGTCGGTGTGGATTCTGTGAGCTCGAGTGGGACGAACGCGTCGGCACCGTGTTGATGGAGATATTTCACATTCAGGCTTGCGGCGGGGTTCGAGTTGCCCCGTGTTGAATCGGGACTCACGCGGTTGAACCATTTTTTCAGAGCGGGGAGGTCTTGAAAGTTAGATCGTGGGAGAATTGCTGGTTGCTCGGGGAGGAAGCATCGCTGCTGGAAGGTGTCTAGGGCGGCATTTTCAAGGACGTCGAGAGGTCGGTATTGAGGTTTTAAGGAAGCGGAGAACTTTCGCACAATTGATTGGGAATGGTTATAGATGCATGGACGTGGGAGTCGCGTCCAGGCTTGTGACCACTGGAGCTGCATCCAGATCAACGTGGGAGGTGTCAAGGTGAAGATCGGAGACCCGAGATAGTGGATCTCCGATCAAGCCTTGCCCCTGTCGTTTCCCATCACACCTGCGCAATCATGCCCTGAAATGCATCCAATCATGGCCCATATGTGGAGGATTAGCCCACTTTTCGATCATAATAAAGGAGCATGAAACAGCATGAAAGCGCATGATGCCGATCAACGCCGAGGCTAATATGTGCCCCCCCCGCAATTGTGCAAAAGGATGTGCTCTCGTCGAAGCAAATAAAAGGCCGTTCGTGTGACTCGTTTTGTTCTAGCCAAGAGGAACTATTGTTCTGTGCCACGCTAGGCGTCTACATCGAAATTTTCGTCTTGTCCTCCCAGGTTTCATGCTCATTTAATTGCGGATACTCACTGTAAACTTGCAACATGCCTTCTTCATTCGCGCGAATTCATAAGCGCCATATCTACAGCAAGGATGCTCACACCTACTACCCAGTTCTGATAGTAGGTGCCGGAGAGTCAGGGATAGCCATGGGCTGCCGGCTCAAAGAGGTCCTGGGAACAGACCAATTCAGAATATTCGACCGTCAATCCGGTATTGGAGGTACCTGGTGGATCAATAGGTATCCGGGGGCTGCCTGTGACATGTATGTGATCAGAGACCAGAGCTTGCTTGCTGAATAGCTAACCCGGAAGGTAAAGACCCGCAACATTCTATTCCTTCTCCTTTGCCCAGAAAAAGGACTGGTCCACACTCCATCCATCTGGCCCAGAACTAGCACAGTACATGGCGGATGTCTGCGAGAGATATCAAATTGTGGACAAGATCCAGTTGAATACCGATGTGAAGGAACTTCGGTGGATTGAACATGACGAGGAATGGGAGGTTACGCTCTCACACCTTGTCCCTGGAACCGGTGATCTAGCTCAGCACGAACGAGATCGAATCGCAACCCAGGATGGTCATCACAAAGTGTACGTCAAGACAGAAATTGTGCGAGCCAAGGTGGTCGTCAGTGGTGTTGGCGGACTGGTAGAACCCAAGAACTGGCCGAAGAGCATCCCAGGCATTGAGGACTTTGAAGGTGAAGTCATGCATACCGCTCGCTGGGACGACCAAATCAAGATGGAGAATAAGAATGTCATCATGGTTGGTTCTGGCTGCAGCGCCGCGCAGGTAGTACCTGAGCTGGCGAAGCCGGAGGCCAACGTCCGATCGATTACCCAACTCATGCGAAGTCCTCCTTGGGTCCAGCCGGATTTGATCCCCCTGAATATCTCCCCTTGTACGAGAGGTGGTCAGCTACACTGATGACTCACGTCCCGGGACTGGCGTCGTCTGTACGAAGGGTTATCTTTCTACTCATAGAGAAGAGCTTCTGGGATATATTCACAGACACTGCATGGGGCCGAAGAGCGCGACCCCGGCTAGAAAAGAAATTTTTGGACCATATGCATCAGCTTGCGCCAAAGGAATACCACGAGATCTTGACACCTGACTACAGCCTCGGGTGTAAGAGACGGATCCTCGACGGCACTTGGTATCGCAGTCTGAATGCCCCAAATGTGGAGTTGACTACCCAGCCTCTGACAAGGGTCAACGCAAAGAGCGTGATTCTTGGTCCGGGCCGCCACTATCCTCCCCAAAACTCTGACGACGCAGATGAGGTTAGGGAGATACCCGCCGATGTCATCATCCTGGCCAACGGCTTCGAAACCAACCAATGGCTGCATCCACTGAAGGTGATTGGTAGGAAAGGCAAGGATCTTGAAGAGGTATGGGCGGAGCGTGGAGGTGCCCAGGCATACCAGGGGATTGCAATGGATTCTTTCCCGAACTTCTTCATGCTTTTCGGCCCGAATACAGCAACAGGGCATACCAGTGTTATCTTCGCGACAGAAAATGCGGTAAACTACTCACTGAATTTCATCAAGCCGATTTTGAATGGTCAGGTAACCTCGTATGAGGTCAAGGAGAATGCTGAGCGTGAATGGACTCGACAAGTACAGGATGCACTCCAGAAAAGTGTATTCCGTCGTGGGGCTTGCTCCAGTTGGTACATCACTGCCGATGGTTGGAACTCAACCACATATCCGTACGTTTTTCTCCTCTGGCGGTCTCTGGCTATTACTGACATGGCATTCAGATTCACTCAGATTCACTATTGGCTACGTTGCAAATTCCCGGTGTGGCGGCATTGGACTGCGAAACTCACAAGAAGGGGACGAACTTTGCGAGCTATCCGGAAAACTATTCAAGCTTCTGCTCTCCTTGGCCTTTTTGCGGGCATTAGGTTCTTGCACCAAAACCCACAGCAGAAAACTCAGTTGGTGCAGTCATTGCTGGCTGGGAAAGAGTGGCTGATCTCCGCGGTTTTGCAATTGAGGCACTGATGTCTTTTTTATGTAAATTTCTTTGAGCCTGGCATATTTTGCGAATGAAACAATACCCTCAGAGCTGGAGTATTATGCAATTAACAACTTGATGATCATGTACAATCAGTATATTCTTGTATTCTCTGACTGTAAACGGATCGAGGCCAATGACCGGTCGAATAATCCGATGAGTAAGCCGAATCTGGGGAAAACGGGAAACCCCGCGAGAGAGGAATTTCTCCGCACTTCGACGCCGGTATCTCTCTCCGGTCACTCGTTGAGTCGCTTCAAGATTCTGCAGACCATGGCTTCAGAGTCACCCCAGCTAGAAATGTCACCGCCGCAGACGGATCCCCGCGATCAGTCCATTGGTGCGTCCGATTCCAATAAGAGAAAGGCGGAACAAGGCAACGGAACACAGGCGCGCACAAAGCGGAATCGCTACATCTCCATTGCATGGTATGATATGGCCTGATCCGGCACTTTCCCACTTTCCGTTACCTCGGTCGCTTCACCTGCCAGCCTTGCGGCTGGTCTGAAAAGCTGTTTTGCAAAGTCATATGATTTTATGTCTCCTTTTGGTGCCTCCGTTGGCACAGCCGAGCTAACCGCGGGATCTGCAGTAATGAATGCAAACGCCGCAAGATTAAGTGCAATGGCCAGATGCCTTGTCAACGGTGTGGTCACCTGAATCTGGAATGTAAGTGGCCCTTGACTCTATTGACGACCTGTAGCTCTCTCCATCCGAGCTGTACAACTAAGTCTCAGGGCTAACCCACGAGCCAGGTCGCTATGCACCGAATTGTTGTAACAATAACTTTAAAGACTCGGAGTGAGTCCATGAATAAAAGACCGTTCAACATTTCATACTAATAGCCGAACTAGTGAGTTCCGGTCGATGACAGATCAAATAACTACTCTACAAGATCAAGTCAATACCTTGTTTAGCAATCTCAATGACCTTCGTACCCAAAGGCCAGCCTTCGATTCACCGGGCTTTGAGAATCTTTCTCGCGATGGATCTCAATCGGTCTACGCTCCAATGCAAGCCGGCCCAACAAAGCCACGGGTCCGTCACCCACGCTTCCATGGCCCAACTAGCTCGGCCTTCAACTTTGATGTTGCCAAATCCAGCTTGCAGAATATGGGCATCACCCCAGCAGAAGACGGGATCCCAGATGACTTGACCACTGCACACGTTTCTCCGGCTGGCTCACCACCTCCCAGTTCGGGGCAAATTCTTCAAACAACACATCCTTCCAAAGATCCTATATGGTCAATCCAGCGTGAAGAGGCAATGCGCCTTTGTAAAGTTTACGAGGACGAGATTGGGATTATGTATCCTGTGGTTGATATCGCCAAGATTACAAGCCAGGCCAATTTGCTCTACGTATTTATAGAGGCTGCTACTCGGACAGGCTTTGCACAACGAGGTTTTCCGGGCTGTGATGGTCTTCACGATGACAATTCCATTATCTTCAAATTAGTTCTCGCTACCACGCTGGTCGTGGAAGGGGGCGGTCAAAGTGAACTTGGGCAGCGGCTCTACTTGGATGTTAAGCCATTTATAGAATCGAAGCTGTGGGAGTCTCATACAATCAAAAACATTCAGCTTTTTGCTATTGTGGTAAGCCAATTTCCCATCAGGGGCCCCAGTCAAAAAGGCTAACCCTGTTTCCAACTCCAGGCCACGTACCATTTCCATACAGACGATGATGCCATTGCCTATCGGCTTATTGGATTGGCAGCACGGATGTGTCTCGAAATGGGATTGCATCGTCGGGATGCTTTAGTGAAGTCATTTCCAGATGAGGGGCAGCGGGACGAGATCACTCGGCTGTTCTGGTCAGTCTACACGTTGGACAGACGATGGAGCTTTGGCGCGGGGCTACCTTTCGTGATTCAGGACGAGGATATTGATCCAAACTTACCAGAACCTGTAAGGCTACCTACCTCTCACTACGCAGTATCCTCTATTAATTAACACGTGAAAATCTCAGGATGCATCCCTACTTTACTTGCGATGCATGATATCATACAACCGGATCAGCTCCAAGATCTGGTACTCTGGTCTCGGTTCCGAGGGCACCACTGATATCCGTCGCGATCAGATCGGCTATCTGGACTATCAAACCCTACAATGGTACAAGCAAGTTCCAGACGAGCTCAAGTTCTATCCCGTCGAGCCCCCCAAAAACGGCGAAAACTTAAACAGAGGCATGAGACGACTCAGGGTTCTCTTGTACCTGCGGATGAACCAGCAGCGCATCCTGATCTACCGCCCCGTTCTCCATTCTCCTTCCAGTATTGCCGAAGATCGAGGCCATGCCCAGACTGTTGTGGAAGTAGCTAAGGACTCGATCCGTGTCCTCACTCGCCTGAACCAGATGTCTGATATCTACCGGACCCAGCAGATAACGTTCAACTATTTTCTAGTTGCTGCATTGGCGGTGCTGTTCCTAGCAGTATCCCATGCTCCGGTAGACTTCAACCGGCAGGTCCGCGATGAGTTCTACATGGCGCTCGACCTGATCAACGGGTTCAGTACCAAGTCCCACGTCTCTAAGCGTTTGTGGAAGACAATAAGAGGTTTACGAAAGATCGGTGAAAAACTTGGCGTTCTCGCCCGTCCCTTTGGGCCAGACCCAAGTGATCCACATTCAACTGCTGCCATGGCGATGGCCGGGCTGGCGGGACACCCAATCCAGGACCTGTCCATGTACGGCCCTATGAATGGTGGGAACGAACTTGGAAATAGTCCTGTCAATGGACTCCAGATGAGTCAAGAGTTGACAAACCTGTTCGAGGCTGTTGGTGCTTTTGGTAGTTTCATGCCTGGCAATTCGAATGATGGTATCGGTGGCTTCGTTGGGCCGGATGGGGAAATCCAAAACACTGGTGAAGGTTTATCGGGGGTTTTGGGTGATGAGGGAGAGTTTGCTCGAGTCATTCGGGACTTGTTCTGATTTTTAGTGGTTATCATATAGTTAATTATGTAGGTAGTAGTGGACATGAACCAAAGGTTGATTGGTTGAGTGTTATATGAATCTCAAATCGTCCTTGGGACTTCAATTGAGGCCAACTCGGATATCCCCCATGTCAGCTGGCACGTGACTCCTAGTCACCCAGACAATTTGAAATCTGCCAGTAATGCCTTCACTTTTGCCCAACGTGGAAAAGAAGAACAAATGCACCAAATCTGCTACAAAAGGTGAACAGCCCTGGAAGACATCTCCTGCCCACCGCCCCCACGAACCGAACGGACCTAACCCGATTCGACCGACACACCCAACCTCCAGGCTCGAACTCACCAATATTAATCTCCGAGTGTGTTTGAGATCTGGTAAGTGATCTGATAAATTCATCATGAAGGCCATAAGAAACTGATAAGATTTTGGTGGGGTTCAGCCTTAGATCCAACCTCCTCCCGTTGATCGCACAATCTACCCCCCTCCCGCACATTGCCATGAACATCTAGCTTTTCGGCCCTTCATCCCCTTTAAGACCTCTTACGATTATACTGGGATTCTTTCATCCTTACCTTTAAATCCCATACTCTTCCCTCAGTCGCACGAGCCAGTCCCTTCGCGTGACGAAATTACTTCGTCTTCGCCAACATCCTCGAAGCCCTCACCCCCAGCTCGGCAACGTGTCGAGAGAGACAGGTTCGGCGTTGGCCGACGGCCTCGACAGGCTGGATTTGAGTCAACTGTCTGAATCGACCCTATCGTCATCCGTGTCCGCCGCCTCGTTCGACATGTCGTCCTCGGAAGGAGCGCCGGAGTCCTGGATTTCTTCGTTTTGTTCCTTGATGGGCCATGAGTTCTTCGCAGAGGTGTCGGAGGACTTTATCGAGGATGACTTCAATCTGACTGGTCTCCAGTCACAGGTTCCGATGTACAAGGAGGCACTAGAGATGATCCTTGATGTGGAGCCGGAAGATGACGAGGAAGATGAGGAGGAAGAGGAGGAAGAGGAGGATGAAGACGATGCGCTCGGCGGTGATGGACCTGCATACAGAAGAGCTGGCGATCGGCGACACGCTCGAGTCGCAAGCGATTTGAGCGTGATCGAGAGCTCTGCTGAGCTCCTGTATGGGTTGATTCACCAACGGTATATTACTTCACGTCCCGGCATTCAACAAATGCTCGAAAAATACGAGATGCAGCATTTTGGTACTTGTCCGCGTGTCAACTGCAACGGATGCAAAGTGCTCCCCGTGGGCCGGTCCGACACCCCTGGCCACGAAACCGTCAAGCTTTTCTGTCCCGGTTGCATGGATATTTATACACCCCCCAACAGCCGTTTCCACTCCGTCGATGGCGCATTCTTTGGTACAACGTTCGGATGTCTATTCTTCATGACATTCCCAGATCTGGATATCGGGCCGCGTCTGGATGCAGCATTGTCGGTGATGTCGCCAAGGAGCGCATCCACGCAGTCTCGCGCTGGTTCCCTGACACGAACCCCGGCAGGTCGCCAGGCCCAGCAGTCACCTACACCCGAGAACCAGCCACTGGAGATCAATGGCGTCCGGACACCTAACCTCTGCCCGGGGCTCGGCAAGGGCAAGATCTATGACCCCAGGATCTACGGCTTCAAGGTTTCCGAGGTCTCGCGTGTCGGCCCGCGCATGAAATGGCTGCGCTCGAAGCCCAGAAACGTTATCGAGCTCGACGAAGCGTGGAATTACGAACAGGGGTTATCTCCACAGGAGGGGCGCGACGATAAGGATGGTGACACCGAGATGAACCCGGAACAATTGCAAGATGCTGCCATTGCGAATCGCAAGAAGGCCCCGATGCGGCGCCGGCGACAAAATCTTGGCGCCTTAGTCCCCACAGACCCGATGGACGTGCACGGTCGATGAAGAGATGAAAAAAACCTACATTCGTGGTTGTTTCCAAGGTTGAATCTACCGTGTCGTGGGAAGATCTGTGCCATGCCCTTGACTGCGGAATGATTGGTTCAGGAATTGATGACGATGATGACAGATGTTTGAGCTTGGTTTACTCGCTGCTTTGAATGGGATTCGTTTTTCTTCTAATCTATTGGGCTTTTATTCTGTCTGCGCGCATCTTCCTGGCCTCCTTTTACGATCCTCTTGTTTCGAATACCAGGATCATTGTGTACCTCCCCATTCATTGTTTTATCTTCTTTTATCTTGTTCGTAGACTCAGCAGATTACTTTTTTTTTTGGAAGGGGAACGTGATAGTAGTACACATTGCTTACCATACTAATGCCCTGCTTCCCACTTCCCATCTCTCTCATATGAGTAGCCCAGCATTCAAGGGCTCTCCGCATCAAAGGACAAAGAATGCTAGCCAAGAATAATGATAGAGCCTCAGGTACGGAGTACGCATTTCGATACTCCGTACAGATCTGCAAGAAGATGAGTCTCCACCTCTTGAGGCTCCAACTGCATGTGATCGTCACCTAACGAGCCTCGTATACACCGGCGTCCCCGACGTAACATGAATGATAGTAAATGTCAAACTCAAACATTCCAAATCCAAGTGCAGCAATTTCTCAAGTCTATTCCATTTATGCGTTGGCGTTTTTGCCCATTCCCTGGACCTTAACATATCGGAGACGCCGATGTCAAGGATACACCATGCCCCGTGCCACATATGACAGGCTCGTATTAGCCCGTGCCTTGCACAGTGATTTAATTTATGAGAATCACTCATAATTGCTCATAATTACTCATGATTTACACCAGGTACAACCATATACGGAGCATAATTTACCGAGATATTGCTCCCCATACAAAGAAAGGGCACTAAAGCCTAGTGCACCGGACGGACGGACAGGCGGAACGGCGGATGTGCGGTCCACCTAGAAATTTCATTGGGGATTTAGCGTATCTGCGACTGTTAGCGTATATGTATATGCATGCCCACCCTGGTCAATTATTGGGGTTGGGCGCGTAAACAACATTCGACTTGGTTTATTCTATTGGAATGCTGAGATAGTGTAACGCTAGAACTGTCACATGGGGAATAAACTAGGCCAAGGGCGGTTCTTTGGTGACGCGTGTGATTCCCAAGCATTGGCTACATGATGCCGTTGAAGGAGCTGGTATAGTGGGGCTTGGCTGAATGAGTACATTCTTTGTTGGGTTTGATGGGTTGAGATGGCTTGGAGTTGATATTGCCACGCTCCTTTCCTTTTTGAAAATGGCCAATGATTTCAATTGGTGTGCTTTTATTCTCTATCTGAATTCCCCAGCGCTAAGTTCTTTGCCACCGAGCATACCAAACTCCGGCCTATAGTTTGATCACATTGTCATATTAGTTGTTCAAAGAAAGTTGTAACCTTTCCAGCTAACCCTTTTGACTGTTCCTGGTCCCTACAAGTCTATACATGTGAGAAATGAGGCCCCATTCAGTTATATGGACAAAGGGTGAGATCTTTAACTTTAATGACCCTGCATAATCTTATATCTTGGCACTGGATTTTATGCCTCGACAGTCAGCCTGGAGATGTGTTGATCATTCTCGTATACTAGATCTAGTGTGTCGAATGGGTAATGGAGAGGCATATTTGCTTTGTTGTACACTCTGGAGTCCCGAGGTAGATCATTCATGGATGTGTGACCTTGTCTTTTCTTGTTTCCAGCTCCCTCAGACCTTACTAAACTGAGAACAATAGCCCAAATGAACTATCGCTTCTGGTTACGCATAATTCTGTCTTTGCAGTCTTCAGTGGTCTAGGGCATTCTATTTTATTTATAATTACGCCTTCGAACTGCACTGTCCTGATATCAACAGCCTAGGCCTCGCATGGTCGAATTCTAAGAACCCACTGAGAACCCAGAAGACCGAGAGGAAGCAGGCATCTACCGAGCTCAGTTCTATATCGACAATACCTCTCACTAAATTGGGTGTGCACCTTCATTGGGACCTTGGGCACGGATAAGGAGTTCTCGAGTATCACACGGAAAGAATCAGCAGCAAATGAACTTGTGCGAGACAGCATTCAGAATGTTCTCATTGATGAGTCCGTCAACAAAGTGCTATTGTTTACAATACGCACTATTATAAGGCCTGTGGTTTGAATGTCGGGATGTGATAGATATACTCCGTCTCACTTGCTACTATCAACCCAAAATTTAAAGGCCTCCGAGAAACCATTGGAACTAGAAATTAAAGGTAAACCAAACACGGGAAACAGAAGAGAAGAATAAGCCTTCAATTATACTAAAAACGTATCAATCCTAGAAGAACTGCAAATAAGATTATGATTGTCAACCTAACTCGTCCAGACAACATCGACTCCACGTTCTCGCTTCGCCCAAGCCCAAATCCTCAATCCTCTAATTATCGATACTCCATCATTGCAAAGATTCATAATTATAGGCTCATATGACAAATGATTGACAATCTACCTCGTACTGCTGCGCATATTCCAATTAGTGCCACGCACTGCCACCGAAGTAGAAATTACTCCAGGGCGACAATAAATTTGGCGATCTAGACCAACAGCCCCCAAAAGACCAAAGCTAAATTCCAAGCAGACTGCGAAATACATACTGACTTAGGCCGAGGCCACTATCCGATCCTTCCATGTCCAAAAATAATCTAATCTATACAATACTACCTACTAAGACACACAACTCACCATACATCTCAACCGTGTGTCATTCATTGACTTGGCTATTTGTCAAGGCTAAAATGATCCGATAAAAACCGTTCATGAAAACCGAAAGACAGACAACATACTCGGTATTCCGTACAGAGTACCGTTCCCAATACCGCGGTCTCCCGTGCCTACTGCGGCCACCCCCGCTGCAGAATGTGGAGTTTGACGGCGCATATCCCTTTAAGGCGCCCTATGGGTCTGATTGAGGATAGGCTGATTTTAGCTGATTTTTGAGCCTGAATGATGGGCATCCTTTCAACGGGATTCGCGTTCTGGTCGGTTTTTGGGCTAATCACATATGTAGTGGATAACTCCGGGAACTTTGTTCCAGTCGTGCTCATCACAATTGCAATTTATTTCGTTGCTTTTATTAAGAGATTCAGTTCACTAGTGGACTGTTCTTTGTAATAGCATATTGGGACCTAGGTATGGGCTAGTCTGCCCTCTATACTCCGTACGGAGTACTCCTTACCGGAGTAAGTATTCTCGATTCCGAAAATTGTCAATTGGCATGGAGGCCAAGACGATCGCTGAAAGACCCTCTTTTTTTGGACCCTTCCGTATCCTTAATCGAAATTTCCAGGTTTCATTCCAAATCGGATCGGCAATATTGACCGAATTGACATTTTTGGCTGTCGCAGATAAGGTTGGGGACCATGCGGGTGAATCACTGCAACATGCAATATGCGACGTACAGAGAGGGGGATTGGGATACGGAAGTACGGAGGACGGAGGACGGAGGAATGATAAAAACACCTTCCTTTTTGACCGAGGCCTCATATCTCCATGTTGATCCACACAAGTCAGGGATTGGGGATAGGCGGAAACGCTGCAGACCAGAGCCGCCAACGATAAGAAGCCAAGCTAAACCAGGACAGGAAAAAGAACATGATTGGCTGGAAGTCTGAATTGACCCCTTCGACCTCTCGCCCCGGAACTCCCATGTGGGTTGGACGGGAAGAAACTACCTAAATTATTAGCTATTTTTTTTTTATTTTCAGCCCTTTCAGCCCCCAGTCTCTGGTGACTAGATAGTTCCCGGCCGAAATCTGGAGGGGCTGTGGGTTTATAGTATCATATCCTCAGGTTTATTGTGTTATTGCATACTGCACCCGTGCCGGGCCTAAATAGCCATCATTGGAGGAATTCAAGGTGCGGCTGTTCTTCCGAGACCTTTGGGACCTTCGGGACCGGACGTATAGTGTTCCTTATATCCGGGCGAAACATCGCCAATCCGAAGTGAATGCGACTGTTGGGGGGGAAAAGCCCAGAGTAGGGGTGTTCTGCTTGGCTCTCGATTTCGGTTGGCTTTCGTGGTGTGTTTATGAGTCTGGAGGAGACCTCATGTGCTGTTCCCAGCCAAAGTACAAATGCTTGAAAGGAGGGGGGAAGGGAACCCAAGAGTTGAGGCGCAGCAAAATTCTCGGACCACCTCCGTCCCTCTATGGAGTACTCCGTACGCATGGAGTACAACATGTAACCGGAATAGTGGATATGATGGGGCAGACGGAGAATATTGCAGATTGCATCATCCGGTGGATTTGTTCGGGATCCCATTGAAAGTAGCCAATTTAAAAATGCTTTCAAAGCAAATAGTGGCTTTAGTCGAACTGGGCAAATGCCGGGATAAAGAAGTGCTGTGGGGGTATGATGGTCGCTTTCTGCAGCGATCGCGACTTTCCCAGTAGACTGGTTCTTAGTACATTGGACTTGGAAGTGTTGTTTCTTGAGTCATGTAACTATGAACTTGTCCGCTTTAAGGAATTGGTCTGTGTCATGTATAAAGTCTCGACTACAACACAGTTAGGGTTACCAAGGGAGCATAAAATGGATATGTCAATCACCGTTGAGACCAAAAAGACGGTTTCAGCCGTCAGTTGAAATGTTTCTGGCTGAAATTGAAAATCCCGCACGGAGGTTTGGGGGCCATGGAGTTATGCGAGTGGACTTTCGTTTGGACCAATCGACTATACGAACTTTATAGGATTTCTATTGGGATGTTATCGAATTCGCCATCTGTCTGTAGATCTGCATTCAATCAAAACAGAAAACAGAAGTTCAAAAATCAGAACAAAAAGAGAAAAAAAAAAAAAAAAAAAAAAAAAAAAATCCATTCAACGTGGCTCCCTAGCTCATCCCTGTTTCCTTTTAACACCACGCTACCAATAGAAAATCAACGCCAATTACCCATGCAGCTATCTCATCACGCATAACAGGGGGCGGAAAGGGCTAAAACAAATAACAATAAAAAGAATTGACTCGAGAGTGGAGAGCCAAATCGGAGGCAAAAGAAAAAAAACGTGGGCCTCGAGTCCGTTCGGGGGGTAGTTAGGCCTGGACGGGGCGGAAATACCCGCAATTCGGCCTTTCGCGCCCCCGATCCCCCCGATCGTCTTATGGGCGTAGATCATACTCATACAGGCCATGCATGGAGCGAGGCGAGCATGGGGCTGATTCCGGCGTGAGTGGGAATGTGAAAATAGATGCCTCTGGCGACGTCGATGGTGCTCGCTGGTCCTCGTAGTATGCAAGCGCTGGCATCTGGAAAAAAAAAGCGCAGACAGATATTAGCTGACTGGTCGATGAGTAACTTCAGCGAGGAAAATGTACCGGGAGCGCAGAAGGCTGGTGTTGAGAATGAGACTGTGCTTGGGCTTGCTGTTGGCACAGCTCAATCCCAGCCATTGTTGCATAGCTCATACTGAATGGGCTAATCAAATCTTCGTCGTAGGTGAGTTTTCGAGCTTGCATCGATGGGAGCACGGGGACCATCGAGGGAACCGCTTCGCCGTAGTCGGTCTGGTAGGCGATTTCGCCGTAGCTGCTCGGCGCGGCGTGGTAGATGGGGGACTGTGCGTAGGCGGACGGCCGGTAGGTGTCATATGATGACATGGATGGGTAAGAAAAGACTGGTGGGGGAGAAGCAGAGAGCTGGCGAGTACATTGCTGGGCGAACATGGCTTGACGGTCCTCGGGAGAATAGCAGTCGTACGAGGCAGCTCGGTCTGACTGTGAGTGAGGCTTGACATCTGTAGTTTTAGACGATCGCTGCTTTGTCCGAGTCTTTGGTGATGGTTTAGGAGAGACTGGCTCTGCGTGTGATTGTTCTGGTGAAGCGGAAGTACCAGCTCGTCTCTCGAGATCCTCCAGGCGGCGCTTCAACTTCTTCCCTATTGAGATGCGACGAGTCAGAGATGTATGAGACTCTGGGAGCTTTTGTTCTTACGATAGTTGCGCTGAGCAATACGGTTTTGAATGCGCCGACGCTCTGCGAGATCAGAGATCTTGGTCCAGTCCTCGTTTGGGTTGGCGTTAGGGCTGAATGCGCTGCTATTGCTGTGACTACCACGAGAGCCTGAACGGCCATCATATGACGGAGAGCGATTCATGGTAAAATGGGTGAAGGCTATGAGCAGAGATGAAGATAAAGTACAGAATAGAGAATAGATGGTATAGTAGATGTAAATGTAGAAGGTGAAGGTTGAAGGTGAAGAAAGAGATGTGAATAACGGGACTATGAGGCTAAAGACCCGAGGCCAAGTGGATGCCAGTATCTTTATATATAAGAATCCAAGGCCAGCTGGAATTGGTTCGGGCCTTGCAGCTAAGCCCCGTCGCGATAACCAGCTCAGTCCGTGCTCGAATACCATTAGACTCGACCTGCCATGTGCACAAAGTCCCGGTTATTATTATTTTTTTTTAATTAATTTGCTCACATTCAGCCTCTGTAAATTGAAACTTGGGATTTATGAAACCCCAAGTATTATACGCCAATCTACTAGACCAGTAACAACCAGTTTAAAGCACCGAAACACCTAACCAAAGTTATAAACAAAACTACTAACTACTAACTACTAACCACTCAACTACTTAATTATGTAACTATGTAACTACTAAAACACCGACAGACCGGTCAGTTACGGATCGGGGGAATCTCAGATCTAACATGTAGGACCAAAGTGGTACGGCGTATGATCAAAATCCAAGACGGTAGGATGAATTATTGGAGTTGGGCCGGGACACGCTAACCAGACGTTCGCTTGGAGGCGATCCTCATTCGACCTGACTGGCCCGAGACACGATATGTCCAGGGATGAAACGGGATGCGTGGACTTTGGGGTTACACCTTGCTTTTCACCTTTTCTCACGTGGGTTGTTTTAACGTGCACGGTCATTAACCACGTTTTTATTCTTTCTATCTTGGCAACGGACTAAGGGGATAAAGATCTGACTCTTTGGCTGATCGTGATTATTCTGTTTGGAATCGAAGGTTTTGGATAGGACTACGAACGATGAGAAAAGAAAAGAAAAAGATTGGCTCTATTTTTTTCTAAGAAAAAAGGTCGAGGCGTCCTAAAAAAGTTGGGCCTGTATTGTCTACAAAACCGCTATTGGCTTGTTCGTATACTGACTGATTCACCCCTACGCCTGTACTAAACATCTCTATAATTAATGTCAATTTGCTTTTTTTTTCTTTTTTTTCTATAATTGTGACCATATTTTCTGTGATAGTGATCTCATTGACGCGCTTCCACTGGTTGCCTGATTGGCCGCATCCAGAATACCAATCTGGGCATATGATGCGCAATAAAACTACTCCCACATTTAGGAATTAAGGTCCACTGTTTGCCTACTGCCTAGGCTACTGTCTAGCCCCCGGAGATACGCTCAGACCCAGATGCTTGCCGACCAAAGAATACGGACATAATTCGTGGGTCCGACAAGGGGGTTGAGAAGGGCACGGGAAAGGAAATTCTAAAAAATAAAAAGAGGCTCTTTTCTGGTAAGACAAGGCTATGAATAGGTGGCCTTGCAGGGTCTCCACCAATCCTGATCGGAGTTAATAGGTAGGAATGCTGTGCGTAGGAAAACCAACTCCACTATGGAGTAGTGCGTCGCCCGAAAGGTCATTGTCTGTATAGGGCTGAGCTGGACACCTTCTTATTCCTGATCGAGCAATGTCGGAGAGAGGCATCCCATGACCTCACTCAATGAGCACAGCAGCTCAGGTACCCGGTACATGATTGTCTTCACCGCTAATGCTATCCATGCAGGCTGGAATTCTAAGAATTGCACAGCCATCCTAGTGGAAACTCTTCTTCCTGCAGGGATGGATAGCCAATCATATACCATGCTTGTCCCCAGATGCTTGGATGGGTTGCATTTTGAGCCTTCTAGTAACAATCTAGAAGAATGTTCCTGGCGGTGGACTATGCAGCCCCCGACCTTGCTGTGTCCGAGACGCACCCATGACACACGCAAGTCTGCAGAATTCCTTACCTTTTTCCTCATTGTCTTGATTTTTCTTTTTCACATTTATTTCCTTTGAAGTTCAGTGTCACTCAAGGAATATCGATGACGGCAATCTCCGAGCCTCTTAGTGCTAGCACGTTGTCGTTCTCGCGTAGGAGAGTTACACTAAACGTGAAATGGACCGAGTGTGGAATCTCATCCAAGCGTACCTACTGGACAAGCCAACTTCATCCGAATTCCATTCAAAGAGATTGACGATCGGAGACGTCGGACAAGGCGTCCAGTGCTGAAGCTGGATGCGATCAAACACCTCCGAATGCCAGTCCATGGCAACTGCGAAACATGGTATAAGTAATCTCCTTGCTCTCCAAAGTTGTCTCGAGTAACACAGACACCGCTCAGCACTTAAATTCTCCAGGTTTGCATTTTGCTATATTTATCCCAGTTCAACAGTAAGTCCGAAAGAAAATAATTATAGACTCTTGTCGGGGGTATCCCAAGATAAGAAGCTGACCAGTTCCCTTCAAGCCACACACCTCCCCAGTCCGGTTATTTCCCGATGCAATATAATTCAAAAGGCCTTCATTGCAACCCCCCAAATATGTCGGGCACTGGATTTGGCCTATGAGATCGAACAACCCCCATTGTTAACCATGCGGCACATTCTGAAACGCCTGCTGTGTCCCGCTGTGGTTCTAAATGTTGATATGTAGCCGAAGGGCGTACAGGCTGAGCCTGAAACCTTCTCTACAGAGTCCTTTTCTTTGCATCTCGCTTCCCTTGTCGCGTCTGGGCTTAGCCTCATTCCACGTGGTCCACATTCTGCATGTCGCCTATCTTACCTTATTTTCGGTCTAGGTGCAGATCCATATCTGCCGCTGGCTTGGGTTGTATTGCTGCAATCAATATACCTGGACTATCTATTGGAGATATTGTCGACGACCGTGTGACTAGAGCCTATATGGTCATGTCTTTTCGGCTAGCATGTGAGGGGCCAGAAGTCGACTTCAGCATGAAGGTTCTCAGACGTGGGGTTACAGGTACGGGTGGCTGAAAAGTGTCAGCACTGTGTTCGTAGGTCAAACTGGAGAATCTGACTATGTCTGGATATTCAAGTGTTTGCGAGGTAGCAGATGCGCTGATGGATGTTTCGGCATTGTCTGTCATTGCTGCTGAATCTGATGATTGACCTTGGACAGGGTTTTCATCCATCGCTGCTAGAGATGGATTTCGAGTCCTGTTCGATCTATTAAATTTTAACAAAAAGGTCCTATACAACCCCTTCTCTAAACGATGATCCAAAAAAGCGTTTCATGTCTCGGTGCAAAAGTAGAAAGGCCAATGATTATCATTCTTCGGCGTTTGGTATACGATCAGTCGTCTCTACCATTTCTGGTAGTCAGTGTCCTGTATGAAAGGTCTGCATGATTGGCTAACTTCACCTATTAGACAGTTTCCAGACGAGCAAGACACATGTAAGCAAGTCCTTGAGGACCAAAATCTACAAGGGAGTACCCGTGGTCTGTAAGACCTTACGCGAAGAATCGATAATATGTCAACCAAACAGACTACCTAGACACGACGTTATATCTAGACTGTCTGTCGATCGATAGTTTGGACGAATCAAAGGTCCTTTTACATCAATCGAGTGGGTCGTATGGGCCCTAGTGTATAGTACATGGATGCATAACTGAGGCCTTTTCTTCCGGTATGATTTGAAATTCTTTACTTCAACCGGATTTATTGACACATTCAATATCATTTTTGCTACTATACATATTCTGTAAGCAATATATTCCTCTTCCACTAGATTAATAAGCCTGTTTTGAGTGGATCTATGAATGGATCGTCGCGTTATCTAAAGAAGTTCCGTGCAGATATATAATCGTTTCCCACTACCTATAATAGTTATATAGTTTGACATATCTTTCACCAGAATTTGAAAGCATTGAAAACCCACTAGCACGCTCTGATGGTGCCAATGCTATAATTATATATGTTCATTGAGATTTAGGTCTTGTAAATAACGGGGGTATCAGGCTACCACAAACGGGGGAAGTCGATGATCAGCGAGCAACCTTACCTACTCAAGAAATCACCACACCCGGAGCTGTTTTATCTTTCACCTTTCATCTTTACTTGCTCCTGGAAAGCTCAGTGAGGCGTGTGGATTCAAGAAGTCTCCCGAACAAAAGTCCTAGCAGAGTTCTGATAAGCCCATGTGCGATGAGCCAATGGAGTTGAACTGACCTGAAAAGGCCTTCTTTTTCTCTTTCTAGCAACTGTGATTAGTTCCAGATCTTTTAGTAGTCGGCACATACACTAGGCTTTCTTATCTCTGTCCCTTTCATCTCTATAAAAAGGTGGATTCAACGATAACCCGAAAATAGCAAAGTTCAAAAAAGCTCTATATATATAAAGAACAGACCTCCAGATGAATATATAAGAGACGCTCGCTGCTGCTGAATAGCCTCAATACCTCAAATATTCGGACAAAATGCAAAAATGACCAAAAGAAAACCGCACGAGCAAGGACTTTTGAAAGCCTTGGTGGACATACCACAGACCTTGGGTTGTGGAACCCTTTTTATCTGGCAAGTCTGACAAGTCTGCCTTAGATCAAGACACTGAGAGATTGTTAGTATATAATCATCCAGGTTCAACAAGGATTGGTGACAACTTACCTCCATGGGTTCTTCTCGTCACCGTATTGAATACCCTCCATCCAGTTCTTCATCTGGAGAGCAATCTCACCAGCCTCCTCATCCTTCTTCAGACCACATGCAACCATCTTCCCTCTGTAGCTAATGTTACGGACTGGGCTGACGATGGCGGCAGTGCCGGCACCGAAAACCTCAATCAAGCGACCCTCCTCGGACGCCTCGGCAACCTCCGACATGCGAATCTTACGCTCCAAGATGTTCCAGCCCTTGGGACCAAGTCTCTCGCGAGCGAGGGTCAGAACAGAATCACGGGTGACACCCTCCAAGATCGTACCGTCAAGAGGAGCAGTAATCAGCTCCTTCTGTCCAGTCTCCTTGTTCTTCAAGGCAATGAAGAGATTCATGGTACCGACCTCGGTAACATATTCCTCCTCGCCGAAGAGCCACAGGTTCTGCTGGAAACCACGAGATGCGGCCTCAAGTTGAGGCAGAATACAAGGGGCGTAGTTAGCTCCAAGCTTCTTGTCACCAACACCACCGGGCCAGGCGCGGACGGCGTAATCAGTGGCCTCCAGATTGATGGCTTTGAAGCCAGTGGGATAGTAAGGACCCACGGGGCTGGCAATGACATACAGGAGAGCGGATCCTGGTGGGCCAACTCCCAGGGTCTTCTGGGTACCAATCATTGTAGGGCGAAGGTACAATGAGTAGCCACGAGCACTGTGGAGGTTAGCCAGGTTGTCTATCTGACGTACACAAGATCTACTCACTCTGGAATGAATCGGCTGTCCAGTTTCACAAATTCTCCAATGATCTTTGTCAACTCATCACCATCCACAGTAGGAAGAGCAATGCGCGCAGAGGACTTGTTCAGGCGTTCCATGTTCTTGTTGGGGCGGAACAGGCGAACGCCGCCGGTACTGTCTTTGTACGCCTTCATGCCCTCAAAACATTCAAATGCATAGTGGAACACACATGTTGCAGGATCCAAGCTCAAGTTCTGATAGGGGACAATGCGAGGTGCGTGCCATCCGTCGGTAGCTGTCCACTCCACGGAGAGCATATGATCTACATTTGCTTTCGGTCAGTGTCTAAGAGGAGATAGGGTTTGGAAGTCATCTTACCTGTGAAGTACTTGCCAAAGACAAGATCCTTGGAGTCCATTAGCTCCTTGGGGGTGGTGGTCTTGGTGATAGTCAATTTTGAAGCGTCAAGACCTGGGAGCTGAGAGGCGGCCGCTGTGGAGGCGCTGAAGGCTCTCTGCCATGTCCGGCTGGCGGTAATGTTCTGTGAGGACAAGACACGGGGCATTGCGAGCCCGGTCATTGCCTGTCGGCGAGCCAATTGGTGAAGCGACTTCATGACTTTGGTGATGTTAGGAACGATCCAAGGGCCAGCCAAGGGTGTAGAGAATGAAGAGTGCCAATTGAGTCACTAGAAAGATTATAGACGTACTGAAACTAAGGATATCAATGAGGATTTATATCGCGACCAGAAAGATGACTCTTCATCAGAACTGCAGTGTCTCTGCGGAGCTCGATAACAACTCCGATGACTCGGAGGGCTAAAATGTGAGATTCTGCCACCGCCCTGTGAATAAAGAATATCGCTGCTACATTGGCCAATCAGATGCTGTAAATTAGAGTTGTCTGCCGACTTCGGCTTTCTGCGGCTTGCGTCGGTTGCACATCAGCTCTGACTCCTCATGCCTGCAGACTTCGATCTATAATATGGTCTGAGAGGATTTGGTTAAGGGGAGGATTGGGCCAAAGTTTCAGAAAATTTTTGAAGCCATCGATTGTGACACTACCTTGGGCAGATTGATTATTGACAATGCGCTATCCTAGCACAACTAGAACGGATGGTTGGTAAGAAGTCATTTGACCATAAGGATACCCAGATATATGCGTACATCAGATATTCTCACTTTTGTAGTATTTTTGTTAGCTATGTAGGTATTTGGAAGCACAAAAAGTCAGCCGCCTAGGCAGCCTCTGTCCTTGACAAAGTAGAGCTTCAGAAATCGGACCCATTTGAGGCAAGATCATACATAAATATAGGGACCTTGTATTCAGGATAACACTCCGAATCTTTTTTGGATTTGAACATAGGATCTTACTGAGAGTGAAGACACAACATGTCGCATCGCAAGGTTGAGGCCATGCTGCGCGGGATTATAACCCAGTATGCTATCCTTGACTGAATCCACCTCAGCCATCGAGCTCCCACACCGGATCACCTCCCATTGATGGTCCTTCAAAGGTTTTCTATGCCACTGCCTTATCAAATAAACACGCAAGTATATGGATTCTACAGATCCAGCGGGCCTGATCTTGCACTTCAGGAACATCCTTTGACTTGGTTCTCACTTAAGTTAGACCTTTGACAACACTTTCATCCAAATTAAGGTAATAGAATTAACCTGGTTTGCATACTAGATGTGTGAAATCACTTCAAATGAAGGTTTCCCCAAAACAATGGAGCGTAGATTATCCATCACACTAATTTTGGTAGTCGTTCGCCTTCATGGCTGTTGCCGGAACGCTTCACAGGTATATACTTAAATACATAAGTGGGCCGAACGTTATAAGCCATGTCGCCTAAGAATTTATCAGAGAAATTGAGAATCTATACGTTGTAGTTCTTGTTAAAACCATTGATTTTATTGTGGATAGGGTCAGCCCCATGTGCTTGATAGTAAGCTGCGAGTTTGGTTGTGTAGATCACTCAAAGCTTTTAAAAACCACGAGTTCCAAATAGACTTTTGCCCATTTTGTAGAAGGAGTTCAGTGCTGTTCACAAGCTCTTAATGTCCGCATCGGTGTATTGTTCACAAAAACGATGTTTGCTTCACAGCTGAGGAGGGTGTCGCCATCAACTCATCATTAATGAGTGACTCATACCAGGGCTAATCTGTAATTGCAAGTTGAGCTGTCCGCCAATCTCAGCTTCCGGCGACTTGTTTCGGTAGTAATGAAAGCTTTCCGGTCTAAGGTAACAGAAAAGCTAATGAAACAGTCACGTGCCACACTAGATAAAGATGAATGGTTGTTATCGGGGGCTTGAGGCCATGTTGCGCGGGATGATTGACCAGATGAACAACCCGTAGGTTAATCTCTTGACCTTTGAGCTAATGTTCCTGACTTCCCAATAGACATTGAGTTCCAACACCGGCTCGCCCTCTCATTGATACTCCTCATTTAATGCCACTTTATTGTTGAAATAAACATGTCTTGTGCTGGCTACACCGTAACGACACAGTGAAACGAATAACTCCCATCATTCCGTCGATTGTCGCGCCGACATATTTACGCCTGCGGCCCTACCAACATGTTTTCGTCTGCTCTTAAGTCGTTCAGTTCCAATATTTCCGCCAATTATCAAATCTCACCTAACCCCACTGTCTACTCCGGCCCCTGGAAAATCCACGATGCAAAGAAGAAGTCCACCGGAACGGCGGCATCGGTATTCATTTTTGATCGCAAATCGCTAGAATCACGCTCTGGTGGGTTTGGGAGGAGCTCTGGGTCCTCCAAGAAGCTGCAGGACGATGTGATCGAGCGACTTAAGCGCGAAGCTAGCAACCTCGCGCGCCTACGACACCCGTCTGTTCTTCAGGTGCTTGAGCCTGTGGAGGAAACGCGTAGTGGTGGCCTTATGTTTGCCACAGAACATCTCACCGCCTCGCTCTCAGGGCTGCTGCTAGAAAAAGATGACCAAGAGAATACCACACGCGCTGGTTCGCGAACAAGCCGGTATGTGGCTGAGGAGGCCAATGGGACTCGGGGAAGAAGAGATGTGGAAATTGATGAGTTGGAAATTCAGAAGGGACTCTTGCAGGTTGCTAAGGGTCTTGAATTCCTTCACGAGTCTGCAGGTTTAGTGCATGGAAATTTGAACCCGGATGCCATCTACATCAATGCCAAATCAGATTGGAAGATCTCTGGTCTGGGATTCGCGGGGCCTCCGGATGCTTCTGAAACTCGTTCATCGCTTCCCCCACTCGCTGTGTCTGAGGTTCTCTACCAAGAACCAAGACTTCCTGCTTCAGTGCAATTGAACCTTGACTACACGTCGCCTGACTTTGCGATGGACTCCAATGTATCGTCAGCTGCCGATCTCTTCTCTTTGGGTCTTGTCATCATCGCTCTGTACAACTCTCCGCATGTCTCGCCTCTACAAACGAACGGAAATTTGACTACATATAAGAAACTGCTAAGCTCTCCATCTTCAACTCCGTCACAGAGCAATAATTTCCTCTGCTCAAAGCCAATTCCCAAGGATCTACTTTCTTATGTCCTGCCGAGACTCATCACCAGGAGGCCCGCTCAACGCATGAATGCTCGAGAGTTCCAACAATCACAGTACTTTGACAATGTGTTGGTTTCCACTATCCGGTTCCTGGAATCCTTGCCAACAAAAAGTCCTAACGAGAAGTCTCAATTCTTACGTGGCTTACAACGGGTACTACCCGAGTTCCCCGTTTCTGTGCTAGAAAGAAAACTTTTGGGGGCGTTGATGGATGAATTGAAGGATCGAGAACTCCTTCCGCTCATATTGCAAAACGTGTTCGGTATTCTTCAGCGGGTCCCCAATGGACGCCGTGTCTTCCCAGAGAAAATCATGCCTCGTTTGAAGGAAGTCTTTGGAACTGGCTCGGGCAAGGGGGCTAGTGAACGAGACTCCAAGAAAGATGCGGGTCTCATGGTTGTGCTTGACAACATGAAGCTGATTAGTGATAATTGTTCAGGGATGGAGTTTAAAGATGGTGGGTTTGGTCAATGGAAAACTCTGAACCTACGTCTGACGTTTTTTCTCTAGATATTTTACCCCTGATTCGGCTCGGGCTCGATTCTCCCACTCACTCTCTGGTCGATGCTTCCCTGAAATGCCTCCCTGTGATGCTCCCAGTGCTCGACTTTAGTACCGTCAAGAACGAGGTATTCCCTCCCATTGCTGCCACTTTCAGTCGCACCAGCAGTCTCGCTATCAAGGTCCGCAGTCTGGAGGCTTTCAGTGTCCTTTGTGGGGCCTCAGCAGAAGCCTCAGACGGGCTCGACGATGATCTGTCCGGAATCCAGGCGGACAAGTCGAAAACAGCCAAGTCCTCGATCTTGGATAAGTATACCATTCAAGAAAAGCTCGTCCCATCTCTTAAGGCGATCAAAACGAAAGAACCGTCGGTGATGATGGCGTCCTTGAAGGTGTTTCGTCAAGTTGGAGTCGTCGCAGACACCGAATTCCTGGCTTTAGAAGTTTTGCCGGTTCTCTGGAGTTTCAGTCTCGGGCCACTTTTGAGCCTCGAACAGTTCAATGCCTTTATGTCTCTGATAAAAAGCCTTTCAACGAGAATTGAACAGGAACAAAGCAAAAAGCTACAGGAGCTGTCATCTGGCGCTGCATCAACGGGTTTCCAGAATAGCACCGACGAATTTTCGCTCTCCGCCACAGGCATCAGTTCGCCCGATGCGGATGCCGGTGCTGGTAGCTTCGAACGCCTTGTTCTTGGGAAGAAGGCGTCTCCTGCGAATGGACAGAGCATCGATATGTGGGGTAGCATGGAGCCTGAGCCAGCCAAGCCAACAATTTCCAGCATGTCGCCTTCATTCTCATGGTCTTCAAATAATGCAGGGACGACACCCCAAGCCAACGCCTTGAGCCAGCAATCTAATCTTGGTTTCCGTTCCATTACTCCAGATCAGAAATTGGGCTCTTTCCCGTCTCTTTCTCCTGCTCGGCAAACTTCACCGGTTGCCCAGGCCTTCCCTACAATGCAGCCCTCATCCTCTATCTGGGCAGCCCCAAATAATTCCAATGTTCGATCACACACAGGCCCAACGGGTCAGTCTTTGGGGTCTATGTCGACTATGACACCCTCGAATTATATGTCCAGGTCAAAGGCGCACCCAACACCCAACTACTCCTCATTCTCAATCCCCCTCCCCCAGCAGGAGGCATGGGGTCTAACGCTATTAGACCTCCGATAAACACCACGAACAGATCCACATCTTTCCAAGGCACAGGTGCGACACCGCAGCAGGGAACTCAGAAGAATGGGTTGGACAAGTATGAAAGCTTGATATAAGGGACAACTTTTGTTTTTGCTGATACCCTTTTTTATTGCTGTAATTGCTGTAATTTCTATCATTGCATATCCCCAACATAGTGAACAGACACCGTGTAATTAAGCAAAAGAACATTAGCAAATCGAAATAGTCTGCGGATGCCAAGCAAAGTAGATCGGAACTCCATCGGTAATCCGACGGAGACACGTACTTGATTGGTGCCTCTTCATGCTATGTCATACCTCGTGAAGCCCCTCCATATGTGCTCAATGCGTATTGCGCATATCCCGGAGCTCCGTGTTACGTTTATCCCTCCATCGAAACCGAGTGTCGACCCTCAAACTAGCAAAGACCTTCTCCTCCCAGATAACTCGTGCGCCCGCCATGGATCAAAGCATCAAACAGCATTACCTGGCCGACTCGCCTCCTACGGTGGTCAGGCTCGAGATCAAGTCACACTTTGATACTCTCAAAGACCAAAACCTGAGAAAATATGCGCACTTTATGAGCAGGTACGTTGTTCCTGGGTGGTTTACCTGTCAGTACCGCACTTTTGGCAGCTAATCCTTCTCAAATCTATGCAGAGCTGCATTCGAGGGCACTCGAGTCACCCTGCGGCAGGTTTCCCCCGAGTCCGAACCCATCTACGATCTCATCCTGTCACTCTACCATGCCTCCAATGGCGATTGGAACAGCCTCGCCCAGAAAACACAGGTCAGCTCCGAGGACCTCCGTTTCTTCCTCGAATATGCGGGTCAATTCCTGGGAAATTGCGGAAACTACAAGGGCTTTGGTGACTCAAAGTTTATCCCACGGCTGCCCGCATCTGCGTTCGAGGCTCTGGCCTCGGCCACTGCGGAGACAAAGGCAGCTTTCCAGAAGGCCAATACCACTGGAGGAGGGATCTATGAGACCAGTGAACAGTCGATGATGCACCTCGGATACCCCAAAGGAGGCCATATGACTACCTACTACCCTGATTCGCCGACGATCTCACAGGAGGAGATCACAGCAATTGGTGACTTGATGGAAAAAAAGGGACTCGCGCTGGAGAACACAAGAATTCGGAAGACATCCTCGGGTGATTTCGACCTTTTGATCGCATCTGGTGTTTCATCCCCTCCTGTAAAGGACCGGGACCTCGGCGATGTGGACACATTCGAGCTTGATGGAGACCTGAAGGGAAAGACGCTGCGTCTTGTCTTCGGTGACCACCAGGAGGAGATGGCGAAGATCGCGCACAGCATTAAGCAGGCAGGACTTGCTGCTGCAAATGACAACCAGAAGAAGATGTTGGATTCATATGCTCTCTCATTTGGAGCTGGATCCATCGAAGCTTTCAAGGAGAGCCAGCGCATCTGGGTCAAGGACCAAAAGCCCGTGCTGGAGACAAACTTGGGCTTTGTTGAAACATACAGAGACCCCCATGGTGTCCGCGGAGAATGGGAAGGTTTCGTTGCTTTGGTATGACAGGTGCTATATTTATATTGACTGGTGTCGCTAACATTCCCAGGTCAATTTGGAACGCACCCGAGCCTTCGGTACGCTGGTCGACAGTGCCGAGAGCATGATTCCCAAACTGCCCTGGGGCAAGGACTTCGAGAAAGACAAGTTCCTCAGCCCTGACTTCACGTCATTGGAGGTATTGAGTTTCGCCTGTTCGGGTCTTCCCGCTGGTATCAACCTACCCAACTATGATGACATTCGCCAGAATCTTGGCTTTAAGAACGTGTCTCTGGGCAATGTTCTCAGTGCCAAGGCTCCTAACGAGGCTATTCCTTTCATTGCTGACAGTGACCAGGAGGTCTACCGCACATTCCGGGATCCAGCCTTTGAGGTCCAGGTCGGCATCCACGAACTGCTGGGTCATGGAACTGGTAAGCTGCTGCAGGAGACAGCGCCAGGAGAGTATAACTTTGACATAAAGAACCCACCCATCAGTCCTGTCAACAACCAGCCTGTATCGACCTGGTACAAGCCTGGACAGACATGGAGCTCGGTCTTTGGTTCCATTGCTTCGTCATATGAGGAGTGCCGTGCCGAGTGCGTGGCCATGGTGCTTGCTTGCAACTTTGGCATCCTGAAGATCTTCGGATTCGGCGATGGCAAGGAAGACTTGGCCGGTGAGGCTGGCGATGTCCTTTTCGCAGCCTACCTTTCCATGGCTCGTGCCGGTCTGGTTGCCCTCGAGTTCTGGGATCCGAAGACCCAGAAATGGGGTCAGGCACACATGCAGGCTCGGTACAGTATTCTGCGCACCTTCCTCGATGCCGGTGATGACTTCGTCAAGCTGTCTTACAGCAAGGAGGATCTCTCTGATCTGGAGATTCGTCTTGACCGATCCAAGATCCTGACTCACGGACGTCCCGCGGTTGAGAAGTACCTTCAGAAACTGCATATCTACAAGAGTACCGCAGATATCGAGGCTGGTAAGGGGTTGTACGATGATATTACCTCTGTTGACAGCTGGTGGGGAAGCACCGTTCGTGATGTTGTGATGAAAAACAAGGTGCCACGTAAGGTCTTTGTACAGGCCAATACTATCCTTGAAGGTGACCAGGTCAGCTTGAAGGAGTATGAACCGACTCTCGAGGGTCTGATTCAGAGCTTTGCAGAGCGTAATGTCTGACGACATGATATATATATAAGGATGTTGCAACATCGATTGATACAAATGAAATGCATGCATATAAATGAAAAACTAATAGTCTCGCTTTTCAACTACTTTTCAAGAGGCGTGTGAATGACATTTCAGAACTTAGTACTTACCCCTATTCACAACCAACTTACTCTGAACTAACCGTTGATTCCCCCAAATCACATTTTTGTCGCTTAGTTTCCTTGTAATGTCAATGAATAAAAATGCAAGATATTGTGGTTACGACTACGTGATGGATGTATATTTCATCGTTGTCAACCATATTTGACATTGATCACGACCTTTGGAGTATTTGTATCCGAATAAAGCTAGATGTCAATAGTTTTCAAGTTGCCAGCTCTTGAAATTGGAATTGAAATTCAAGATGAAAATGAAAATGAAAATAGACTCACAATCATATGAAATGAAAGATCAAGGGTGTATTGTGGAGACCGGCTGGAGATAGACCAAAGCTTGTATGGCCTACTTGATGTTGCTTTGACTTACGCACATCGAATATCCGACAATAATGTACCTAGAGACGTACATCCCAACTACACATCCCACTGAAACTAGAGAGAGAGGACACGGCACGTGCCAAGGTTTTGGATGAGGCGCTCGGACTTACCGCCAGGCAAGTTGATGTACCGTCTTCCCCAACCTCTAAGCGCTCTCTTTCTTCAACTCATTCTGAATTTAGCAGTCGATTTCTATATCAGATTGACTCATTGTGTAAATCTCTTTTATCCCGGTGAAATTCATTGGATTGGAAACCTGTCAAGAATCCCGTCCCCACGACTTGGATGAGACTCGGCCCAGATCAGTCGCATTGCTAGACTAGGTAAGTATTTGACCATTCTGGTTGCGCACATCGGCCTGTGTCTGACACGATCCAGGCAATAATAGAAACCACGGTGTCGCGAGAAACGCCGCCGTCAGACGCATCAACCACGGCGTTCCCGCCCCATTCAACCGACTCCCTAGAGGAGGAGGACGATTATTACACTGCACCTCCACCACACTCTGCATCAGCGTCAAGCTCCTCACCCGCATATCCCCCGCCATTCTCGTCCCTTATCTTCTCATCACTTCCAGACACCAATCGCCCATACAAAGTTACTGAACCTGGACCCGCTTGTCCTCCACCCTTAGCGCCTCCAGCACCTGTCGAGGAGTCGCTCGAGCCGGCCCAATCTTCGGCGGTCGTTGCTGACACAAAGACATCTTTTTCTGAACCAAAAAACGAGGGATCTTCCGACGACGGTGAACCACCGCCGCCATACACAGAAGGCTACAGTCCACTTGAGTCGTTCACCTACGTGATGGCTGCTGCAGGAGGTGCATCCAGTATCATCACCCAGGTCCAGCAGACCGGGGGTCCGCCGATCAACACTCTTGGTGGTATGATTGTCAACCCAGGCCGCTTGGTATTCTTTGCGCTAATATGTTATCATAGATATTGGTGGAGATGAACACGTCGGTCTCGACCTTCGGTAGGATCACGTATTGGTCGATGTCTAATTATGCATATCCTAACAACTTGATAGTGGTACTCGATTCACCCTTTCGCGAGATGAGCTGTTGACTTTGCCTGAATTTGTCCTGCTTTCCCTCTTCCCCAATGGCCTCCTTCCGGATGGACATGCTGCAAATGGCTTCCATGACGGGGATGTATTCCCGGTTGACGTAAGCAAATCCATATCCTGAGTACCAAGGAAAGCTTTGCTGACAGCTATCATCAAGTATGACCCGGTCTCACTCCAGTACATGCTAGATTTCTTCCGGACTGTTGCTCAAACCATCCCCTCATCTCTGCCCTCCGGCTCAAATTCACCAGACTTGGATATGTCGGACGCAATGCAGGGCTCAGCCCGTGACATGTTGCAAGACCGTGCTGGCATCATCGTCCTCCGAGAGGACCTCGACTTCTACGTGATCCCCCTCGTGCCGAAATTGGACACGACGAAATGCTTGAAGTCAAGCGGGCGGCTGGTAGGTCGCTGTTGAGACAAGACGGTATCTTTTCGGGACTGCGGAAGAGCGAGGAGATTGGTTCTACTGAGCAGCATCTTATTGAAATGCTGACAGCCGGGTTGGTAGAATTCGGGGTTTCAAGTTATGGTCCAACGCTAATATATGATGTAGAGGTTTCGATCGTGCTGACCAGTGGGGCCATCGTGCCCCAGAGCCTAACAAGGCAGTAATCTGCAGTCTTGCACTGGCCAAACTCCGTACCGATATTCGCGGAGACCTAGCAAACAACAACTCTGTGGGCATGGCTCAGAAGCTTCTTCTGTTTTGGCGGAAGCCTGCCCGCCGCTGCTGGTGGGAAGGTATCGAGTTGGACGACGTAGAGGGTGTCGAGGGGCCAGTCAAGGTCTGGATTCGGCGTGTGTGGACTCTGGAGATGGTAAGACCCCTATCCTCGGAAAACTCGAAGCTCTTGATAACTAATCCCATCGCAGAGTGTTATTGGGCTCCGATGATTTTTTTTCTCTTCTTTTTCTTGCATGCGCGATTACCATTCCCCGGCCTTGTGCCTCGAAGTTTCGAATGTTTTTTTCTTCCAAAGTTGCATTTAAATATGTCTGCAACAATCATCCAAGTGTTTTATCTTACCGACAGCAGCGCTGGCGTACTCAGCAGTTTGGGTGTTCTCATTCCTTTCAGTGTATTCATTTTCTAGTCAGATTGGTAAATTTTTCCCCTGCACAGCAATTAGTCGAGCTGTGACGTTTGAATATATGATGCATATTTAGCATTCTGGAGATTGTAGCCTTTTTCTCAACCGCATTTTATTTGTTTGCTTTTGTATAAATGTGACAATGAGCTCAGTCACCACATAGCTATGACCTGAGAGCAATATGAAAGGCCAGTGTATAGTGTCTATTGATAAATTAATGATCCCACTGATGATATTTACAAGAATAGTTGGCAGCTTCTGTAGCCTTGTGATGTCCTTTTTTATTGGTCTTTTTGGATAGTCTTCTCAGATAGTCTTTCGCTATCTTGGGTATTTTCTCCCCCTTATAAGTTCTTTAGGTAGATGGCCAAAAAAGGAGAGAAAGCCTTAAGATGTGTGGCTGACTTTCCTGTGTATGAATTTTGATTAGCATGCCTGTTGCTTGTCGGGTACTACAGTTTCTTTTCACAAGTGAGGCCTGAGGCATGATACACGTGACACATCTGCTGGAATGGGACTAGCGTAAGATTGGTCAAAGTCGCGCAGAATATCGATCCCAGAGCCAATCTCTCCAGCTGGATCCTATCTGGAGGCCTTTGACGCGGTCTTGGGTTTTGTTACACACTTAGTTCATGCTGTGGCATTATACAAATACTCGTTGTTAACTCTTTCGCGCTTGGACCATTGTCAATTGTGCCTCACTGCAGTGATCAGCCCTTCGAACATTGAGCCGATCAACAATCGCAAGCTCTCCATTCTCCCGCTCATACCCTCGAAGGGGCATGTCATTGTGCAATTGAATCGCCAACATGTCCCCTCTTCGAGGCTACATCAGTTCTTACCCTCCGCGCATGCGCCAGTATGGAAACGCGTTGCTCACACCTGTCAATCCTCCGTCTCAGACCGGCCCAACTCCGCGCACCACAAAGCGTGGAACCACAGCCATAAATTATGCAGAAGATGGCTTCGATGATGAGGATTTCGATGAGAACGATGGGCCCCGGCGGCCTACGGGACTGAGGAGCCTTCGGCGTGAAGAATCCGCTACCGACAAGTTGGTGCCCTACTCAGAGAAGCTGGGAAAAGAAGTGCATGCGCCCGTGGAGGTGCAAGGGCTCTTTCGCGAGTGGATGATCAAGAGAATGTTGCGACCAGCGTATGTTCCCCATTGCCAGGACTGATGTGGCTATTGGCAACAGTGGCCCCCGTCTTATCCGTTTATCCTTAAATCTGGCTAACATATAGCGCGGTGATTCTAGGTGTGCCGATCAACTGCAGATTCAAGCGCAACTTCCTTTGACGCTCGTTCCCATCCGAATTGATGTTGAAGTCCCCGCTCATCAACCTCTCGAACCATTCCCTTTCCCACGCACTGCCGTGGACCCTAGCATCAACCAAACGCTTCCTGCATACCGCAGACCCGAACCCTTACCCCCATTTCGCATCAAGGACACATTTTTATGGAACCTCCATGAATCACTCTCAACACCCGAAGAATTTGCTATTGGATTCGTTCGCGATCTTGATCTCCCAAATCCCCAAGCCACGACCATGACCATCAGCAACCAAATCCGACAGCAGTTGGAGGAATACGCTGGTGTAGCCCTCCACCCCCTCTTCCAGAGCACAGATGCAGGCACGGTGCCCAGTGTCCTGCCACAGACTGAACCGTCAAGAGAAACGCCAACTACACCAGCTGCTGCCAATGTTGCGACACCTGATAACCGACCCGATGTGACGACAATCTTAACCGTGACCAAGGAAGCGCTGGTAAATGATAGCCTGTTGAACCCGGATGACGCATATCGTTGCTTGATCACGCTCAACATCAACCTGCAGAATAAGCTGTACACGGACAAATTCGAGTGGTCTCTACTCCACCCACCTGGCATGGCTGAAGAGTTTGCGCGCATCACTTGCGCAGATCTCAGCCTTGGTGGTGAATGGGTCAGCGCGATTGCGCATGCTATCTACGAAGCAGTCCTAAAGTTCAAAAAGGAAGTCTGCGAAAGCGGTGCTCTTGTCAGCGGCATCAACGGCTACGGCAATGAAATTGACAATTTGGCAGCAAATGGCGTGGAGGCCGGTTGGCGTTACGACCCCGAAACAATCTGTGATGGGTGGCAGCCTCAAGTGGAGACATTGTCGAAGGAAGAAATTGAGCGGAGAGAAGGCGATCGAGAGCGACAGATCCGACGTCTGCGCCGAGAAACGGCCAGGTTCTCTTCAACTACGGGCATCACACCTGAGATCTCAAGGCAGAACAGTGGCAATTACTTCGAGGTAGATAGCGAGACTCCGCTGGGACGTGGAGAAAGGAATAAGCGCAAGCGCCGGTTCCGCAGCTTGAGCCCTACGGGCAGAAGTGGCACTCCTGGTGGCCGGGGAACTCCTGATACCGGATCAGGGGCTGGGTACGGTGGCGGCGGTGGCACGCTTTCCGAATGGTACGTGGCTAGATACATCTCGCTAGAGTATTCACTAATGACTTCTTCAGGGAACGCCAAAGCTGGAGATGCAAGAACTGTGCGGTATGGGGCACAGCAGTTTGGGCTGTGCGTGATGGTCCAGATGGTCCACGGGTAAGGGTTCATTCTAGAATGTATCACCAGCAATCCACTAACCACCTCCTACAGACACTCTGCCATAACTGTGGCCTGCTTTATGAGCGTGATAAGGTTGCGCCCGAATGGTCCAAGGATCTCCATCGTCACGACGTCCCTGTCGGCCGATATGGCTAAACTATCAACGGCATCTTTCCTTACATCACCTTAATGTACTACCGTAAGCTTCAATGACCAACTTCACGCCACCTATTTCTCCGTGTCTTTCCCTTCTACTTAATTCGCTACTGTTACGCGTTTCCTTTTCCGATCGGCGCATCATATCTTGTTCTATGTTGCAGGCATCTGCTGTCATTTTCCATCCGCAAAATCCGGGGGCGTTATTTATCATTGTGAATCACCATTTCTTTCTCCATCGACGTCTTTCTTGCTTACGACGCATGTAAGTTCTCTCTGTGGACGGCTAGAAGGCAACGCGTGGCCATAAACTAGAAGAGACATCCGATGAGATTAGATAATGATACTCTGATCCCTTTTGCATTCTTGTCGCTTATATCGCTGGTTTGCTTTGCCGAAGCCTTTCGCTGCTGCGATTCCCTAGACACGGACCCTGTGCGCTTTTTTATCGCAGATCGAATGGCCTGTCCGTGTGAGTCAATGCAAATATGAGATTGAGCTTACGGACCAGAAGGGCGACAATAAATGAAGATTGCATGCCGCTTTGCTATACCACAATAAGCAGCCATAGTGATGTATAAAAAAAGAAAACAGCGAAGACACAATGATAGGCATCACATCCCAAATGCTCAGTTCTGACATGGAATTTTGATCTAGATACAGACCACTATGAACCTCTACAACTTGGTGATATTGTAATCTCAGTGTGTAGAGGGAGGCATCAGGGGTGTCGTCTAGGGAAGAAGAGAGAGAAGAAACTTGCGGGCGAAGAAAAGGAGAGGGGGGGGGTTTATACTCCCTGCACTCGCACCTTCCTAGAATCCAAAATCCCGTACTTTCCAATTTTGTCAGACTTGAAATCCTAAAGAGGTGACGAGACACTGACCGTCGTCCAGGAAGTCTGTGTCTCGCCCATTTTCGACAAACGTCCGCAACTCAGTTCACTGTCTAGGCCCCGCGATGGAAAAGTCAACCCTCAAGGAACTTTAGGATCTGGTCAAAACCCTCCGGTTCCTTAACCCAGTGACCGTCACCCTCTGCCCCCGTGAACTCCTGCCAGTCGACGCGTACCATAATTCTTCGCAGAACTTGAGATGCCTGCCGCCCAAGCTCCACAGATACCCATGGATCGTCTGATCCATGACTTAAAAACACAGGCGTAGACAAGATAGAATAGTCGGCTGGCTGATCAGAGCGCGATATCTCACCGGCAAGTTCGTCAAAGAAAAATCCGGACACTAGACTCTGTGCCTGAGAACTGCCGGGACTCAGTGATGATTCGGATACCAACTGCTCGAGCTGCTGTGCGAAGGGTAACCAACCGCAAAAGCCTAGCAAACCACCTAATGGGCCTTGGACTCGGCCCATCGCAGTTGCCGCTAAGAACGTCCACAAGGCGGTTGCCATCCCCTGACTCATACCTCCGAGATAGATATGCGAAAATCGCCCATCGAGTAGTCGAGATTCCTCTTTGAGAATCTCGAGAATGTGTAAGATTGATTCTCTGATTCCGTCTTTCTGCAGTTCCTGTCGTTCGTGGATATCGTGTAAGGAATAGGCATCAAACCAGGTGCACATTTCCTCTTCGAATGTAGTGCTCCATCGGTCGCGGGAGGTTGGAAATACCCAGCGATAGGAGGGTAAACAGGAGGGTAGGTTTTTACTCCTAGAGGTTGAAGATGAGAAAAGCTCTTCGGCGAACTCAGGGCCATCGCTGCCGCGACCATGTAGTAGGATAACCGTGTGGGTGTGGGAGACACGGGGATGATGGATGTGGGGTTTAGGGAACTCCATTCTCCCTTTATTGTATATCTCTATTGTGATTTTTGATCGACAGGTCAGATAATTGTAAGATTCTATTTTGGTTGGGCATCTCAAGAGTCAGCGGTCAGCGATAGTCCAATACAGTACGGAGTATTGGAAGAGCCAACTACGGGGAGCTTCAATCCTTTCCATCAGACGGAGACATTCTAAACAAAACTCCAGAAATACCTGTTTGTCCCCGAGAATCTGACGTGTATAATTCACAAGCCATGCGAGCCACACACACACGAGTCGTTAAGCTCAGACTTTGAGCCAGAGATCTGACTCATTAAACATTCGAAACCCCCATAGAAGCAAGACGGTAAGACTTCAAAGGGTTCTTCAATTTCGAGTCTCACCTTCCGATACACTCGGCGGATCGTCCGTTTCAAGTGAGATCTGCCAGAGGCGCTGCCTTGAGTGCGGTACATCTATGACATGAATGGCTCTGTAGATTCTGGTTGGTTCGACACGTCTGTTATCCTTTGAATGTAAACCGCGTGAGGAAGGGTGCCAAGTTCAAAGGAAGGTCTACTGTGAAAGGGCAGCTTGACAGGATTTAGACAAAAGGTCCCTTCTTATTGTGCTATAGCGTCACACTGGCTCATTTGTTGGCCAAGATCCAGTTAAACGCGACATTTCGCGAAACACCTTTATCTTCTTCACAATCCACGACAACCTCATCAATCTCTATCTCAAAGCCAATATCCGCCAGAAGTATTCTCATTTCACTTCTACCCCATCCACTCCAATGCATTGCCCCTTTTGTTCCGCCCAGCCAAGATTGATCCGAAGAGCTTGCAAATCCAGTCTCGGGGAAATTGGCGAGAAGCCGTCCTCCAGGTTTTAACCAATCAAAGATACGACGAAGTATCGTGGTTTGTTCATCGCGTGGCAGGTGAAAAATGGAGTACATGGCCACCACAGCATCGAAATGCTCCGGTTCGAACTTCAATTCCATCATGTCCCCTGGTATTAAGTTCACCGAATGAGGAAGCCTTTCCTTTGCCATAGCAATTTGAGTGTTGGATATATCATTTGCTGTGACGCTGATGTATTCACGCGATGCCAAAAGTTGAGTACACGGTACCCCGGCGCCGCATCCTAGCTCAAGGATGCTTTGGCTATTTCCCTTTGCAGAATCGAGGGATTGGAGCATCCGATCGAGATAGGAAAGTCGTATCTCATGAGAAGGTTGTGTCCAGTCAAGGTAAACCTCGGCGATATCATCATAGGCTTTCTTGATATCCTCCTTGATATGATGGTTCTTGACGGCATCGAACATTTTGGCAGAGGTCTTTGGTACAGTAAACTGGACTGTGAATCTTGTGAAAATAGCAACGTCAAAAGGGGCTCACTCTAAGAGTTCTAGTTAACAATGACTCATTTGGTCAAAAACAATATAACCTAGAATACGACTAACATGAACCCGATCAGGATTAGTGTAGTTACAAGGGAAAGAGAGTGATTGGCAGAGACAGAACTAACCGGTTATTTCCTACACTAGAGCAATGATTGGACAGTCAGCTTTGTACAGAGGGTGCATGGGCACGAATGAGACCCTAATGGTGAGATTGGAGATCTAGGGACTCAATCGCAATTTGAAATATATTACTATGATGACTTCAGACAGTATAAAACTGAATACATGTAACATCAACACCTAAAACACCCTACTTTCTTGGGTAAGGCCATTTCCAGTTCCGAATATATTCAGGATCAATCCCGTTATCGAATGCCTCGGACTTGCCCGCAAGCTGCTTATTGATCAGCTCCTCTCTCACGCCGGCTGCCGTGTTTCCGAGGGATTCAACCAAATCAATAGCAGCTATAGCGAGACTGTATCGATCGGTCTCATTGCGCAAAGCAAGCTCAAACGGTGTATCAATGTTACCCTTCTCTTTGTAGCCTCTCACATGCAGGTTATGCTGACCGGGTCGCTTGTACGTGAGTCGGTGGATGAGCCAGGGGTATGAGTGGAAGTTGAACACGATGGGTGTGTCGGTGGTGAAAATGGACTTCCACGTCTTATCAGACATTCCGTGGGGGTGGTGGATTTCGGAAATCAGTCGGAATAGATCCACAACGTTGACGAACCGGACTTTAAGCTGTGGAAGATACTCGCGCAGTAGCGCAGTCGCGGCTAGCGATTCGTGTGTAGAAACATCACCGCAGCATGCCATCACGACATCTGGCTCTGCGGCTTGGTCGTTGCTCGCCCAGTCCCAGATTCCGAGACCCTTGGTACAGTGCTGGACGGCTTCATCCATGTTCAAAAACTGGATGTGCTCCTGTTTATCGGCGACGATCACGTTCACGTAGTTGGTACTGCGGAGGCAGTGATCCATCACAGATAGGAGAGTGTTGCCGTCGGGCGGCAGATAGATGCGAACCACCTCGGGGCTCTTGTTGGCCACTACATCGAGGAATCCGGGGTCTTGGTGGGTGAAGCCATTGTGGTCTTGTCTCCAGACAGTGGCGGTAATGAGGATGTTGAGAGATGCGACTCGGACTCTCCACTCTATTTCAAGGCACTTCTCGAGCCATTTGCAGTGCTGATTTACCATGGAGTCAATGACGTGAACGAAAGGCTCATAACTGTTGAGCAGTCCGTGTCGCCCAGAAAGAATGTATCCTTCCAGCCACCCTTCACAGGTATGTTCACTGAGGATCTCCATCACGCGGCCATCAGGGGCCAGATTTCCTCCATCTTTATCCTCTGGGAAATACTCGCCCATCCACACCTTCTTGCCTGCTTTATACACCTCAGCAAGCTTGTTAGATTCACTCTCATCTGGGCCAAAGAGTCGGAAGTTGTGCATGTTCTTGGCGACAATATCACGGAGGAATTTCGCCATGTTGGCCATGCCACCCTTGGGTGTTATGCCCGGCACAATATCTTTGAACCCATACTCTCGGAAATCAGGCATGTGGAGCGGCCGGCGTAGAATACCTCCATTGCCAACAGGGTTGGCACTCATCCGCGAGTTACCGGTGGGCGTAAGTTCCTTCAGTTCCTGAATCAAGGTGCCATTCTTGTCAAAGAGCTCCTCTGGTTTGTAGCTTCTCATCCATGTTTCCAACACCTTGAGATGAGCTGGGTTGGTGCGGACATCAGTGAGAGGAATCTGGTGTGCGCGCCAAAATCCCTCGAGATAATGGTCATCAACCTTCCGTGGAGCCGACCATCCCTTGGGTGTGCGGAGAACGATCATTGGCCAGCGAGGTCGGAATGGGGTATTTGTCTCTCGGGCCTTTTTCTGGTGCTCCTTGATTTCTTTGACACATTGCTCGAGGGTAGCCGCCATGGCTTGGTGCATGCTGTCAAAATCACTTCCCTCCACAAAGTATGGTTTCCATCCACAGCCAATGAGCAAAGACGAAAGTTCGTCGTGGCTGATTCTTGCAAGCACCGTTGGGTTGTTGATCTTGTATCCGTTGAGATGCAAAACAGGCAAGACTGCTCCATCGGTGATCGGGTTCAGGAACTTCGTGCTGTGCCAGCTGGTTGCAAGTGGGCCAGTCTCGGATTCGCCGTCTCCAACCATAGTCAAGGTAATAAGATTAGGGTGGTCGAAGACCGAGCCAAACGCATGCGAGATTGAGTATCCAAGCTCGCCACCCTCATGGATACTGCCAGGTGTCTCGGGGGTCGCATGGCTTCCGATACCACCGGGGAAAGAGAATTGTTTGAAGAACTTCTGCAGGCCCTCCGTATCCTCGCCTTTGTCCGGGTAGACTTCCGAGTAGACACCCTCAAGGTAAGATTGAGAAATGATTCCAGGGGCGCCATGTCCGGGGCCAGAAATGAAAAGAGTATCGAGGTCGTACTTCTTGATGAGACGATTCATGTGCATCCAGGTGAAAGACTGCCCGGCATCGGAACCCCAATGACCTAAAAGTCGAGATTTGAGATGCTCCAACTTAAGAGGTTCTCTGAGGAGTGGGTTTTCGCGAAGGTAAAGCATGCCCAAGCATAGGTACATGCTGGCCCGAAAGTAGGCATTCATCTTACGGACAGTGTCAGCATCGAGGGGCTTCCCTTCTACAGTTGAACGAGCTTCTCCATAGGCGGAGATGCTCTTTTCAGCTGATTTGGATGCCATTTTGTGTTGTACACTCCGTTCAAGCGGCGATGCTGCTCAGTACGTAAACAGAATCCCTTAGTGTAATGACACCTGGGACCCGACAAAGATAGAAATGTATGCACTGGAGCCGTGAATATCAAGATATAATAAACCTTGGAAATAAAATTATGGCGAGTTAAGGAAGGGGATTTCTTTCTTAATAAGTAGCAGAATGATTGTAATCAGACATCCGTGGATGTCTGACAAGTCAATGACGTGTGGTTTATTGATAACAACCCTGGGAACGGACATAGTATCACCACTGGGCCAGGCTTCTGCCGTGTCGTGTGCATCATGACTCGGCCCGTACGATTTTTTCAGTCATGCTCATCCATGATATCTGCTACATCAGATTGGACGCCCAGAGGTTTACGGGTGAGTTTATACAGTGACCTAAGGCTAACATTATCCGCAAAACGACACTGTAAGCACTCACATGACTTTGTGACATCTAGGTATACCCTAAAAGGATTCGAAAAGTCGAGGGATGATGAGCTTGGCTGAGAATGTCGAAGTCGGAAAGAATGTGGTCGGATCTTGAAGGGGGTGGTACTCCGTAAATCGAAAGGTGGTGCTCGAAAAACGGCGCTAACGCAGTATCCGAGGTGTTGCAAGGCTGCTCGGCTTTGTCAAGCACGTAAAAAAGGTGGAATGGAACCGATTAGATAAATCGAGGAAAGAAGTCATCAAGTGATGAAGTACATGGAAGACAACATCGCTCGAGGGGATAGGAAAGAGATCTCTATCTAGCCGACAGGTCTGGGGGCCTCAGGCAGCCACACATCTCAGCAAACGTCCTTTCGTTGCATATATATGTAAGAGGGCATGTCGTTAAGACATTTAGAATGAGATTTGAAAGTCCTGACTTTCTGGTACATAATATCACATGATAATCATAGTTTATGAAGGACCCCGACCGCACCTGTGAGACTTTGAAATCTGACCTCCGGAATAGATACTCATGTCGCCCTCTGCTGTCTTTGATGTCTTTTCATCGCAAACATGTCAAATCACACGATCAAACAGCATATCTCCTCCAGTGCACTCCTTTAATTCAAGAAATCTCCACCTGTCTCCTTCAAGATCAATTGGTACTCGGGAGCGAATTGCATATACATAACCTCCGGAGTACCTGTTCCTTTCTTGGTGTATAGAGCAACTTCATCATCCACCAATGTCTTCTTCAAAACTCCTCCATTTGCACCAATTGAGCCAGGGGCTGTCGAAGATTCCACTAGGATCTGAGTCTGACATGCCCTCTCCAATGCGATAAAAAAGGCCGCCGCTTCCGCAACCGTACCACCGGCAGTAAGCAGGCCATGATTCTGCATTATCAAATTTTTGTTTTTGGCTCCAAGGTAGTCAGCAATGCGCTGACCCTCTCCCTGTGCGAAAACAACTCCCCCGAAGGCGGGATATATCGAAAGATCGTCGTAGAACATGCACGAGTCTTTGATTTTTGAATTAGTGTCAGCAAAGGCATGGGTCCACGGCTGTGGATCATGTATCTTACCTTGATTCAACATATCAATTCCCCTGCCAAAAGTGCTCCAGGCTCTTCCATAGGGACTATGCATATGACAGGCTGCATGAATGTCGGGTCGCCTCTGGTGGATTGCCGAATGAATAATAAACCCAGCCGTGTTGACTGGCTTATTTGCACCAGCCACCCTGTTTCCTTGTTCATCAACCCGGACCATATCAGAGACTTTAAGAAGGGCAAAATGTACTCCATATGGGTTGATCCAGAACGTGTGGGGCTCAACGGGGTCTTTGGAGAGTCAGCACATCTAGAACAATTGTCGGAGTTTTGTGAAGTGCAATAGAGCATACCTCGGACACTGATATGACCACTGCTACCATCCGAGAATCCCAATTTGGCGAATATGCGAAATGCGCCCGCCATCTGCTCCAGAAGCCATTGCCGCTCTTCTTCTTTGTTGGTGGGTCTTGGAATGTGATGTAGCCTATTTACTTCACCATCGTTGCTCCTTTCTGTGTTTAGGGCAGAAACAGTTAGCTTCTGTTCAACAGTCATAGATGACATTTTGTGCAGGTCCTGGCTTGGAGGAATAGGGATTGCGGTTTGACACGACGTCCGAGACAAAGAAATGGCAACCCCGCAGAACCTAAGAAGGGGTAACCCGATAAGTCGATGCCTTATGGACTGATATCGTTTCAGATATACGAGTTTCGCCAAAAGAGGAAATTGGTACGGAGTATACATTTTGTGTTCATGAAATAAAGTGACTCTAGTTGTCCTACCCATAGGACAGAAATTTCTATATACACTGCTGTTACCATTTATCCAATTAGATCTAATACGTCTTACTTCCGATATCTCTGACTCCGCAATTTGAGGGAATATTGAATCGCATAACATCTATCCTTACGGAGAGTCGCTGATATATCTAAATTAAACAGCCAAAATCAAAGAAAAGAGAAAAACAGGGCAATGCAAGAGTAGGCCAAACATAGGACCAATGCCAACAAAGCTACTAGCAAACTGGGCAGTAGAACATAACTATGAAATGTATGAGAAAAGGCAGAACTGCACATCTTCAGGCAAATTAGATCAAACTTTGCCCTGTTGCAAGAGTTGGGTCCAGATGAGGAAAGTCTGTAACAGGGTGAAGCCTTCCAGTTCGGAAGGGCGCAGCTAACTCTGCCGTCGTCGCAGTAGGGAGAGTCCTCTGACCACACGGTATCCCGGGGTTATAGTTAAAAACCCAAAGACGCATCGACTGATCCGGAGAAGTTCCAGTATAAAACCTATGTCGCAGCCATGACCCACTCAAACGGTCATTGCCGCCCCTCGTTGATCTACCGCTCTGGATAGAAGCCGGTATCGCCTCCCACTTGGTAGACATCCAACCCGATTCATCTTCACTCCACATATTGACTTCGAATTCTCGAAATAGCGATGGGACCCGCCTTCCATCTGCGACGTAAAGAACCCCAACACCTAGACATCGGGGAATCGGGAATTTGCTTCCAGTACGTGGATCAACCCGGAGAATCTCGATGTCTTCTTCAAATATGCTCATATGTGTAGACCCGGTGTCATCCATAAACGAGAATTCACAGGACGGCGGCCTGGGTGGTGGATTTCCCGCTGCAGGCGCCGGAGCCGGAGTGTGCGGGATCTGGAGGGTAAGTCTCACCTAGATCAAATTATTAGATATAGCACTCAACAGAAGCAGCTACTAGAGCATCTGGGAAGGTGATAGTTACCATTGTGGCATTCAAACGCGGATCTGGTTGGCACACCATCGAAATCTTGCTCATTCCAGGCCCAGGTCCGAGAATCTGAATGTTTGTTCTTAGCATCTTTATTGATCCAAAAAGGGCATTTGTTAAGACTTACACCTTCGACCCAAAACCCTTCATGTCCTTGACATTTGTCATGGATGTGGCGGTATTCATCCCAGTGGAAAGGTCGCGGCAGGCAGAGCTGAACTCCAGCATGCCAATAAGTAACGAAGTCCGGATGCCAGTCCAACTCCCCTGCACGATAGTGTGCTATGATTGCTTTCACCGTATCGACCATTTTGTGTACGTCGTTTCCTGTCTCGAGCCAGGTCAAAATGAATTTGAGATCCTCTAGGCGTTGTACAACAGGCCAACTTAAACCTGGCTCTGTAGCCATCAGTGCACTGAGTAGGAGAAAAGATAATTAGTTTCCATCACAAAATTGGAACTTATGGGATAACTCACTCGCGTTCCGCCTGTCTTTGCATAAATTCCTTCATCTTATATTGATAGACATGAGGCATGATATTCGTCGCAATCCGCTCAACACACCGGTCAATCTGGGATTCGAAGTCTCTAGATAGCAAATTTCAATTATTAACTATAAAATTGACCAACAGAGCCTGCATCAATCAGGCAAAGTAGGTAAAACGTACTCGGGCATCAGATCAGGCTCATCGGAGTTCCACCCTTTCGGTGCATTCTCCCGCTCCGTGATGATATCTTTTACCCTCCCCCATTCCTTTTTCTTGGGCATTTGTCTCCTAAGCTTCTTCCTTCTTTTCGAATAATCAGTGTTGAGATCGGCCGCAAGAAGTTGCTCGTCCAGGGTTTGCGGAATTGCCGTTTTCGTCTTCTTCTTTGGAAGGGCTGCCGTTGAATCTCCATCTAAGTCATCTTGCTTGCGTTTTCCATTAGCATTATCGGATGCCACTTTGCCGTTCGCTTTCGCAGTTCGGGGCGGGTTAGCCCTTGGAGGCATTTGTAACAGAGACAGTCACTACCAATATGGTGGTGGTTTCTTTTACAGAGGAGAACCAAATATTGAACATAAATGACGACTATGAATAAAAAAACTACGAAGGTATTTGTATTCCAACCATCTTTGTACACATCCAACCCATTTACCTAGACAGATGGAGGGCTCGACTATGCGATGTCAAAGAAAATCTGAAGGTCATAGAAAATATACAACAAAGATATACTCTCTTTGACCATGCTGTTCATTCGGCGAGGCTTTCGAAAAACCCCCCATGAGTGTATTCGTAAAATGCATACTCTCAGTGGACCTGGCTCCAACGATTCCTCCAATTGCTCTCGGATTTGGAAAAGCTGACGCTACTAATCTGCGATTTATTTGGACAGGTATATGTTGTAAATGGAATGAAATCGGCGGACTTTGTCATACAATAATTTGTGAAAAGTTTAGAGACTTCACTCGGGCTACTTGGAAATCATGAAAGAGATTGACTAACTCAAATCTAACCCAGAGCTTCTATAGCTATGAGAGTTATAGCCAAACATAGACTGTGGTGTGATAGGATATGCACGCCTCATGGCGAAACCCCGTAGAAGTTGGAGAGCGGAGGGAAACAAAGAATATCTGACTTTCGCCATGCCTATTTTTACACCACTCAATATCTTTACCCATGTGCGCGATATTATCCAGTCTTCTTTATTACGTGGCTTTTTTTTATCAGGGTACAAAAGTAGGAATTTTCGGTCACGCCTATTGCGAATGATTACGTCGTAACAAATTCCTAATTGATATCCAAGAGCTGTGAAAATGAGCCACAATGTTATCAAGCAGATTCGATATGGCCCCCAATACCACGCTATACATACAATACTCTGGTATATAGGTACTCCCATATTCAGACCCACGTATCTAGCCTCCGAAACCGGGGCCAAGAGCAAGTCGGACTCGAGCTTTCGGACTCGCCCGATATTTTCATATAACAAGCAATCTTCTTTGCACGATATATTTGAAGCTCTGGGGCCTACGCCAGGGCGTCTGCAAGAGCAAGAGCATCAAGATGAGCGAAACCAGCTCGACCGCAGTCCCGCTCCCTAATTCCGAACAGTGCTACTTGAATAGCTAGCAAGGTGAAGGATATCTGATTCAAGTGTCTTGGCCACTGCATTGGCACAGTGACAGAACATCTGCATCTGGTTCATTTCCCATGATGTGAGTGGCCGTCGAGAATTTCCCGGGCTTGGAGAGAGATGAAAAAAAGTCAGTTACGAACAAAATTTAGATATATTGTCGATGGGAATGCTCTATTCATGACTGCAACCGAGATTGCTTGGCGACGTGCAACTACATCACATTTCGTTGGTGGGAGTATCGTTGTGGCTATTGGGTACCCATTGAGCGCAAAGCTTTTTGATATGCGATGTCGCAACCTGGATCTATCTCCGCGCCAACAGAAACTCCAATTTCTGGACATAGAGGCGCCGATATATTCGTTTACTTTATTCAAAAGACATTTTGACCCGCGGTCAAAGTCCGAGTTCCACAGGTCTTTGTTCCCAGAGAAGCACTCTACAGTCATTCCTATGGGGATTGCTTGTACTACACGCGTTGTTTACACGCCCGAAGTCATTTGATTGTCATATGGCCAGTAGTCCCTCGATCTGGTGGAATAGCAAATTCATTTCAGTTTACAGGAGGCTAAGATTCTTCTGCAAAAAGAGCCTTTGGGGAGAAATTACCATCGCTCATGGTCTTCTGGGGCTCAGTCTAGCAAAATCCTCCCCAGTGGGATAATGAGCCTCTTGAAAGATACGAAACAAAAAAGCGGATGACCTTTGATTTCAAAATGGCTGACAATGCTCTCGCTCTCTGCAAGTTCCTTCGAGATTGCAAACAGTTGCATACTGTCATTGCGAATGAGTTTCATGGGGAGGAACACACAAGTGTGATGCCACACTCGACAAATCGAAGCTTGACAATGTTCTTTGAAGATTGGCCTTTGCCTAAGTCATATAGATATCTAATGGATTGAAAAAAGAAGTTTATGTTGAGATGGGATGGTGATTGATAAGATATGGTGCATGTATTGGCAGCAATATGTTTTCCGAAATTTACTGTTTGCCGCATCTGCGAAAGTAAAAAAAGGGGTTTCCATCTATGGTATTGGGGGCCATTCAGAGTTGAGGGACTGTCCACAGAAATGCGGAAGGGTTCGGGCTGGGCGTAGGCTGGGCGTAGGCTGGGCTTAGGCTGGGCTTAGGCTGGGCTTAGGCTGGGCACTGTATCTGAACTTCGCCCCAATAAGCTTGCCGACTTTCAGTCGACGTTCTCTTTCGCCTGTGCTTCTTTAAATGTGTAATGGGGCGCTTGATTGTCCACTTGAATCTAATTTTGCCTTAATTATGAACTCCTTAGAGGTCTCGCTTTCGTTGAAGGAGTATTTGTGCTTGAGAAAAAACCAAACAAAAACAGGATCGGTATGAGCAGTCCCAACTCAGGATACTCAAAGAAGCTAGCCTCGGAGATTAGCCTTTCCCGCTAACGTTAACTAATCTAATCTGATCTCCATACTCCGTACTGATATGTACGATACGGCACATTGGACGAGAAACTCAACTTCAGAGACTTTCGAATGAATTATAATCAGAAAGTTCACATGGGAAATTTTGTTTACAACGTTAATTCATTTTGCGTTGAATGATCCATATGTATCCTCAACTTCAAAAGGCGCCGCTTCACCATACGTGTAGTGTGTACCTAGTGGTAAATATTCAGTCGCATTTTCAGCATTCAAATTTGTCTATAAATTCTCAACGTAGCTCGCCCCAAGGCTTACCTCGTCAATTCCGACATCGGAACTTTAAGGGATAAGGTTTCCCTCGACCAAACTGCAGCTAGTCTAGTCTATTTGGCCACATTTGTCACATTATGAATCTAACAAAGCCTCAAAATCTTCCCAAGGTCCTTGGGAAGGAACTCACTGCAAGTCATCCCACCTGCATTATCTTGCTAAGGAGCAGAAATTGTTCCTATAGGGATGCTCTTCCCACCCGCTATCCCATCCCACTGCCTGAAATCTAATTTGGAGGTTTGGGGGATTTTTGCCCAGAGCCAAGGTAGCTCCATATCTTTTGTCTCAAAATCACTTGGCAACTGTAGGGCCAGCACACAACGCTTTGACTGAATTTTTGATTTCGACGAACAGCAAGATAACTCGAACGATTCCTACCAAGCAGCCCCCAATATCATGTTTCCTTGAGTGCACCGACTGGGTGGACAAGAAAAAGATCCAGCCCATAAGGAAGAAGTAAGCTGTAGACCACCGTATGTAACTTGGTGTCTACCGCCTTAAATACTACCCACGCTTTGCTCTAGCGTTGGATGCCAGGCATAATTACTATGTTTTGCTTGGTACCCATCTGTTATATCTGACAACCTTATCGGGTATCCTGTCGCCGGCAATTGATAGTCCGATTTTCACTCTCCTTTTTCTCTGTGCTTATTACGTCCTAACGTAAACAAGTTAGACCGTCTAATCGAGGACGAGATATTTAATGCCCACCCCCCACTCGCTTTAAATCGGTTGTGCCGTATGCAGCGTACGATTCATTTGCTCACGAAAGAAATATGGTGATTATGAGCCGATTCCATCGGATAGTTGGCAACAAGTCTGCGGAAACTGAAGTCACTTCATTGGATGACCCTTCTGCTTTGCAGGTGAGAGCTGATGACAAGGAAGCTGGACATGCTTCCACCGATGGAGTGACTGGCAAGGAGGAGACCAGACCTGCCGATAATGCTTAAACTGGTGTCCAAAAGATTGAAGCTGTTACTCTGACCTGGGGGAAGGGATCGATGCTCATGGTCTTGATATTGTTCGTGTCCCTGTCCTGTTGCATTATTTAATTCTAGCAGATCAGTTAACTCAAATCGCATTTTCTCAACAGTATCTGGCTTCTCACACTGGTGAACAACCTCAAGACCTCCGTGGTATACAGCCTAAGCGCTTATGCGACGAGTTCTTTTGCAGGTCATTCACTTTTGACCGTCATCAATATCGTGGCATCTTCAATGACAGGCGCAGTTTATATTCCTATGGCAAAAGCGCTGGACCTCTGGGGTCGCGCGGAAGGTATTCTTTTGATGACAGGGTTCTGTATCCTGGGCATAGTCATGTTGGCTGCATCCCATAACCTTCCCACCTACTGTGCTGGGCAGGTAAGATATAAATTTATGGTTAAGCCCATGTTTCTGCAAGTGCCTAACACATTTCAATTGCAGGTATTCTACTCAGTCGGGTTCGGAGGTCTCGCCTACAGTTGGAATGTTCTGGCAACCGATGTGACAAACCTGAGGAATCGAGGACTGGCATTTGCTTTTACCTCCTCTCCGGCAATTATATCAGCTTTTGCTGGGTCTAAAGCTGCAGAAGGATTTCTCGCTAATGTTAATTGGCGATGGGGTTACGCAGTGTGGGCAATTATCTTGCCAGCGTTTGCCTTGCCCATATATTTTATGCTGGCCTACAATCTGCGCAGAGCCGAGAAAGAAGGCATTCTCGTCAGGGAAAGAAAGGCCTGGACTTTCAACCTCGAAACGGTATGGTGGTTTATCAAAGCATTCGACTGTGAGTAACCATATCAGTGCTCTACGGTAGTTGTTCCAAGATACTAATTCATTTCGAGTAAATAGTGATGGGGGTGTTCCTGTTTGCTGGCGGCATGGTGGTATTCCTTCTTCCATTCACTCTGGCCAGTATGGCACCCCATGGCTGGCAGACTGGCTATATCATTGCCATGATTGTGATTGGGCTGGTCCTACTCATCTCATTTGGGCTTTATGAGACCTACCTTGCCCCAATACCGTTCCTGAACTATAAATTCCTCACCGATAGGACCGTTTTAGGCGCATGTCTCCTTGATATGACATACCAGATCTCTTACTACTGCTACGCCGTCTATCTCCCGTCATTTCTGCAAGTGGTGTACAATTTGGACGTGGCCACAGCTGGATACGTTGGAAATACCTTCAGTATTGTGGCATTTGTCTTCTTGTTCTTCGCTGGCTGGCTCATCCGTGTGACGGGTCGCTTCAAGTGGATTCTCTGGATCTGTGTACCGCTCTACATCTTTGGACTTGGCCTCATGATTCATTTCCGTCAACCTGGTGGATACATTGGATACATTGTCATGTGTGAGGTTTTTTTCTCTGCCGCCGGCAGCATTTTCATCCTGTGTGTGCAGCTCGCCGTCCTTGCTTCGGTCGATCACCAACATGTTGCCGCGGTCCTTGCCTTGCTTTTCGTGATGGGAAGTATTGGCGGATCGATTGGCAGTGCTATCTGTGGAGCTATTTGGACCAACACATTCTTAAAAAAGCTGGCGGAAACTCTTCCAGAATCAGCAATGCCCAATTTGTCTCTCATTTACTCGAGTCTTCCCCAGCAGCTCAGCTATCCAGTTGGAACCCCCGAGCGAGACGCCATTGTGAAAGCCTATGGCTATGCCCAACCAAGGATGCTTGCAGCTGGTACTGCATTCATGGCTTTGGGCTTCATATGGGTTGGTATGATGAAAAATCTGAATGTCAAGAACATGACACAGACAAAGGGGAACGTTTTTTAATGGGGAAGGCTTGTTTCAAAGATAAATAAGCGACTGCCTACTCGTCCGATGCACTAAGAAGATAAAGAATTTGTGTTACGGGCTTCACCAAGGTCAAGGGCGTCATATAGCGTGTGTAGCGAGGATAAGCATCGAGGATATAAGAGTATAATGACATCAGAAGAGAAAAAAGATGAAACATCTTGTAGGGACCGGGCGAGGATAGAACAGAGGGGACTTATATGTAGCTGCGGAAAAGAGCCATCTCAATTGGCATATATTGAAGCTTAGAAAGCTGCCATTTTTGCGGCTGCAGGGGTCCTCGGATTCCACATCTAAAGAGTTATTCTATTCATTCCCTAATAATTGCCTTTACATCCCGAGGCAATATTCAATCTTCACATCGAAATAGCACAACTTGCTGTTCATCCACCATTAATCTCCTTTCTCTCATCTACCAGCCGAACGCCTCTTCAAAGTACTCAATGTCCCGGAAGCCATTCTTCATGGTCTCATATACAGTTCCACGGCACTCATCGGCCATTTGGGCCGGGCCACAAGTCAAGACCGCCAAATTAGTCGAGCTGGTCTGAGCTTCCTGCACCTCAGACATGATTGTTTCGCGAATATTGGGTCGGCCAGGCAAGAACCGCAGGCTGCTGTTGCTAGTGGGAGAGTCCACGCCTGTTGCCTTGATCACCGGCGCTACAGTAGACGAAAGCTCCTTGGAGAGGTTCACATCATCGGACTCAGAATCACTAGTGATTTTAGCAAGACGAGTACAGAAGACAGTGATCGTGATGTCGTTATGTTGCATGATCTCCGCCAGTTCCTCGTTGAATACCTCGTTGAACATCTCTTTTTGTCGGACGGACCACACAAGCCGAATTTTGGTGGTCTTCGTCTTGCCTTCCTTGACGCGCGCAATGTGATCCAGGAGGTACGGCACTGCTACTGCAATTCCTGTTCCACCGACAATGATCAAAAGAGTGTTGTAGGCATACACTGGCTCGGAGTGGCCATAAGCTCCCTCAAGAAGGAGCTTCGGGCGAATGATTCCCCCTGCTTTGCGGCATTGATCACGAAGGCGACGTGTCCATCCATCGTACGGCCGGACGTAGAAGATAAGCTTATGTCCATTTCGGGGGGCCGAAGCAGTCTTTTCATTGTTGACTGAGGAGGAAGGCGCCCATGCACCCAATGAAAAGGGGTGGTTTTCCCAGCCCTTGAGCCAGGTTGCTTGATAGATATAATAAAGCTGACCGGGTCTGGGTGTCAAGCTTGCGGCTCCGGGAACCATTTCAATTCTGACCAAGTCACTTGCCTCACTGTACGTAACAGTTGTAGCAGTGCCCAAAAATTGCTTTCCGAATCGGGCGTTCAGGTTGCAGTATACAACACGACCGACGCGGGCAAGCCGCTCAAGGACCCAAAGTCCAACCGGCGTCCAAAGATATCCGACCCATTCGCGACCGTTGAAGCTGGTGTGTCTATGTATTGTTAACTTGAAGCTCGTTTTCTGAGCAACGACGGTGGCTGCAGGACTTACTGGAAGAGGGCAACTACCACAACGATGGCGAAGACAATGTGAAGCATGAGGAAAGTCTCATACCAACGGCGTTGGAAAAATGTCATAGACTGTACAAGCATGAAACACAAGAGGATTGTAGCCTGATAGTACGTTAGTCGTGAGTTTCATCATCAATTGCATTAGGCAGACTCACCACCACACCCATATACCAGTACTCTTCCTTCCAAGCAATCCAATAGCGGCCAACTACCGTGTATGTTAGTGGGGATGTAATCTTTCTCATTAAACGCTAATGAACTCACCATATTCTGCGAAGAGAACGCTGTAGTTGATAGAATGCACCACGGCCAAAATAGTGCAAACCCATGCGATGTGGCGGTGGAACATAGTAAACGACTGAACGCTGAAGTGTGTCAACTGGATAAACACATTGTTTCTACCACTGAAAAGCCACAAAGCTGGCAGACAGGCGTATGAAAGAACTCCAGTGCGGTCGGAGGTGTATTGCCAATTTTGTTGGTAAAGGCTTGGTACTCTGCAAAAAGTTAGTATGTGGAAATGATATACAAAACATCTCGTTGCTTGATGAGGTAAACTTACGAAAGACTGCCCGTGAAACTGTCGTAACCCACACAGCTCAAAATGATACTGACAATCCAAAAACCAAGCACAATCAAAGTATCGACTCTCTTGGGAAGAGCATGTGACAACCAGAGTTGCTGGTGGTTGGGTATGGCTGGGGCAAAGGTAGCCGGCATAATGATGTGCGTGCGTAAGGAATGAAACAGAGAAGCAAGAGGACCTTTCTTACTCTGCAAATTGGGGGAGACTCAGGATCGTAAGACCCGCGTACACTCCGTCTGCTGAAGAAGACTGTCCATGCCTTAGAAATCATGCCCAAAACTAGTACAGCTCCCCAGTAGCCAATAATTCCCCATCCATATCGCTTGTTTTTTGGCATAGCATAGTCATGGCTCACCTGAGGAATGTGTTAGCTGGTGTTTCACTGACAAAACGAGATGGAATATTCAGTGTTGACTCACGTAAGATTTGTAGGCTCTATCATAGTATTTTTTGGTCAGCAGCACAGGCGAGTCGATGGTTCCATAGGTGGTCACATTATTCTGCTCTGGGTCAATTTGAGGAAGTGAGTTGATGTACTCATCCGTCAAGAGGGGTTCAATTGAAGCCAGGCTCATGAGCTCCATGCTGTTCTTTGCACAAAGGCTTTGCCAATATGGGACCACAGCTTTGAAGTCTTTTGCGGAACACCAGGCCTTGGCGGTAGCATACATAGAAGTCACTTCCACGGTGCTATTGCATGGTCCGGTAGAGTATGAGCCATATGAGCCACCACCATGGGCGCGCTTTGCAACGTTCACACTTCGTCGCGACGATCCATGAGTATGTGTCTCAGAGGTAGAATCAGATTCAGTGGAGGAATAATCGGACGATCCATGAGTGTGTGTCTCAGAGTCAGAATCAGATTCAGTGGCGGAAGAACCGGACGATCCATGTGTGTATCCTGAGTAGGAAGAATCAGATGTGCCGGTAGAGGAAGAATTGGATGATCCGTGCATATGAGCTACAGAAGAGGAGCCGGGGGATACAGCGGAGGAAGATTCAGATGATCCATGTGAATTGGTCTCAGATGTTTCAGTAGATGAAGTACCCGACGATCCATGCGAGGAAGATGAGGAGCCCCCATGAGAATGAGAAGAAGTTGTGGCGGACTGGACAGTTACACTGCCCTCGAAGGTGTATGCAGATAAACTGGTATATATCGAATAGAAACAGTACTCTTCCAAGTTGGAAGCGACGTTACGGCTCGAACTTGTGCTGGAGCCGCTGTCGCTATGTCCAGCAACCTGGACACTGGCCCAGAAGAGAGCCACAAAAGCCGCTCTGGGGAGCATTTTGTCGTATTGATTTTTAGGGCAGACTACAATCTCAAGTCCGAAGACATTGGACTATACTTATATGACATGAGATGTCCGGCGGCGGTATAATATTTCTTTTTAAAAAATAAAAAAAAAGTTGCAATTTGTACATCCGGAGCATAGCCATCTACCTGCTGGCTCGAACCAAAAAGAGAATATTTGGAGAGAACCTCGGACGTCCCCGAAGTCATTGAGTTATTTACTTACCAAGTCCACTCCGGGTTGCATGATTTCTCCACATCCAACCATGGCCTCGGATATAAGCCAAGGAAAAAACCACGCTATCAACTACATTGATGAATATATTCCGAGAATTCGCACACGAATGTTCTCTTGGCACCTAGCCAAGGATGGGTATAGTTGTGAAAGCGTACGAATAGTGATTGGCTGATGCATAGACGTTAGCTTCCTAGACAGGTGCATGAATAGCACACCTCCGTAGTGTTTACCGAATGGGAAGGTGCCAATACTCTCCCATCAAGATGCGGTTGTGCGTTCTACTTTGGGAGTGTACTCTGCCAAGGGTGAATGGTAGGAGAAGCGACAAAGTCCGAGGCTTGGCAATATATCTCGGTGTTAACGTAGGGCAGACATAAGGTTAAACTATGCCGATTCGGAAAGTTTCGGGCATAGTGGGGGGCCCTTGTATGCCATGGCACTAGTGTTTCTGTAGAGATTGATAACAAAAAACTCGGACTTATTTCAAGGTTGAGTGGGGCTCCGTGGGATGGGGCCCTAAAAAGAAACGGCTGTAATAGCCGAACGTGAGATCCTTGACAGCTCAAGAGAATCTCCCGGTCGATGGTCCCATGGATGATTGACTAGGCTGGTGCATTGTTACTCGAATTTGGCATTATTAACGAGCAGGCCCACTGCATACCCTAGAAAGAATAGCGTAGTTCCCATGGTTTTATAGAGTTTGATAACGAAAGACTTCAAAACAGTTCAACCGGTGTGATAAACCTCCATACCAAAGATCACGCAAAAGAAACCTCAATTATAACCGACATTGACATATTTATTCCGTACAAAGCCATGTAAATAGGTGAGAGCTTCCGCTAGTTGATTCCAGGAATGATCATAGGCTTGTAAAATGAAATTTTAGAAAACTTCTGGTCACGGCAGCTTTTGCCAACTGTACAAGCTCGAACAAGCCGAAGAAGGCTCTATCCGTAATATCCGTGGTATAAAAAATTAGCAATGCTATGGAAATCGCTTCATGGACCAGGTGTCAACCTTGGAATGCCAGGCCTAATGATATCGGTTCGACACGGTGATTTTTTTTTCCTATTCCCGCTCAAGTCTCTCTGTGCTAATTTCTGATTGGCCCATAGAATTGATTTTTCAGGAATAAAAATAGACAATAAAATCCAATTCTATTCAGATTGAGACTCGGGGCTATCGCGGATCATTCGGTCGTAAGGTTGTCAGGCAAGTAGGGCTCGGGTTCGGGTATCTCGGGTCTGATAAGTCGAGGTCGGGTTCATAGTGGGCTCTCAAGCTAAACCCAACTTGAGGGAACAAAGTGGAATTGCTAAAGAATTTTCCTTCTAGTCGAGCTCTGCGGAGATGTGACTCTCGGCTTTCTGCATTTTTGGGGTAATATCAACGCCATCGAAAAATTCTTCGTCAATCTGTATGGAAGAGCTCACACATCTAGATCGGAGATAATAGTGGGGCCTCGCAAGATTACTCCCAATTCGGGCAACAGTGCACGCGACTAAGGCTGAAGAGAAGGGCAGGGTGGTATGGTCCTAGGGTCATAGAATTACAGAGTACAAGACTAAATATGCTCATTTTCATGGGGTTGAGTTGCAAGGTCGCATAGTGACACGGAAAAAAGAAAATATAATGTGGTAAGCACAGCAAAAGACTTCTAATTTTGATTGTATTGTTATACACTGTTCACAACCTCGATCCCATGTGACAAAAGAATTCATTTTCTATTTTGCGAAGAGAAACAACCGACACTCCGTAGCCTCGCCCGTTCATATGACCCCCATATCCGGTCACGAGTGTTCAGTATTTCACAGAATCAAAGTGTCTGTTCGACTCATTTGTTGGGCTCCACCGTCTCGGTCACCACAATAGAGTCATGGAACATTGTCGAATTGATCTGTCGCACCGCAGCATCATCATCAAAGTCCATTGCTTTCAATTTCTTATTGGCAATATTCTTGAAACCTGGCACATGCGTCATCAAGCCCCAGAAGCTGCTTGCCAGGGGAGCTCGGCCGGTCCGCTCTTCATACAGCATCCAGGCGATACAGGCCATGATAAATAGCCAGTAGACATTGTAACCAATGACAGATCCATAGGTACCTGTATTCTGCCATCCCAGAATAGACTGGAAGATGTCCCAGCCATTGTCAATCTCGGCGTTGCAACAATTGACGTGCCAGACAGTCTGGAGAATATTGTAGGAGCCGGGGCCGGAGCCCGTTTCACCAACATCGCTGCCCACTCCGACCACAAACTGATAGTACTGCAAGCTCCATATGGCCTTGGAGAACATACCAGCCGAAATGAGGTAGAGAACGCAGGTTGAAGCAATAAGGAAGATTTGGATCGACATGACATTTCCTCCGCGGTAAATCAACCAACCGGCAAGCAATCCCGCCATGATTCCAGTAATGACTGGCAAAGGGAAGGCAGTAGCAGGGTATCCAAGGGATACACCACCAACGAAGACCACAGCTTCAACTCCCTCACGCATCGTTGTGATGAAGGGTAAGATGAACATGGCATAGCGACGACCCCAGTCACTCCGCATCCACCGTGACTTTCCCTCCTTCTTTTCGACCAGGGACTTCGCAATCTTGACACGCCACTTCTCCCTGGTCTTGTTAATCCGTAGAAGAGCAAGGCCCATGATGGTGATCATGATCTTGTAGAGAAATCAGCTTCATTCTTTTGGTATGAGTTCAAGTATCAGTCAAACCTACCGTGGCAATCAGATAAAAGATACCTTCCCACAACTCCTCTGAGTCTGCCCAAGCATCGTGACCCAAGCCGTAGAAGAGGCCAATGAAGATGGCTCCGATACATAGACAACATATCACACCTATGATTGACCCCATCCAGACCTGCTTTCGCAGTCGTTTGTAGACCGCCTGATCCTGGTCTGGCTGGCCCAAGCATTGCTTAAGGAAAGAGAGAAGCACAGAGACAATGATGACTGCCTCGAGACATTCTCGAAAGACAATGAAGAACACCTGCACGGCAAAAACGTTCACCATTGTGCAACTGGGGTAGGAAGATTGTAGATGAAAGAAAGCAAGGAATGTTTCCTTTCATGTGCTTTTAAAACAATGCCAATTCATGTCTGACGACCACGGCCGTCCGGGAAATGACCTTCTGATTCAGGCTAGTCAGTAATCTATCTTCATCTGGAAATCACGGGCCTTACCAATGGACACCGGAGCTCTGTTGGAACGCATTACGCGAATTTCCTTGTTCATGCCTCCACTCTTGGTAGAAATTGTTCTAGTCCATTCGGAGATTGATAATATGGCCCGAAAATACCAATATTCAGATAGTCAAGGACAATGAAGCTAGAGATACCGATAACCGTGGAACTGTGAAAATGACTCACAAACGTAATAGCTTCAAATGTGGAAGAAGTGAAGTTGGTGAGGTTATAGTGTTCCTACTAGGTCTAATAACTGCCACGCTTGTTTGATCTTCTTTTTTTGTATTTTCTTCCTCTTGTATCTTCTCTTGCTTCGTTGTTCCTATACTCTTTTCCACCTCGGCTATTTTCCTGCTCAATAATACCTATTCAATTCTTCTCATCAACGTCTTCTCTTGACAGAGTATATTTCTTGGCATGGACCCTTGGCAAAGGAGTCTCGGCAATGAAAACTTTTCCCTCAACTCGGAGTTAAGGAGAAGGGTAAAAGTGGACTGAGTGGGTAACCAAGTGAGCCTAGTGGAATATGATCGCGTTGACATTTTTTTATCAATCAGTTCCGAGACCTTGGCCACAATTAATGCCGAATTTGTGACTTTTGCGAGAAATAGTCCCTAGTCCCTTGTTCAGATTAGGAAACAAGAGCCGGGTATCAATCAGAGTCCATCGGACTCCACCACGCTAATTTAGTCCAACGCCTCTTTAACATTCCAAACATGAATTCGCCAAGTCGACCCATGTCGGAGAGGTCGGGAAATTAAATTGAACAGCGAGCAGAAAAAGTAAAACCAAGGGTGAGTACAATAACTATGCCTTGACCCAGGACCCAGGACAATTCCTCCGAACAACGCCTCGTTTCTTTGGACAGTTTCTGGTCTGCACTTCAAAATGCGGGATTATATTGCCCTGTTGGGAGCTTTCCAGCTCTTCTCGGGATGTTGTCAGGCAGTGACACACACGTTTGACTGGAATGTGACGTGGGTGATGGCAAATCCAGATGGCCTTGCTGAACGCAAAGTCATTGGCATCAATGATCAATGGCCTCTCCCGACCGTTGATGTGAACAAAGGAGACCGCGTGGTGGTCAACATGCACAACGGTCTCGGTGACAAGACCACATCAATTCACTGGCACGGAATGTACCAGAACGGTACCAATGACATGGACGGCCCTTCTATGGTCACCCAGTGTCCAGTGCTTCCAGGGTCAAGCATCACCTACAACTTCACGGTCAATCAGAACGGCACATATTGGTATCACTGTCACACAGATTACTGCTACCCCGATGGCTACCGAGCGCCATTTATCGTTCACGATGAGCAGTCCTACTTCCACGATGAATATGATGAAGAGATGGTCTTCACAATGACTGATTGGTACCACGACATGACCGAGGACATTGGACCTGACTTCATGTCCTTGTACAATCCTACTGGAGCTGAGCCTATCCCCAATTCCTTCCTGTTCAACAATTCGGTCAGTCAGAGCTATCCTGTTGAGGCCGGCAAGACCTACCTTCTTCGACTTATCAATATTGCTACCTTTGTGGGTCAATACTTCTGGATTGAAGACCACCAAATGCGCATTGTCGAAATCGATGGTATCTATGTCGATGAGACAGAAGCAGACATTTTGTACCTTTCTGCTGCGCAGCGTTACTCTGTCTTGGTTACGATGAAAAACTCCACCGAAAAGAACTACGGCATGGTTATGGTAGCCGATTCATCTCTTCTTGATTTGATCACGCCTGATCTCTTGCTCAATCAAACCAATTGGCTCGAGTATAACCCAAGTGCCCCTCACAATGAGATCACAATGCCCGTGGAGGAATCATCGGAACTTTATCCTTTCGACGACATGACCCTCGTGCCACATGACCGTGTGGAGCTATACAAGAACCCAAAGCAGACCATCGAGCTCACTCTGGTCATGGACAATCTCGATAACGGCATGGGATATGGCCTACTGAACGACCATAGCTACACCAAGCCCAAAGTCCCCACACTTTACACTGTAATGTCGGCCGGTGACCTCGCAACTGATGCAGCAGTGTACGGTGAGTATACTCAGTCCGTCGTTCTCGAGAAGGATGATGTTGTGGAGATCATTCTCAGCAACCAAGACTCAGGCACTCACCCCTTCCACTTACACGGCCACGCCTTCCAACTTTTGGATCGATTCCCATCGTATGGTGAGAACTTCTACGATTACGATGCCGGAACAGAGTTTGCCACCTTTGATCCTTCCAACCACACAGAGTTCCCCGTCTACCCTGCGCGTCGTGATACTTTTGTCCTTCCTCCCGGTGGATACTATGTCATCCGCTTCCTCGCTAACAACCCCGGTGTTTGGCTTTTCCATTGTCACATTGACTGGCACATGATGCAAGGTCTTGCGATGACGTTCATCGAGGCTCCTCGTGAGCTTCAAAATAACCTTGTCATTCCTGATGATCATATCAAGGTCTGTGAGGCTGCCGGCGTACCCTACGAGGGCAATGCCGCTGCCAACACGGAGGATTACCTCAACCTGAAGGGAGAGAACAAGCCCCCCGGATTCATCCCGGATGGATTCACTGCCCGTGGAATCGTTGCTCTTGTATTCTCCTGTATTTGCGCAATCATGGGCATGGTCGCCATTTCAATTTATGGAATCTCTGGTCTGAAATCCCCTGTGAGAAAGCCAGGTTCAGATGATAACACTTCCACCGAGATGGAGATTACTGAGACGTCAAGGGCGTACCGGGATTAAAAGGTGAATTGCGGCGCCTGTAACATGTATTGGTTAGAGAGAGGTAAGAGGTTTCTATATACAATTGTGTACTTTAATTTTGTTGTGCTTGACACTTATGTGTTCAGATCTAAGTAAAAATATCAGACTAGCGTTCGAATGAAATCCAGGACACCACTTCGTATTGACATATCGCATACTAAATCATGATTTATCTCGCTATCAGGCTATGCCTCTGGCATGGGCATCAGGGCAGTGGCTGTGGGGGGTATTCATCCGGTATTCCAAATTCCCACGCCTGGCTGTAGTGGTTGTAGTGGCTGTAGGAACCTCGGGAGGAAACAGGATTAATCCCGAAGTCCGGGAAGAGAGCTAAGAAAGAATACGCTTGGAAGGCAAGGAAAATTACAACTTCACTTCTGCATAAATTGGACCTTTATACGTAGTTGGTCCAAACTCGGCAAACAAGACTGAGTAAACTGGCATATCAGCGAAAATATAGTGGTAGAACCCAGTGTCAGGCTAATAGGTTCTCTCTGTTCTCTCTACAGTCTTTTATTTTGATGCATATACAGCTTCGTGTAGCTGGATAGATTATCCTGGACATATCTAATTAACGACCCTTAGGTTGTGCTGGCTGCAGAACTGATATAATTTGCCCCCTTGCGAGCCTTGACCCCAGCTCTCCACCAATCCAGTCCAGAAACATTCTGATCATTTTCTGCTGTGGTTTTACCATACCCTTCTTTCTGTAAAAAAGGACTATCCAGAGACTTCCATAGCAATTTATCAGTCGGCCGCACAAAATACAACAATCCCAATCGATCAAGGTGCGCCTGGTCCTTTGGTGGCGCTATAACCCGATGGAAGCCACTTTTGAGATATCCATTTGTGAGGAACTGAAGTGTATCGGCGATGTTGACAGCGACTGAGCCAGCGGGGATCTTTAAATATTTCCAATCCTCATCTTTCTCCTGCTGCACTTGTAATGCTGCGATTGGTTGCTGGAAAAGGAACGTCATGGTTCCCTTGTCTGTGTGCCCACGGAAATAAACATCGTCAAATTCCTTGTTTTCTTCTTGAGATCGAGCATGGTATAGCATGTATCGGATAGAGCTATCGCATTCATCTTCATAACGGTTACCGTTCACGAACTGGTCTTCCGGTAACTCGAGCATAGTCGCCAATATTCGGAGGATCTTGAAGGACACATTCTCGTGCATGAAGCGAGAGAACCTCTCGATCTCCGCGGAATATCGCTTGATCAGGTCTGGGTGTGATCGCTCGCTTTGGGGAATGAATTTGAAGATGCTGTAGAATTCCAGCGTATCTTGCATGCCAGGGAAAAGACTTAGTGCTCCCAAGGGACGATAGCCATTGTAACTGCCCTCTTCCAGGGGAGCACGGTGTCTCAGTCTTTCTTCTTCGGGTAGTTCAAAAAATGCTTTTGCGATGGCAAATTGGAGATCAATATCATCCTGAGACAGGCCAATGTTGGTAATATAGAAGAAGCCTTCTTCTGTCAACATCTCTCTGTTTAAGGGAGGTCGTGTGAGCAATACCAACTTGGTGCACTTGTTTGAATTTCTGTGCGAGTCTCTCTTTTCCTCCCGGACAATCATATTCCGAAAGGTCGATAGTGGTAAAATTCGCATATCCCACTAGCAGATGTTAGTCTTCCAAGCCAATCGTGTAGTATTCTTACTCACGTGGGCATTTTGTCTCCGGTGGATGCTCATATTTCGGCAAATTCATATTGAAGCCGAGCTCCCACAAGAACATCCAATCTAATCGAAAATTATTAAGTCGGAGTCACGACATGGGAAGAATTGACTCTAATGTTGCAGCTCCCCAGACACTTCCAGGTCGCCACTTCGTTAGTTTTCCCCATAGCGTAGTGGATCGTCAGTTCCACTCTGGATGCCAAATCACATACTAGTATTCCATATTCAGTTTCGACTTGCTCATTTTTGATCGGTCTCGCTGGGAAAAGCTGCAGTGAGACACTAGGGTACAGCAGTCTCCAGCCAGTGCGCCAGGCTCCAGCAGACTTTTTGCCAGCAGTACCCTTACGCATTTACGTATTTGATACTCTATACTCCATAGAAGACATCTCACTTCAATACTTATGTAGTCTAATTCTCCATAATCACGCCCTTAATATATAGATTACTTAAATCTCAGAGATAGACTACCTTGAATCAGGGTTTTATTCAATTTCAGAATTCAATTCAAGTGACTACTAAAATCGTATAAGAGTAGACGACCTTTTATACGGCCTTGTAATATCTATAAGGCTTTAAAGTAGTCTTTTCAGTAGTCTTTTCAATAGCTTTCTCGGTGGGCTTCCCGGTTTTTCTTAAATGGTAATTTTATCCAAAAAATGAGTGTGAAAGCAAAAATGAATATCCCCCGTTTGGACACAACTTGAGCCTTATGTTAGGTACTTTTACCCTCGTTTTTTCTTTTTTTTCTAAGCAAATAGCTAAGCCCTTCTACGTTGTAAATGAGGCTGACAAGCGCAGTGACCCCGCTCAATAGGTAGTATGTCTGGTGTTATCAGGCTTCTGTATTCTGTATCCTATTCTTCAAATTTTCTACCTATGTCTTAAGAGAAAAGTCGCTCAGCTTTGTATAGGAGAGGGAGAAGGATGTATCTTTTCGACTATTTGTGCATTTGCTTTGCGGCAGGATGACCCGTGGAAATCCAATGTTTACTCTTTGTACTACTTCTTACCATGTTTTAGTGGTAAATTGGCTCATCTCAAATTCTTCAAAATAACGAGTTGGACTATGCTACCAGTCGCGAGTGCTGAATCTATGGCCTGGAGACTTTCCATCACCTTCGTAGTCATAAAATAAGAAACATCGACTATAATAAATGGAGGGTTAAGAACAGTCACCTAATGTACAGGGGGTTCATTAAAAAAACAGGGTACAGTATCACTCCATATCAAGCAGACCAAAAAACCCCAAAACTCCTCTAACCAAACCGAAAGTAGAAAGTTACCAAAACTTGAGAGAATTGGGAACAAAAATAGAGACATTCATTCGGCTTCCATGGACCAACTCATAGCCTCTATTCACGACGAGCGTGGACGTTGAGCCGACGGAGCTCCAATAGGCTCCTATATTAACCAAGCCAGTCAGTTATTAAGCTTCTTGGCGATCGTTTTACCAAATAGAGTACGAACCGAGCTAGCACGGCGCTTGCGCCGGTTATTTTCTCCAGCTCCAGAGTGAGTAGCATCATTCTGAGACTTATAGGCTTCGCTCCCGACAGAAATACTGTTATTTCGGCCATTCACCCGAATGCCCGCAAGAGCGCGAATGTTGATGGGCCGAGGATAGCCCACATCATCGTTGAGTGCATTTGCGCGGTTCAGAGCAGCGATGATGACGGCCGCGATGGAGGCGAGGCGAGGAGATGTCTGGGCCTCCTGGTAAGTTGGTTCAGTGGAGAAATCAGATCCAGGAGTCGACACCGTGATTGTGTTTTCATCGCCAGTCACAGTGATTGAGTTGTCAATGTAAATATTGATTGGTGAGGCCCACGGGTCGTCCATGTCGTGCTGATCAACACTCATCACGGTTGTGCCACTGGGTCTGGTGACAGATAATGTGTATGGTGGTGGGGCTGTGCTTGGAGTAGAAGTAGAAGTAGTAGGAGATGTAGAGGTAGATCTAGAAGAGGCATTGCGATTTGCTCGGACTTCAGCGAGCTTATGTAGGTGATGTCGCAAAGAGTCTGATGGAGGCATCATTGTGAATGAAGTTCAATTTTTTTAGTAGCGTTTGTGGAGTGAAGAAGAGAAGTGTGCAGCAGTGGGTTTCCTGGGTATTTAAGGTCGAGCGTTTGTCCGTTTGAATGGGCACAAACAATAGGAAAGAGGACAATCAATAGACAATCAATAGACAGCCAATCAGAGACTGAGAAGGGCCCATTGAGTTGCCTGATCGGGAATGTTCAATGGACTTCGATTGTTCTCAATAGAGATCACGTGATTGCTATTGTTCATGGGGTATCAATAGAATAAAAACTATGTACCGGGTACCTATGCCATGGTGAGTATTACCGCAGTCAAGAAGGTACCTGTACATTTAGTATGCTTCGCTAGTGTAGAAAATGCGCCTCCAAGTCTCTTCCCAAAAAGCAAATCGGATCGCTGCGACGGTCCACAAGCCCCTGACTGTGGAGCAATCCTTCATAGAGTGCGTTTGTGTCACCATAACCAACTGGACTAGATCCCAGATGATCGGATATTCCTTCTTCAGTCGGTCGGGAATCTCTGCCGATGCCTAAACCATCTGAGAGGTAGGCGTGTCTGGTCAGGTTATTGGCTTGTCTTGTATGGACCCAGGACATTAGACCCTATCGATGGGGTTGTTTGGCTCATTTCTGCTAGACAGGACTTCGGAACTAGTGTGGTCGGATTGAGGTTGGCCCGGATAGTAACGCCCACCTGGGTGAAGAGATTGCGCCGTCTACAAATGATGATTAGCAAGGACAACGGCCCTTGTAGAATATCCGAGTTATACCGGTGTTTCTGTCACGTCCGACATCCAAACCGTTACGGGTTGGTACTGACTTCGCGGAAATCATCTCCTTCAACTTCCACCTCGCGATCTCGAATCCGGCGCATCAAAGCCAGGAAATTGCTTTGTTGAAATTTCTGACTTTGTTCGTTGCGCACGCTGTCAAGCAGTTGTCCCGCTGTCCGCGCAAGTTCATCTGCATCTCGACTACGGGTTTGTGGATCATGTTTGCTGTCACTTTGGGGGATAAGATCCGATCCAAGTCGAATCTGCTCTTGGCTGACTTGCTCGGAAACATCGGGTTCACTGGTCTCATGTATGTTCTTCTGGGTATCTTGCTGAGCAAGGTCAGCTCCTTGCAACTCCAGATCCGCCCGTGCCTGATCAAAGGCAGCCTCAAAGGCGGATTCGTCAAACTGATGCGTGTGGTTCTGTTGCTCGGTCTGCATGGCCTGTCCAGGCTGCATCTGGTTCATGGAACCATACATCTGGTAACCTGGCGCAAAAGATGGTTGATAGGCGCCATGCATTCGCGGGGTTTGCTGGGCCTGGGACATAGGCCCTTGTTGTTGAGTCATGAATTCAGTGTGCCAACCGTCATGTGCCGTTGCTGGCGCAACATTTGGTCGTTGTAGTTGCGCTGCAGGATATGAGGGCCCTGAGATTTGCAAGTTCTGGAAGTCCGCTGCCCAACCAGCGTTGCCTGCACCGTGTGCGGCTGGGTGGTGTACTGCGGCATGATTTAGATGTGTTCCAAAATTGGCCGGATGTTGCAAGTTAGGCAGTGCAGAGCCAGCGAGGTTGCCTTCGAATGCGGCAAACTCCTGGTCGAGAATCCCTTCTTGGGGGTTCTGGGATCGAAAACCCTGGAGTATATTAGTATGGATGAGATTATACGATCTTCGAAATATCACCAACCTGAACAGGCGATTGACGTGAAGTCAACCGGTCTTGCTGAAGGGTCCGATCGACAGATGTATGCTTCTGGAAGTTCTGGAGGGCGTTCGATGGCCCGCACAGCGCATCAGCCATAATGATGCTAAAATGACCAAAGTTGAGCGGGAAGTATACTGATGCTGTGAATTTGATTTTCAAGTTTCTCAGTAATCAACTCCAAACAAAGATTAGAGAAATAATAAGAACAAAAAGGTGGTGAGTTCACAAGAGACTCCACGCCACGCCTGCCGTGGGGTTGCCGACGGCCGAGGCTCATCACGTGCATAGATCGAGGTAACGTGACCAGCGCTAAGCACACGATAAGATACGGGAAGGGCCAGGTTGTTTTGGCTGAAAGGGAGTGAGCTGCCCCAATTCCCCGCGCTTTCACAGCTTTCAAATTTATTGCTTGCTTAATTTAATTCAACATGGTAATTGCTCTTCGGCTGAATGAACTTGAGCTTGTTTCTTAATCATATCGCTAACAGCTCCAAACCTCCAGGCGACCCCTCAGGTGATCTCGAATTCCGGCCACGAAGAGATGATTGTATGTGCTAGGATACCTACTACAATTGGTGCTCATATGATTTCACAATGTACTCAAGCTAACTGAGCTATGTGGAATATAGCACGATGCTGGCTTGGATTACTACGGCCGCCGGTTGGCCACATGTTCGTCTGACAAAACGATAAAGATCTTTGAGATTGAGGGCGAATCACACCGATTGGTCGAGACATTGAAGGGGTAAACTGGTCTTGTTGACATATGCAGCTAAAAATTGGTCACTAACATGGACGTTTGATAGTCATGAGGGTGCTGTGTGGTGCGTCGCATGGGTGAGTGACACCCCAAAACATCAGCCCTGCGGTGCGCAATTTGACTGACCATGCGATTCTTCTTGGCCTAGGCTCATCCAAAATTCGGCACAATTCTGGCCTCATCTTCCTATGATGGAAAAGTTCTGATCTGGCGGGAACAGCCCCAGAATGCAACCTCGCCCTCCGGTGGCAGCACATGGACCAAGGTCTTTGATTTCTCCCTTCACACGGCTTCCGTGAACATGGTCTCCTGGGCTCCCCATGAGAGCGGATGTCTTCTTGCCTGTGCTTCGTCCGACGGCCATGTCAGCGTGCTCGAGTTCCGTGACAACAACTGGACCCACCAGACTTTCCATGCCCACGGAATGGGCGTCAACTCTATCAGCTGGGCCCCCGCGGCTTCTGCTGGCAGCCTCATTAGCTCTGTCCCCGGACCCGGTCAACAGCGCCGGTTTGTTACCGGTGGCAGCGACAACCTGATCAAGATTTGGGAGTATAAGTATGTGGATTGATGGACCTTGCCAAACATACAGATATGACATGAACTGACTCAATGCTCTTTAGCGTGGAATCCAAATCATACAACCTCACTCAAACCCTCGAGGGACACTCAGACTGGGTCCGTGATGTGGCCTGGTCCCCGAGCATCCTCTCCAAGTCCTACATCGCCTCCGCCTCGCAAGACAAGACTGTTCGCATTTGGACCTCCGATGCTTCCAACCCGGGCCAGTGGTCCAGCCAAACACTGGAATTTGACACTGTTCTGTGGCGCGTTAGCTGGAGTCTCAGCGGCAATATCCTTGCCGTCAGCGGAGGTGATAACAAGGTCAGTTTGTGGAAGGAGAACCTTAAGGGAGAGTGGGAGAAGGTCAAGGATATCGAAGAGTAGTGGCTGCTTTAATTTCTCTGTGTCATCTATTCCCTTCCTCAAAGCATAATTTTCTTATATTCAAAAGCTCTATTGCTTATTACCATAAATATTGATTCCATTGCGGAATATCCTACGTCAATTTTCAGCGCTTTGGGCGAGCTTAATCTGTCCCATTCTCTATGTCGTCCACGACTCAGCTCCCAGACGGGGGAAAAAGAACACAGAACAAAGAAAACAGAAAAGAAAGAGAGGCAAACGAAACAGAAAGCGTAAAAGGCACCAGGCGTGGCCCTCACACGTCCCAGAAGATGAATGGGCCTCTGGCCTCTGGCTCCTTCATATCCACCCATCGTCCCAGCATCAAGCGCCCACCAGGAATAACGATAGCCTCATATCCATGGATCCAGCCCTCGCCGTCCATCACAGTGGAAGAAGGCATCTCCTCTTCCTCCTCATTTGATTCCTCCTCATCTGCCTCGACGATGATGAAACAGATCCGGGCCCATCCCTCAAAACCACCGTGGGGGACAGCAATCTCTTCAGTAAACCCGAACACATGGTTGCCTGCCTCATAGCCACCCCCCATAAGCTCTCTGCTTACCATCAAAATATGTCCGCTTGGTGTCAGGTTCACTAGCAAGAGGGATGATCTTTCTGCATTGCTCGGGCCAGAACTGATCGGAGGAGGGTTGGAGGTCGAGGGTCTTGATATTTGTTAACCTGGTAATTACTGCCTTCAAAACAACTTGTCATCCACTCACCATTATATCGATTGAGTCGCCATGTGTCTCAAGATCAGCGCATGTCTGGCGCTCGTTGATCATTTGCAGGTCCGACAGCGGGTGCATGCATGCTAATCGGGAACTGATGTTAGCTTAGGGCATGATAGAATATTCTTCCTGTCGATCTACTCACAGTAATATCCCAGCCACGATGTGCTTAGTTCAGATGTCTCGGTTGGATTATCCTTCCGTATCTTGGGTTTCAGCTCTGCCGGCAGCCCAGAGAATGATTCTTGATAGGTAAGCTCGGATGCATTCAAAAAGTGACGTTGCCAGAAATTGCGCAAATTCAGCAGTTTGGCAAGATCAAGGTCATCGTGGTCAATGAATGCCTCGCCCACCCTTTCTTCATACGAGTAAACTTGTCTGATGTCGTAGTCGGTTCGACGACAAGGTTCGGTAATAGCTGGGTCGAGAGCAAACGAAGTCAAGCACTATGAAGAAAAAATCAGCGAATGTCCAGTTCATTATTCGACGAAACGCGCATACCAGCTGGAGAGCATAAAAGAGTTGCGAGGACGTTCTTTCTTTTTGAAATTCGCTTAGGAAATCCACTCCCTTTAGGGTTTCGCGGATGCGTTGCAGGGTCTTTGAGGTCTCTCCAAGAGCGATGGGTAGTTTCAGAGATTCTTCGAGCATGTTCTGAATGACCTCCATCCAGAGGTATTGGCGATCATCCTCTTCTTCCTTGAATTGGATCGGAGCGCTCAACACAATGGCGCGGATCTGGTATTCAAACATCAAGTCCCTGGAAGGTTTTCCTGGGGCCAAGTCATAGTGTTTCGCGAAGCGATCTCGCCATATGGCGGACTCATATTCAAAGACTTTGGCCCACATCTCTTTGCAAGACTGGGAGAGATGGAGGACATCACGATCACTGGGCAAACAACATGCAATTTCCTGGAGAATCTGTCATTCTTAAATATCAGTGGCTGCAATCTCCATTGTAGAATACAAGCATGAACTTACCTCGTTTGGAAGCTCAAGCAGTCGGCTGCGAGGACTTTGCGTGGTAGTTGAAGCAGACTGTACGATATTGTTGTTCGACATGGCTGTGTTTGCTGTATACATAGTTCGGTATGCAAATGCAGTCTGAAGGATTAATGTGAGACAGCAGAGGTCAAGGAAACCAGAAGCGGTCAAATTTCGATCTGTACATTCACATGTCCTTGAAATGATCGGTCACTGAATGTGCGGGTGTTATGACGGATCGTTTAATGATATAATTTTTAGGGCTGAGGATTGCTTGCAACTGACCAGATTATGAGAGACTACTCAGCTCAATCCCTCTCACATGTGACAATAGGTCAAAGGCATATAAAGAGAAACAAGGAACTACTTTATTTAGATTGAACCGCCTCATGGGACTGAAATAGAACACCTGCCTCCCAATGTTGATAGACTTTGTTTACAGGCCATTTATACTATATATGTCGTGAGAGACGGTGTCGGTGTAGGCTTTCTCTCACTCCCCAACTGTTTGCTAACAGACCCTTAACTTCCTCAAGACTTAGTCCACTCATCTCAGGATAGATCGCCCATACAGCCACCCACCCAGCCACACAAACGAGTGCATAAATAATAAATGTCCATGAGGGTGAAATCCATTCCATCATAGGCAAGAATGTAAGACCGATGATGAAGTTTGATCCCCAGTTGGTTGCAGTGGCCAGTCCTGACCCCAGAGAACGTACATTCAGAGGGAAGAGTTCAGACTGCTGCCAGGGGACATTTCCGAGTCCAAGAGCATATGCTGCGGTATAGACTGTAAGACAGAGCAAAATTGAAATAGGCACAAGAGAACTAGGGCTATCATGGTTTTCTTGAGGGTCAGTCGGAGGTTCTGAATTCCATTTGCCGTCCATTGACGAAAACGAGAAAGCACAGACAACCAGAGCAACGACCATAACAGGTATTGAGTACAGAAGAATGCGCCGGCGACCGATCCTGTCAATCAGCACGAATGCAAGCAGCGTGAAGACGAAGTTCGTCATCGCCACTGAGAGTGATGTCAATGTCGGCGAGGAGAACGAAAGGGAGGAGAAGATGGTTGCCGAAAAATACATCAGACTATTGAATCCGCAGAGCTGTTGGACCGCCTGGAGCATCATTGCTATAATCAATGCTCTTCTGTTTCCACCATGCAACAACTGCTGACCTCGTTGAATAGTATCATGTAACCATTGTGGCTTTGTGCCGCGAGACTTGGGTTGTCCCATCTCCGATGCCTCTTGAACAATTTCTCCATTGATATTGCGCAAGACACGATCCACAACCTGATCACACCCAGGGCAATCCTTATAAATCTTGTTCAGGACATTCTTCGCACGAGCATCGAATCCAGCCTGGACCAGCCATCGAGGTGTCTCGGGTAGCAGAGCGAGAATGGCAAGCTGGACAAAGGCCGGTAATGCCCCAATTCCCACAATCCACCGCCAGCCTCCAGTTGTACTGGAAAACAGCCACCCAGCTATGTATGCGACCACCTGACCACCGGTGATGAACAGACTCAGTATCGTCACAAGTCTTCCTCTTGCATGCGAAGGAGCCAACTCGGAGATATACCTGGAGAGATTTCCCTGCATGTTAGCCACCATCAACTCTCTCATAATCAAACTTCTGCCACAGCTCAGGGTAGTTCCCGTCTGGCACGACACGGCCAACCTACAATGGTGTCACCGCACTCGCGCTACCAACAGCAAGGCCAACAATGCTGCGCCCAAAGATCATGCCCCAAACATGGCTTGTAAAGGCCTGTACCAATGCTCCAAGTGCAAATAACAGATCTGCGCCAAGTATGACTTTCCGACGACCAAACTTGTCCGCCAGGACTCCGGTGAACGGGCTCGCGACCAATGCGAACAGGCTAGTGCAAGATGTGATGAGGCTCTTGTCGATTGTTGTCAATGGATGACCCGAAAGATCTGACCCGATTGTCACCAAAGTAGACGAGATAACACCTGTGCTGGAAGTCACGACAATTGTTAGTGAACGGAAAGATCAATGGAGCAACATGGGATTCCTGGTAGGAGATAGCATACTCATATCCAAATAGTAGACCGCTTATCCCAGCGGAGAAGGTCAACGCCCATATAAACCAGCCTCCGGAGTATTCCAGCTCATAGGCCAGGGTCTCATCATGATCATTGTCGTCACGGTCTGGAGAGGTGTGGGATGAGGGGAGCAAAGGGGCATTGGGACCTTGTTGGTCTTGCTCATCTGCACCAGTCATATCTTCGGGCTCTTCCAGCTCTAGTCCTGAGGTGTCATCTAAAGTTATCCCCTGGGGCATCTGAGATGGTAAAGTGACGTCTGGGGTTGATCCTGATAAGCTGATAAGGAAACCTGCTCAAAGCCCGGAGCGGAACTCGGATTCCGCACACCGATGTGGTTCAGTATGTGGTTATGAACAATGAAGGGTAAATAAAGAAGAAACAGGGCCGGAATATTATGACCTGAGTAAGAATGGCTCAATCTATTGCTATGCACTAGGGAGGAATGAAGGTCTAATATATCAGGCAGAGAAAAGACAGAGTTGCTGAATACACAAGAAATAACAATGATCATAATGTAGATTCATGCAGGATATTCAGAGTTTTTGACGGCATTAATCTGTACATATATAGCCCAACTGCCCTAGTGTTTCGCCACAACACCGGCAGCATCAGCCTGCGCGGTGATCTTCTTCTTGTAGGCGTTGACGGTGCCGTCAAACTTGGTAACAGTACCACCATCGCAAACCCAGAGACTGGTGCAGACACTCTGCAACATGGTCACATCGTGGGAAACCATCACCACACCTCCCTCAAACGCCCGGAGTGCATCCGCCAGGGCATCCATACCCTCGATATCCAAGTGATTGGAAGGTTCGTCAAGAACAAGGATATGAGGGTTGGTCAAGGACAAGCAAGCAAACGCAACACGAGATTTCTGACCTCCAGACAGCAGTTCCATGCGCTGGAGACCAGTTGTACCAGTGATACCAAACCTATAAAATGAGAATTAGTCAATGCAGTGGATTTAAATGGTTTAAAACTTACGCTCCCAAGTGTCGTCGGTACTCCTCGTCGGTTTTACCAGGGTATGTCTTGGTCATGAAGCCGACTGCACTGGTAGTCATGTCCAAAGCGTCGACATGATGTTGGGCAAAGAATCCAATGCGCAGTCTTGAGTTTGTGGATATGAGACCGCTTGTTGGCTCAAGCTGGTTGGTGAGTAGTTTCAAAACGGTCGTCTTACCAGCACCGTTAGGTCCGACAATTCCGATACGCGAATCAAGTTGGACATCCAGATCAACATCTTTGAGGAGAGGCTTTTCCTTAGTGTAGCCGAAGCAAACATCGGACATCTGGACAATAGGTGGTGAAAGCTTCTCGACTCCGGGGAATGCAAAGTGCACAGTGTACTCGGCCTCTGGAGCTTCAAGAACTGGCATGCGCTCCAGCTTTTTAATTCTTGATTGTGCCTCGGAAGACTTTGCGGCGTTGTAGCGGAATTTATCAATGAATGCTGATGACAATCGTTAACGCGGTCCCACTGACAAGATAAAGCGGGTGACAAACCTTGCAAGTGTGCTCTCTCGGCCATTTGTTTCTCGTATTCGCGCTTAGCAGTCTTCCGGCGCTCCTCTTTGGTTGCGTAGAAAGATTCTACAGATCGTTAGGACCGTCAATGGTGTTGAAATTTCGTGTAACTTACCGAAGTTAGCACCTCTGTAGTAGTCCAACCTCTCGGAGTGCTGGTGGATGATATCCGTGGCGACTTCATTCAAGAATGCACGATCGTGAGAAACCACAAGTACTGTGCTAGGGTATCCTTGAAGGTAATTGGAAAGGAAGGTAATTGACGGAACGTCCAACATGTTAGACGGTTCTATGAAAGTGTCAGTAGGGTTGCTTGTGGGATAAAAAGATCAGTGGTACATACCGTCAAGCAAAAGCAAATCGGGCTCGCAGAATAGAGCTCGTGCCAATGACAAACGCATTCTCCAACCTCCGGAGAAGGTCTTGGTGGCGTACTTCTGGCGCTCTGGGGAGAAACCAAGACCAGCCAAGATACTAGCGGCACGAGATTCGGCCTTATCAGACTCCATTTCTGAGAGTTTCCCGTGAATATCGCTCAACGTGATATCCAGGCCCTCTCGCTGCTCGTCGAGTCTAGCAGCATCCTTCGACGTATCCGCCAATGAAGATCTTTCTTCTTCGATTTCTGCCAGTTGTTGCGAGATTTTCTATGGTCGTTAGCAAATATGCTGCTGTGGTATCTTGAGACTTGACTAACCGCTTGCTCTGCGAGAAGATGTTTCCGCCACACATCAGCATCCAAAACTGCTTGCAACGCTGGTGTGTCATCACCAGTAATCTAAGGTAGAGAGTCAGTCATGGAAAAAGCAACCGAGCTGCGGTTTGAACATACCTCTTGCTCAACGTGAAGAATAGAAACGTGAGTCGGAATCGGAATTTCTCTGCGACTCAAAGCACGCAAAAGTGTAGATTTACCGATACCGTTCTGACCAACAAGACCGTAACGACGACCATAAGCGAGTGTGAAGGCAGCATCTGTAAGAATGCGGAGACCACTAATCGAAATATCAATATTATCCAACTTGATGTCCTTGCTTTTGGCCTGGGAGTCCGAGCCCATTTGGAGAGGATTGACAGCCATGAAGAACTCCTCGTAGGACATGGCCTCATCCGGCTGGTTAAGCAGACGGGACGCCTCGTAGGTAACGTTCTTCATAGACTTCTTGTCCTGCTTTGCGCGAATTTTGCGCTCAGCCTTCTCGAGCTTTTTCTTGTCCACCTTGGACTCCATCTTTCTGGCATTGGCAGATTCCAAATCGACGGTGTTTCCAGTTAGACCCAGTGTAGAAGACATGTTCCGCTGTGCGCCGACATTGATAGTCTGTTCAAGCTTCTTGGCCTTGAAGGGCATTTGCCTCCGCTCTGGGTCACCATCGGAAGAGCTCAGCGTGGTGATGAACCTCGAAACCAAGTTGCCGATCGCATCGTAGTTTTGCGGGGAGAAATTTCCCGAGGCGGAGACTAGGAGCTCGGTCACGGATTCGGCAGCCTCCGTTAAGGGGGACTGGCCACTGGCATCGTCGACGTAGAGGTTTGCGGCATGGGTCAGGTAGCCCTGTCAGATAGTCAGCGGCGAAACTTACCGTCCTCCACTGCGCATATGTGCGGAGATACTTACTACTGAGTATTCGGTGATGATTTGGTCGAGGCCAGGGATCTGGGATTGGAGTTCAGATTCCATCTTGCCAAGCTCGAGAGGACGTGCGTCACGTCGAGATCCAAGAAGCTTCGGCGTCAAGAGTTTGTGGAGTTCTGGAATCGAGGGCCCCATCGTGAATAGTGGCGGATTTTTGGATGTGTGTTATCGATAAGATCACATGACAGGTATTTATCGTTCTGAGGTCAAGAAATGGACATAGCAAATCCTGTCTTTTGGGATAATGCAAAGGTGCGACAGATATTAGATGTCAGCTAGAGTAGAGTTGGTTTCTACGCTCTGAGAATCACTAAACTAACGGAGAGGTTGCTCGGTGGCTGTTCCTTGCCATATATTCGCGGGTACTATACCAAAATATGAGCCATTTGTATCACTTTAATACGGAACTATACGACCGTAGCTTTGCTTTGAAGCAATTGACATACAAAGTAGACTATGAAAAATTTGCAGATCCTGAAATTGTTATTGAAGGAACTTGGCTGACTGTGTAGCAAATCTCCGCATGAAGTTGTTGAAGTAGGGGAAGGGCATCTATCGTATCTAGGTTAGCGAGCAGGTATGGCAGCATTGAGATATTATCCCCAAGATGTAGTCGTCGAGATCTGGTTTTCTTAATTCAAGGGTCTTCAGATAGTGTGAGCCTTTTATATTTCATTGGGAGAATCATCTATCTACACATGAATATCCCCGAATCCGTAAAGCCACACATGTGTGCTCCCGTACTTTTTATAAACCACAAGAACTTGGCATTAAATACTTCCACAAGTTTGCAGAAATGTATTCAGATACAGGAAATTTGAATCAGAGCCATTGGAGAAAAGGTGGTTGCCGAGAGGTCGGTAGGTTCCCAGCTGACTAGTTGATTGAGCGCAGATAGTCAAGTTTTGAATCACATACTGTTGTTTGTGATATACTTGCCTACGGAAACCAAGCATCAGATCACCCGATTGTCACACAGCCCCAATAGTTGAGAAGTCCCTGAGTGGCAGACAACGTCCAAAATAGACGTAGCATAATGATCGACCTCAGCTCCGGCCATCTCCCCGGCCGTCCGTTGATAAGCAATACGAGGTTCCTTCCATGGATTAGAATGAGTATAATTAACACCTATCTGAGCGCTCGTCTTCTCCAAAGATGTTTCAGTTACTCTTTATCAGTGGTAGCGATAGACATACATAGACGGTGAAGTGAAAGAGGTGGCCTGGCTTGTATACCCTGCATCAATCACTGGGCTCCGACGAAATGACCTAAATTAGATAGTTTTGCAGGCTGCAGGGCGTTTCATAAGTAGTTTCATGTTGGGAGAAGTTGCATAAGACCAGATAGTGTATCAAAACCGAACAGCGAGCTCAAAGGTGTTTACAACCTGCCTCAAGTCATACAATTCTGGGAGTTGGAGATAGGAAGCTCTTCCCACCCCTGGAATCACATTTCCCACCAAAGTCGGAAATTGCAAAGCACGGGCTTGCAAAATCTGCCAAGACTTGCAAGGCCGAGACTTCAGCTTTCGGGTTAAAGTTGCTACTTCGTATGTTGTGTATGATTTTTTTTCGGGTCAAGAAATAACCATTCGATCAGAAGATTTCAAGATCATCAAACAGTGCAGGGAAGATCTTGTTCCGCTCTGCAGGTTCACGGCAGCCAACACCGATATAACGGGTGCCGGCATGTGTTTGAGAATAAACATAAATTAAAGTAAAGTATTGGCTTATAGCTACCTATGAACGGTTGGGACACATGGCAGGACCTCAGACGATCAAGGAACTTTCTGTAGGGAGTTGGTGTATATATAATGTTCCATATATTGACCTTCCAAATTGAATGATTGGATATGCCGATCGCTTCAATCTTCACTTACATACCCTATCAACCTAGACTTTTTTTGGATGAAAATATATATATTAAAAAAAATAAACAATTTAAAATAAAAACAAAAACAAAAACAAAGAGCTTGAAACACGACATGCTTCCTCCCCCGCTCTTCGATACGCTATTGACGGTTAACTGCCAGCAAAAGCACACATTCGGGTTTATGAACCGATTGCGACCCAC